AGAATTTCTGCATCGGTACCATTGATTTCACATATTTTGGCCAAGCGAATTCCCCTCCAACTCAGGTTTCCTCGATCCAAAGCCCTATCGCGATCCTGGAGTTGCTATCGTGTCCAGACTCGTCAGCCTTCACGGCTATATTCTTTCCATACAAGGAGGAGCAAAGGCGGGCTAGATAATGGATGCGATTGTAACGGGCAGTTCTCGATACGGGCGGAAGAGCCAGTCCAGCATTTCATCTTTAGAGTGAGGTAAGAGGAAAGAAGAATATGTGAGATGAGGCGAAAGGTACAGAACCCTGCAAAGCCCCTAGTAAACCTCGCCCCCAAGGGTAAAGACAAGTTTCGATATCAAGTTCCCCTTATGCTAAAACTTCTTGAAAGGCGATGCGTCGACGTGAACTCTGCGAGAAAGTGGTTCCTTTTACCTGGCGTCAAGAGCTTCGAATTTATCCTTACACGTAGCATGCATAGTGTGATCTTTCGCACTCCAATTCGAAATTCTGGTTTGAACATGAAGGTGGAGACAGCATACCTAAACGGCTTTCTATTGAGAATAGTACTGCCGAGATCAGTTTTAAGATGTTCACAAATTGTAGTTTCAAGTGAACAACCTCTCGCCATGTTACAAAGTCCGAAAACTCGTGGGAGGTGCTGTTTTGGTTAGTCTCTCTCTGAGACAAAGTCTTGCAAGAGGCGACACGATGTAAGAGAATTCTTCCGACTTCTTCTTGGGCAACAAGGTCGTCTTCAAGGACCTCTGTTTTCTCCTCCTCTCTAGAAGAACTCCAGTATTCCACGGCTTAATATGTATCTCCTGAGGCACGACTTCTGTTGCATTTGAGTGACTGTACTCTTGATTGATCGCCGACGACGAATGGAGAGTTTCCAGCCAGGCTTCAATATGATGTTCTGAGTAAATGCTCTCGATAGCTCAGAATAGATCAAAGAATTGGATACTGGAACGTGCTTTTATGAGTGCGGATATCATCAACCCGTGGAGTCTCGAGCAGAACCACTTCCTCCACAATTTCATTGTCTGCGGGTAGAATACACTTAAGAATGGTTAGTCTCATAGATGTCATCCTAGAGGATCTAATTGTATGTACATAATCTTGAATAGATTGGTGCTCATCATTTCCCACCCGACCGCGCGCTCTGAGGAAGTACGACTGACCATAGGATAGTTTTAAAAGAAATTAGAAAATCAAAAAGTCATTCAGAACTCTTACATGACAGTACAACCGGCTGCAGTATGACATTGTTGAGGATGTGTTGGCTGCCTCACGCGTCATTACGTTCGTATTGTTGCTAATGTGATGCTTTCAGCGATTCTCAAAAGTGCCAGAGAGCAACGAACAGATCCATGACCTGAGCTTTAGTGTTGAAGAACGGTAAGAGGGCAGTCATAAGGGCCACACGAGGTGTTTTGCATCGTTTGATTGAGAGATTTCTGCTTCTAAAGCCCAAGGGTCGAAATATGGGTCTTGGAAAGAGGCACAGCTAGTGGATGTCGCCTGCTTGGAAGGCAGGAAAGATTGAGAGTGTATGAGGAGGTATTATGAATGATGGACTGAGTATGAGGAAGAATTATATAGCAATGGAAGACACGGGAAGAAAGAGACAGAAGTAGAAATATTGGAATACGTAGAACTGAAGAGATGGACTTGTATAGATAATTGGATGATGCTTGGTTACTCCATGATCATTACCACTATATGAGTAAACATTGTGAGCCTTGATGTCGAAAAGGAAGAGAAGAGGGTAGAGGACGCAAAAAGCCTTTAAGAGGGAAGCAAGTATAAGAATACTGAGAAAGCCACGACGACAAGTATGCTCAAGTAGGTGCGAGGTTCAATTATGATCACGAAAGAATCTCTCGGAATGGTAAGTGACTGATGCAAGTCTCGAAGAACACCAATGAGTTCATAGATTACGGTTGGTTGTTAACACCAGATAGAGCTGTGGTACGAATCAATCTAGAACCAAATAAGTGGCGCTTCTCAAGATCACACATATCTTTTCGGATTGACCGCGAAGACAGTATTCGTGATTTTTTCTGCTATCTTTGGCCTTCGAAGATACCATAATGACATTGGAAGATATGGAGTCACCATTTGCTCACGATCCGTATATGGATTCGACTTTGTAATTCGTCTTCTTCTAAAGCCTAAGTGCAACTTCAACGACAAGGTAGGGAGGCAGCTGCTTCTCGTCACAGTCTGACACTGGGCGTACGATAGTAGCATCGAATTGACCATTGTTCTCGGACAATGCGGTCATGAGAGCCGGCTCGCAGTAACAGGAATGTCTCATCTGCGACACAAATGTTTTTTGAAAAGTCACGTAAAGAAACGAAACTCCTCTTAAAGCGACATCTAGATTGCGGTCACAACGACTTGCCGTTGTTTCGGCAACCGGGCAGCGATTAGATGGAGATATTCGAACACGACTGAGTTCAGCCCAAGACTGATCCTCGCACTGAGGACGATTTGTTCATTTACAATGCGATACACGTTGAAAGCCAAACACGCTTTCTTCTACCCATTGGTATCAACGATGTGATGGATGGTGTTTATGCATCGTCTGACATAACAACTGTGAACAACAACGTTGATGAAAGGACCCAAATGCGACGTACAAATTGATAGTAGGAGGAGAAAAAGGGTAGAAACTAGGATCGATTTCAAGCAAGTCAAAGGATCATATGACTTTTCATTTTTCAGCCAAAAAAAGCATGCTCGACCCGCTAAAATCTGTTGGTCTTATGAATAAAGATCTCTAAAGAAGTTTTCGCAGGCATGGTTCATTTAGTGCAATCATTCCAGCTAGGTTCATTCGATATCTTGAGTCTTTGGCCTTCCTTGCTATCGATAGAAACTTGCTAGAGGCATCTTTCTGGGCTATTTGAGAGTCATGACGGCTTTGATTGCCACAATGACTTTCTCACTTGTGTCTCAATCCTTGAATGCTTGTTTAACGTCAATAAGGCATCGCTTCCGATGATTGGGTGTAGTGATTGCTAAACGTTACATCAGATGATAGAGATTCAGACTCGTATCAGACTAAGTCTTGAAGACGCCCATGGGAAATAATGAGGTCAATACCGCGAGCTTGTTTGGATCAGATACTTCTACGTTTAGCGAAACGGAGGATAGACAAAAAGAAGAAGTAAAGTCAGGATTCATGCTTCTAGTGCCTTCGAAACGGGCTTCATGCGTAACCCTGAAGTTCTCTAGTCATATGGGCCGAGCTGATATGGTCGTCTGATCGTATCGTGCAGCCGGTGTGTGCTCCTGGTAAAACTTTCCTCATGAATCCTTGATAGTAAATCAATGGGAAATCCTCGCTTATTCGGACACGAGGCTGTCCACACTCGTCATCGTGCTTGAAGAATTATTGACTTGTTGCTGGCATAACGCCCGCTGACTTTCACGGACGAGATAGATTCACAAGTAAACTTCTGAGTAATTTGCAAAGAGATAAAGAACCGTCCACAATCAACTTTTGCTTCTGCTCCCGCGTATTCGTGCTCAGGGTTGAGTGGCTTTCACGGCCGGGACTAGAACAGATTAGTCTTGACAGTACTGGCACGTAGATTCTCCAGCTTGAAGGCCATTCGCAAAAGCGAGTCCAGCGTAAAAGTATCCACCTGGCCGTCAAAATCACTAACGGAATCAACCCCATCTTAAGGTAAGCTTGTGGCGAAGGAAGTTTCAATCTGCTCTTCCGTTGGCATCAGATCTGCGTTTTACTTGTTCCGACGTAGGTGCGGCCAAATCAGTCACTAAGTGACAGAGTCTTGACATGAGTGCGAGTACGCTCATCTCACTTTTGCATCGCCCAGTGCACTATTCTCTGGCTCTTTGCAATGGGCTCTCTTTGCTTGAATCTCAAATCGGATACTGCAGCGTGATCCCTGTTGCTGTTTGTAATCTATAGAGATTGACAAACGGCTCTCCGAAGAGCCTGGGAAATAGATTGTTCCTACCGATTGATATAAGGCGTTCGAGTTCAATTTCTTTGACTCTTCCTCTTATATTTTCATCTCTTTGCAATGGCAGAAGTACGACCAAAGGATATACGCATCGGAGGACCCGGTGATTCAGTGTTGCTGAAGTCATATTCTTCAGGTGAACAGGGAGCTCGAATGATGTGGGTTTCTCCATCGGGAAAAGGTAACATCTTTCTGGGTTATGTTAGTTCTGAGAACTATCGAGAGCCTGCGCAGTAAGTCCAAGCGACAAGTAAGCATAAATAGGTTTTGAATCGTGAATAGGCCAGAATTGATATGTCTGCGTAATTCAAACAACGTATGGAAGTCTCCATGGGCAGCAAAGGAGAAAAGAAGTATGATAGCTATTTCTGAGAGCCTCATTACAGAATGAAGGAATTCGGATCCTCTCTGACGTCCGGGGTTGCAAACAAAGATCTGAAGAGAGCTTGAACCCTTAAAAAGGACGTCACAATCGAATTCGGGGTCTTCACACAATGCATTCGACACAACATTGATATACAAGAATCTTCCCTTTTCGATCTACTCTTTAGAGAATAGACCAAATAAGCGATGAGGCCGGGGGTAACAAGCCGGGTGATTATGTATCCTCAGAAAGCCACAAGAAACAGCGGACATGGGTAAGGTTGTCCATGTGTGCTGTTCCCACATTATTGATTTCTGAAGCTGGTCACAATCATTCGAATGGTGACCAACTTTTTGGCAATTATAACACTTCATGTTTTTATTCTTGAACGCTTGCTTCTCTGCTATAGCTTGCTCTTTGCAAGAACAATCTGCGTTCTTATGGGCGAAGAAATCTCTACAATGTTTATATAAGTAAGTAGCTTAGAATTCCAACATCTCGACGTTCAATGGCGAGAAATCAATACAACTAACGTTCTCGTCAGACTCAGATCTCAGCGGAATGGCAAGGGACTTACATGGAAGTCAGGGGCTTCGAGGAATCTGCAGCGAGCAGCACGAGCACCCCGGGTGATACACTCTTACGGATGAAATGGCATATCTTCCCGACGTAGCGAGTTGTTTGGATTTGCTCTGCCGTGAGCTGTACTTGTTGCTCTGCTAAGGGCTTCTCGGGGTCCGCGGTCATAATGCGGCGGTTCATCCAATATTGAAACTGGTTGGCGACTGTCTGACCTGGCTTTAGGCCTCCTAATGCCCGTATCTGTTCTACAACCTAAGTCTTGGTCCCCCCCCTCGTCATTAAAGTCTTTCTGGGCATCCTCCCAGTTGCGGTAAAAGTCTGCCGCGTGGATATACTTCATCAGCAGCCTGATGCTTTCTTGATGGGTTTTGATAAAGCCTAAGAGCGACTCCAAGGCGTTGGCGATGTAGGGGTCCTCTCCAGGCACCGGGTGAAAGGCCCCCTTAAAGCTGTGCATCGCCGACTGGGCGCGAAGCTTCACGAGTAAGTTCCTTAGCGGCTTTAGGGTCTGGTAGTCAACAGCCTCGTTGAGGAAGCTTTCGACATGGGTGAATCTTTTGTTGTTCGAGTCAAGAACGCTAGTCACTTCAAGCGACTTTAAATCACGGATTTGCTCGGTGAGGCTGGCCATGGTCAGCTTTGACGTTGGGACAAGAGTGGCCGCGGGTGGGCTTGGCTTTTGGTTTTGCTGGCTTATGCTCAGGTTTCGCATCATGGCTCCAGTCTTGCACTCCGCAGGTTCCTCGTCGGTTCGGAGCTGGCGGCGGCTGGGCGTTGCTCCTCCCCTTGTCCCCCTGCTGCCGTTTTTTCTGTCGTCTTACCTCCTAGCTGCTTTCCTGTTGCCGGCCTCGATAGCTTCGGTTGCGATTCCTAGCGCCAAACGTTAGTAAGCGATCGGCCGATGACTTGGCTCTGGCACGTACGACAACGAACGGGCGATGATCTTCGTGCTCCGCTCGTTTGGCGGCTGCTCTATCTGCTCCGTCGATCTTGGGCAATCGCCCCTGCTGATTACCCGGCTTGGCAGTAATCTTTTGATATGATGGTCAGCAAACCCTCAGGCTCGATGCAGAAATGCGGGGGCTCACATCTTGACCTATGTCCATCGCGACGGCACCAGAAGGATCTCCGCGCTCTACGCTCTCGACTGTGGCCGTAAAGCTAGGCTTCGCTGCTCGCTTACATTTAGCTTTGACCAATTGATATAGGTCCGGGACACCTCCGACGACGTGCTTGCTTTGATGAAGACGTAACAAGGTAATATAATTTTCCTAAATTTCGTCGCTTATAGTCTCTGCAGAGTCTTTAGCTGCCTCTTTGAATCGACGTAATTCATTATCTCGTCGTGGAGTATCGATGTCTCCGACAACGCAAAAGAAATTAATTGCTCGGGAGATAGCGACATTTAATCGTCTCGGGTTTGGAGACAGACACGTCAATTTTGAGAAGTACGATGGAGTCGTTCGAGCGTATAGATGATCAGTAGCCTGTGTAAGTCACATATGTCGTCTCCAGAGATGTTGGACCTTGTGATTTTGTAAGGGCTCTGTGGTGAATAAGATCCTCGTAGAATCTGTAAACAGCGAGAGGCGAATGATCGTAAGTCACGCCCTCAGCATGCTTGACTTGAAACGAAGAAACGGCAAACCGAAGCAGCGTGAATGATCTTGGGATTTTTCTGCCATGCTGGCAGATCTTAAGGGCAATTTTGTATACCCCACAAGTATTTGTACTCAGCTTCTTCCCACAAATACTCTTCTACAGACAGAATGAATGGCTGTGCTTCATCTTGTGCAAATTCGTGCATACGGTACTTGGCTTCTCTTAGGAGACTCTATGAGATCTTGCTTTGACCACTTGAGGGCTTGAGAGCAGAGGGAGTGCTTGACATGCGACCTATAAGCTTGTGTCGGCCACACGGCTTGTCATTGGCTTCATGTTCTTCTGAGACTGTTTTACTGACAGACCTAACAGCAAAGGAGGATGTGGGGCATGATTTGATATGTCAGCATCTGAGTTGAGGGGCCTTTGTTGGGGGATGAAAAGGCTCATTAGGCAGAACGTATGTTGATGTGAGAAGAAGGCAAGCACTCTGCAATTGAGGTAAGGATCATGAGCTAGACTTCTCCAGCTATTCTAATGTACAAGCGGGGACAGAAATGAACTCCAACGCAGATGCTGAGAGCCAGATCATTTCATCCTCTCGATATGACTGAGATTGACCTGGTTGCAACGAGACAAGAATATAATCGACGTCGGATTGGCTCGATCAAAGAACGTTTTTCGACAAGACACGTAATGTACAGGATGGAGATATATCGTAAAGAAAAGACGATTGTTCAATACGTAGTACGAGAAAGTGGCGACGGCTCGACACTACAGGCTATTTGGCACTGGGGGTTTCGCTGCTTTTCGCTCCAATTTGGTCAAGGTTGTCGTCATCAGGTGATAACATTTTGAACGATAGGAGCTCTGGCAAATCCCATGCTGTAGGCTGGTCAAGGTTGAAGTCTTCAAGACCAAATAGTATTCCGAGGTCCGCCCAGAATTGCACAATTTCCCGCTGTAGGCGTAGAGACTGGTTTGAATTTCTATAGTATTCATGCCACCAACCAAAGCAAAAGGTCACAAGAGATAGTTCCGGGAGGTCTTGTTTAATTCCACGGATCGACTTTAACACTCTTTCTGGCATAACCGAACTTCCATAGATATGCAGTTGCTTCAAGGTAGCGGGTAAATCGGATCTGTCACGTTCTGGTGATCGATACATCTGTCGGAAACGCGGAGGCTGTGTAGACTGATTCAATGAAGAAAGGTCGAGAATCTTGCCTCAGAATTGCTATGCGCGACATGCCGGTAACTTCATGCATGATCGATACCGACAGATAGGAGGTTGCATAACTTGTACTAAGTGGAGCGATACGACGCTAGTCCCTGTGCAGCCTGGATACTGTCCAGTATTGCCCCTTCAAGAGTTGAGACATTAGAAAAGAAGATTGTTCTGAGTATTGGCCAATCCAGCCGAAGACTCATAACCTGCGCTATCTGATAGCGCATGTATGAGTGAGGTAGTATCCTTATCATAAAGATGATGCCATAGATGCTTTTCTCAGTTCGACTAGTGAAAGTAATAGTAGAATGATTTGCATGTCCGCTATTCAGGAAGTCTTGTACAGCCGTTGGATCAGAATAAGAGTAGGTCACCAACAATCGGCCACTCCGGTAATAGGCGTGAGTAATTCTCACAGATTTGGATGCGGTGTCGAGTTTTATGCCTGGATATGAACAAAGCGCGATGACTTTGAATCTTTATAAGTAGCTGGACATATAACATCCAGATTTGAGCCTGAATAACCTGTATCTCTAGAATACTCTCTCCACCCATAAGAATTCCTTATTTGCTCGCTTGATTCCTCGATTAATGTCTCAAAGCAAGTCCAATTGCCATACCAATTGCCGCGGGTGGCAGGAGTCTTTGCATACTTGTAGATGTCACAGCGTCGAATTGCTCGACGAAAGCGAGTCACGACCGGTAGAAATTGATAGAAAGTTTTCTGACCAGTGATTATTCATGTGTCCCAGTGTCGATATATTCCAGCGGAGCCAAAGAATGACACCCAGCATATCTCATCTTCAGACCACAACCACAAAGACATAAGCTGATTGTAGCACGATAGCCCTTGGCCGGAAAGAATCTCTTGTTGTGGTGATAAGGATTGACGACAACAGCAAGACAGAAAGACCGTGAACTCCGCATCACTGTCTTGTTGAAAAGAATGCATTTGGAACCGATCCGGGGTATCAGAAGTCTTGGTCCAAGAATGCCAGGCACGCACCACGCAGACACGTAAAAAAAAGGAATTAGAGCCTCTCGCCGGTTTAGCCTTTCAACTTCGAATAAAGACACTTTGAGATAGGCATTCTTACGGCGTGCTACCCGTTGCATAGCAAGAACCACATCAGGGTGTCATCTGTGCACCTGCAGAGCATTTGGTTGAACGCATTTATCGACATCCCATCAAAGGCTTGGCTGGTTTCATGATGACACCACGGCTGCTCAATGAGAGTTTTGTGCATGCTTGCAAACGAGATGACGAGGCGACTCTAGATTTAAAAACAAATCGTGAGACACGTACAGCAAAGGAGTAGTGTGTTGCTTTAACGACTCCACTCTTGATTAGCCTTCCCGAAATGAGTCGAGAAGGTTTGTGAACTCTCACGTGCAAACGGCAAGAGGCTTGAGAAAGTCAACGAGACTGGTGAAGGCGCATGAGAATACCCTTGTGGTAAGGCAGAGTGTTGGTGTATATATTTACAAGCCCCCACGAAAGGATCTCAGATCTTGAAGAGAGGAGGCTGGGTGTCATGTTTAGGAAAGAAAGATGGAGGGAAGAAGCAGATTTAAATAGAAGGGGTGGCTGGGAGAGTTAAGGTTTAGGGAATTCATCGATTCTAGGCTATGGAATGTTTTGCTTGTGGTGAATCTAGAATACATGATGCTGGACTGTGTCTCAGAATGTGAATCGCATTGCTGACGTGCTGAAAATGGCTGAAACGTCTTAGGCCGTGAAATGAATATTCAAGCTGTTTGTTATAGGAATGCTGAAGTGGCGGCGAAATGCTGGGATTTGGGAAGGATGGTGAATCGAGAACTGCGAGACGGCATCTTGAAGGTACTGGTGTCGTATTGTGCTTCGTGAGTAGTGATGCCGAAGAAGAAATGCTGCAGTGTTGAATTTCTGTGTGTTGCTAAGAAATCGTAGAACGTAGGCGTAACGTCAAACCCGAGTCTCGTGAATTGTGATATGCTCAGATCTCACCAATGGGCATGCAGGGATCCCAGGCGATTGGATCTTCTTCACCATCCTCATCGTCACTGTAAACGAAGTCCTCTTCGCCGTGGAAATAAGTAACATCCTGGCCGAACAGATGTAACATATCTTTAAGGCCAAGATTCTTCATAACTGTGCGGTCATCCATTGCCGCACTGATGATCTTGTCCTTTCGTTGCTGCATGGAGATTAATTTCTCGTCAATAGTATCTTTTACGACAAACCGAGTCAAGTGGGTCTCAGCTGTCTGTCCGATGCGGTATACGCGGCAGAAAGCTTGGAAGGTTAAGTACAATCTGGAAACTTAGGGACTCAGCGCTTACCTTGTTGTTCAACGCATGTGTTAAACCACAAATCGACTACTATCACTTTCGAAGCCTCGGTGATATTCTGGAGTTGTTGTCAGCAATGACAGCGGAATGCAGAACTTCATCTGTACCAGGCCTTGTGCTCCACACTTGAGCGACGCAACAAGTATCCTTACCAACGGATCGGTTTTGAAACGACTGAGATTTTCGTCTCTGACTTTCTGTGACATCTTACCATGATACTGTTCACGATCAGCACATCAACTTCAATTTGAGATTGATCATTACCGAGCAATGGCTCCAATTCCTACGTTCGCAGAGCTTTGCGAACAATTTGAGACTACTAGATATCAGCGAGTGTCCATATGCGCAGTTAGGTACTTACACCATGTGGAACTGGCCAAAGACAATGATCTTGCAGGTAGAGTCAGCGTTGAGCCATTGCTCGATCTTTGCCTCAGCCGCGGCAGTCTTCGTCGACTGTAATAGCTTGCCATCGGCCTCCACCCATTTCATGTTGTCATTAGGCTTGCGACGGGGTCGGCCAATTTCATTTAGCTGGGGTTTGGGTTTCTGTCTGGGTGGTTTGATGCCTGCCTTCATTTCTTCAAGACCGATGCAGGGCTCAGTGTCCTGGAACGCCATGTTACATTTGACGCAAAGGGCTTCGTTGGAGTCTTGTTGTGCATATTCAACAATGAGGGTGTCTAGGCACTCCATGCAATAAACATGCATACAACTCGTTACGTAAGGATTTGTAGGAGTCGATTGGCATTTCTGGCACAACGTTCGTTTGTTCATTTCGTCAATCCCCATCTGGGCGACCAACGTGCGAAGGTACTTGTCGAATCTCGAGACTGTCGTCTTTTCAATCTCCGCATTCTCAAAGTCATCGTCCTCAATCTCTGGCGTTGCTTCGGGAGGCGTGCGTATGGGTGAATCATCTTTATGGCTGATCATCGTGCATATGCTGCGAGCCATGTCTGCCGGTGAGGTAGTCTCGGCACGAGCTTCTTTCATTACCTCATAGAGGCTGTCGGCATCCTCTAAGTCGTACATTCTTTCCATTGTCTCTTGCAACATGAACACGTGCGTTGTTAATTGGCGTAGTCGGGTCAGCATGAACTGGAACAAAGGTCAGCAAAATCGCGGGTACAAAGAGTGCCCTTACTAGAACTAGGCGCTGCTGTTTTTCTAGATCGCCTGCTGCTGCAGCCCTTAGTTCAGCCGGTCAGCTTTTTATCATTCGCTCAGATCTCTTCTCACAACTCACCTTGCTATGGCCCTTCTGAATCTCTCCTCTATCGTGTTGTAAATTGTTCGCTCGAGGTCATTGAACTCAAGTTCAATGGTTTCTTCATGATTTTCTGGTAATTGAACAATTGGGTGGTGAAATAGCTCGGTTTTGTAGGTTCGCCGAATCATTATGCCATTGAGAAAGCTGTGCAACCGTTTCATGCAAATTTGACCGTCAATACAAAAGTTTTGTTTGAAAGTCCGGAAGGATCCACTGTTCTTGACACGCAGGAATTTGAAATACGGATAAAGCTCACCAAGGTCATTGAGAATTGGTGTACCGGACATGGCCCATCGATGTTTTGCCATGAGCCCACGACAGGCAACAGAAGTTATACCTTTGTGATTCTTGATAGCTTGTGCTTCATCTAGCACCACACGGTAAAAGTGTATCTGGTGCAGCACTCCACGTTCTTCGGTCCATGTTTTGAGCCACCATGCCTTCTTTTCCTCAAGTGTTTGTAAATCTTCAGGAAGTTTTGCTCGTGGGTAAGACTTCTGAACTTCAGTATATGTCGTGAGCACGATATCTGCTTGCGCTAAATCGTCTTTCAGACCCCAATTAGAAGCGCCTCCTTGGTCCGGTCTCAAGCCGTAGAAGACCTTCACTCGGAAGCCCGCAACTTTATTATCGATGTGTTTACTAATTTCGCGATCCCACTGCATGATTAGCGAGGGTGCACATACAATCAGCGTACTTTTGTTTGCCTCTGTCGGTCCCGCAGGATGTGCTATAATTGTCATAAGTGCCATTACTGTCTTACCCAATCTAAATGATAATGTAAGCGAAAGTCGGACTAAACACAAAGGTAGAATTCTTACCCCATCACGTCCGCCAGAATGCCACCTCTTGGGCTTTCCTCTTGAATTTCTCGCTTTTTCATAGCCCCAGCACCCTGGATCTGATGGTGGCGCAGAACTTGAGACATACCCTTCATGTTCCACCCACTTGCACGATCTGCGACTCTGACACCGCCAAGGACTCGGCCCATACTCAATATGTTCTCCTTATCACTGATAGCCTGCTTTTCCTCTGTTAAGTCGAGACCCTTGAGTAAGTCACGCATCGCGTCTGACTTTTTGCTACCCCTCAGAACGGGCATACCCTCCATGTTTGCCGATGCATTCGTATCGTGAAAAACATCACTTGTGAGTAGAGTTTGGGTTCCAGTAAGATGTTTTTGCTGATATGAAGTTCCCGTTTTTTGTGGGGGCAGAAAGCCTTTCGCAATACCGCACTTCTTTTTCCCTTTACCCTTAGCATTAGAATTCGCACTCTGCTGAATGTTCTTCTTCTTTGCTTTATAAGAGGGTTTTGTTTTGGATGGCTGCACTGAGCCATCTTCTTGCAGTTCAGCGTTGCGATTACCGAGTATAAATGGAAGTCCGGCCATCATGTTATCAGTCAGTTCCTTGCTGAAGTCTGCCTTGGTGCGACTATCTGTATCCTTAGGCCTGTGTTTGCGCCTTATCGCTTCCTGGGGCTCAATATCTTGATCATCCTTGCCTCGCTTGTTGGATGGACTAGGAAAAAATAGACCATCCACGCTTTCTACGTCTTCATTTCTCTCGTCGTTGTCAAGTTCTATCTGCAAAAGTCTCTGTCGTTCGTTATGCGCCTTTTCTGCTTGACCAAATTCGAAGTCATCTTCGAAAGTGTTTTTCCCTTTAGTACATTTCGTCCGATACGCCCTTCGCAAAACCATGAACGCTTGAGTTGCATCTTTGTCTTCAGTCATTCGTGTTTGTTGCTGCATCCAAGCATTCTCATCTGCTATCTCGATTGGCTCTTCTTCGTTGCCTTTAGCATTCCTTTGTGCTGCCGCGATATAGTATTTCTGCATCTGTCTCAATCTTGCGACATCTTCTGCAGTCCGTTGGCCTCGCGGATTCGCTCCACGAAGCATGGACTTAGTGAGTGTCGATCTGGTGTTTTCAGGGGCTTCGTCGTCAGACTCCAGTATCTGAACGACTCCATCGTCATCAACAATGCATTTGGGTGGAGGACCAAAAATGCCATGAGCCTCAGATTCAAGCGGCTCGCTCTTGATCGGCTTCTCTTGCCCATCTTCGATCACCAAACAGTCGCTCTTCTCTTGATCATCGATTTGAATGGTGGATTGAAGGTTATTTTGCTGGTTCAAAGCCCTAACACTTGCCCACAAGTCGTCAAAGTCCTCGTCATCGGAATCATCTAACTCTATGTGAGTTTCTTGAAGCGCTTTCCAAAGAAAGTTAGTGGGTATTCTTGGCTCCTGTAGACTCGCTTTTTCCTTTGTTCTATCTCTCGGCTTTCTTGGTATCTCTTCGATATCTTCATGGACTTCCTCTTTTATTCTGGGAGTTCCGGCTTGCTGAAAGCTATTCAAAGCATTTGATTCCTCACCAGGAGCATCAAGTAGGTCATCGATAGCAACAAGCTCGGCGGTGTCAAATCTAAAGGATTGACTGGGCTGAGTCCAACCGAGCTCAGGAAATGGAGCATTCGGCTCGCAAATCGGAGCATCTATCGGATCCGCTCGAAATGATGTTTCGTGTGGGCTAGTGGAGCGTGCCGATTCGGTGCCCATGATGGATGTGGTCTATGAGGGAATGTGTTGGTAGAGATTCGATAGCATTGTTTGCGTACCTGGAGCAGGTCTCGAACGCTTTGTCTGTATGCAGCCACTGTCAGGAGCCGATAATATAGCTCGAATGAGCTGTGATGAGTGTACAAGTTCTTGACAATCAAGATATTAGGAGGTGGGTTGAAGAAGTAGTTTAGGTCGTTGACGAAAGACGATGTAGATGATGAAAGAAAAGGCAAAGTATTGAAGTAGATGGTAGCAAAATCAAGCGTGGTAAAGAGTTGACTGGTGTTTAGTGAGGAGAAGATGGAAGTCTTGGCGCGAAATTTTTGGCGAACAAGTGATAACAGAAGTGAGGCGAACGTTGCAAATTCTTGGCAGAAGCAAATCTGCGCTCGCCACTGATTTGATGGGAGAGAAGACCTCTGGCTGGGGGTTTGTGCCGGTATAAACAAACTTGAAACGGACAATAATGCGAGAGACAGAGAGCAACGTACCAGATGGTTGAGGAGGTTGGATGGGGAGGATACTGTTGCTCAAAACCTTTGAGGAGCAGAAAATGCTGATGATCGGTGGCTAGCCGCAGTAAACAGTTTGGAACGTGTGTTGTATTAGCGAGGAAGCGAGATGAGTAAGTACCAAGTAGTGATGGTGACCAGAAAGCTCAAGAACGAGGTGTTCGTTGTAATGTAGAGGTTGGCTGAGGAAGGATGGAGACCCGCCGTCCGTCAATGCGTAATGCAATGAGTATGTAGCATGTGGACAGTTGGTGAACAAGATAGAAAATATCAGGGCGGTAGGGTGGTCAAAAGACGTCGATGAAGAAGTGTGTTCTGTAAGATAGAGGAAGTGCTTATTCGAAAGATCAAGAGCCGCCGTCCGTCAACGCAAGATGCGAAGAGTAGGTAGCAAACAGAGCCTTAGCGAGTCAGTACGACAAGTATTGAATGGTGCGGTGGCTAGAAGCCGTGAAGGACGAATTGGCTGGTGTTTAGTAGAAGTAGTAGGTTGAAGGAAGCTCAAGCGTTGACGTCGGTGAAAGCGTGGAGCCAAACAGGTGTGTGATGTAAAGTAGTAGAAGTCGACGCACCAAAGATAGATAGGCGCAGTAAGTTGTCCGTCGTAAGAAGCTGAGAAGGATGAGAGTGTGAATATGTCAAGAAGCTAGCCGGCGTTCCTACTTGATATGAGTAAGGTGAGCTGAGGTTGGCAAGAAAAGTTAATAATGTATGTTGGAGAGAATTTTCCGCGCCCGGGGATGAGAAGTCTGTCTCTCGGTCTCAGCCGTGTAGGAGAGATTGAAGTTGAGAACGCCAAGATAGGGAACTTGTGGACTTTCCCAGGTTGGCGCAATTGTCAAGAACTTGGAGGGCATTCGTACGGTCGAGCAGACATAGAAAGTGAAGGGTCTGAGGAGACTAGTCAAGAGGTTAGGAGGTACACCTGGTCACGGGATGCCCATTCTGACCATGGTTGGCAGTCGAGTGGCAGGCCGTCAGTGTCATCAGAGGAGAAAATATATGTTGTCTGTAGCTCACTGTCGTGACAATTGTACGAGGTTATGGTGGAGTTGGGGTAGCTAACGAGATGCCCATCTCAACCAGGCCCGACGGTTGAATGGAATCGTATCGATTCGATCAAGAACTGTCAGTTGAATGTCCACAGCTCAGCGCCGCTGGATCTGACATGGCGTACGGAGATGTCGAACCGGTGAGCCCAACGCCCACTTCAAGCACTCAACTGCAATCTCATCAGCATCAACCGCCGCAATGAAGCCGATGGTCTTACCTCTTCGACCCCATAACCGACAGAAAGTGGATGAATACCGACCCAGTCAATTCCTCACCCATCTCAGCCACACTCAAGCGCCCCCCTCTCTATCTTTCCGTCTCCAGTCATCGTCCTCCCAGACAGCACAACTGTACCCTCCCAAATATGGTAGCACAGATCCATATAGCTTCAGTTACCCTGATGGAAGGGCTGAGGCGGTGCCTCCTCGAGCGCCAAGAACACAGAAACCGTCAAAACAGCCGACCCCACCCCACGCTAGCGACATCCGGCTTAGCACCACGCAACGCAATGCACGCAACAATTCACAGCATGCACGTAACAACGCCCGACATTTCCCACTGCACGTGAAGGGGGAGAGGGGGGTGGTGATGTCAGTTTTTCTACTTGACCTCTGTATGATTCGTGACCTGTGCGACTTTAAGCGAAGACGCAGGGAAAGAGTCGAGGGTCGGGCGGGGTAGCTGGGAAGAGAGATGGTATGTCGCTTGCTTGCTTTGTTTGTTTTGTTTTAAACTTTGGTAAGCAGGAGGGGAAAGGGGAATTATACCGCGATATCACTGTGGTGGTATGAGTTTTGAGTGGGATGAGTGATGAGCAGGCGTGAGGTAGGGGGATGGAAAGATGGACCTCTCGTCACTGCCCTGCCATGGTTGTCTTCATTCGTGTGAAGTATAGTTGGTGGAGCGTTCGAGCTAGCTGCGTTAGAGATCATGCATAGCAACAGATTGGAGATCCGTATTTTGGATTAATTTTATTCTTTTCTTTTCTGAGTGAAAAACCACTATAGCCGCCCAAGCCAGGCCAGATTGCCGGCCAACTGACGCCATGCCATGCCCTCAATTTGACCCTAGCTGCGGCTGTATGGGAGAGAATCGCGAACGTGGTGTATGTACATTGCAAACGACTGTATGTACGAATGGCATTAGATTAGTGAATGTGTTTATGACCCCAGGGAGGCGTCTTGCGCCCAACACCGCGAGGCTGATGATCTATGCAGGGGAACCGTGGAATTCGTGATGGGGTATCTCTAGTCTGCGGCGGCAGGGAAGGGAGAGAATTATTAGAGATCGGAGGTAACGAGGTGAGAGTTTTCTTTCGTGGAGCTGTGGGGGATTAGCTAGGTTCTTGCGACGACTAAGACGAAGCACACCTTGGTCCTAATTGAAGATAACAGCTGCATGCGAGAGGTCTTGGACCTGGTGCTACTGGTCTGCACCATTGAAGCCGCACGTAGAGACGGCTTGGCGTCTAATTACTTGACGTTGATCGTGGCTGGATCATCTGTTCACTTTGTTAGCACGCTCTTGGTGGGTGCCGGAGCCAGGCTCACCCTCTGGATAAAACCATGCAGCTATAGCGATGATCATGTAGAGAATCATTAATAGCACACCCTCAAGCCTATCCAAGGTCAGCACCCCTCGTATAAGATCATGAGCAAGAAGAGCGATCAAAAACATACCAGTGGCTCTCTCCATCTTGGATCAGGTAGTTGACAAGCAGTATGCTTACGAAGAGCACCACAATTTGGAATCCATCGAATGCCAGGTTCATATCACTCTTGCCCATAATCCACCCAAGCACCACGGCGAATGGAATGACCAGCAGAGCGATCTGCATGCTACTACCCACAGCGACTCCGATAGCCAAATCCATCTTGTCCTTGATCGCGACCGTGACGGCGGTAGCATGCTCGGCTGCATTGCCGACAATGGGCAGGAGAATCAAACCGACAAACGTCCTCGACACGCTTCCGCCGTCCGTAATAGCGTTAATGCTCTTGACCATGTATTCCGCACACAGAGCGACCAATGCAGTTGAGATAGCAAGCGTTAGCAACGCGGTGAGCTTGCTTAGTTCTGGCTCCTCCTGCTCTCCTTCTGGCTCTTGCGCATGCTTTTCTTGAGAAATCTTCCCACCAGTCGAGTTTGCCATTCCAGCGCCAATTTGTGCGATGCCTTTTGATGCATCGCCACCCTCAACTTTCTTAGAGCGCTTCTCGACCTTTTGAGACGGTGCATTGTATATGGTCGTGTGTGTCTTCAGTTGGAAAAGCAGGTAGCAAGCATATACTACCAGGAGCAAGATGGCGGTACCGCGTGAGAGTTCGGCAATCCGCTCATTCTTTAATTCCTCTGCCAAAAAGGATCAGTGATGCCTGATTTAGAGGATTCATAGAAGGTACTCACGACTTCCGTCTGCAAAAGATTGGAAAGCTGCAGGAATAAGCAAGCTGCCTATTGCCAGGGCCAACAATGATGAAGCGGTCTGTGCGACGGTTACGTTAAAGTATTGATTGATTCTGTTGATACCGCCAAGGAAGAAGGACATTCCCATCACGAGTAGGAGATTGGATAGCATGCTGCCAATCAGTGATTCTTTCACGATATCAACTTGATTATCCACGAGAGCGAGGATGGAGACGATGAGCTCGACAGCATTTCTGTAGTCGACGTTAGAACGTTTCATAGCTTGGGAAGTGTTCAACTCACCCGAAGGTTGCATTCAGCAAGCCACCAAGAGTCTCTCCGACACGCAATGCTATCTCTTCAGTTGCGTAACTTAACATTCCGGCCAATGGTATAATAGCAATAAAATTGATGACGAATACGGCCACTTTGTCCACCCCAGCGTAGTTCACGGCAATGCCAACAGGTACAAATATAAGCAGGATATTGATGTATGAATTGAAAAGTGTGGCACGGATCTGGCTCTTGAAGGTGAATTTCTGAGCATCAGGCTTGAAGAAGGATGCCGAAGTCCGCTTAGACAACTTATCGTCCTCATCTTTTACGAAGCAAAGGAGTTTGGCTCGCTTTCGTCTTCGTGGCCGACCCTCGACTGGCCCGTCTGTAGATGTAATGGACTTTTCCAACGCAGATTCGTTTGTGCCAGTACCCGAATCTTGACTTGTTTCTGGCCGTTCCTCCAACTCGTCCGGGGTTTTCACAATTGGCGCAAAACTGGGCTCGGACATTTTTGTGGAGGTGGGAGATGACGAGGGCATGGTATTGGCGTGCTGAGGCTTTTCGATCCCTTTGCGATTGTTCGATTGTCGGTCCATCTCGATTGTAGGTGTCATGAAGTTTTCCGAGGCATTTGTATGCATGCGCCGAGCATTTTCTTCATCTCCATTGGTAATGGGTTTGCGGGGCTTGTGATGTTTGCCAAATGGATTGAAAGCGGCAGTATCATCCTCATCATCACAGTACCAGGCCTCGCGTCTTGCTCTTGTCTTGTAGCGATCTAGAAAATACATGAGTTGGATGGCCACCACACTGTGGAAGGCCAGGACTCACGCATTGCGACAGTACTCGGTCTGTTTCAGCCGGCGGGATTGCGCGTGTACTTGTAAGAGGATATCGTTCGAGGGCTTCAGTCAGCCTTGTGTGGTCACGAGGCTGAGGAATGTAGAAATACGCCCAATTTAATGGGGGAGGAGACAAGCACCAGCAAGGGAGCCTGGAAGCCGGAATTAGATTTGCGAGATCCTTCGGGGGCGGGTAGGTCAGCCGTAAGACCTGATGGGGATCTGAAGCGAATTTAGTGTCGCGAAAAGACACTGAAAAGCGAGAACTGAACTGCGGGAGATTGTGGGATGGCAGAAGATGGTGGAGAGATGATGGAATGCCTGAGGTGGATAAACAACAATGACGGGGGAGAAGCTCTCACGAAAGTTTGCTGTGGCGAAGAAATACCCTGCTTTCTCCTTGCCAAGGCTTTCCTCTTTCGCCTGGGGGGGGCAGCCACTCAATATTAAGATTTGAGCGGTCACTTGGCAGGTCTGAGGCAAGTTTGGGGCATCTGCGAGCATCATGGATCCTTTATGGGCCTTCTAATTGGCTTCGATAGCCCCTACTGGTGCTGCTAAAGGGCATGGCCGAATGAAACCGGCACGCCCTAAGGATGCCGCTAATGGCCCCGCTAAGGCCCTCTTGAGCCACCGCTAACAGCGCATCAGGAAATCGAACGGACTCAGCCACTCTCCGCAAAACCTGTAACTACCCATATGCACACATTGGGCATTCGCAGATGAGACAGATTGTCGAATGGGTACCTGCATCAAATACCCTGTTACAGATCGAATGCATCCTGCCAGAATGGGTCGCAATCAATCCTGCTCGTGCAAATTGCAATCTCGACGGGGGCAGTGAAGGAGACTCGTTAGCATGCTGACGCGGACAACACAGCGATTGGGCACTGACCAATCCAATGCGGTTCGAATACTCCGCTTCGAAGGCTAGAAATAGGCGGTAGAAGGCAGCGGTCGAGCATGCATAAATCCGCTGATCACGACGCTCCTTCAGACCATGGGAACCCATCGGATGATGCACTTGACCACGAATCGACAGCCACATTCAAATCATCATGCATTCTTTCAGTGCATGACAGCTCGTCTTCATCCAACGTGTTGGTCAACGAGAGCATCTTACCCAGCGGGATCGCGATACCGGGAGATTTGTTGCAAATCCGATATGTGCCATCAAGTGCTGATGGCCGAAACAGTCGCGATGCTGGAAAACTTCGGGGGACCTCAAGTGGTAACTATGGCAATACCTACCACTTCTTCGCTCAGTTTGCTACGTCGGAGCAGCTGCAAAAGCTGCCAAACTTACAGATCTCAATACCCAAGGCGCTTGCAGACTCGCTCCGAATGTCCAAGGGCTCGTCAGTCACGCTATCGAAAGCGGATGAAGTTACCTCTCGAGCATCTCACGTAGAATTGATCTTTCGAGATCAATACCTTGCCAGAGGGGATATGTGGCGACTCACCAACAGACTTCTCGCCGGCCAATGTATCTACGCTGGGCAGAAAATCGAGTTCATGGGTACAATTAGGGCAGTCATCAAAGCCATCTTCGTGGATGGTGCAAAAGTCACCTCAGCCGTGTTTCATCCATCCACCAAACCGATCTTTCGTAGCGAGTCCGCTCGTTACGTTCTTTTCATTCAGATGTCTCGAGAAATGTGGGAATTCGACACTACAGGCACGGGCGAAATCATGTTTGACAAAGTCGTCAATGGCTTTCTGCCGGAGCTGTTCAAAAGATGGAGAGATATGCAGGTTAGACATCTTGTCACCATTGTCCTTTTCACGAGACTGCAGTACGACAAGAGGCCTCTGACGAAGTCCGCAGATGGACTTGCCAAGAACGCGCAACAGCCCGATTTGGACGACGCGCATTCGAAAGATTACTACCGTATTGTAGCTACTGACGTGGCCAGTATTGAATCCGCAAACATCTTGGAACGCCTGAAACAGGAGTTCCAGACCTTTCTACCGGACGTACTGACTAAAGCACCAACATCAGCCGATTATGTACCCTTGGGCTCAGAAGGCCTACGAGCGGCCTCTGTAGAACTACCCGTCGACATAGTCTCGGGTAGACCTACCGTAGCCTCTCAGGGAAATATTCTCGAAGCCATAAACCTTGCCTCGTCCCAATTTTCCTCCGATTACATTGATCGGGACCTCATTAGGACTGGCGTCTCCATTGTTGTACTCTCTCCAGGACCTGGCCTCTTTGAAGTTGACTACAGATTACTGATTCATACGACAGAGAACCTGACGGATAACGGCGTTGGGATCGATCTTGTCTGCTTGTCACAAATGCCGTTGCATTCTGTGCCTCTTTTCAGATACTCCCAGCCTAGCGAAAATGACAGTCAGAGAGGCTCCGCGAATGCAAGCTTTGAGAGCACGCCGACACACAGCTATTCGAATACTATGAGCTTTGGCACCCCCGTATCGGATGTGGCCGGCATAAAAGAGGGCCACAAGACGCGAACAAGCAAGGGACAATGGCAATACGGAATCCCGCATTGGGTTGATGTCTCCTACTGGACCACCATAGCTTCTGATCCAACCTTCGCAGCAACTGCTCGATCAAAGCATCCAAAGTCGCGCGCGAAATATGCTTTGTTTCCACTCAAGGAGTTCAAGTCTCGAATACGGATGTATGAGCTACAGATGATGGGTATCACAGAGGACGCTTCCAGCAACATATCAATTCCATCTCTATCTAGACCTTCGCAATCAGTTTCCGCTACTAACGAAGACTCTGCGGTAAGTGGCAAGCCCGCCGAGGAAGAAACTTTGCCAAGGGCACTCTCATCGTCTATAAGTCGAGCCGAAGCCATACAAAGTGCGATGAAACCAAATAGGTCGCTTGCGTCATCTGAAGCTGGTATCTCTGAGGATATTGAAAATGGAGCAGAAATTGTTGACTGGATGGACACTTATGACAGCCTCGCTTTTCGTGATCATCGAATTAAGCAGAGCCCCCGAGTTCGTACGTCTCCAGTCGAGGTCAGACCGAAGAAGCGTAGTCTTCTAGCTGCATCCCACAGAGCTCAACATGTTCTAGGAACCAAGCATTTGTTGTCAAGTAGTGATTTCGCCCAGAATCTTAAAGTCAAAAATATTGCCTCATCGAGCATACCGAGTCGCAGCGGTGGAAACTCGAGTGTCACTCTAAGCAATAAAAGGTCTAAAGAGCAGCCGAATCCTCTAGCTCGCAACATCAGTTTTGGTCCCCAGGGCTTACGACTTGGCACCCCATCGGCCGCTGTCGCGATCGCAAGCGCGGATGTAGCCGTGGGTCGTGATATGAAGGCTAGGCATGGAAGACAGCAATCGCACCCTAAAGGCCATGCACACGGCTCGAATTCATTCTCGAGATCAGATGTAGTTGATCGGAATAGCAAATTAGATCAAGTGACATCAGAATCTGGAGATCCTTCAGCAAATATGCATGAGGACACCTCATCAGGAATGTCCGACCCGGACACTTCTAGACCAATACCAATTCGTAAAGATACAGGGCAAGTGAATAGAGATCGGAGGAGAAGCATCTCGTCAGATGAGGATACCCAGACACCACAGGATCGAGTCGCAATCCTCAAAGATGTACGAGTAAGAAAGTTTATCAGTCCAGATGGGGTTGCTATGAAATATGGCCCGGACCTCCCCACACTGTCCCCAAGTACAACTTTGGCTCCGTGGGTGACTGTCCTGAATCCCTGTAACCCATCAAAAGCTCTCATCCTACATGGAAATCGTCTTGGCCGGTGGCATCACATCTTCCCCCGGCCGCTCAAAGCGTCCCAGATCAAATGGAAATCCCTGTGTAGCCCTGCGGCCGTGCCGCTGACAACCGAAGACTTTCCCACCCCCGACGAAATGGTAGACGAATATAGGGAGAGGACTTATGTCATACCCCTACCAGCAGAGATGGACACCACTGATCAACCTCGCTCGTTGACTACTGAATTGGTGGCGTTTCGGCTGTCTCGAGGGTTTCAAGTAGTCGTGGGAGAAGTAATTGCGTCTAGTGCTCGCAATGGTGATACTCCATCATCTGTTAATATCTTCAAAGAAGACTCACTGGCATGGGAAGGCTCCATCATCTACATGTCACGAGGAGGTACAATCCATCGCCTTACACGAACAAAGCCCGACAGATTAGAGGTCAAGGTTTTTACGAGGCATAATGCTGCCATTCAGGACGGTGCACATCTACATTATACTCCTCGCATTCGCTCCATGCTGGCCGATGAGTATGAAGACCAGGCTATTCTCATGTCGCCTCAGGATGGAGGTTTCAATTGGGAATACATTGATGCTTTCATAGCCGGTTATGAGAGGCCTAAGGCAGAGAAGTATGTCGAGGGATTACGGCCTTGGCGAGCGCGCTTTGTATTGATACCGATGGAGAATCCAGCCGATTCTCGACGCACAAGTAAATCGAAAGGTCTCACAGAGGAAGAAATACGGCTTGAAGGCATCAAGAAACTTACACAGCTATGGCAGAAATGTCGGTACGTACTGCCAGAAGACAGGCAATATACAAAGACCGCGCGATTGAATGACGACGCGAACCCGCTGGATGTCAGATATTTCACCACAAACACCTCAGCTATCGTGCGCGAGGAACTGGATAACGCTGCTGGCGAGGACATGCATCTTTCACCTGTACAGCTACTCCCCGAAGCTGAGCTTCATCAGCGGTCTGGGCTCAACACCAAAACTTTGGTTGAAACACTTCAAGGTCCAAAGGGGGTTCGCATCGTTGACCGCAGGTGGCATTGGAAGTTGCATCATCACTGCCTCATCGGCTCCGAGCTGACAACGTGGCTTCTAGAAAGTTTCAAAGACATCAATAGCCGGGAAGAAGCTTGCGACTTTGGCAACGAGCTCATGAAAGATGGGCTGTTCCGACATGTTGAGAAACGACATGACTTTCGCGATGGACACTACTTCTATCAAATTGGAGATGACTACAGAGTCGCTCGGCCCGAATCAAGAGGTTTCTTCGGTTGGGCTAAAGCGCCTGTTCTTCAGACACCGTTTAAGGAAACCTCAACACAGCAGACGCCGCTTTCTGCGGTCGAAAGCTCTCCTGTCGAAGAGAAGACAAAGTCTGAGAAGAGGCAAGCCAAGGCTTCAGTGAGACATGGAAGACCAACTGTCGCCTTGGGGAAATCACTGGTTTACAATCTCACCCATAGCCGTCCAAAGACGTCGTACCGAGAGGAGTTGATGAACTTGCATTATGATCGATTACATAACCCTGACGCGTGCTACCATATTCGTATCGAATGGATGAACACGACATCAAAGCTCATACAAGATGCAGTCAATCATTGGGCGATGATCGTTGAAGCGTACGGCCTGCGCCTGATAGAAGTTCCGATTGGGGAGGCATCATCTATCAGAAGCATGCACCCGTTCCGTGCCCCTTACCTTATCAATCTTGCTCGAGCGCCACCGGCAAAACTGCCTTCAAATTACTTCGAGATCGAAAAGTCGACGGAGATCAAACGGTCAAAGAGCCAATTCTACCACCAAGCCATACTCAAGCGTTTCAATTACGTCCTTGATTTTGAAGCTGCCACAGACTTTCCACCCGACGTGGATGTAAGTTATTCTTGGGGCAAGCCAGACTATCGCTATCCCCAATACATCCACAGATCAGGCCTTCTTATCGCCCAGATAGATGATGACGGCAGCTTTCTAGTGCTCGCCAATCGCCTCTACAACAACAAGAGTGCAAGCGCACGGGCCAAGCCTAGTGGTGACCTCTCAGACCATCAACCCGAGCACAGTCCCCTGTCGCATCGTAATAAACCACTACGGACCGGTGATGGGCTAACGCGACGTGCATCACCGCAAAGCTCCCCATTTGTATCCCCAGCTTTGCGTGCATCGCTTGACATTCCAAGCAGCACTACACCAGCGAGTCGGAGTCGGTCAGCCAATACTACGAAGTCACCTACAGCTCACAATAGCGTCAGTAGCGCTTCTTCTGTCGTCGATCCAGAACGACTTACTCGAGAATTTCAAGACTTCTGCAGTAATGTTGAAGCCTTGGACGCTTTCTATGCAGAACAACAAAGCAGAACGACTACACCTGGCTCCACGCCATTCATGCAAAGCAGCAGGACGCCTAGCCGCGGCCCACAAACGCCAGTCGAAGAAGGTTATATCCCGGATCTGACATTACCTGGCAGCCTGAATGAGAGGGGGGGATGTTCGATAGGGAGAGAAAAGCGTCTTCCACATCTGGAGGCAGTCGGGCCAGGAGTGGTAGCCCAAGATCTAGAAAGGTGGAAAGAAAAGTTAGCATTGAGAGGAGTCCGCTGAGCAACGCCCAAGAATAGCATGATATAGAATTCTTCTCAAAGCTCTCCCCATTCAGACCTCTACTGCTAGATCAGCAATATGACATGGACAATTGGGGCGGCGGACTGCGGCTACCCGAAAGAGTTAGGCGGTAGGGCTAGAGAATTGGAATATCGCCAACCTCTCTGACCGCTTTTCTAATTATCCGCTTCATATCTCAACATTGTTGCCCGATTCAGACGCCTTAAAGTATCTGATCTTCTGTTTGATCCTACCAGCGCGTTCTCTGTCCGTGCTGAGCTCAATTGCTCTCGCTTGAGGTTCCAGCACCCCCTATGCATCGCCCGCAGCACTCGGGGCTTCATCCGAAGGGCAATAACATGGCCGGGAAAGGAGCAAGGGCTCCTTTGGCCCGGTCACATCATTCCTAACATGACTTATGCTTGCTGACCATCTCTTCCAATGTTGGGTCCCGTGTCAGGCTTGGGACGCCTTTTCAACCCAGCCTCCACCTCTTCATCCTCTCAAAACCTCAGAATTCACGGCCTGTACTATTCAATCGCCGAGGAGAGCGTTACATACGACCTGTTGTATCCACACATTAATTCACTCCAAGAAAACAAGCACCATACCTACCCAATAGACCAAGCAGAACCCCACCTTGTCGCATCGGCCGCCAAAAGCGCAGATGACGCAGGTGGGTTGGAATTACAAGCTTCAACAGACGTCAGACTCCTGGTTGCACAGAAAGTCAACGACTTTCACCGCGTACTCTTCGATACGCATCCTCCAAGCCCTTTCTCCGTGACCCGAGCAAGTCCGCCTCCCACTTCCGAAGGCAATGGCCACTTGAAAGAGGGTAGGGCCTTCGGAGGCCTAGGAAATTCGACTCGGGCGCAAAAAGCTCGAACAGCCCCACATAGCCGCCAGGCATCACAGTCGCAGACTCAGCCAAGCAATCCCTCCGCTGAGCCTGGGCTGTTTTCCAGCATCGGATACACAAATTTCTCTGGTAGCTCAGAGTCTCGGGGTGGTACAGCAAGACCAACTACAAGCGATGGAGAGAATACGCAAACGAAGGTCGCAAGAGAAGAACGAGAAGAGACGGAAGATATCTTGGCTTGTATGTTTGGAGCTCCAGGGTTCTACACCCCGGCCTCTACAAAGATCCATGTCAAACCCTACACACCTCGCACCCCTCCATTCAGCAGACCAGGCAGCCCAGAGAGCAAGCGATTCGTCAGTCCTGGCCGGCCAAAATCCTCTTTGCTTCGTTCAAGCACGAGTGAGAATATCTCAAGCTTGCCACCGATGTTGAGGATTAGCGAGGGTCAATTATCACGTCGAATGAGCGCTTACGTCCTTGTTACCAAACTTTTCACCATTGATCTTGCCAGTGATATTCGTCAGTGGCTAAATGACCCAGATCAATCTCCAGGCAAGGCTCGGCGGCTTTCTCATGCAGAGTCTGCTCGGCACACCAGTCATCCAAGGCAGGCAAAAAAGCTTGTTTTCGCAGTTGCTACAGTCTTATATCTCCCTTTTGCGCAGCACATGAGCCCCTTTCTCTCGGCAAAGAACTCAAAAACAGCTGACGGTCGCCTGCACGAAGACAGAGTGCCGCCTTATGATCGGAGCCAAATCCCCGAGAGAGCGGAGGACTACCTAGACAGTCGCATTGATCAATTACTGGATCGCTCGGGCTGCATTCTTCGCGCTCTCACATCGTTCGAAGATATTGTCCATGCGCAAGTGAAGAGCCTTCTACTAGATCAATTTCAAGAAGCGTCTACCTATCCTCGCCGAACACTTCAATTGAATGCTTCCGCATTACAGGACTCTAGAATCCTTCAAAAGACGGCAAATGTTCAGTGCAAGAGAATGGCACTTGCCCTCAGAATCCGCTCAGTTACCACGGGCCAAGCTCGTTGGGCACTTTGGCGAGGCGTAACGCGTAGCGTCAGTCACTTCTCCTCAGGTCATGAAATAAGCCCTTTCTTTCTCAACATGCTCACAGCATTCCTTGCATGTCACACGGGCTGGCTCTCTTCTTCAGCTTCACATTGGTATAGACATGTCTATAAACAACAACATCGAACCTGTACGAAGGCGGCGGAAGAATTGCCGTGTAGGACGGTGATAGTCTCATTGGACAAAATGGCAGCTCGGCGCATGGTGTTTCTATTGGCTGCCTTTTTGCCTCGCAACGTCTCGATACCACTCCATCAGGTTGACGAAGAGTTGAGCACATCCATGAATCGCGAACGGCGCTCTCACTCGTACGAACTCCGCGATTCTCATTTCCACCGACTGTCCCCTCGAAAGACGCCACAAGACCGAGTGGCACCATTCTCTGGGGTCGATTTAGATGCCTCCCGGACGACGTTGACCGAAGCCGACCAAAGTCCAATGAAGCCTAAGCATGCGCGGCGACCATCCGATGCTGGCTCAATCCGTAGCCTTGCCTTGCCTATCATTGCTACAGGAACCCGTAAGAGCAGCAGTACCACGACCTCAACGATCATGCCCGGTATCGAGCATCCTGTCCCTCGATTTTCTACAGCAAGCCCTGATTTGACGGAGATGCGACCTGAGAGCAGTGGTAGCTTGGCCGCAGTTTCGCTCCAAAGAACCCTTTCACGGTCCGACAGCAACGAGATGAGCAATTTTAGCCCTAGCTCACAAGGCAAGGATTGGTGGGGTAGCGTACGCAACGGGTTTTGGGGCAGTAGACGTGGCTCCTCAACGGAGAACAGCGAGGTCATGACCTCCTCGGGAGAAGGCTTAGGTATCAAAGGATCTCAACTATCAAGACCAGCCATTGGCAAGCTCGAAAGGATGGTGGAAGATGCGCAGCTCAATGGATCTCGTGGTGAAACGAGTGTGCTGAAAGGCGAAGGACCCGAGTCATCTCCGGGGATTACGAACGAGATCACAACACCGAGAGTTATATCGAGAACGATGGTACCCGAGCCTGAGCCCTTGACTCTCTCTTTCGACAAAGACGACGGAGTCATTGACGTTCAATATTCGCCCTCATCTCATTCAATACCATCGGCGTCGCCTTACAGTAGCTTCAACAGTGACTTGTCTCAAGAATCGCATACGCCGCGGCTTTCTGCTTCGCCGCCACGGAAACAAGCCTCATCAAACAATACTGCAGGCTGGCTCCGCTCCTTTCACCCTGATTTCGCCCTCCAAGCAGTCCGCCCTCACACTGCCTTGAAACAAGACATCAAGGCAGCAATGCGGGATGAGCCTGTTTCTGTTGCATTGACACCACACCCCACTGTTGTGGACGGCTGGATACCTGTAGCCACAACCATCATCGCTGACTCGGCTACCTCAACAGTAACCCGACTGACCCTCCGCCGCCGCAGCCCCAATCATTCACGCCCACACGATGCTCCTTCCACATATGACTCATCCGAAGAGTCTTTCACCGAAGAACCAATCTTACACCCCGAACCCCATCTCACCGACGCAATCGAGAGAATCCTCGCCCACCCTTCCTACAGCTCATCCCGCGCACCTTCACCACCGCGTCGATCGACTCCACCTCGTTCTACACCAAACCCTTATCTGACAAGCAACCACAACCCGGACCCACCGTCAGACTTATCGCGTAATGCCGAAACTAGAGAAACTATCCTTGGTGCTTTGGCTAGGATCGCTAAAGAAGTCGCTGGAGAGCTGGACCACGAGAGCCGTCACGATGATGGTGAGGGGGAAACCAGAGCCAGTAGGGAGGAGGGTAGTGTGCTGAGAGAGGGAGTGAGAGAGTGGATGAGGGATGTGAGGAATAAAGAGGCAGATGCATGATCTGGACGGGGGGAGGTAGCTGGCGTGCGTGCATATCGCACAGATAGTCGAGGCGGGGTAGGGGAGGTGGAGGGACTGAGCACGGCTTATGATGTTGTTTATTGTCCTGCCACTGATGTTGTACGAAATGATACCCATACCCATACCAAACAATGCATAAAGAGCATAGCGTAGCGTAGCTATAGTAATGAGTAATGAATTCATCCATCATATCTAACCCCCTCCCCCTTTCCCTCCTCGTTCTCCCCCGTCCTGATCATGACTCACCAGACCCCCCTTCACCCTAAAAGCACATCCCTAACCCTCTCAACATCCCCCTTCGCCCTCTTTATATCACCCCACTCAACTCCCATCATCCCCTCATCTCCCGTGATAATGTATATCGCGTCTGCGGCTGCGTTACGTATCTAGAACTCGGGGTGGGTGTCAGTGAATATGGATTGGGGGAGGAGGGGGTTGGTGTGATGTGGAGGGAGAAAGGGGAGGAAAGGAGGGGCAAGGCGGAAGGAGGAAGGGTAAAAGGAGCGCTAAGAAGAGATAGGGGGAAGGAATGGTGCAGAACGGAAGATGAGTGGCACGGGATGCTATAAGGGGAGGGAGGGAAGAGCGAAACTGTGGCAGGGCAAGAACATGGAGTAGCCGTCTCCACGCGAGACAAACGTGTAAAAGTAAAGGTGTAGTATAGACCAAGGAGAAGGGAAAGGGGGGAAGTACGTACCGTGGCGAAAGGACACACCAGCATCCCTAGCAATCTCTGCCTGCCCAACTTCTTTACTTCCTCCACTTTATCTGCCATGCCCTCCTTCTGAACTCTCCCCTTACCCTCCTCTTCCCCAATCTCAACTCTCCTATCTGTCTGCGCTCTAGCTTTTCCCATCCAGGCGCTGGCGGAATCGGCGCTAGTGCTGGAGGCGGGAGTAGAGTTGGAGGCGGGGGTAGGGAGGAGGTAGGAGGAAAGGGAAGCGAATGCGGCGTACACCTCCACCGCGGCCCCCAATTTCCTGAGGTCGTGGGATTGGTAGTGCGATTTTGTTACTGCTGCGAAGAGGGACTTTAGCGTGAATGCCGGCTTCACACTCTTCAGTTCCTTTTTCCCCGCCCCGTCTTCTTGGGTGTGGTGGTCGTGCTGCGCCTGCGGGTTGGATGGTGCAGGTAGGGACGGTGTAGGGGTGGTGGGAGGAGTTGTCGATATGGGGGGGCTGGAGGGGCTGGGGAGGGAGGGAGGGAGGTAGGGGAAGAGGGACGGCAAGAAGCCCGCGGAGACGATGTGGGCGAGGAGGAGGAGGGCTTGCGTGCGTGTGCGGTCGGCGGCGCGTTGGTCGGGGTTGGGGTCAGGGCTGGGGGAGAGGAGGGTGTAGATGCCGTTGAGAATTTGGATGAGACTGTCAGGGGATTTGCGAGAGGGCGGGGGATTGGTGATGTGTGATGCTAAGGCAGATAGGGCGGGAGTGGAGAGAGTGGAGGTGGTTGTGGAGGTGAGGAAGGAAGTCAGGATTGGGAGGGTGAGTTGAGGATGAGAAGGAGTGTAGGAGGAGAAGATGGTGAGGAAGAGGCGGAAGTGAGCGGGGCTTGTCGTTGGGTCCGTGCTGGATGTGGAGGGACTGAGAGGGGGAAGTCAGTTGTGCGCATGGAATAGATGATATGGGACGTTGGTGATGCTGTGAGTGTCGACTTACGGATATGTGAAGCTGAAGAGACCGAATGCCTGCCAGTTTCGACGAAGGCAGGATGTTGCTTCGACGCGGATTTTGTCGTAGTATTCGACGGCGAGAGCGCAGAGGAGGATGATCAGGCGTTGTCGGGCTTGTGAGTCGAGCAGATTGTCTGAGGGGGTCTGAAGGAGGAGCTCGGTGGCGGTAATGGCTTCGAGGCGGACGCTGGAGCCGACGTCACGGCTCTGGTGGTCGATCGAGAAGTCAGTGAGGGAGTTCTCGATAGCGCTGAAGAGTGCAGCGTTGGTTACTGGCAATGTTAGTGAGGTTGAATTAGGGGTGAAGGGGCTTACTGTTGCATTTGATAGGTCCCTCTGTTGCAGCGCGGAGGGCTGCACACCTGATCTCTTCCCAAGGTTCGCTGAGAAGCTGGTTGATCATATTCAAAGTAGCGTTCCGGCAGTCAATATAGCTCACGACACTTTGACGACTTGGGGCCTCGAAGAGATGAAACATTAGACCTATTGACTCGGTGAGACAAATGACCTTTTGAAGTTTGCGAGCTTCAGGGTTTCCGAGATATTGCAGCCATCTGTGAACCGTGTTCTGCAGCAATCCCGATGATGCAAGGCAGAGTAAGGCGTGAAGAGCCCCTGCACATACCCTTTGAACGGCTGAGTCTGATGAGAGAAGGCACCTTTCGACGTCCCTGATTTGTTCCTTGACCTCTTCTTCACTCGGTAAGGGTATGTAGAAGGGCAGATTGCGATGGCTGTAGCCTGCAATTGACGCAAATGACTGTACAAAAAGACATACAGCTTCTTGCATGCTACCAGAATCTGCTCCTGAAGACAAAGCGCCTTCCCCTTGTAGACTCTTTAAGGCAGCTATAGGTATTTTCCAGTCCATTGGGAGACTTCCACTCGCAACGGCATCCGAGGTTCGTGCCTCTATTCTCGTACGATCCTTGCTGAGAATGTCATGCATCCTACGGTCATTGTCATGACTTTGCCACATTCCGTGAATTGTGTCCAGCATTGCACCCAGTGCCATGAGGAGGCTAGAGTGCAGCACGGCTTCTCCATTGGAAGCAGCATACGCAGCCTGCCAAAAGAACGTGAACTGATTGAAGGTATTTAAAGAGGCTACGCTCAGATATCCTATACTTTGAGCAGCGAGGCGGCGGTCAGCGACATCACGGCTTTGAAAACCTCTCCAGCCTTTCAGACCCAAAAACAGAAGTAGCGCTGTCTGATCATCGTTCAAAAGACGCAAGACTTCAGAGGCGACCTTGAGCATCGCGTTAGTTCGGGATGCAACCGCGTAATAGTCGACAATCCGGACTAATCCGAGCCCTTCTTTGATCTTGTTTGGGTGCCTACCAACCATCTCCTGTAGTGCGGCTGAAGCTCCCCGGCGGATATTACCTGCTGGATCGAAACATGCGAGGGAGACTAGTTGAAATGATAGGTCATGCATGAATGAATGATCAGGAGAGAATGTCTCGTTCGTTTTGTATTTTCTCGAAAGCGCCCAGACTGAGAAGATTGCCGCGTCCCGAACATTCTCACCTACCCTAGCTCCCTGTATGTTCTGCTGATTAAAGCTCATGGCTTTAGTGAGGACGGAAGCGATACGTGAGAGAGAAGTCACAGGAACAGCGCGGCGAAACAGCAAGTGTGCGATAGCAAGGACGTATCCATGCCAAAGATTAGCATTTGACATTTGGTAGTCGATGTCTGGGGTTTCAATCGCAAGTTGAACTTTCGGAGGTAGATATTGTTCGTCTGAGGTAGCATTTTGATGCGTAAGAGGAGTTTTCTTGTACTGCTGATCGTGTGCTGAAATAGAGGATTGATCGATCTCATTGAAGTCTTCTGAGAGATCTGACAGTATTTGATCCAACACCTCCTCCGCAAGATCCTGTCCGATCTGCGAAGAAACGACTCCAAGTGCCTTACTTGCTTTGAAGCGAACCGTTGTGCTCTCATCGGCAAGCATGGATAGCAGGAAAGAAATGACCGCTTGCAGGATGTCTTCTTGATCGCCCCATCGAATTGGATATGCTACAGAACCAAGCTCTCGATAAAGCTTGACGGTAAGAGCACCAATACCGCCGGTGGCAAACAAGGCTGATTGACATTGCTCATCGTTCAGAGTCGTCTGCGCTAGTTTCCAAACAGACGAAAAATTGCATATCAAAGTTCTCTCGTCCGCCGTCTTGAGAAAATCTCCCATGAAAGAAAGCGCTGAATGGGCGAAGAAAACGTCGCTCGTTTGAGCCAAATCAACCTCCTCGACTAAGCTCACAGTCCATGGGATCATCCACTGGTCGAGATTTGCACGCGACATATCTGTCCTGAGCGTCAGCCGTAAGAGAAGCTTCACTGCAGGTCCTCGCTCCGGTCCAGCTTTATCGAGGAAGAATGTGGCGGTTTGGATCAGCCGCCTAGAGATTGCAGGTAAAGAACGCGGGACGGGCATGAGAAGCGGTGGCATTGTCAATTCGTCTCCAAACTCTTCCGGAAAGACGTTGGTGAGATCGTTTGGAACAAGCAACAAATGACACAACCAGATGAGCATAACGTATCGCTCTTGCCATGTACATATGTCTTCGTCAAAAGGGATGGGTCCTCGTGACTTGGTAATCCAAGGATTCCAGAGAAGAAAAGCTTCGAACATGGGTTCTAAGTATCGAGGCTCATTATGAAGCAACTGAGTGATGATATTTTGGCCGCGAACCTTACAGAAAGTATAGAGAATGTAGCAGACTGCTCTTGGCAGCGGCAGCACGTCCTCTTTACGACGCCCAGCATCCTGCAAATACCTGTGCTTGTGGATTTCCAAATACTCAACGAAGGCGTCGGAAACTTCTCCGATGAACGCCTTGAGCTTTCGATCAAGAAGCTGTGGAAGTTCTTGAAAATAATCAATCTATTGTTGTCAGAATATCTACCTACTCGAGAGGAATACCTACCGCTACTGTTATACGGTCAACCGCGCGCCGTCGTACCAATGTGTGGACTTTTCGAGTCTTGGAAGAGTGGAGAATGCCTTTGATTCCATGCTCGATGGCAGCTAATCTATCAGTTGAATGACGTTGGACTTCGACATCTCTCTCCCCCTCGACTTTGTCCTCCGGCATGGTCCTGCAATTGGAAGAGAAGGCTGATCAAGACCAGACGATAAGTCCTGGTCGTCAGAGTACTCATGACCAAGTGCAATTACAAGATTTAAGAGCTTTAGCCTTCATTGTACGGTAAAAGGGTAGTATATCGACCAATTCGATATTTCGCTGCGGGACACATGACTGACGCGTGCTGATTGGCTGACCCGGAAGAACTGTTCTGCCGGAGGGCAAGAAACGCCATGACATGTTATCGCAACTTCTTGTATCACAGCTGACTCGTTATCGGCGCTCAGGGTCACTTCTGATGCAATGAGGATGACGACGGGAGGCCTTGATACAGCTATAAACATGTCAAGTCGTCGTGTTACCGGTGGCTGAGCCACTACCGGAGGTAAAAAGACCCAATCGTCCTTCTTCAGGGTCCAGCTCGATATCAAAAGACATTTCCGAGGAGATGGCGACCGAAACGAAAACCGAAGAATCTGACTTCTCCACCCCGCAGGATCTTGGAAGCCCGGACCACCTCACCCCAAAGTCCAACACCAAAACCAAGTCGCAATCGCGAAATGAGGACAAATCTTCTGATGGAGGTAATTCCGTCAAACGGAGATGTGTGAGCACGGCTTGCATAGCATGTAGGAAACGCAAATCAAAGGTCCGTTCCCCTGAGCAGCTAATCTCCTAGCAAGGAAATTGGCTGACATGAGCTCCTTATCAATAGTGTGATGGAAACACTCCAAGCTGCGCAGCCTGCTCCTCCGTCTATGGCACCGAATGCATCTACGACCCTAATTCAGACCATCGCCGGAAAGGTGTCTACAAAAAAGATATTGACAATCTCAAGACGCGGAATTCTACCCTTCAGACCTTGATCCAAGCCATCCTCAATTTCCCTGAAAATGAAGTCCCAGACCTAGTCAAGCAGATTCGGACGTGCGAGAGTTTGGATGATGTGGCAGAGTCTATTATAGCAAGGAACAATGCCCTCGGTGCGGATGATGAAGATGTCGATGGCGCGACCCCAGAGATCGGGACTCCTTCTGTGGTGCCACGATTCGAGAAAGAGCTTTCGGGAAAGATGGGCAAAATGCGGTTGGAGAATGGCTCCGTCAGTATCATTGGAGGCACATCGAATCTCATCTTTATCGGCGACAATGGCGAGCTAGATGATGGAACAAGCTCGATGGATGAAGAACCGTACATGAGACTTCAACAAGAGCCCGCCACATCTTGGACCACCGTCACAAATGATGCACAGCTGGTCATGCACCTCATGAATATGTACTTCACTTGGCACTACACTTACTTCACAACCTTGTCAAGGGACCTGTTTTGGAGCGAGTTTAAGCAAGGAAAGCCAGCAAAAGATGCCAAGCGGAGGACGGAACACTGTACCGAGCTTCTAGTCAACGCAATGCTAGCTCTCGGCTGTCATTTCACCTCATGGTCTGCCGCGCGGGCAGTCCCTGATGATTCGGCGACTGCTGGCGATCATTTCTTCCAAGAAGCAAAGAGGCTCATCCTACAAAATGATGAGCATGAAAAGCCAAGGCTGGCGACCGTTCAAGCTCTTGCACTCATGTCAGTACGTGAAGCAGGGTGCGGGCGTGAGGCTCGCGGCTGGGGTTATAGTGGTATGAGCTTCAGAATGGCTTACGATCTCGGCTTGAATATTGACTCGGGTTCTGACAATCTCGATGAATCGGAGGTCGATGCAAGAAGGATTACCATTTGGGGTTGCTTCTTATTTGACAAGTGAGTGTAGTATCTCTGTGTAGCTGCTGGGCTAATGGTACAGATGTTGGTCAAATTATCTCGGCCGACAACCACAGATTCCACAGTCCGGCATCGCTGCGCCCAAGTTCGATGTCTTCCCAACCGAGGATGCCGAAATGTGGCGTTCTTATTCAGATGGCGGAGTCGAGCAATCCAACGTTCAGCCAGCTCGTACTCGCGCGGTTGCTCTGCAAATATCGCAACTCTGTGAAATCAGCAGTGATTTGCTACTCTACTTTTATCATCCACATCTACTAGAGAAGCCTCTCGGCAAGCAAGCGGAACTGAAGAAGCTTAGTGAGCTGCACACAAGGCTTGAAGCATGGCGCAAGAACTTGCCGAAGGAGATGGAGCCTAAAGAGGGTCAGCTGCCTAACGTGCTCGTCATGCAGTGAGTCAAAATCATTCCTCTGTCATTGCTGGTCTGACGATTTCATTAGTATGTTCTTCCAACTTCTCTTCATCCACCTGTTCCGACCATTCTTAAAGTACAAGCAAGCCAACTCTCCCCTCCCGAGTCATGTCTCGCCTCGCAAATTCATCACCCACTCTGCTGCCACGATTTCGAAGCTGCTGCGACTCTACCGCAGAACATACGGTCTCCGCCAGATATGCAACATAGTTGTCTACATTGCCCATACTGCGTGTACAGTCCATCTACTCAACCTTCCTGATAAGACAGCGCAACGAGATATTCAGCACGGCTTGAATCATCTCGAGGAGATCTCAGAAGGCTGGATCTGTGCTCGTCGGACTCTCAGCATCCTTCACTTGGTCACCAGACGATGGCAAATCGAGTTGCCTGAAGCAGCAACAAAGGCTTTCATGCGCGCTGAAGCCAAATATGGCAGCATACGGACACCTGACCACGAACTCGATCTAAAGCTCGAAGAGCGTCAAACTATTTCTCCTCCGATGATGCAGGCCATGCAACCGCCTCCGCCGATGCCTCAGCAACCTAGCCACATTCCTCCTATGTCTCAAGCCCCTCCAAGCTTTTTCCCGCCTGCTCAGCCTCTCACTCAATCTCCCAATGCTAGATCGCAGCGATTGCCAAGCGGCGAATCCATGGCGCTTCCCCCACGAAGCTCTGCAGAGCTTGCTACCATGCCACGCCAACAGAACTACGTCATGCCAGGCGGACAGCAGCCGCCAACCTGGAATAATCAGCTACCACCCGGTACCTCTCCACAAGGACAACCCGCTGTCTCGAGTCCGACGGCTCTCTTTGGTGGTGTACATGGCCTCATGGCTGACCAGGAGTGGTGGCTTCGCGATTCGCAACAATTCTACACCAACTGGAACAGTGGAATGGATCCCAATGCAAATGGCTTCAACGGACCGAGAGTCAGCAGTAGTGGACCTAATAGACCGATGCCTGGGTACGACTTCGGGAACATAGGCGGCCCTAATGACGGGTATGGAAATTACTGAAATTGGACTATATCTGTGGCTTGTTGATGGTTGATGAGATACGTGTGAGTAATGGGAGATGAGATATATACTTGGACATGTGGAATGGTAACAAGAGACGTGAGTGGTATGATTGTAAAAGTCTGTGGCTGGGCTGGGCTAGGTATGTAAGGAATGAGCTATGAAGTAATGACTTACAGCTATCAAATCAGTATGTGAGCGTTCACATGGGTAATCGCCATCTAGAAGTACATAGGCAATACCCCTTTCTTTTCTCATTGGCATAATTTCAAGCCTCATTACTTCAAAAGGCGCTTCACCTCATAAATACATTCTTATACCTTCCATCCCCTACCAACAAGTACCAATGGCGGTCTCATCCCTAACCCTCCCTCCCGAAGTCCGTCATAGCATCCACTACCATCTCCTAAAATCCGATTCCAAATACGTTGTACCACAACTCCCCACTTGTCCACCACCACCCTCGCAACCCCCGCTCCACATACACAAAGAAATGCAGAGCCAACGACACCCTTACAATCTACCCATCCCCCTCCTCCGCGTAAGCAAACTCATCTCCACAAAAGCCACACGCGTCCTCTACAACCGCAACGGCTTCTCCCTCGACCCCCATCTTCAACAACCCCACCCATCCTTCTTCTACGCTGACCTCGTGAGACTAAGAACTACGGGAAAAAGTCCTATTGCTTGGCGGTGAGCTTTTTCACAGATAGGATATTTGCGAGCATGTCTAAATAAATGCTGCGGGTTTCCTCTCCCGGCGTCGATCTACTGCGAGATGAGATTGAAACTCCGGCCGGCTCCGCACCTTTTGACTTCGAGAGCTGGTGTTCACGCACGTGGGTGTTGGACGGGTTTAGGGTTTATGTTGAGGGTTTGGCTGATGAGATGGGGGATAGGACTGTTAGGATGTATATGCGCGATTGCGAGGCGGAGGGTTGGGGTTGTGAGATTGTTCCCGAGAAGGAAGGGGTGGGGGTTTTGGATTTTGATGGGGGTGATGGTGGTGGTGACTGGGATTTGGATGAATATGATGGTGACTGGATTCTGGTAAAATCATCCGAAATCTTGTTGTGGGATTTAGACAGCGAGGAAATGGAGGACGGAGAAGATGGTGAGTCAGGGGAGAGGGATGAGGAGCATGAGGTTGACGCTGAGGAAGATGCTTGGGAACGGGAGGTGAGAAGGCCGGTTAAAGGATGGAGAACGCGCTTGAGGATAGGAGATTGATGTCTTCAACAGATACTCTTGGAATAATCGAACCAAATTCTCTTTAGCAATAAGCTGACCGCGCCGTCACTCAACTCTAATCAATCCTACTAATGCATCTCAAACGCCTACAAGTCATAATGTTCATTCATACGTCTGGTTTCCTGAGTACCGGCGCTCTATACTCCTCAGGATCCGAGTCCCCGTCCGAATCTTGGAATTCAGACTCTTCTTCCGACGATTCCTTTTCCGTTTCTGACACGTATTCCTCTGGTTCCTCCTCTTCTTCTTCCTGTTCGTCTTCTCCATCTTCTGGGTCTTCTCCTTCTGGCTGTTCATCTTCTGGGTCTTCTCCTTCTGGCCGTTCATCTTCTGGGTCTTCTCCTTCTGGCCGTTCATCTTCTGGGTCTTCTCCTTCTGGCCGTTCATCTTCTGGGTCTTCTCCTTCTGGTTGTTCATCTTCTGGGTCTTCTACTTCTGGCTGTTCATCTCCTGGCTCTTGTTCCGGTTCCCCCTGCTGCGACTCCCCATTCTTAGAGCCTGGAGGTTCGGTACCTTCCCGTTCTGAATCTTCCCGTTCCGGTGTATCTTGTTTAGATCGCTCATCTTTGGACCCCTCCCGTTCTAAATTGTTGTCTTGCGGTCCCTGCTCTGATTCTTGCGCCGGTCCTTCCATCATCAACCAGAACTGATCCGAAAGGCTGGTTACTGGAAAAGGGCCCCAAAGCTTCGAGAAATGGTATTGTCCGTCTTGAAGAATGATCTCTTGAATCAGGTCTATCTCCTTCATTACTTGAATTCTCACGATAAGCCGCTCCATACCAGGATATGATTTTCGCGTTCCTGCGCTATTGCAAGGCAGGACAGTCAAGAAGACACGTGGAGTCTTGTGAGAATCAAGGAGCGCAGCCAATTCATCCATTGTCTCGTCCTCATAGGAATGTCCTTGAGAGATTGCTTTCCTTTGGATGTATTCGAATTCTCTGCAGAGGGCTCTGCGAGGCCGGAATGCGCTCATGGTGTGCCGTGAAAGGGGATTGAGATCCCTGGAAATCAGTACGATGTAGAGATATTACTTGCTAGGCGTCTTGAAAGAGATTCAGGACAGTCCAGTATCTCCAGTTGTAGCATCAGATGTTCGGCTGCGGAAGGCAAAAGATACCAGTGAATGATGCGACGGTCTCCAAGAAGAATGATTAGTTGAGATGTCACAATCATGTACAATGATGGCAAAAGAGTTACTTCTACAGGATGAAGAAGATGCTCTGCAAAAGAGAGGGGTCGTGACACACCACAAGTGTCGACACTTCACCCTCTACGAAATGCAATATCAGACTTCAATCAAGTAATGCCAGAATGCTGATGACTTTCAAATGCTAGTGAAAAAGCAACCAGACTTTTAAGAATGCCTATTTCCCACGTCGTGGTGGCTGCCCCAACAACAATTCACGGAAGGAGCTGCTCGTCCAGATACTCCTCCAAAACCCTTTCATTCACAAACACACTCTGCACCTTTCCCGAATCCCCATCCCCTTCCCCATCCGCGTTCCTATCCCCATTTCCCCCTTCACAAAACCCATAAGAAAACAAAAACGCCCTCACAGTCCCTAAATTCAGCTTCCCCTGACACGCCAAATTGAACAACTCAATCGCCTGCACATACGCCCCCTTAAACCCCCTCTCTTCCGTTCCAGCCGGTACAGCCGGGTCGATACCGAGCATCACAGCCCACGCGTTGAGGATGGTGTGGATGCCGCAGGCGTTGCTGCCGCGGACCTGGTGCGCGACGTTTGCGGTGTGGTGATGGATGGAGAAGTCTGAGGAGGGGGAGGGGGGAGGGAGCCAGTGGGAGGTGGTCATGATGTTTGAGGCGGCGGTGTGAAGCTGGTGGGAGTCTTGGATGGTGGGGGACGGGGAGGGGGAGGGGGAGGAGTCGTAGTACGTTATAGCTACTGAGCGGTTGATGGGGTCTTTTCGTGCTACGGCGAGGATGTGGTGGTTGCTCTCTTGATTGGTGAGTTCACTGGTATCAGTGTCTGCAGGGGTGAGAGATGAACGGTTTATGATAAGCGGGATTATCATTGTGTTGGAGTCGATGCCGTATTGGTGACCAGAGGAGTCTTTGCGGTGGAGCCAGCTTTGGAAGGCGGGGCCGGTTGCGTATGAGAAGGATTTGGAGTGAGGAGCGGGTGCTGAGTGCAGGGCAAGGAGTATGCTGGCGATGGAAATGTTAACGTGGCAGCTTTCGAGCCAGGAGAAGGTGTTGATGTGGAAATCGGCTTGATGGTCAGTTGTGCATGGCATGTTGAGGCGGCGCGGACTGGCTAGGAAACCTCGCGCTCTTCCTAGGAGGTATCTATCGCGCCATGTATGCTTGAGTGGTCTATTGCTTACTGTGTCTATTGCATTCAAAGCGTCCTGGACCGTTAGGATTGTGGCCTTCTTTGCAGGTTTGGCTCTCCGTCGGATGTATTTCTTTTGCCATGTTCTGTACCATCTTCTGTACCAACTTCTGTATCTAGAGATGGTGAGCTTTTGGCGACGACGTACTGCTTTGTCTACCTTATTTCTGTGGCATTTGCATATCTGTTCACTGCCAATACGATTTGCTTTACTCCTTTTGGCGACCTTTCATCATTTGTTAGCAAACACTCATGGCTGAATGCCGAAGACTCACCTTTTGTGTCTTTGCTTTCTCTAAAGCTTCATACTGGCGTCGCTGTACCTTGTGATTTTGCTGGGATACATTAGCCATCACGTCCAGAACGTAGACACCCTGCCCGTCAGATTTGTTTGAAAAGTATCAGTCTTTTGCCCAAGATGAGCCTGCCATAGACTTACCAGCTATATGCAGAAGGGTTCCACACGGTTCTTCTAAAGAGCCATGAAGGCTCGTGTGAATGTAAGGATATGATCATCACAATACACAGTCTAATAATAACTTTCAATCTCATTGTTGACCCAATTGATGGACAAACTTCGTTAATCCGGCCTCGACTTCTCTTTCACAAGGCATGAACCTTGGTATTGACACAAGAAAGAATCGCTCAGCTTGGAACCATTGTGTGCGGCATACCGTCAACAAGAGATACGAGATTGCAATCAAACTTGTCAAGGACTAAATTTCATTTGCTTTCCAGGTGCATACACATGCGACGTCGACCGTAATCGAAGTCGAACGCAACACGAACACCAGCTTTGGCTGTCCGCGCCTGTTCGCCCATCTTAGAAGAGAGATTCTAAAAAAGCTGCATTGAAAAGGATTCGAAGTCTTTCCAGACGATTTTATGAATAATAGAGATTTTGCATGCTATCATTCAATTTTAGGCAGTACAGCAGGGAAACGAATGTCATAGCCAACAGCTTTTTCGCCCTCGCCTATCCTCTATAAAAGACGCAAAAGAGCTGTCCAAAAGTCTCATCCTCTTCTAGGCCTGTGATCAAGCCGTTACCCTATATTTTTTGAATGTACCAAGCGGCCCATTTCACCCAGCCTGATGTTGAGCATTTCCTCTATCCACCTCGCCTTCTACCTCTACCTTTTCCACGCCTCGATCCCGAGCCACTAAAAGGGTATCTTCGTGGACGACGAGGAACTAAAGGAGGTAGACCTCGCTGTTGCCGTCTCTGAGCTGCCTGTTGCCGTCTCTGATCTGCCGTTGCCCGGTTGGCAGCTGCCAACTGTGCTGCCTCAGCTGCGTCTCGTTGGGCTTGAGCTGCAACTTGCGCCTGCACGGCAAGATCACAATTTCTCAGGATTTCCTCACACGTGGTGAGTCTTGCTTGATAATCTCTCCCATCTTCATATGGAGGTACACCAGTATCGTTCGCCGCCCGACGTGCAATCTGGATACGTTCATCAGAAAGATGGAAACTGCAGAGCTCAGAACAGCTTACCGCGCGAGAGGGTCGATAATTCATTGCAGCTTTTGTGCGCCACCAGAACATTACTGCTTCCCCAATTTCTATCACTGCGAAATCCGCCATAGGCCCGATGATTGTCATCCTGGGGAATGGCGCATTGTTCACACGAAGGTTGTCTAGATCATAATTGACAAAGAAATAATCTAGCCTTCCTTCCACGGTGTTTGACATCCTTGTGCTCCATAGCATCTTATATGCGCTTCCTTGATAATGTCGGAAATTCATCCTAATGTTATGTCAGTTTCTTCTACAGAGAGTATGAACATGGAAATTACATGAGAAATGTTGCGTGTGGATTCCGCCAGAGTTGGCGATCATGGCGGATGCGAGTATTTCCAAGAAAAATTGAGAAAGGATTGCACCCATTTTTGCAAAGCCCGGGACGGTTTGGGGCGGGCAACGCCTCTTGAATCAGTTGAGGCCGATGATTTGGTTGGCGGATTGCCAGATCCAGATGTGCCGTCCATCTTTGCCTTTCGATCTGCCACAAATTAAGTCTCTGGTTTTGTGCCTCCCAATGATCATATCGGTCTGCAAGTGGCGAAATGAAGGGGGAAGGAGGGCAAGACAGGACTGTATAACCACTGCATTGGGCGTTGGGAAGATATCCTTTAGGTGCCAACGATGCCACGACCTCGTGTATATCATTAGGATCCATCGGTCCTGTCTGATACTTGCCTCGAAATTATTGAAGACCAAGTAAAGAACTGATATTCTTGCGACTAAGGGTGAGAACTTGAGCAATATAAAGGAACAAGGGCTCTTTAGGTGATGGCCACAAGTATCACAGCATATTACGACGCAAGCAGCATGAGCGCAAACTGGTGGAGATTTCTATGTCGTGAAAACGTCTCACAAAGGAATACTGTTGCCATTTCATAGAGACAACTTGGCCAGAAGGCGGTCAATGTGGCCTTGTCTCCACACACCATTGCATGGGTTGCCTGGGATTGGCCTCTGAACATGTTTGTGAATTGTGCGTGCGGAATGGTGTTCCAGAAGCGCTTCGCACCGCCTCAAAGAGGAGCGCTGTAGGACAATCATGGTACAAACAATTGTAGTATGTAGCGACTGGGTTGATCTCGGTGGCGAATAGAAGCCTCAGGCATATACGTTACGGTGCCTTTGTAGACGAGCTGCAAGTCCTTGAGCAATTCATGATGCCGCTGGTCCATGGAATTTTCGATATCAGACACCAGCTACTCTGCAGACCCCGGCAGATAGTCCTTCTGATTGGTGGTGTTTGACCTTGGTTCAGCCAAACAGGATGGTTCCTCCACTTGCTCTTTCGAGGCGGATGTCACACCTCTTTGACTGAATGGTGTAATTGACTAGTGGACACTTGCAGACAACAAAAATGGCAGTCGCCAAACTCCCTTGTGAGAACCCTTGTCCTGTAAAATCTCTCACGAGACCATTCATATGTAGAAGAACCAATCGGTCGCAAAATCGAGATTTCTTTGATGTTTCCTCGTCGTTTCACTCCACGTTGAGTATTGATGAATCGCGAAAGACATAAAAATGATAAGAGCGTTAGGGCTGGCAGCCCTGGAAGCACCCTTAGTGCTGGCTCCCCGGCGGCCCCCCGGAAAGGATCCGCCCAAGACATGCGCTAGTCCGTTTTTAGACGAGTATAATGATCATGGCAATTAGTCGCGAAGTTTTCCTTCGCCGTGACAATGTCTTGTAGACGAAAAGACATACGGCGCAGATTCATGCTCGATCATGAGCGCCTCTACTGAGCATCTTCAATGCTGACACGGCTTTGACAAAACGATCGTACTTTCGTGCCTGTACACCACCCTCCGTTGTCGAATTGCTTTCACATCCACACACTCGCCACTATGAGCGACCTAGACAGGTTTGAGATGTCTGCAGTTGCTCCATAACGATCTGATACTGACAAATCCTTTCCAGGGCCATCAGTGACCTACGCGCATGCAAGATCATTCCCGAAGCACATGTCAGGGAAATATGTCACAAAGCGCGGGAATTGTTGATAGAAGAGGCGAACGTGGTACAAGTCGATGCCCCCGTCACAATATGTGGAGACATACATGGACAATTCCACGACCTCATGGAGCTCTTCAGAGCTGGTGGTGATGTTCCCGATACGAATTACCTTTTCATGGGCGACTTCGTTGACCGAGGCTTTTACTCGCTGGAAAGCTTCATGCTCCTTCTATGCCTCAAAGTACGATATCCCGACCGCATCACTTTGATACGGGGAAATCATGAATCACGACAGATAACGACGGTCTATGGATTCTACGATGAATGTCACAGGAAGTACGGGAGCGCAAATGTCTGGAGATACTGTTGCGACGTGTTTGACTACTTGGCATTGGGAGCATTAGTTCTTGGGACGAGCTCGAACTTGGAGCCCGCACCCATTGACCCTGCACAAGATGTTGATGAGGTGGATGAGAATACGGAGGTAGAGATTATTGACTTTCGGAACGGCAAGCACATCGTGAGAGAACGACATGCACGGAGGTTCATATCGAGAGGACCTGACGCTTTGGGCTCTTCGCCGCCCACATCACCGCCTCTGAGAGCTAAGAAAGCCGATACTGGGTCAAGAGCAAGGTCGAAGAACAGTGGAGGAGCAGTGTTATGCGTTCACGGAGGCCTGAGCCCGCTCATCGACTCGGTGGACCGGATACGGCAGATAGATCGCAAGCAAGAGGTACCACACGAGGGATCTATGTGCGATCTACTATGGAGTGACCCGGATGATATCGATGGTTGGGGTTTGTCGCCCCGAGGGGCAGGCTTCTTGTTTGGCGGAGACATTGTCAAGAGATTCAACCACATCAACGATCTCTCCCTCATTGCAAGAGCGCACCAATTGGTCATGGAAGGATACAAGGAAATGTTCGACTCGCAGATAGTCACGGTGTGGTCAGCCCCGAATTACTGCTACCGTTGTGGAAACGTTGCGTCCATCCTGGAGCTGGGAGAAGATACCACAACTGGTGGAATCATTGCAAGGAACAATGGAGATGTCGCAAGAAGTCTTGCTGCCGCACCTGCCAATAGTGCACCAAAACAGGGTCCTGGAAGAAGATATAGAGTATTCGATGCCGCGCCGCAAGATCCGAGGGGGATGCCGGCGAAAAAGCCAGTGGCTGACTATTTCCTGGTGAGATTGGTGCCTTGCTGCATTTTATGGGTGAAAGCATGCTAACTTGGAGTAGTGAACGCTGAGCTTTGGAGCCAGATGAACTAGATTACGACTGCGTTTAAAGATACCCCAACAAACTGAATGACTTGCAATTCGCTTCTCCAAGTATAGCTCATGTGATCATAAATGGTGCTCACTAGGTCCCAGCCCGCTAAGTATGGAATACGGTCATCTGATAGCAATTAGGCTTGCAAGATGTGGCTCTAGACTAGGAGCGAAGCTATTCACACTGCATCAAATGGACGACGAGCATGCTAATACCCTACTTTTGCATGAGTTGTTATAACCCAATGGCAGCCACTAGTCAAACTGTTTTCCGCTCCTCGAGAAAGCTTGCGATCAGGACTGACCTGCTGCGGTATCGATCATGGGAATTCTCGACGTCTTCGCAGCTGGTACGTTATTGCCAGTATTGTCGACATTTGAGAGACATACAATAGTCCAGCACCATACTCACTAGCTCGAACCCGTGGTCAGGGCCTGTGTTGAGTCGACCACACTGGCTACACGGGTCGGTCGCGAAGCTACAAATCCTTTGCCCATACTTCTTTTGAGTCGCAAGCTAGTCTTTGGTACCCTTCTAGAAATCTCTCTCATACTATCTAGCTCGCATCACTCGACCTCGTCTTCTCATACGAAATTCTACCCCTCCGACTCCTTGCCAATTAATTTTATCACGCTCTGAAGGAAGGACAAGCTGTGGTATGGAATGTCAGCTCAAAGATGCTGCAAAAGGCTCTGGACACCGGGCTGTTGATCCGCTTGTGATTGTATGCTATTCACGGCTCGTTTCTCGCCTTGCCAACATTGCACTACAAGTTTGGGATACTACGTGGTCTTTGCGCTTGCTTTTATAAGGTTTGAAGGGTGGGCTTTGGGGTTGGAGTCATGATTGAGAGGGTGTTTCCCCAGCGTCCATCGTTGGTAGAGCCAATGCGCGGATGCCATGAGGTCCTTCAACAGGCTTCGTGCCACGCCTGTCAAAGCAAAAGTCCGGCATCAAATCCAAAATGCTCAGTCTTTCTTTTTCAGCTACTTCGGTCCTCCTGTCAAGCTTCTGCACAGATCCTCGCTCTTCCTGTCAGTCAAAGCCATCTTCTCGATGCGGAAAGCACCGTTCCGTCTCTGGCCGTCAAGCTTTCGAGGCTCAGTATCTAATCCACCAGCACCTGATACACCTCGAGCCACGAAAGCTTTTCCTGCCAGAAACAGCCTGCTCTTGGCGATATTTCTGACATCTACTACCTTTGACTTAGCGAAAGCTGACTGGAAACCCCACGGATCTCGTCCACACAAGTCTGATCGATAGAACTTCATCCCCTACTTCAACTAGTCATACTCTATGCTGGAGTTGGAGATGGTGAAATAGCCAAGCAGTATCGACTCTTCAGGTCAGGTATTCCAAGCTACCTTTCGAAATCCGTCGGTCGCGCTCACTCCGGCAAGCTTCTGTTCTTCTCAAGAAGAGATGAACCCACTGAACAAGGTATGAGTGTGGAGTATTTCTTACGCCACGACCACATTTATCTAGATTCGAGGCTTTCTCAGGCAGATTCGCTTAAAGCTCCACCTCGAACTGTCCGTCTCCACTTTCACTCCTTCAAATTCATCCACTTCTGCTTTTATTTCCTCGCTCGTCTGTCTTTACTTCTCCTCTTCATTCTTGCAAGTACCTCTTGCACAACCCCTCACTATCCAAACAAACCACATCATCATGCTCTTCTCAACTACCCTCTACCTCCTCTGCCCCCTTCTACTAATCCTCCAGGCAACTGCACAGCTACTCGACCCTGTGCAGTGCCTCTCTATCTCCCTCCCCTCCTATCCTCCAGCCTCTCCAACTACCCCCCTGTGTCGATCCACGACTACAATCCCTACCTCATTCTCCTCCACGCCCACCCTTGTCCACATTCTCCCCATCATCCCGCCTCTCCTTCCCATTCCCGACTCCATCTCCGCCTTCCCCACACTCGCCGAGGAGAAGAGAGACCAGGTTACCGAGACCTCCGACCCCTCGCCGACCGTCCCCGCAGAGTCCTACAATCAAAGACAGCCTGGTGGCAGCATATGTGACACGAAAGAGTGCCAGCAAAAGCGGTACATCTATGACTATGGGGCTACTCTCATGTCCCTCTCTGCTTCGGGGATAGTGTATCCCATGAAGCGGGATGAACAGCGCGGCAAGCCCATCGTGGTCAGTGTTATCGCCCCTGCGGCTGCCCCTGGTAGGAGCTCCAGCGTGGAAATCGAGGCAGCAATCCTTGCGTCTACTTCCTCAGCCGACAGTGCCTATCCGACCACGTTGGAGAAGCGCCACAGGAAGTACACCACGATCGCTGGTCCCGCCCCTACTCCTTCCCCTGATACACCAGGACTGCCCGAACTAGTGGCCGCGGGAGCTGGAAATGGCTCAATACTCTTGTTTGGCAACCGAACACTGGCAGAGCTCGCCATGTTAGGTTTCAAAATTGCCCCGAAGCCCGTACCTCGCAACCTCACACTGGCAGAACTCGTAGCCGCGGGAACTGGGAATGGCTCTCTGCTCCTGCTTGGTAACCGTACAATGGCAGAAATCGTGGCATTGGGCTCTGGACTCGCCCCTCGCAGGCTCCCCACCAACCTCACGCTGTCCGAATACCTCACAGCAGCTTACGCATCCGCCGCCTTCCCGCAGCAGCTCCCGCGCAACCCCACCCTCTCCGCAATCCTGGCTAAGAAACTCGGGATCGACCCTGCGAACAACCCTGATGATCTCGCGCTTCTGCAGTTTGTGTTGGCGGTGCTGGGGCAATGGCATGATGGTTTCTCTACAAATACTACCACCGCTGCCGCCACCGCCGCCAAGTCCGAGGCTACTGGGCTCGCTGCGGTAGGGGAGAAGCCGTCCTTCATTGAAGAGGCGATCGAAGTGGGCGAAGGAGGTGCTACCACCCTCCCCGCGCGCGTGAGACGGTTGTTCAAGCGACGCGGTGGGGGTGGCTCCTCTGGTGGGGGTGGGCGGGGCGCTTCTTCCTCGTCATCTAGCCAGGGCGGTGGCAGGGGTTCTTCTTCCTCTTCCTCATCGGGAGGGCAAAGCGGCGGCGCTGTTTCTGCGCCAAAAGCCCCTGCTCCAAAAGCGGATCCACCTGCGAAGAAACCCGCGGCTGGGAAGGGTGGGGTGGCTGGGCAAGGTGCGGCTGTTGGGGCAAATGGTGGGGGCGGGGATAAAGGCAAGGGCTCTGCGAAACCTGATGCTAGTAAGGCTGCGGGGAAGCCGAAGCAGACGCCGAATTCTCCTGCGAAGGCACCGGTGAACAGCGAGAGTGGAGCGCCGAAGAAGGCGAATGGTGGTGGAAAGAAGGGGAGTGGAGGTGGGAGGAAGAAGGGACATAGCGATGGCTGTGCGCAATGCGAGGAGAGTGCTGCGGCGAGGGCGGTCATGTCGGGGTGGGCGGTGGCTGTGGGTGTTTTGGCGGGGTTGGTGTTATGAGGCTTGAGATTTGTGTTTGGAGTTTGGAGTTTGGCGTAGAAGTTGAGGAAGGCTCTACTACTCCTTCTCATACCGCGTCATGCACATTGTTGGGAAGTTTCGAATGCAAATTAGTCACGCTACCGTGTATCAGCAGAGACACAAAGTTTTCTCCTTCAGTAAGAAACGGAATAAAGTTCAGCTTCCCAACGATCCGATACCATGGAACTTCTAAAGTAAGTGTTCTGTTGTTCATTGATTCTGGGTATCAATTATGCACGCATTCTAATGGCTTGATCTGTTCATGTCCTCCCAAATTTGCGTGCATCTCACCAAAGCCCGCAAAATCTTTTTCTTCACCTGCCGGCTTATTTCAATCCTTCATTTATGCGTACGCTTCCATCGTCACTGCCTATCTCTAGGCTTCCTTATTCCTTATTGCTAGCCTTTAGTAATCCTATATAGGTCTCCAGAGAATTCAGAAAATATGGTATGGTTCAAAACCTGATAGCTTTATTTTCGATGCTCTTAATGTGATACCTCTCATCGTAAAAATTCTTGTTGTACCATTCGTTCGTCGATTTTACCAGACTCCCATTCTCCATGTTGTATATCACCCCACGTCGTATGTATCGATGAGGCTTACGGTTGCGAAATTTATTAGATTCAACGACGATGTCCTGTCCTAGGAGATCGCAGGAGAGTCGCTGGAGTGGCTTGATGGCTTTTGAGGTGTAGATCTCAACCGTCAGATTTTGTAAAGAACTTGGACGTTGTTGTATCATCTCAGCCAGGACATTCAGACCGGTCAGTTCGCTGTCTCCAAAGAGTTTGAGTCGAAGGGATTTAATGTAGGTAAAGCTGGTCCTGAAGGAGATGTTGTGGGCAAGCCATTCCTCAAGAAGAATAGGAGACCAGTAGAGGAGGGATTTGAGATAGACCGTATTTTTGCCCCACAATATTGGGAGAGCCTCTAAGTAGATGTCTTTGCAAACGCCGAGGATCTGCACCGATATATCGTATCGTCGGGTTTTGGGCAGCCTAGGAAATGATATCAGTAGAAGCTCTAATGAAGAACACAGGTGGCAGTAAGAAAACAGAAAAATCACATACTCGCGTGGTAAGTACTGTGGCCGTAGGTACACGTCTTTTGTGACTAGCAGAAGACCATAGATGTCGTCTCGAATCTCTCGCGGGAGCTTAAAGAGTGGAGACTGCTTCTGGGCTGCGAACGACCAAGAATCAGATGTAGTGGCAGTCATAGTGGAAACAATTGTGCTGGAAAGTAGCAGCTTTCCGAGGTGGAAAGAATGATGAAAAGTTCAGGCCTTGATGCCCCATCGTGGCATTACCTTTTCCACAAAGCGTGTTGTAATTTTAAACACAGAAAATCTCAGGTGACTCACTTGACGCGAGGCATGCTTACATCAGCAAATGTATTACGTTTGATTGACATCTTTAACACACCTTTCTTTTGGAAGGTGACACATGATGGGAGAAAGCCATCTGTTCAGTGTTTCCAACGAGTTAGACATCACATTTGCACGCATCAAGACACTTAGAGCATGGCGTTTTCATTTCTGGATCTACCTCCTGAAGTACGCTTGATGATATACGAACATCTCTCCAGCAAATATAGGGAAAGGAGAGTCGAAGATCATCTAAGCTCGTGAGTTTTGTCCGATTGCTTCCAAATTTCGTCCTGTCCTGAGTACCTTAAAGCGTTGCAGCAAGCATACTGCGTCTATCTATCTCGACACGGACAACATACCCACAGATTCTTCAAACATGTCGTAAGGTTCACGACGAAGCTACCACCTTGCTCTACGGCCAGCATGGATTACATGTAATTATTTTGTGGCGAGTTTCTCTGGGGTCCAAGCTCCCGAAGCTTCGAGAAGGAGATACAATTCTTTGATAAAGGCGAAAGGTGAGCAGATAGCTCAAGGCAAGGAGAATCAGAAAAGATGTAACACATTTTCAGGTGGATGTTCTATTTCTCGGACGCATAGAATCTGAATTGACTCAAATTAAGCTAGCAGTGGGTGCCGTTGGTTGAAACCGACCTCTTGTCTACTCTGCGCGTCAATACTATCAATGTTCGTCCGCATTACGCAAGCTACTCACCTAGTGCCACCTCCTTGCCACCGAGATAATTCGTCTGCGAAGTGGTCCTAGTCCGGGAATACGTTGTTATGAGCCCTATTTCGACACTTGGGAACGCATCAGATAATCCCAAGACCCATTCCGCGAGTCTCGGAACTTTCACCGCTTCTACTATCCTAAGCACTTTCAGTGGTCTAGGTCGATCTCGAAGAAGAGCCCAAAACAACTCGAACTCGTTCATTTCTGCCTTGTCAAACATGGTGAATCCAACATAGTTCATGTGGTCGAAATTCTTATGTAGGACCCTATTCATGAGGAGAAGATCTGGTCGGGCGCTTTGTTTGTCTAGACGCCAAAATTTGCCTGCGTGGATGTCGAACTTGTTTAAACCGTAGAAGACAGGTATCGCCTCTATATAAATCAGGCGACAAACGCGGAAAATCTGTGTAGATAGTTTTTGCGAAGATTGGGTGAAAGGCGAACGGTTCCAACGTATGATGATGCTGTTTAAGGTCAGTCCAAGTCGTTTCTCTGCTTCTAAGAAGTTTACCCCGATTGTGGCTGTAACCAATAGCCATCATCAACAAGGAGATACTCGTATATCTGCAGACGGATCTCCGGTGGTAAGTTCAGGAATCTGGAGACTCTATTACGCCTCCGCTTTGAGCACAAAGTCAACAACGACAATATTGCTTTGCGAAATCTCATGATGATGACTCGAGAGTTGCATTGAAGGAGAAGAAGGGTGTAGGCTGTAGATGGGCGGTATGTAAACACAAAAATTACATGAGTCTAGAACATATCTGGTCTAGTGTGTCCATTGTAGAGCATCACGTGAATTATCGTAAATTCGACACTATCGACCTATTGGACATTCGACACTCGGTGGAAGAGGTGTCATTAACATCTATGGAAACGCTACACTTTTAAAATTGTTGATGGTTCACCACCAAAGCATCCGACCCCTGACCGATTGCATCCGTTCGATAGATAGTGCAAGTGCCTTCAAGGCGACCTTTGTTCGTCAATAGTGACTGTTCTGATTTCTTTGCCTCCGCGATAGTACGTCTTGTGCAGCCTAGTCTCGAATGGGGCGTATCTGTGACCCGGTTCCAGTACGTGTACTTTGATTTCTTGATCTTTGAGGGTTTGAGACATTTCCATAATCCATTTCCTGACCTTGCGCGGCCCCGGAAGACACGCAAATGTAAGACACTTAAAAGGCCTCGAACGTCGTTGAATAAGCTCCTTCATCTTGACCAACTCGCTTTCGTTTTGCCAGTTGAACACTGTAAATTTGACGTATTGCATGTAATCAAAGTTCCTGAGTAGAGCTTGGTTGCGGGTCCTGAGCTCCAAAGAGAAGTCCATGTCCCAAATTAAGATAGCTAGGATGTCGAATTTATTCTCACTGTAGAAAATAGGTAAGGCCTCAGCAAGTGTCTGTCTACAGACTCCCAGAATGGCTATTGTCAGTCCATATACACATTCTTCAGACGGCTTTTGCGTCAAGTGATCTTTGCTGTGGATCGCATTAAGCTCATATCTTTGAAAATGGACAGGGCCAATCAAGATGACTTACGGTAGGTAAGGATTTAGACGAGTATTGAAATTGACTAGGAGATACCCATATATGATCACGCGAACCTCTGGAGGGAGAGTCAGGAAAGTAGGCGTCATGTTCTGTGTGGGTGATGATGAATGATAAGACAAGAAAGTTGAACCAAGAAGTGCGTAAAGGTGGGCAAGAACTTACCCCACCTAGAATCAACACTTCACAAAGTGTGTTTGATCAATTTTTTACACGTCATTGCTCTCGCCCAACACCGTCTCATCACTGTCTTGGCAACACGGTGTCATCCGAAACTGACATGAGTAGCTTACAATACTCTCGCAAAGAGGTATGGTGGTTCAGCGGTACTCTACTCGCTCATGACCAACTTAGGCTGATCAGCGTTGGCAACGATGTAACAGATAAAATTACTTTCGACGCCACATCTAGGGATTCGTCAACACATAGACACCCATCACCCCTATGCTGTGCAATAGACGAAGCGAATGTAGTACCACATGACTCCTCGAGCCCGTCAAGCGTCATATTCTATCTTTTTGCCCCCAAGATAAAGGGTCTCCGTATCTGTCTCAGTGTCCTCACCTGAGATAGAGAGCTCAATTTTCTGGATGGGAAGCCTCCGAGATAGGTCCAAAACCCACTCTCTAGTTACTTCTGTGTCCCCAAATTCGGAAATCGTAAGATCCAGAAAAATCTTAGACTGTTTTAGTATGAGCTCCCTCATCTCATTGAGTTTGCTATCCGTTGACCCGCACACTGTTGACCCGGACCATAAGAGAAATTGAATGTTCCGTATGTGTTCAAAGTTTCTCCTCAGGGCTTGATTCGTGGCTTCTATATCAAAAGGGTAGTATTTCTTATCAAAAGACCAAAATTGACAGGAAAGAATGTCGAAAAAGTTCTCACTGTAGAATACCGGTGAGGCCTCGGAATATATTTTCTTACAGGTACGAAGTATGGCTAACGTCAATCCGTATGTATCACTGGGAAGAGCGGGCAGAGTCCTGAACGAACGTCCGGGGCTATTCGTCTAATTAGTTTCCCCTCTCTCACGCTCAACGGGGCAGTGAGGGCGACTTACCGCATATGTGGTTTTAGGCGAACATTCTTGTTGGCCAAAAGGTTTCGATATACAATGAGGCGGATCTCTGGCGGCAAAGTCAGGAAGGTCAGTGCCATATTGTACTCAAGACTCTGGAAAGGGAAAGCTGGTGATGAGAAGACGGAGGAATTGAAGGCTATTTAAAGAGCTTGGAGCGTCGTCTGCGCAATCAACACGTTAGAGCACAACTTTGTCCCACCTCGCAAGTGTGACCCCACGCAGCCCACTTTCGTATCACTTACACGACATACATGTGAAGCGATAAAGCTTGATTCACGTGGTGTTGTGAGGAAGGGCGTTGATTCAGCGACAGCCTGTTCGCTTCTTCACTAACACTTCGATGATGCACATAACACTGAGCCAGGTAGACATACGACTGGTGGGGTAAGACACAATCATGGGAGCTAAAGGGTCACTTTGAAAGGTGATTTAGTGCCTCAGAAGCAGTGGAGCCAAACTGTCGCCATTGTGCAAGACTGGTCGAGCAGTCTTTGTAATCGCTGAGCAAACCCATACATCAAACCAGTTGTAAGAGCTGTTACCACTCTGAAATGAAACTCTATCCCGGCTTTCAATAGCACTTCTCTACCTCCTTTCCCCGTAGTACTTCATCATATGCTGCGTCCTGTCATGTTTACCAGTCGTACGGAGAGAGATTTCCACAGTACTAAACTCCCGAGACAGATCTAGTGTCCATTTTTCAAGCTTGGAGTCGCAATCAATACCGTAATCATCCAACATCAGTCTGCGCAGTGGTTCAGGACGTTGCCGCAACAGAGAGAGGAGACGGTAGAGCTCATTCCAATAGTAGCTGCTTGAAAAAACGTACGAAACATCTTGCATATGATTGAAGTTCTCGTGTAGGTAATTCTTCATAAGGCGATAGTGGTTAGTGGTGCTGTTCACGGTCCAGAAACTGTCCAAGTAGATGACGAATCGATTCTGGCTGAAGAAGATTGGTACGGCTTCGGTGTGAATCAGCTTGCACACGCGGAGTAAGTGTACACAGAGTCCTAATAAATCTCGAGGCCGAAGTGAGGGTCTCTTCAGACTATGTGTAATATTAGGCTACTTGGTCATTTGTTGAGGTGTAAACCACTTACTACAGCTGAGGGGATAGCCCTTTACAGCGGTGAACAACCAAAAGATGTCTGTATACCATCAGACGAATCTCTGGGGGCAGTTCCAAGAACGTAGGCGCCATCTTGAATATTGAGCCAAAAATCGCGGAAGTTGATTTTGATGGTAGTTGTGTGAGTGAACAATCGAGAATTCAGCGATCAAAAAGAGCGAGAAAAGCCAGTGCGCGCCACGCAAGCCTTATAACGCCGCATTTCGTCACACCTAATGTTTGTGTTACGTGTACGACACGAAAGTGGTATCCTCTCGACACATAAGGATGGAACACGTGCGATCTGGTGGGACAGAGAGCCAGGCAAGAGTGTTGACGGCTGCGAATGTCGTACAAATTTCAAGAAAGCATCCTATGACTTCAAAAGCTGAACCATGTGATTGAACAATGTGCCTACTACGGGGATTAAAAGTGGCATGTAAGCTACACCCCGTAAGACAGACGAATTACTCGAGGGTTGGAATTTGATACTTGGTTCGGTAGACTTGATTTGGGTCCAAACAAGTCTCTCTGCTACAAATACTGGTTTCTACTCGCCCAACATACGCCTGAACCTCGACTCGATTGCAATAGAGAGGACAACAGATACATATCAAGATGACCCCTCGGGGCCCATTCCCGTCAAGTTTTCTCCCTCATCCAAAGAAGACACATCTTCCTCAATCGGTGCATGCTTCATCTCAAGCGAATAATAGATGAAACCCGGATCTCCAAGAAACAGCCGTGCAGGACCTTGTACCTCAGCATCTGAAGTACCATATGCGTCTCTTTTGATGTGAAAGTACTTGCTCCAAGCAGCTTCAATCCTGAGGACCTCCTTGTCACTTATCGCGAAGAAACGTTTTGGCCAGGGTGACCACGCTTGATTTCTTCGAAGCACAGGGTCTTTTCTTGACACAGACACCCTCATGCTGATACTTTGGACCGCGCCGTGGATGATCAAGTCGATAGCTGCCAGAGGCATCAACATGCGATTCAAATGGCCGCTAAGATAGGTTGCTTCTTGGCTTAACAAGTATACCTCATAGTGATGCTTCCTGAGATAAGCTTTGTGGTAGTATTCTTCAAGTTCGTCTGGTCCCATAAATGGTGTCTCGATGGATAGTAGAAGCGTCTTGAGTCGGCATTTCTCGAGGATTAGAAACCACGCAAAGTTGGTGAACATGTCGGCACATCCGTGGCATACAAGCAAACACACATGGCTCATGAAAGGATTGACAGTAGCTCTGACGTGTGGAGGGGGAACATTTTGGAATTCTCATCGGCAGCGGGGATGTAAAATGCATTTTCGCCGTACAATATGGGAAGTGCCTCCCCATGCACCTTCCGGCAGGTACGCCAGACGGGAGCAAGAAAGAAGTCAGCTGATTGGCGCTGGGAACGGTATAAATTGTTGAGCGACAAAGTGCGATTGGCTGGTCGTCGATAAGGAGGACAAGGCGGTAAATCTTGACCCTAATTTCCGGAGGGAGATCTAGGAACCCTGGAGCCATATTGTACATCTGGCGAGAGTTGGACAAAGAGGTTGTCAAACTGCGCTCGGATACTTGCCGAGCAAAAGTGGTAGGAACGATTCTGAGAAAAGTCAGAATTCATTTCTTGGGCAGAATTGGTGTGGTGGCTTCAACGCCACACACCTTGTGGACCGCCTACTAAAAATGTCATTGCCTTGACAGTATATCAGACGTATGACCTTGAGATGATAGATTTGTCACGTGCAATTCTCACCGTATCTCAATGTTCAGATAAGGCCGACGCCGTGTCGTATTTCAAACAATGCCGCACAATGAATTGTTCACAGGATCTCATACATAACACAATGCAGCAACCTCCTTTAAGCTGTCAGCGAATATCTCTTTCATACGCAGGGAATCGTTTCCTCAACGACGACGATCTTGGTCCATCCCCTTCGGATCTGACAGACTCTTTCTCAATCACGCCATGGTACTTACGTTTCTCAAGCTTCCTCCTGAGATCAGAATGATGATCTACGACCACCTTGTTGTTGAAAAGTCGAGGGGTTTGACACCTCACTGCAAGGGTGGACTTAAAGATTGGGACTACTCTCGCAACAGCATCTTTAATATCTCTCGGCATGAACGACTCCCAAGCCATGGGCGTTCTATGCTGGCATCATGCCGGCGCGTGAACCAGGAAATTGAAGACCTGGTTTACAATGCGAATGCATTCTATTTCTACACACCTCCAGTTGAGAATGAAAAACTTCAGATGACCTTCTTGGACACGCTGAGCCTGACAGTCAAGCAGTTTCAGCTCATCAAGAACGTCTGCCTCGTGGCAAGACCTGACCGCAAAGCAGGACTTAATTGTGTCGTCGGCTTGAGGGACTTTGGCGACTTCCTCTCTCAACATAATTGCCATTTGGAACATCTTCTGCTCTCGATACCATTCACGTGGGGGAAAGATCCAGGGATTTCTGACTGGGCTGCCGAGCTCATTGAGCAAGGCACGGTCCGAACCATTGGTCTTCGGTATTGTCGAGGATTGACTGGTGACTCGATCCTGGAAAGTAGACAAGAAATGTTTTTAAGAAGCTGGGCTAGGAAATTCGAGCCCGATGTCAAACAGATTGCTCGTATTCGGAATGGCCGTTCTTGTGGGATAGGGGAGCGGCTTTATTGCGACCCTTGCTTCAATTATTATTTGTTGAAGCTGAGAAATGAGCCAGCGGCAGATTCCATTCAGGAACTCGTCCCACTACCACTTCGATATGTCGCCAAGGGTGAAGTTCGATTGTGGAAGGAGTCTAGGAGCCAGCGGAGGTGGGAGATCGAGCAGGCTGCTTACGAAAAAGAACGAAGCAGCACTATGGATATGGTAGTATAAGGAAGGATAGTGTCACAAATCAGATTGAAAAGTCGTACAAGCCAAATATTCACTCACGCTCCAAAAGAACAACGTCACACGTTGATTCACTGTAAATCATGCACTGAAAATTTACAACTCGCCTCACTTTAAAGTCTTAAATTTCATCAACTCATTTACCCATCATTAAAAAGCACCCAACAATGGAAGAAACAATCAAACTCACCCCCATCGACCTCCTCATGCCCCGCGGCTACATCCGCTTCAATTTCCACTTCTCCCTCACCTTATCCAACCAAGCCGCCACCCCCACCCATCTCGAGCTCAGCTTCTCACGTCTCCTCAAAGAAATCCCCTTACTCGGCGGCTTCATCCACCAACGCGAAGACACCACCCTCGAGATCCGACTTCTCCCAAACCACCCTCGCCACAGCTTCCACATCAGAGACTTCACTAAAGACCCTACCGCCACTGCTGCGCAATACGCACCCGTGGAATGGGCGATCCAGGGGAAAGCAGACGCTCCCGTCTCCGCCGCACAGGCGAACTTTACTTCAGATGGGCTTGTCCTTTGCATCTGTATGCACCACGCCATCACCGACGGACCGGGGCTAGCGACGGTAGTACGACGCTGGAGCGAGCACTGCCACGACGTCGCCAACAGTACGAACTTCGCTATCTCTCGACCCCTCTCGAAGGAATGCTGTGACAGGACGCCGCTGCTCAACCAGGGCATTGAGAACACCGCTCTAACACATCTAGCAGAAGATATGATCAAGAAACGAGATGCACAAGGCTACGACTACAGCCTTCTACCCGGCCTCGCGATCCCAGACATGCCCGTCCACATCTTCCGCATCGACGAGCCCAAGCTCGCGGAGCTGAAAGGAAGTGTAGATGCGTACATCAAGGCCGTGGATGCGAGCAAATGGGTGTCCACGCACGACGTCCTCTGCGCTTACCTGTGGCACTCGATATCGCGCGCCCGCGCCCGTGTACTCCCAGCTCTGATCTCTGATGCTGGTAGCGTAGAGGGGAAGAAAACGAGCAGGCTCATCACCGCGGCTAATATGCGCGCCGAACTCATTCCTCCCCTGCCAGCCGATTATATGGGAAATGCGAATGTCCATCCTCTCGCTAAGCGGCCTCTTAAATGCTTGACGTCCACGGTTGTGGATGCGCTGGCGGGAACGGCGGTGGCGATTCGGAAATCGATCACCGATACTGATGATGCCTACGCCCGCAACCTCTGCCATGTTATTGAACACCTTCCGCCTTGGGACGTGGGGAAAGTCAATAATCCTGTCTGTGACTTCGAAGCGCATGGGGAGTATGATATCGATATCACGAGCTGGCTGACCTTTGGGGTTAGGGATATGGATTGGGGGAGTAAGCTGGGGAGGCCGGGGAAGATGAGACGAGTGGTGTTACCTGGGCAGAGCGGGTTGGATGGGCGGTGTGGGATTTTGCCTAGGACCAGTGAGGGCGGGATGGAGGTCATGGTTTCTTTGAAGGAGGAGAGTATGAGGGCTTTGATGAAGGACGAGTTTTTTAAGGGGATGGCGAGTTTGGGGAGTTGGTAGGAAGGGGCATAGACTGGGTGGGATGGAAATGTTGTGGGAGAAGGGATACCCGCTGATTTGCAACATCAAATTTATCAAGATATGGCAGCGGGTGCGATTACGATAGTACCTACCGAAGTCGTCAGAACCATTTAAGTTCTATTGCTCTCCAAATTCCAAAAGTCTTGCCTGGTCTTTTGCAATCCAAATGCGGCTTCGTTGAGGGTCCCTTTTTAGTGTATGAGTTCATCGATGAGTAATATCTTCGACAGGTGATCTGTCTAGGTTCATGATTAGGCATTTCAGCCACATATATCAATTAAGCAGCAGATATTGCCTCGATATAAAGCTAAGTGGGACTTGTAAACATATCATCTTTGTTGAATGAGTACGATGGAAGACCTAGTGATCTCAGTTCTGTTTTTGCGGGTCGCTGTCATATGTTAGATTTTGAAAACCACCCTGACTCCCGAAAATAAGTCAACATACTCACAATCACTTGGAAAGATACGATCTTTAACTGGCAGACAGATTTCGTCGACCTTCACGTCAATTCCATGTCGTCACATCTCAGGGATAAAGCGAAAGTTACCGAACTAAGCTCAGACCATCGCCAAACTTTCGCTTGGAAATCAAACCCCCTTCTCTCATCTGCTGTTGTGGATATTGCCGTCATACGAAAGTGTTCTTCCCATGAGCACACCACGTGCTCCCGCGCACCGACATTCTTGGCTTGGTCAACGCCTCTCGCAATGGTCAGATGCATCTGATCGACGGTATTCTGTTCCAAGAGCCGAGCAGCGAATCCTTGCAGGTCTGAATGATTGAAGTGATCATCTTCGTGAGAATCAACCGTGACTGTCAAAGATCTCAAGCGGCACTTATTCTTTTCTAAATAAGAGAGAAAATTGTTGAATTCTCCTGGTCGTCTTCGGACGTTATAGTCCGTATACAAACCATGGAAGTATAGGGTCAGGTGCTTCATGCGCCGTAATGACCTATGGAATGCACTGGTCTCGAGGACATAATCGAGTGAGCGCTCGCCGTAAGCGCTCACTAGGATGTAGAACTGGTTCTGCCCATAGAAGACCGATTGAGCTTCTTCGCCGATTGACTTACAGACTCGAAAGACTGCTAGGCGCGAGTCGGGAGTACTAAACCAGCTGTCAATACGACGATGCTCCTTTTACATAGAATGAGGGTCAGTCAGTCGGATTATGGCCATGGCAAGCCGCCCCAAACGGAGTGAGATGCTGACATGGCGACCTTTCCACTAAAGGACCCTCGGAGCACTTGCCTTATGAATCGTTCGCCCAATAACTCCAAAGCTCGATCTTGATCTGCACAGTAACTATGGTTTCGGTCAGCATGTTTCGAGTCACCCTCATTGTGTAGCTACGATCCGTACCCGCAGTAGTCTTGGGGAAAGTATTTGTGGCCCCTATCCACAAGGAGGTGTTCATAGATGATAGATCTGACCTCTGGCGGCAGGCTTGAGAAGCTTCGAACCATTGTTTGACTTGCAAGCAGGTGGTCTCGCGAGTTCCAGTGGGTCGGTCGCGGGAAAGGCCAACCAGCGCACGATGTCAATGGGGCGATGCTCTTCAGTGCCGATCACATACCAGTAGCAAAGCCTATCGTTGAGAACTATGCACATTCAATAAAGCCGTGTCGACGTTGTTGTATCGAACAATGATTGTTTTCGAAGTCAATTCCCGTTATCGGCGGCTGCCTGATTGCACGCTAAACCCTTTTTGATTATAGCGTGTATGCATGAATCGTTACTACACGCGGGCATTTTTTCATTTCCCAACACATATTCGACATTTTCAAGACACAGCAATGTTTCTATTGCTCCTCGAGTCATCTAGAATTCTTTCCTTCTGCGGAACTTATTCAAGTTGAGTTGAAACCCCATCCATCCTCTATCGAGATTGCCTCGTCTACCATGCCAGGATTACTAGATCTTCCAGTCGAAGTCAAGTTGATGATTTACAATCTTCTGCTTAAAGGTTCCGGATCCATCTTACATCCCCATCATTCTGACAATAGGTATGTCATCCTAAAACATCTTTAGCTCAAGACACAATACTGAACCCCTAACAGAAATCGATTTGTCCGCTACGTTCTCACGCGGACCAATATCAATAGGTCGAGAAAACCGCCTGCAGCCCAGACTCTCCGTACCTGCCACACCATTTACAAAGAAGCCTCGTCAATACTCTACGGGTCGCAGGTTTTGGGATTCATATGCTCCACGGAATTCAAACACATCTATGAGGCTTATCTGACGAACAATACTGCAACGGGTCGTCCTTATCACATTCGCGATGTTTATCTTCTCCCGAAAGGTCCCGAGCCTTTCCAAGAGAAATATGGATGTTTCGTCGCACATTTACGTCGACAAAACGTTCAGCTTAGGACGTTGATCATGGGGGCTCATCAGCCGATTCCGCCATCCGAATTGGCCAGATTGACAGTATCCCTGCTTACAGATGGAAAAATTGAGCGATTAGGACTTTTGGTCCCCGACTCGGAACGCATCTCTCATTCTCCTACGCCTAGTCCAGTTGGTGCGAGTTCACGTCTGTGGGACGCGTGGACCAAATACTTCATATTTGAGAAGGAATCTATCTCTAGGGTCAATTCGGATCACGTGCCTTTATTTTGCAGCCGTCGATCTTTGTACTTTCTTCAACTCCGCCCCCAAAGCGAATGGCCAACCACTGGACTGGATGGGATGTGAAGTAAACAGAAGTAGAGCTTAGCGCAGATGACGCAAGTATATGGCTATCGATAGACCGAGAAAGTGACTTGCCGGCGAAGAGGCTGTCAATCAATGGCGTGACTAGATTGATGCTGTCTTGCAATAGAGCAATATCTGTGTGATAAGAGTATATCATGGAAAAACTGTAGTCGCTGCCTTTTTGTAAGTTTGCTTCGCCTGCTTCCAGAATATCCTCAATACCCCAAGAAGACCCCGAGAAGGCTCTAGGCGTAAGATACTCACAAATTTTACATATGATCTCCATTTCTCTCCTCCCTTTTCATCATTCATCTCAAACTCGTCTCTACTCCCAAGACATTTCTCCTTCTCTTTGGTAACCCCTCAAATTCTTCCCTTTTATCTTCACGCATTGTCATGTCAAGTAAAAATCTTCTCGATCACAGACTCGCCCGAAGCTCTCGTCCCTTTTGCAGCTGACAACAGCTATGTTATGAGCTCTCCGCCCTAGATACGCCAAAACCCATGTTCAGCTTCCGTCGTCCTTCTTTCTTGCCTTATTACTGCCTGGCGTAAGTGCCGAGTCTGCGATGGACTAGGCTGTTCGTGTTCTCCAGGGTAGTCACTCGCCAGAAAGTCCTTACCCCCATAACGCGTGCAAGATGAGAGGTCTAGTCTGTGATACAAGTGGTGCGGTACTTTTGAGAGGTAGTGGGTGTGAAGGCGAGCCTATAGTGGAGTTGAGATCTTATAGCGCTTGAGGGTCTGAGTCATAGTAGGCGTCATAGGCCGCAGGAATATCCTGCATGCTATTTGTTGATGGTACTTCCTGTGTCATGTCTCTCACTGGGGCAGAAGAGAATCCTCGGAATTCCTCTTGCATGGCTTGTGTTAGTACTATAACATTTTGGTCAGTGTCACGTCCAATGATAGGCCTTTGGAAGGTAGGGTGATTTACTGCTTTGAACAGGAGTCAATCTGGGGGCATCTTTGGTAAACTCTGGATCAAAATTGGCCACGGAGTCTGTACTGGTGACATCTGGGACAAAAGGAGGAGGGATCTCTTTTCTGTAGAGCTTCTCCCAATCGATTTCTTTGAAGAAAGGTTGCTCCATCACTTCTAGTGCGCCTCTACTAGAGCCCAGTCTTTGTCCTGGTTCGCGAGTCAGCAGTTTTTGTATAATGGCTACGGCTTCTCTTGGCATATGAATTGGATAGAGTGGTTCGTCAGCGAGTATCGCATCATAGATTTCGTCCTCATTCTCCCCCTGAAATGGCGACTGCCGGAGAAGTAGCTGATAAATCATCACCCCAAAAGCCCACCAGTCAACAGGTAAGCCGTACTTCTTGTCAAGGAGAATCTATTGGTTTCGTCCGAGGTTAAATCATAAACAAGTCGCCGGGCTATATCAAGCGACGTACCTCTGGAGCCATGAACTCGGGCGAGCCACAGAAGGTTGAAGTGCCATGCAGCACTGATTCTCCCACCTTGCAGAGTCCAAAGTCTAAAAGCTTTATATGACCATCCGGGGCGAGTAAGATGTTATCTAGCTTTAGATCACGATACAAGATCTGTTCACTGTGTAGCCACTGAATGGCGTGACAGACTTCAGCAGCGTAAAACCTAACTATAGTCAGTATAAAAATAATTGCAAGTGGGCCAAAGGGCCAGAACTCACACTCCTCTTCTAACACCAAATTGAGCCTCATTGATAGATTCCATGAGATCTCCCCACCAAGGTACTCCATCACAAAATACACTCTCGTTTCTGTTTGGAAGGTACCGTAGAGCATGGCGATAAAGGGATGCGCTTGTTCGCGTGCCCTAATGAGCACCTGCTTTTCCGTACTTATGCTTGCTACCTCATCATTCTCTACAAGAAAATCTTTCTTCAAGACTTTCACAGCACACAGCTTCTTACTAGATTTAAATTCAGCTAGCATGATCTTCGCATAATTCCCCTTGCCGATTGTGGCCAAGAAATCGAAGTCACCCAGTTCTAGGCGTTTAAAGTTTCTCTGGGCCGTTGCCTGCTGAGAAGCTACATCCTCACTTTCACCCTGCTTCATCTGTAGCTTCCCAAGTATTCGAAGTTCGTTGTCACGAATCCAATCTTTCATCTTGATATATTCGCTATCGAAGAGGGCTCTGAATGATCTCCAAGCCGCGTAATCTGCACTGGATATGCTTCCGTCCTCAAGTGAGCCTGCCGCCTGTTCTAAACAATCAATGTCCATAGTGAACTCTCTGGCCGTCGAATACTGTCCATTCAAGAGCTTTTTCTCTACGCCAGCCAAATCAAGATATGCAGTGCTTTTGTTTGTGCGGAGACTCGTGATAGGCCTCACGATGGGTGCATGCCTTGATTTCTTGAGCTCTCGCATAAGGCTCTTGCAGAACTCAAGTTCCCAACGCTCTTTATGAAATACAGGAAGCTCGTTGGAATATATTTCTCCTTCTGTGTCCATAAAAACCCTTGAATATTCAGGAGTCCCTACAACTGTCCATCCAGGGGGATTCCCCTCATGATACCCTTCTTCTCTGTCTCTGGAACTTCTGAGTCTTGTCGCTCTTCACCATCAGAAACGACGCTGTGCTCTGAGAATGAATCTTTGTCTTCTTCGAACTTAAAGTCGCGGGGCAGGACAGCTAAAGCAATCTCTTCCATATGCCTTCCCACATGCATCGCCCAGCCTCTAGGCTTAGTTGCGGGCGTTTCCAAACAAAACGGGCATCCATTGTTTCCAGCAGGACCTACAGATCGTTCCGCGGCATTCACTAGTGCCTCTAATTGGTTTCGCATAAGAACATTTCCATGGCTGCCGTACGTATGTTCAAGCATAAGCGACCTTTGATCAAATTCTTTAGCGCAGTCGTTGCACACCCAGATCTTCTGTACTCGATGCACAGCGAACTCATGATCAGCCCAGGCTTTCCGATTTTTGAATGAAGCAAGCCCAGCTTTACAATCGTTGAATGTACACAGATATGGCTCCAAGTCAGCAAAGACGTGCCTTTTCCATTCCATTCGGTTTATAATTTCTTGTTGGCGATCACCGCAGACTGTGCAGCGAAAAGCTTTGCCTGAGGCGGCCCCCTTTGGCAAAGCGGGGATCTTGAGCCAGCCCCGCTCGCCTTCGTCGTTCGTAAAGAGTGATGTGTAAGTAGCCTGCGATCTAAGATCTTTGGGCATTCGCACCCTCGGTGCCATGGGGAAAGCGTAATCAAAAGTGGTTGTAGTGATCGAGGTACCTGTCGTAGCGGTCTGACGTCCAGCGGAGCTGAAAATTGAACTCGGATCTGCGCTCGACTTCGTCGTCTCGGTGAAGTGAGGGAGCACTCCAATGTCATCGTCGCTCATATCAGCTTCATGGTCACTTTCGCTTTCATCATCAAAAGGTTCTGCGCTCTCCAGTTTTCTGGCTACCCGTTGGTATCTTTGCCAATTTGCTTCTCCCAAACGCTCTGCAAACCTTGTATCAAGGTCTGGGAACGTGTCAATCACCTTTCGAGTCCATATTTCGGCAGGACCTGATACAATGAAAGCGACTGAATCGGCGGCAGTGGTTTCTGGTGGATCTGCATCGGCAGCCGGCCGTTCCAGAGACCCGCTGAGATCGATGAGGCCTTGATTTCGGGATCGCAGAGCAGTGATGATGTCTTGGAGCTGATTACCCTCATTACTCACGTCTGAGCCACTATCACTTTCACTCCCACTGCTCACAGGGTCGTCCAAAGTCTCTCGTATGCTTTCGATGAGCGAAGCAACCTCTTGTCGTTGCTCACGTAGCCTGTCGTCGACAAGTACGCGACCTACCAAACCATAGAGACCTGTCTTCTCATGACATAAAAGACCGCCAATCTCGACCAAGATTGAAGTGACCCGATTTCGAAGTCGACTTGAGACAGTGAGAATTTCATCCAGCCGGCCATCGTAAGGATAGAAGCCGTCGCCCCAGAAATAAAGTCTTCCGAACTCAGTACGCAGAGCCTGTTTTTGTTGTTTTTTGTACTCTAAGGGCAATGTTCTTTGGAGGAGTGCCCAGTACAGGTCAATGCAGCTTTTGAAGAGCCGACCTGCAGCGCCCACTTCGCTTGAAAGCTCTGCTTCCATCATTAATCACACCCCGCATTATAAACAGGACTGATTTCCAGTCGACGCCCTTGTCATTAAGCCCTTATCGCTTCCTGGCTCAAGGTGAATCGAAGGCTCGAGAGCTACTGCGGGGTATACTTGTGAGACTGTCAGATGATCAGAGACCCTGCTTGCACAGATTCGCCTTATCTACCAAGTCTAGCGGACTCCAAGTAATATATGCCTGAGAAAGATTTAAGTCTACCCGAACGTGGAGCTTCGCACGGTTGGGAATCGCAGAATAATTAAGCCGCTCCGACTCCACGAGCGCCAAGATGTCATGAAGGCACCGCTAGAGTCATTTCGGCTTAGTTGGTGGTCTAGACTCGGTCCGGAGATAAGAAGGACATAAAGAGTCCTGCGACCTGGAGCGTGAGGGGAATATTCTCTTTGTAAGAGCCCCGAAAAGCACCGCGACTGCTCGATCTACAGTCGTGAAGCTGTCATGTCTGGTGCAGAGGTCGTTGGCCTGGCGCTGGGCGCATTGCCCCTCATCATCAAGGCCATAGGGCAGTACGAGATCATCATGGATCCCATAATCACATACCGCAAATATTCGACCGCATTGCAGACCTTCATGACCGAATTAAATGTGCAAAGGGACATCTTTCATAATGAATGTATTTGGCTTATTTCAAGATTCGTCGATGGGCATGCACTGCAAGACATGCTGAAGGATCCTTCGCATGACCTACGAACCCAAATAACGCATGACAAAGAGCTCCAGCGCAATGTGGCCAGAACTATCGGCTCATCAGCCCCACAATTGAACGATGTATTGAAGTTGATCATTATATCCTTAGATGATATCTATGAGGAAGTCAAGGATCTTCCAAATGGTCTTGCAAGGCCTCAAAGAGAAGCCGTAAATCACCCAATCTGTAAGACCTTTGAGGAGCTCTCACTGACCAAACAAGGATGATGGTGTCGATCTGAAAGCCTGGCGATCACATGTAAAACAAAAGCTGAAACTTGGATTACGCAAAGAATCGTTGAATCAGAAAGTGAACGATTTGCGGCTACGAAATCAGGCATTCCTCGCTCTTTCCAAGCAAATCATCCGTTTCAATGCCTCTTGGGTTCCAGCAGAAAAACCACAGGAGGCACAATCTGCCGAAAAGACGCTAGTGAAAATCGAAAAGCTCCGCAACGCTTCTTGTATGCTGTTTCACCATTTGGAGAAACTGTCGTCTTGCTCAGCGCACCTGGAGCATTCTACAAATCTTCGCCTATGCCTCGAAACTTCAGAGCTTTATCTAGATGTTCCACCAAAGATGGCGTTTGAGATGGCGGTGACAACTTGGGACGTAGATCTCCCAACGGCTGGACATCAAATACCAGCACTTCTTGCGATCGAGTCGGCGATCGAAACGACCACCTTCACAAGGGCGCAGGGCAAAGCTACGATACGCTTTGCTGAGCAGCAAGAAGAACAATTCGAGCCAGCGCAAATTCAGCGACAGCACTCTGCCGGTATCCAGAAAAGAGAGAACGAACGGCGGCGGGGAGGGAGATCCGGCAAGCTTTCAGCGATGTGGAAAAAGATACGCGGCAACGAGGAACAGACTGCCTCAGCCCAATCCTCCCACAATCTTCCAGATCGCACCGTTACTAAGCTTCCCACAAAACCCGCAGGCCCTGAGGCATCGCAAGACCAACAGCACCCTGCCAAAGCAGCTGAGTCTGCCGCACGTGAGTCTGCCGCACGTGAGTCTGCCGCACGAGATCTGGGCTCCGTTAACGACCTCTGCACACACATCGTAGAAGTCACAAAACCGATAGAAAACGCGAATAAATGCATCGGCTTCCTCCCTGGTCAAGGCACCGACCGCTACTTGGTCTACAAGCGTGCGAACCTGCAATTCACCCAAGGTGGCGCCTCGAATCTCTCTAAGCTCATCGCCAGCCACCGCCGACAACAGATATTCCCAAAACCAGACAAATGGCGCGTAGCAGGCGCACTTTGCCTAGCAGTACTGCTCTATCATTCAACACCCTGGCTGCAGACGCAATTTCAAAGCGACGACATCCTCTTCTTCGGCCCAAGCAATCATTCGCAGCTGGGGTCGCTGAAGTATCCGCACTTGCACGCCTTCCGCCGCAAGAGCAAAGCTGCACACCAGAGCCAACTGGCTAAAGATGGGTATGTGAAGAACCAAATGCTCCACTGCCTCGGCGTCATCCTTCTTGAACTGGAATTCGAAGACACACTTGAAAGCCTTGTCGCTGAATCGAGCCTGGACAGCACAGCATCTGAGACCTCTCTGCCACCGCCACCCACATTGATGCATCACCTCCTTTTCTTGAAACGGCGTGCCGGGACTCAATTGGGCACACTCTACGGGCGCATTGTGCGAATGTGCTTAGACTGCGATTTCGGGCTCGGACTGGATGAGTACAGCCTGGACGATCCGAGGGTGCAGAAGGTGTTCTACTCGCAAGTCATACGGCCATTTCAAGAGCGTATGCCAGAGTACTCGAAGATTTGGGCAGATGATTAGGATGGCTAGGATAAAGCGGGCTTGAGCCTCCATTAAACTTGACGAGTCCTGAATGAGCGATAGCTATGATAGCCTTGATGGTTCATAAATGGAACGACACCTCGAGATTACGTGTGACGACAGGAATTTCAGCGCCCACAAAATCTATGATGAAAGCAGACATTGCAAGGATCGTGAAATGGCATGCCGATGATTATTGCGAACGATAGACGCAATTTCAAGAGGCTATCAAGCTGAAGACCAACATCATTCTTGGGCTGTGCGTTAAGTTCATTCACTCTACCGTGTGGCGAAGATTACAACAAATCTTGTACGACGTCATAGGTAACCTCACACCCGACAATTCTTTCACTCCAGTTTCTTTACCCATTTCTTGACATTCCTCCGATATGATCAATGGCCTTCAAAGATTCGCTAGCATTTAGCTTCAACTCATCTAGTCTTTGACAACTTACTATCAATCACGGATAAGAAATCTAGCTCACTAACGCCAACCCTTCCAACCCGCATCTCCCAAGTCAGAGGATGGCTTTAGGATTTTTAGACCTCCCGCCCGAGGTTCGCAAACCTATCTACCGCCGGGTCCTTATACAACGTGAACGGGTTGTGTACCCACAGAAAAGGTAAATTCTTAATTGGCCAAGAGATGCATTTCCGCTGACAAGGTCCTGTAAAGGGGTGAGCTATTTCATTGCCTTCAGATGCACTACTACAGTATAGAGACCTGCCCTCACCTGTGCCCTGGAATTCTCAGGACTTGCAAAACAGTGTATTTCGAAGCGCTCTACCTGCTCTACACTCAGAATATTTTCGCTTTCGTCGATGTACACAAAGTATGCCCAGGGTATCTGATGCAGCTGCATGTCGCCGCTCCCAATTTCCTGATGATCCGTCATCTCTACCTAAAGGCGCCCCCCAAGTCCTGGGAAATCAATGGATCGACCATCCTGACGCGATTCAGCGGACATCTAGCCTCTAGTGGAATGCACTTGGAGACTTTCACTCTTGGCGGCCTTGAGATGTGGGAATACTTCACGGACAAATGCTCGTCAATATTGGCATTCTTGTTAAGCCAAAAGTTTGTCGATCGCGCAGAGGCTAGAATTCAACACTATTCCCCATCTTCTGTCCAGAAGGCACTGAGATCTGCACATGATTGTCGTATCAGGTTACTAATTGAGAGGGAATCCATGTGGAGCAGGAGATTCATGGGCGATGGTTTGTGGTTCGTCTACTATGAGGTCCAGCTCTATCGTCAGAAGATAGCTACGAGTCATATCAAGCGTAGCCTCTCGGGGCAGGAAGAAGTTCCCGCATTGGGATAACGATGTGGAAGGGAGCACATCGTCGATGGAGGTGCATAAGGGAACATTAGAGGTGAAAGATGACGTCAGAAATGGCGTTGTACATTGGGACCGGCAAAGCAATCAGGACGTACTTGATGTGTGAGATCTTCCGATGGGGATCCAACGATTGGTATTTGGAGTGAGTGCATGCCCCAAGTGTCTTCACTCTGCAAAGTGGCGAAGTGGGGTAGTTTTAATGGTCAACACTTACCACCAAACACTTGCGACTATTTTCCCACCCAGACGACCTTCTGTTGCGACTTGTCCATACTCGATGTTCATGGCACCCTGTTGTCAATGCGCGCATTTTATCGGCGGAAAACATCGCAATGCCCTTCAAATCCCTCCAACTGCCAACCGAGATCAGGGCGATGATATATTCGCTGCTACTCGTGAACGATCAAAAAGTGTACTTTCCGCAAAAGAAGAGAGTCTTCACGTAAGAATCAACATTCACATTCGAAGCTGCAAGATATGTTCGCGACTCATACTTTCCAGGTTGCATATCGATTTACTCCCTCGAATGGCGGATGAGGACAGATCGTTGATAACGTATTCACGCAGTGGAAAGAAGACGATAGGATTTCATCAGAGGACCCCGGCGTGCATCGACCAATTCGCCGTCTTCCGTGTCAGCAAGGATACGAGCTCGGAAGCCCTAGAAGTATTTTATGGACAAAATACCTTCATAATTGAGAACCCCAAGAGCAGGAACAATCTCAAATATTTGAAGAGCTTTCTTCCACAAGCCAACAGGTCGCGCCCACGCCCCAGGGGCTCCTCAAAGGACATGGCGGTCACAATATACTCAAACATTCAGCGCAGCAGCGTGCTCTTCGAGAACATCCTACCGCACCTCGAAAATCAGCAAGACGTGAAGAAATGGCTCTTCTCAGCGATGAAGAATCTTGCGCACAGCAAGCCACAGCTTCGATCGCTCACGGCCCAGCTTCTCGATGCTCGCCGCATCACCCCCACATGCATCGTACGACTGAGCTCCATCCATGGTGTGGCGGGTCAGCAAAGGTATTTGAGCGAGGGGAAACCGTGGAAGGATACATATGACTTAGGATACCAGGGGATGACGGAGGTTGATAAGGTGGATGTTTGGAAGGTAGAACGTCCACCGCAGCCGAGGAAGAAATGGGCTGAATGAGGGACTTACCCCAGTCTGCAGTCCCCCAACCCAAGGACCAGAGATCATGCCATAACTCAGATATTGGCAGGTAAAGCGATACTCAAATTGTGGTAGATGAAGACTGGAACCGACCCGCTGACTAAGAAAAGCCCCCTAATTCTAGGCCCACGGCTCCCGCCGGGCATCTGCAGGCTAAGGGGAGGCTAAAACATGGCCAATCTCGCGTGAAACGAAAGGCAAAACACTCTGTGCGTCTCGACCCCTGTCTCCTGCATCGTCAAATTTCCCAATGCGTCTAACCTGCACCAATCCTTCCCCCCGAGGATGAGCGCCAGTGGCTGGCGGAACAGAGCGGAGGCCCAGTTCATGCTTATCGATAGGCTGATCGTCGCAGGGGTTGGAATGTGCCCCTGAGTTTACCCCTCGATTGGATTGCGTTCAACCAATTTTCTTCATTTGGCGCTGTGAAGAATCAAGGAGGGGAGGGGAGCAGAGAGGGCGCTTGGATGATTGATTGATGCAGTGCATTGTAGAACACAATGGACACTCGTATGTAATGCAGCGCTTTGAACAATCAGTACAGGAATTGAGGGGTAGAGAGAGGCTCGAGAACGAGCGCTGCGGTGCGAAGAATGCGATAGCGAATCCTGCAGGAATAAGAGGGACTGCACATATTGGACGGTCCGAGACCCGTCACTCTGGCCATAGATCTGTGAGTAACCAATCTTTCTGACTCGTAGACTCCTCGTGTATCTTGTACACTGATTGTGTCAGGCCTGGTTAATCTCGGGAGTGATATGTGCCCCGCAGTGTGCCCCACTGGCCGCCGCGACTGCCACCACGGGCCTTCCATGTAGAGAATCTGATTTGCTCCCTTTCTATCATCATTCATTATTGACCCCTCCCCTCCCCTCTCTCTTCATGTGTCTTCTTTGTTTCACGCCGGGCGCTTGTTCTGCATTTCACGGCCACTAATCTCCTTTGGGGCAATTTCCCCTGCATTACGCACCCAAATGTTCTTCACAGGGATAATGGACACTTCACATTCTGGACCTTCTCCACCACAAAGAGTGTCGCTAATTTTACTTCTCTTTCACTGTTTCCTCTTCTTCTCTTCCTCTCCCATCCTCTTGTTTCCTTCACTTCCAGCCTCATCCGTTTCCTTTCCTTTCCTCACACTCGTTCCTTACGCTTCGCATTGCTGTGCAAGCATCGTCATTCTTTTGACATCCTCTTCCACTCGCTCGTTTTGGCACTTGTGCCTACACACTCATTAAACCAAAGCTTCATTCAGCCCAGGTGGCAGATCGACTGAGTCGTACAACACCACACCACAACACCACTACATATCTTGCATTCAGCCGCAATCTTCCATCTACCAAACAATATGCGTACTACCATTCTCGCAGCAGGCTTCGTCCTCGGCTCAGCCATAGCCTTACCGCACGACCATCATGATCCTGGCCATCACGGCAAACACCACGGTGTACCATCACTCACCGGCTTCCCTCCCATCGGGACTGGTACTGCCCCACTTGGCACAGGCACCGGCATCGCAAATGCCACTGGTGGTCTTTTCCACGCCCTCCCCGTCAGCGGAAGCCATGATCTTGAAAACGCCCTCGAAGGCCTCAACGTCCCGAAAACCGGTCAAGCAGTCCCAACAGCCGCCGCTGCAATCGAAGACAAGCACGACAGCAGCGGAGGTGACGACTGTAACGCCGCCACCGTCACCGTGACATCCAACTCCATCGTGACAGTGACAGTCGACGGCTCCGGCTCAGGACCAGCAGCCAGCTCCGCATCACCAGTCAAGAACGTGGCTCCAAGCCCCATCGGCCCAGCCAAGGGCACCACCCTACCTTCTACCGACACCGACGACACTGCCCCCTTAGCTGCACCCTCAAAATCATCGACACCAAAAGCCGCTACGCAACAACCCAGCGGCAACACGCAACAATCACCCGCCTCAAACGAAGAAGCAACGCCAGCCAAACCTGCCTCGTCCTCCGCCGCGCCCGCAACTCAGTCCGCAACCCCCGACGACACAACAGACAACACCACCACCGCCCCTGCCACTGGCGGCGGCTCCACCGGCGCCCTCGCTTTCAAAACCAAACGCGGCATCATAGCCTCCGGCTCCTCCTCCGAACAACTCGCCGCCGCCTTCGCCAACACCAAGCTTTCCTGGCTCGGAAACTGGTACTCCGGCCCGCCTCACAGCCTCCCCGCCTCTTTGACCTTCGTCCCGCAGAACTACGGCAAACAATCCGACATAAACGGTGAATGGACGAAGAACGCCCAACAAGCGGTGGCCAAAGGCGATAAATACTTCCTCTCCTTCGGCGAGCCAGGGACCCCCAACGACAAACTGCACATGGAGCCCGCCGAGGCCGTGCAACTCTGGCGCGACAAAATGGAGCCCTTCGCCAAACAAGGCGTCACGATCGGCGCCCCCGGCACACTGCAAAACACACAAGATTTCGACTGGCTTAACAAATTCATCGACGCCTGCACCGGCTGCTCCATCGGCTTCATCGCGCTACATTGGTTCGACAAGGCCGGCGCCGCGCAAGTACCCGGCTTCAAAGAGACCGTGGGCAAAGCGAAGGTCATTGCGGATAAAATCGGCAAGCCGGTGTGGGTGGACAATTTCTCCGCGGACGGCGATGCTGCTGCGCAGAAGGAGTTTCTCGGGGAGGTGGTGCCGTGGTTGGAACAGCAGAGTTATGTTCAGGCGTATGGCTATGTGCCGCCTGAAGTGGGCAAGGCGGGTGCTGGGGGGAATATGATTGGCGGGGATGGGAAGTTGAATGATCTTGGTCAATATTACGCTACCCTGTGAGAGAGATTGCGGATGGGGTTGGATTGGTGGACTGTGCTCGAGGCACTGCACGGCATCAGAGCTTGGGCTCTGCTACATTCTCTTCTTCTTCTTTTCTACGACAGCAGGTCTACAGGACGAAACGACCGGAAATTCTTGACGGACGATTTTTTTTGAGACATTAGATTCTACTTCTCTTCTTACCACCGCCAGTACGGGTTGGTCTTTCTTCACGATGGATTTTTTGACACGAGATAGCCAGGCAGGCTGAAGGGCGGAGGATCATCATGTCGCATAGCGCTGGATAAGGAGGAAAAATGGAAAGGAAAGGGGAATAGAAAGCGTCATCGCTTCGAACCACTTGTCCCGTCCCTTGCGGTCTTCTTGTTGTGGATTTTGTGCCAGGCCTTCTCGCTTTGCCTATTACAACCCCCTTGCCGATTTCCGCAAATCGCCACAGCCTAACACCCGTGCCAACGACACATCAGTAAACAACCCGCCCCCCCCCTCCCCCCTTCCCTTATTCTACCTCTCTCAGCTTAACCCGTCTCCACCCCGCTGGCCTTGGGTGCAGACACCCCGCTTGCCCCTCCTCTCTCTATCCCCTTTACAGGGGGAGGGGGCAAAGCATGTCCATACGACTCGGTTTCCCCCCAACCCCCTTCTCCAAAGCAGCAGCAGAACCCGCCCGATCATTCCCATAAAACGGCACCCTCATCGCCTCCGAAGCTATGGAAGATGGTCGCTGGTGTTGGTGATGGTGGCGATGGAGAGGTGTGATAACGGTTGGAGTGGCGTGGCGTGTGGGTTGGGGGAGGAGAAGAGGGCGGGATAGCCCGTGGAAGGGTTATGTACAAAGTTTTTGAAATGGGGTCTGTTGAGGTGATTGGGGGGAGACTTGTGGAGTTTGAATACTGTGGAGGTGAGGAGGGGGAGGGGTAACTGTGTGGGATCTTGTGCTGATTTTGAGCTTCAAAGAGATGATGATGTAACGCTTCTTGTTGGTGAAAAGTCTGGAGCTGAAGACTTGTCTTTATCAAGACGTATGTGATTGGGATAAAATGAGAGTGTGTTTGCCCCCACCAGATCTGACTTTAGGGTATCGGCGTCCGCCATCATTGTTCATGTCGCATCTCATAGACTATGCTCAGACTGCGTTGTCGAGGAAGAGCCGAAATGTGTTAAGGGAAACATGTGATAGGACTTTCGCAGATTAGGCTTTGGAGAAGCGACATCAAAGTCTTTCAACGATGGACTCTTGGGTCTCGAGACCGTAGATTGATCGCATAGAACCCTCCATTGACTCCATCGCAAGTTTGCATCGCTGGCGACGTCTGCCTCCAGATCGGTTTCGTGGTGTACTCGATAACAAATTTGTCATACAAGACACGGTGAATAGAATGGAGGTCTGAAATGAAGTAGTCCGTCCGTTTGTATTGGTCATACAGACAAAGTTGGGTGAGCCGGCTGTGATTGTGCCTGATGAGATCGAACAACTCTGGAGAAAGCGATCTAGGATTATGTAGAAACGTGACGATGTTCAATGATAACGTATCGAGTTGAGTCTGTCGAGCCGATAACATGTTGTCGAGACAAGCAAGAAGACTGTTTTGCGCACTGCTCGTAACGATGCTGAAATGGCGGACCTGGTGGAGAAATTTGCTTGCGGGACGCTCATGTGATACGCTTAGAGATAGACTAGCTTCAGCAGAGCACCCAGGACGGCTGTGGGAGATAAAGCCAAACACGTTCTCGGTGTAAAGAATAGGGGTTGCTTCTGTATGAAATGTTCTGCAAGTGGCCAGAAACTGAGCACTAAGTTGAGGTCGTGGTTCACATTCGCAATGTCTATTTTGGCCGATGATCTGATCTGGATCTGTTAACAAGAATCGGTAAATTATGGCTCTGATCTCGAACGGGAGCTGTAACAGCCTCGAGCCCATCCTATCCGTCTGTCGTCAAGAAATGGTACGGAGACTTTGGGGCAAGTGGGGCCTGGTGGAGCATGTGCACGCGAACGCATGTATCGATAAGGCTAGGTGAAGGCAGTAGATCTTCGAGCAACGATTCACTACGGGCTGTCAATCATGCGCAGTCAGTATCGCATAAGAGAAAGAAGGGGCATGACCGAAGGGACGAGGATAGTTGATCGAAGGATCCTAGCGCCTGCTCTTTTTGGGCTAGGGCATTGACGAAATGGGACTAGCGTAAAGTGGTGAGGTCTTGGCAAAATGATTTTTGAGGGAATTTTGTCACATTGTCATACACCTATCTTCGAATAGTCGTCTAGCAAAGGATGTGAAAAGCCTGTCAGAAGCTAGGCGCATAAGACCGTGGTGAGCTGCGAATTATTGATTGCATATGATATCGCATAGACCGCATGTTAATGCACTAATTCTCATTCACCCTCGCTCGATCCATGGTCCCTCGCACAGCTGCGCTTTCATCAAAACCCTTTTGATGTAGTGAGATGATTACGTATGTGAGGCATCAGTGTCTGTCTCTTAGCTTTGTCCTCGGAATTTGAGCGAATAGAGCCAATTTTGGTAGTGGCAAGATAGATTGAACGCTTTGCCACCCCATCCAGAAGGCTCCACCAGCTGCATGTCGAAATTGTCACTCCAAACGGGCATAGACTTTGGTATCGTGTCCGGTGCCTTATCCACATACGTGATGACCATCAGACCCACTCTTTCAGCGTGCTTACGCCGAATGAGCTCTTTAGTCAATTTGGGCAGGTCATCCTCGTCATTTTCCCGCCGGAAGGCAATGATAATGCTCTCAAAATCCAAATTTTCTGCCGAGAGGAACTCAACAAAGCTTTCCATGCTTCGTACTACGCCTGCTACAGACCAATCTATGCGTACGCAGAGATGTTTGATGTTGTCATAGCGGCAGTGAGGTTCCTCGAGGAAGAAATGATGCATGGCGGGCTGGTAGTTGGGGCCCCAAATGAAGCCAAAGATATTTTCGTCATAGAGTGTTGAAAGTGCTTCATCATATATTGTTTTGCAGACTCGGAGAAGGTGTGGAGAAAGACCGCGCGGTCCCAGTGAAAGAGGATCTCGACAGAGCTGGTGCCTCCTTCGCTGCCATCTTAGTATTGCTTCAAATTCGAGGTGTAGGTATGAAAGTGTCTGACCTTGAGATGTTGGTTTCAATCGTCGGATGCATGAGATGGTCACGATTTGTCAGGGCAAGTCGGTAGATCATGATTCTGATTTCAAGCGGTAGGTCGAAGAACCCGGGCATGATTGCTATTCAGATGGACTGACGTTGAAGAGATTGGATGCAGAGATGAAAATATCTGTGTTGTACAAAAGAAGGCGGGGTACTGTGGCAAGTCCGATGACGATGGTTGTACTGATGATGAGTGTTGTATTACCTTACGCAGCCGATCGCTTGAACTTCTCAACATCAACGCAAGCATTCTACTTTAACAGAATCATTACAGGCACTCCTCAAATTGAAGCTACAGTACCTCGATCTGCGGTCAGGAGTCCGAATCTTAGTCTATGGACACGTCGTCGTCCAATAACAGCGCATCCTATACCCGCAGAGATCCAAGAACTTCATGTAATCTCCCAAATCTAGCCATGACTTGTTCTAAATGACTCACAATGCAAGCAGAATCAATGACGAAGCCTATGCTACATACCTGCCCAGCGCCGAGGTGTACGGCAACAAGGCATAGGGTTCCTATCATGGTATCCTTCTCACATGCAAAAGAGTCTACCACGAAGCTATCTAGGTCCTCTATAGCGAGATCGAAATTGGTTTCTCGACGGGCTCTGCCCTTGGGAGTTCGACCTGAGGACGCTGTTGGAGGTTCCTCTTTCACCGAATTTGCGAAATCTCAGGAACATTTTCTTTCAGGCAATCACGCACCAAGACCTATCAAACAATGCTAATTCTCTGTGCCAAGCGATATCATCAAAGACCGCAGGTGTGCGCCAGTCGCTGCAAGATCACGGATACGCTACTTCATGTTCTGCGGCGAGGACTTGTGGAGCGTATTTAGCTGAAACTTCGTAAGTCTGCATGATGGTTCCGAAGGAAGTGGTTCGTCATTGCCTTTGGTACCCTTATTGTCTTAAGCTGTATCTCAATGCGGGACCGCGCTGTTGGTACCGTTATCTTGAGACGTACATTGATGCAAACGGTTCTTTGAAAGTGAAGAACGACCTTACAACGAGGATCTCGCTCTGTGTGAGATCAAGCTTCCGCAGAGGGATTCAAGCAGATGTATGCTCGAAAGAGGGGGTTAGCGTGAGTTTGTTTCATGGAGTAGGCCTGAGCGCTGTTTTATGATTGACTCTGGTGGTACATGGTACTGTTTAAAGACCTTTCTCTAGTGCTGCAGAAGAAGGGAAACCTCCCCGCAAATAATTTCTAGGCCAACGATTGACTTCAACGCACGGGATAAATATTTCACTAAACCATACCTACATCAATGACATCTTAAAGGCGCGCCTACGAGTATCTTCTTGAGCTTGAGACCACTGTAGACTACTTCCTCAAGCAAGACAAGTGAGTACCCTACAAGAGACGTCATTGAATGTGTACAGTCAAATTTAGTAACAAGATCGAATCAAACCAGACTGTTGATCCAGAAGATTACGGTCTACCTATTCATCTACTAATCATGAAAGACATTAGAAGCAAAGTGAAGAAGCTTTTGACCCGATTCGTCAAAGAGATCGTCCATCCACCGCTTCGAGTAAAATTTTTACGATTTCCGCCCGAAATCAGAACAATGGTCTATCGATATGTCCTCGTCAATCATCAGAAGGCCCTATATCCGCAGAGGAGGTACTTGCGCTTGTACGTCTCAGAGTCCGATCGAAGGTCCTATTTTCCCGGCTGACCTGCTTGCTTAGATCAACCCACACCGAGGAATATGGCCTTTCTGTTGCTATTTTACTTACCTCCAAGATATACAGTGAGGCGATTCCAATCCTCTACGGCGATAATGTCTTCGGTCTACTTGAAAACCCATTGGGTGGATCTGACCTCGAGAGCTACTTAGGAGGCTATCTAAGGACAAATCTTCGAATGCTGAAGAATGTTTACCTCCATGATGGGGCATTTAGCCATCGATGTTTCGCCGAATGGTTCTCGCTGGAGAATATGTCCCTGAAGTGCTTGACGCTGGAACTGAATCAGGCCAGATGGATGAAACGAATGTTAATGCCCGCCACATTAATTCCTATACTCGGCTTGTGGAACATTGAACGCATACAGCTCAAAGTAGAGTACCCTCTCATTTGTGACTTTCGCAACCATTACCTGGGGGATTGGAACTGTTATTTCGACTTCGAACATGACGCTGAGCCGGTCACTGGAGACAGGGAAACGCTGGATGGTCGTAACCGTCATGCATACTATAACCTGAGGCTTGATTTATGGTCATGATTGAGAAAGAGAAGGGCTAGAGCATTGTGCTACATTTAAATGCACACGCGCTAAGTGCAATGGTGCAATATCACAAAACATTGAGGCTACGAGGTCTTTAGGTGCCTTAAGGTATGACAATGAGTCGCTAGGGGAGCGAAAATTGGGCTATGAAAGTGTACTTGTTGCAAAATTGAGTAAGTGAGGTGATGATGAATCTTGACATGCTCTGGCAAAAGTTAGCAGACGTTTCCCTTGGAATTGAAATGGCTGAAAGCATTTGGGATCAAAGTACTGGTGGAATGCATTTAGTTCAAGCTTTAATTGCGTATTTTGGAAGTGAATGAAGAGGGGTTGCCTGCTTGTATGTTGTAAAGTGAGGCTGAGCGCTGTGTCAGATTATTAACACTCGTAATAAGTAGTGTCGTTCAATTTTCTTCCAAGAGACAGACGCTTCAACCTCAACGCCGACCTCAGGCATCATTTCATTCCTTCGCTGCGTAAGAGCGAAATCATCGTAAGTCACCGTCCTGAGCTTGCTTGTGATGTGCTTTCTAATGAGGTCTTCGATGTAGGCCATCATGGACGACCCTGGTCCCTCGAAAGAAAGTCCGTCGATTGCGACATCGTCCGAAGTGACCAAAATCCGCGACCTCATTAACGAGATCGATGAACACAGAGATGAGGGCCCAGCGGAACGCATGCCTACCCATCGATGGAAAATGAGAGGAATTCTACGCAAGATGCAAGATTGTTTGGCTTCTTTCACGACTGCAACAAGCTCTTGTCACATGGACGGTTCAATGAAATCTTCCATTGAGGGTCTATCAGATGATATAGACAAGTTGTTGACGCATCCAAAGAAGACCAAGTTGCAACACCACAGTCCCATTCAAGTTCAGGTACCAGAAACGAAGTTAGGCTTCCTAAGCCTTCCGCTAGAAATCAGACACATGATCTACAATTACGCGCTTGTTCAACATCAGCACGTTCTGTACCCACAGAGGCTATCGAGGTTGAAGCAATTCTCACTTGCAGAACAGCTTTTTATGAGCCAAAGCTGACATAATTGCCTAGGGCCCTTCGAGATCGCAAACACCATGGCGACTGCGACCCTTATTTTTACAGGTATGAGCATTATGATCTTTCACCTGCATGTCTCCGCACTTGCAAGGCGTTATATCAAGAAGGTCTCCCATTTTTATATGGCGAGAACACAATTGGCCTTATTCAAGACTGTTGTCAAAAACTTGATCTCGATTGTCCTTTGCTATGGCAATTGGGCCCAAATACGCATTTGGTCAAGCACGTTTACCTTGATGTAGACACGGAATCGAGCGAAAAGTTGGGGGCTTTTCACGCCTTAGCCGAATATCTTTTTGAGAACGATCAACAATTCAAGTCTCTTACGCTGTCTCTTGACCCTGGTGGGTATCTGTATTCAGCAATAATACCCGATGCTTTAATACAGGTATTTCAATACAAAGTCACTGGGAATGTACAACTAAGAGTCAAAGAGGAGGCGCTTGTGGACTTGGAGGACCAGGGCTGGAGCTTGGTTGGCTGGGACGAATATTTCAATGTTCATTATGACGCGCGGCCTATTGTAGGAGACAGAGACGACTTCAACGATTCAAGTTACACCTACTACAACTTGAAACCTGGTATCAAAAAGTTGACGGCATAGAAGAAAGCAGTATCGGAAGATAAGCAGGCTGGGCTTTTCGAACAAGGCGTGTAGTGGCAAAGTCGCAATATACAAAGGCACTGCGCGGAGATACGGTGCCATGGGCAAAGCACGGAGGTGACAATGGGGTGAAAAGGGTGGATGATTACACTTCTCAGTAAAACTGGGACTCAATTGAGTTTATGAGCACTTAACACGAGCACATAACACGAGCACATAACACGAGCACAATATTCAAGACGTCGTGCTTGTTCCCGTGGCCTCATCAGACCTTTAATCTTTGTTGCGTCGCAAGTCCACCATGCCAGTCGACGACAGCGAGACTAACATCTAGTCGAAGCCTAGAAAAGGAGGGGAGAGCATCCAATGCGCAAGAGCCTGAAACACTACATATCGCGTTCGACTTTCTCATTGTGCAAAATGCGTGGGCGACGATACCGCCAGGAGGACCCACAAGTTGGGCGCAGCTCCAGCTTCTACGTGAACCATTGCACTGCTTCCATCGCATTGTTCTTGTTATTAACACAAACCGAGATGTGAGCTAGGTACATATCGTGTCTTCGATATCCCCGTATCATCGATACTAACAGCCCCTCGGCACGCCAACACGGATGCAAGAAAAGAGAGACCAGGTGTGACAAGCCTTGGCTGAATTTGGGCCAATGGTTGTGTCGTACAGGTAAGAACAAAGTTCTGCGGCTTGTTTGGTGGTATGGTTCCTCGTGTCATACAAACTCTCATTCCTGACTACATAAGATCTCCGACACCAAACCAGAACCGATCTATATTCTCTTAATATTCGTCACTCGACTGAGAAATCAACCTTGCCGCATAAACATGAAGCTCGGGTTTCTTGACCTACCGCCGGAGATAAGGACGGTTGTCTACAGGCATTTGCTCGTGAGGCACAAGCGCATCTTATGGCCACAGAAAGTAATCGGAGCATGGTAAGTCCCTCACATATATTCAGTAGCCTCATGAGAAGCTAACACGATAGTAGGCTTCTGCTAGAGACCATAGTTCCAAAATGGTGTTGGGGTCCATTGCACCGCGGGCACGATTATGACCTCCAATCCGCTATTCTGGCAACCTGCAAGACAATTTATCAAGAAGCACTTCCCGTACTTTACGGCGAGAACGTGTTCGGCCTCTTTGAAGATTGGATCTATGACTCCTACCGCCTCGAGGATACGCTGAAGGACCCGCTGGGATCAAATTTCTCCCTACTTAAGAATGTCTACATAGAACTCGACAGACTCGAGGAGTATCCTCGTCCTGGTTTTCACAGTCTCTTGACTCTTCTGTCAGATAATCACGCACAACTTGACTCTTTGACCATAGATGTTGAGGAAGGTCTTTACGCTCCGGGCGAGAGTGTCCGCGATTCTCTAAGAGATATAGTTCGACAGCAAATAACCAAGCGTCTACAACTCAGAGTCGACAAGTTGAAACACGATCAGCCACGTTGGCAACTCACTTCGAAAAAACGCTGGCATTACTTTCTTCAAATGGAATATGAGGTGGAACCTATTCTGAATGGATGGACAAGCGGCGAAGGAGATTTTGTTGAATGGTCACACGTATTCTATGAGATTGCGACTCAACCTGACGGGCCGAAAAGGAAGTATAGGGCGTTCTGAGACAAATCATAAAAGGGATACACCGACGAACTAACTCAGCAATGAAGATCTGCGTCAATCTCAGTTGCTGAATGCATACAAAGCCCGGGTCAAGAAGGTCGGAACAATGTAGTTTGATATCTTGATATCACATGAATATATTGAACCTAGTCTTCTCCAAGTCCGGGACTTCTCATTAGCGACAGCCGAAGGGACAAAGCCATATAAGCCATATCGGCAGGCCAAAGAATTCAAGGGACAAAAGTCGGTAGTTCTATATCCCAATAGCTCGCCATACCGATGCCCCTTTGCATGAGTCTGATGCGTTATGAAGGATATTAATGAGTTACATTCATGAGTACTGTTGCAACTATTCAACTGGCACTGTCTTTAAGGTTATTTCTGTGTCTTATCTCAACTCACAGATATATTGGGCTTGCTAGACCTACCGCTTAGAGTCAGACTAACGATATATGCGTTCTTACTCAAGCAGAAGCAAAGAACACTGCATTTCGACGAAAACACCACCGGAGAGTATGCAAAAACAGGGATCTAGCTACATTTGATGTACTACGGCGGCTCAGAATGCTCAAGTGACAAAACTAAGTGACTTATGAATGCCCGTATTGATGCCTGCTCGTACTCTCGCAATTGCATTCCACACCGTGATCTACCATATACAAGCGCAAGTCCATTGCAATACCTTACCACCAGCTGCAACGATGCTAGGGCTGATGGATCTACCGCTCGAGGTGAGGCTAATGATATATGGCTTGTTGCTCAAGCAGGACCAGTGGATTCTGCACACCTATCGTGGTAGCATCACACGGTACTCAGCTCAGCTCCTTTACCCCTGCTCTCCCGACCAGAAAATTGACATCTTTTCACAGGAGATTTCCAATTCACCACCCTTATAATCAGTCACAGACTTTGGCCTTGCACCCCAAATCCTACGCTCGAGCAAGACCATACACGCGGAGGCTTGCCCTCTCCTCTACGGCGAGAACGTTTATGGCTTCAAATGGTCCCGATATACCTGTGATGACACATTGCGCTGGCTGAGCTACAACCCGTTGAACATGCCTCTGCACAGGTTGCAGCATGCAATCATCCATATCGGCGGAGGAGGATGGATAGTACCGGAATGCTTGAGCAAGCTCGTCGAGGCTGCGAACATCCATCATATTCACTTGCAGACTTTCACGCTCGGTCTCGATGTGACTGGGTGTCTATCAATAGTTCCCACGATGATTGCTATACTGCTCCATCGAATTAAAGCTAGCAGAAAGCAATTGATGATAACTACAGACACGGATAATTCAATGGAAGATCCTACCAAGGCGGCAGACCTTCTGAAACCGTGGGCATGGGACCATCGCCTTCTGCTTCATCGCAAAGAAGTGTCTTTTTGGAAGCAAAGTCTTGCTGGTCGCAATAAGAAAGCAGCTTTGTACAGCCTGGAGCTACGAGAAGGCTATGAAATTGGACTCGAAGAAGACTTCCGACAGGCACTGGAAGATATTGCCTGGCATTGTAGACGTGAGTAAATTACAAGAAAAGCCAGTAGGCATATTGGTCTAGGACATTGAGGACAAGATCGTACTTTTTGTTCAATGCGAGTTGCCGCCATGTTCATGTCGCAGCTTCAACATGCTTTTTCCCTGTGATGCTGTGATCAGCACGTAGACCGGCCTTTACCATTGGATAATCTGATAGATATGGATGAACAGTATTTATATCAAGGAAGGAAGAATCTAATTGCTAGCTATTACCCCGCACGGTGGCGATGGCAACATCATCGATTTGCCACATCAACATATTCCTCCTGTCAAACGCGACGCTGCCTTTGGAACAACACTTCTCAGGTCGTACAACCTTCTGCTCAGTTTCGAAAGCACGTGGTCCTTGGGACCTCCTGGACCAACACAAACGTTTTGTCAACCTTACTCGTTTTTGCTGTCATTGTTCACGCCCATCAAAAATAATGCTGGGCTTCTTAGACCTCCCCTTCGAGATCCGATACATCATCTACGGCCTATGCCTCAAGCAGCCCGACTCAATTCTCCACATCCACCGCACACACAAAGTCCGCCGTACCGCACTCCGCATGAAAAACATCGAGTATGCCCTCATCCACTCTATGAAGACATCCCACTAACGTCTCATAGAAAATGGCCAACCAATCTACGAGGCTCCCTCCCCCAGGACCTGAACCTCTGCCCACAGCTCCTCGCAACTAACAAATTCATATGTCTCGAAGCAAGCGCCATCCTCTACAACTTCAACATCTTCACCTTCATCTGGTCCCCCGGTTTCTACGACCGCACAATGACCCGTCTCGCACCCCGCATATCCCTCTACCCCGGCAGCATACAGCACGCACACATCCACATCGACGGCATGTGCGAAAAACCCACCAAATCCCTCTACGACCTCGTGCAGTCCATGGTAGACGACCATGTCCGCCTGCAAAGCTTCGCGCTCTCCCTGCACGTGAGCGGATATCGTCCTACCATGGGGCCAATGCTGGCCATGCTGGTGCATCAGATTAAGGCGAAGAGGAATGAGTTGCTGCTTGTGACGGGGACGAGACCTTGGAATGGTGTGACTTGGGGGTATCAGAAGATCTTGGGGGTGCAGAGGAAACAGGGCGGTGAGGGAATGGGGGGTGTTTGGTTTTGAGACCGAAGGGGGAGTCGTTTTGGAGTGCGAGGATGGATGCGAGGGTTGTTACTAAGGCGGTGTTTGATATGGAGTTGAGGGAAGGTTATGATGTTGGGAGGCTTGAGGCTTTTTGGGAGGTGGGGAAGAGGGTTGTTTGTGGTTTCTAGAGTGGGTATATGTTATTGAGATATGCAAAGTCGAGCAAAGAAAGTGTCATATTCGAGCTTCATTGTCCCAGAGGTTTCACTTTGTTCATCAGAATGTGGAAGTAAACACTCTCGGCTCCAAGAATTCAAGTGATACGAGGACTATCATGGGAGTATTGTACTTGCACGATAGGCTGCGTTATGAGCGACTCTGAAAAGGTGCGAAATACATTTTTTCCACGATCTGTCAAACGCCTAGAGAGAGAATTGCATTAAGTTTAGCTGAATATCTATGCCCGAGGCATGACTCGATCATCTTTGCTATGCTCACCCATATCTGAATATTTTTTCAAGCTTTCAACGCATCCCAACTCTGCTTGAGTGTCAATCAAGTGCTGCTGGTATGCCTGAATCAAGTAAAAATTGTAAGGCTCAGGAGAATTTGGAAAACTACTGCTCCATCTGTGTTGAAAGCTGGCATCTTTGATCATGATGGTATGGCGATTCCAAAGAATGCTTGGTTGGGGCTCCTTGTACCGATTACCGTACATAGAGTGAGCGCGGCTGACTCTCCTTTGTTGTAACAACAATACCAATCTTTCAGACGCTAGATTATCTTTGATTATGAAGTCCGGATAGCGATTATTAAGTATGAGAGTGTCCAAGGGTGTTTCTTTGGTCGTCAGTGGATCAAAAATGGAGACTAAGTTGGGCGACCTTGTGCTCATGACGAGAAGGTAGAGATGATGGATTCGGTGACAATAGGTCTCGAAACATTTGGGATAGGTATCTCTATCTAGATGATGTCTCAGAATAGTTGGTGTAAGACTCAAGGGGACCAGTACCTTCCTACTCAGCTGGTGTATCAACCAGCTCGCGGGGATTTGGTTGTATGGAGTAGTAATCAGTTGGTAGATGATCGACGCTGAACAGCCCCTTGAAATGAGACTCCACATTGGGTTCCTTCGTCATGATAAGATGACGATTTTGCTCCAGATCTGGGTTGGGTATTTCAGTCAAATTCACCAATCGAAACCAAAAACGGCCAATCTTCCCTTGGCGCAAGAGCTTTGCCAGCCTTTCCGATATGCCGTCATCATCCGCGATGGTATTGGGCCAGAGGTCACAGAATATCAGAGTGTTCAATCGTATATCTGACGATCGCAGACGCTCGATCATAGGGCCTAATGAAGGCGAAGCGGTCCGACCGATGAACATATACAAATATCGAAGCCGGCTGAAATTGCTACCGAAACAATCGCAATGCCCAAAATTGCAGTGGCTTGTCATGTTTGCAAACCTATTAATTGAAAAGCGGAACATATTCTGCGTGTAGAGTACGTGCACTGCTTCGCTGTAGATTGTTCGAGACGCTCTAAGGACTTCGGGCCAGAAATGAACATGTAACTGTGCTTTATCATGGCCTCTGCCCCGGACAACTTTACATATTTTGGATCCAGATGGAGACTCATAGCTTTCGTAGGTGACTTGTTGATGGGTAATTATCGGCCGTTGAGTGAGAAGCTGACGATAGATGATATTGCGAACCTCAGGGGGTATGTCCATGAAATTCGAACTCATCTCTTCAGATGTGTGGACAAAGACTCAGGATTGCAGAGTACTTGAGGGGGAAAAGGAAGAAAGCCTGAGAGAATATTCGAGGAAATGTACTTGCTCTATGACACGTGTTGTACTCGACGGAACTCGCGCAACGTGAAGTGTCATCGTACTCTAGTGAGCGTGTCTACAGCGATCTCTTTTGGGAGAGTCAGAGGATGGGCGTGTGTCACGTCAAGTCGTAGTCGACGCACGCCTTTGCAGTGGTACAAGGATTAGAGAGCAAAGACCTCCCCTACATGACATTATAGGATCATTTGTTCATTGAAGATCAGAATTGCATCTGCTCAAGTCTGAAATTCCTAACATCTCAATGTTAGGACATTGGTGCTATTCCACCCATGTCGAGCAGCCAGGGCTCTCAATACTTCTCGCTGTACAGATTGATAGAGAAGAATACATAATTTCTACTCATAGGGTCCAAGCGCTTGTCCCACAAAGGTTTCTTTTCAGCATTGCGCCTGGCCATGATATGATGATTCCACTCCAGGTCGCGCGCTGGCTCCATGACGCCTCCTTCGCGAAACCGCATTTGCATCCGTTCTACCCAGTTGTCCCGTAGCCATGAGGCTACGATACTTGACAGCCTTTCATTCCTTATGATTTTACTTGGTTTAAGGCGGCCAAACGTCAAGGTCTCCAGGTGCCAATCCGTTGCTCTTAAGTGTTGATCCAAGTGACTTATGATGGAGTCTGCGGTGCTGAGGATATGGAGAGCGATGTGTCGTATCATGTAGAAGTGGTGGACCGAGGCGTGGTTTTGCCAAGAGGTGCGCTGAAGTGTTCCAGTGCCGGTCATGTACATGAAATCAAACACATTCTGAGTGAACAAGACGTATATTGCTTCTGAGTGTATCGTTTTGCAGGTTCGGAGGAGATGAGGGCAGAGATCGACGCGTGGATCTGCAGGATAGAGGCTTGACATGAGGGAGTGCCTGCACGATAAATTCGTTAGTAGAGCTACAAAGACATCAAGGTATGTTGCGTGTACTTAATGGTGTAGTGTTGCTGGGGAAACAAAGGTTTCTCGCGTTGGATGAGGACGTATGGATATATCATATTACGAAGTTCAGGCGGTAGACTCAAGAAGCCCAAAGCCATTTTCTGAGTATTACCGAAATAGAGATTGAAGAGGAAGTTTGTTGGCTGACATCTGAAAGAGAGCAACGATTTACTTGATTTGTTTTGGTAGAGGCGACGCATGACACGTCTCTTTGAAGACTAAACCAGAAATGAAGTCGTAACACTTGGCATGGGAGTTGGCACTTTTCACGGTAATAACGTATGGATTCTTTGTTCATCAGATGTATGACATTTGTGTCATGTTCTACATATGACCATTACTCTATTGCTGGGTCGGTAGTAGGGGAAAAGGAATGGAGTTTTGTATTACAAAAACCTCAAGAAAAATGTTGTTGCTAAGACCGGCGCATACAAACCAAAGCTACATCTTCATCCCCGAGTTCGAGACAACTCATTCAAAGTGCCCTGACTGACCGTCCAAATTTGCCTGACAGTTCACCTCGAAGCCAGACTGACTTGTGAAGCACGTAACAGGATTTGGTCTGTGGCTCGCCCTTGTTCACGTTCCGTCGAATCGATGTTCACTTGTTGAGAAGTCATATCGATGTCTTGATCACGGAGATATAATGAATAGTAGACGTATGACTCTGGTCCATCCTGAAAATCTTTGTCCCACATGGACCGGTCGGCACCAACAAACCTGATGTGCTGATTTTGGTTCAGCTTCTGTAGAATTCGCTCTCTAGCGTTTCGTATTTCCGCGCTGTCTCGATGTCGCAATTGGATACGATCGACAATCTTGTGCTCCAAAAAGGACGCCAAAACGCGATGGCCGCGGCAGTCTTCAGTGAGATCCCACGGATATATTTCAGAAAATGTTAGAGACTTCAAGTGCATCGCTGTATGATGCAGATATTCGCTGAGTCGTTCCAATTTCTCCAAAACCCTATACTGGAAGTGTACATGGAGGTCCTGGATCATGAGGAAATTATTCGCTGCCATGTGCCGTTGCAACACACACGTGGAGTCTGCAACATTGGTGTCCACGTCCACAAAGCTCAACAAATTCTTCGAGTATAGAATGTGTTGTGCTTCACGATAGATCATTTTGCATGTTCTTAGGACCCCAGGGGAAACATGAGGGCAGAAATTCATGTCCATCCAAGCCGCTATGGAAGGCACACCACCCGCCAAGGCTTTCCTGCACGAAAAGCTTGTCAGCAAATGTATTGAGCTGGCGCTCGACATCGCTTCTTCACTACGTACTTCTCTTGTGGGTAAATGAATATTTGACGTTGGATGAGGATGTAGTCGTAAATGCGCTTACGAAGCTCAGGCGGTAGATCCAAGAATCCGGAAGCCATCTTTCAAGAGGTGGATAGACTAAGGACCAGAATGTGAAAGTTGAGTGAGGGTGATGAGGAAGGAGAAGGAAGACAGAGATGGAAAAAGAAGGGCTACCTTTTATACCGCGACGTCTGCTGTACGACATGGCAGGAAAATGCTCCAGACCCAGACGCTTGTCACACATGCATTACTCGCAGCCAATGGGAGTATTGGAGACGGGTGGTACAATGTGGTCTACGAGAGCTATCCCATTCCGTCAATATAATTCGCGATGACGACTGCAAGGTACCCCGGCACATACACATGACTCATATGCATCCGACCAGGATCATGAGGGAATGTAAGACATCAAAATACGATCCTATTGGCTTGATCAAATAGAGTCACTCTACATCCCTTCACGAATGGTCTTGACTGAGCGGACATAATGCATTGTCACACGTGAATCTCTGTACGCAGAGGGGTTAAGCATCTATTTGCAACTACTTCGTTGGTCTATATTCATTCTTGGCATCATTGACATATTCACATTGCACGCAGGCGACTCCTCACGCCTTCCAGGCTGCTGTCATTAATCTGTGCCAATGCTAACGAAGCCACGTCCTGAATCCTGATTCCACGGAGGTTTAGTAAGATCTGGCAACTGCGACACCTGGTTACAGCCATTGAGCGCCACTACTATATCATCAGTATCCGGGCTCCTATACGAGAGCGCATATTCAAATGCCTCAACTTACTATAAAGGAAACACCCAATATTGAGGAAAGTATAATCCTGCCTCCCCTGAATAGCAATATTAAGACTCCAGAACTGATTGATATTATCCGTACCAATCACAAAACTCGCATAAACCTCCGCCAGCCCAATCAACAGAATACTACTCTGACCAACCGGAAACTCGCCCTGGGACAAGTACCGATTATTGCGAAGTTGTGGGCACACAGCCACCGGCGAAGGAGTGACTTGCTCGCGAAACCAAGCTTTACACAGAAACAACGCGTGGTACGGAGCGTCGGGCTGTGCGACGAAGTAGCTCCCTTTGTCAAAGCACTGCCTCAGAACTCTGAGTTCTACTTTCGGATACGCGGCGAGCTTTTCGACGCTCGTTGCGCAGACGATGGTGGGTGGGATGTTCGTGCTGGGAAGTCGCCCTCCTCGCAATATCTTGGCAAATAGGTTGCTTAGGTATGCTTTGCCTGGCATACGGGCGAAGAAGAAGTCGTAGAGTGGCCCGTCGGCGGCAATCATTGCTTGGGTCAATTGTAACCCGGTTAAGATGTATGCGCGTCTGAAGGCTTGGGTTTCTTCCTCGCTGCATTGGCTGAGAATTGGCTTGAGTGTCGCCTGGGCTTGAGGCGCTGACAAGGTCTTATTGACTTCTGGAACATCATTGAGTGATGCCGCAACAGCAATTGAAGACGTACCTGGAAATGACGGATCCGTGTCAATTGCTACGCTGGTCCCGACAGTCACGAGTACCATGAGCACCAATGCAGTTGAGGCAGTGGAGCAAAGCATTCCTTGGGAGCATGAGTGGATAGTGGAAAGTTTGTGTTTCTTGCCAATCGTCACTGGCAAAATTGATGTGTACTCAGGTGCGTCGGGAAATTTCAACGTTCGTTACCTTTCGACTAAAACCTCGAGGGAAATTCGTAGCAGGGGCATGAAAGTCACCGGCGCGTGTATATGCACTGATAATGCAGGAAGGCCTCTGCGTGAACAAAGACTTGCGCGAGTGTCGGGACATGAGACAACAGCCCTGCGCGTCGCTAAAAATACGCTTTGTTGCAGCGCTGGTAATGGTATTCACCATAGCATTAATGAGCCAGACATCAAAAATTGAGCAACTCGCTTTGATAACGCAGCCGATGTTAAGCCGTTGAAGAAAACGGTTCTGGAGCTCGGTGCCATGAGTATCAGTAATCCGCCGACGGGCTACGTGGATGACGCTTGGGCGAAGACCGATACTCGATGCCATTCTTCGAGAACTTCAGTCGTCGATACAGCGCGTTGACATGAATACAACAAGCCCATGAGCTTTCTCTTAGAGAGTCAATATTGAGAAGTCAAAGCTCACAGATCTTCGCAATGTTTCGATTGACCTTGCCACCCACAACTGGTGATTTCAATGCTGCTGCTACGCGAGTTTAGCATTAGCACTTACGGAGTCAATGTATTACAAACACCAAGAGCTAGCAAAGATGCATTCCGTGAATGTCAAGCGATATCAGAGCGTGGATAGCCCTTTCCGATGTGTCACATCCTTCTTGATGCTAGTTGCCGGTCCGGATTGCTTTCACGCCCTTCTGCGTACGACATCGCAAATCGCCATTCCAAATGATATTCGGTGAACGGGAGAGGCAATCATGGTCATGCCTGGTGGTCTCGACATCGTATCTCTGGATGAAAAGCACGTCCAATGGATGTCAACGTAATTATGTTATTGAATTCACGAGCAGACGGTGTTAGTATACCCAGCTGTCACATCTTTCACTCAACCGATCTCGCGACTGATGCTTGTAGATCTGAGTATCGGAGGCTACTCTGGGGTCTGAAAAAGTCTCGTTGTGTGTGGATGTGATGGAGCTGAAGCTTGGGTATCACACCACGTCTCACGGATCTCATTGTCGAACAAAGAGCTCACTTTGACAAATATACAATGACATCTCGCATCGACACCGAAGTGTTGCAAAGCAACCACACGTATCACAGTCGGATGCCTTCTTTGTTCGCCATTCTTAGCCTTGGGTATAAAAGCACGCTGCTTTCCCATCTTCTGCTTCTGCATCGATACCTCGACCAAACTTCCAAAGATGGCTCCGCCAAAATCAGGCCTACCGTATGATCCGTATCCGCACTATGATCGCACAATCTTCGCCTCAGCAGGCCTTCCCTATGGTCTCGGCCGTCCCTGGGATCAACTCCCTCCACGCCCTCCCCGTGGAGAAGACCCCCCTGTTCGCTTCAAGAATTTCAACACACCGCCTCATGTGCACGACTTCCTTATCTTCACATCCTACGAATTCCGTCTGATCTTCGCTCTACTTGGATACGTCAACGTCACCCAATCCGGCCGTCCCTACCTAGAGATCACTCCCAACAAGACGCTCCGATGCTTCACCGCATCTACCGCATATACTCATCCCCGAGGCCTCGATCATCGCGTCGTCAGCCAAATAGCCTACTTGCGTACTTACGGCCGCTCAGGCGCTTCGAGGATCGCAGACATCTTCAACCCACGGTACGGCGTTTTCGAAAACCCGGTCGAGAAGATCCACCCATTGTATCGGGATGAAATACCACCTGCGCATGGAATGATACGAGAGATGCGTGCGCAAGGACAGCAGGCGTACTGGATGGATGAGATGCGTGATGCGTGGAAAGAATGGTATAATTCCGGAGGGAGAATGCCCCATCAGGAAACGCCGAAGGAACTTTGGATTGCGGCACCCCCACCGATGGAGCGCTTTATGGATGGTAGGAATGTGAAGCGCTGTCATAGGGATGCTGAACCGCATAGGAACCACGGCATGCCGAATTACACGAGTAATTTGTCGGGTAGGAATGCGGAGTATACTCTCATGGGCCCGCTGATGGATGATGGGAGTGGAGGGTACGGAAGCATAGAGCATAGGACCGGACACCACGGGAGCGGACACCACGGGAGCGGACCCCATGAGGGTGGACATCATGGGAGTGGACATCATGGGAGTGGACATCATGGGAGCGGACGTCGTGGGAGCGAACTACTTGGGCTTGGGAATTATGAAGATCGACGCCGAAGCGAGCGCCGTCCGAGTGAGGGAGCCCGTGGAAATCGTGGATATGGAGATGAGCGCCGTCCGAGTGGAGGACCCCGTGGAAATCGTGGATATAGAGATGAGCGCCGTGGAGGGTATCGCGACGACGACTTCATGAGCGATGACTATGATAGTGACGACTATGGCCATGGAGGACATCGAAGCAAGCGACACCATAGCCGAGGACGTGGGCATTGAGAGGCGCTGAACGAGATGATGTGAAAGATGAATGGCGGCCTAGAGATTGCATTTGGAGGTTTTGTGGATGGTGCTTGATTTAGTAGCTATTGTTTGCGATACCTGCATTTGGTTGAAAACGGACGTGCCTGAGTATGCAGTTAGAATTAAATGATTGTCATTGATTACCAGACGAGTTACCATTTGAATCTCTTCGTCCACTATCAGCGCCATGCTCTGAGCAAGAAGGGATGTCCTATCAGCCAAACGCAATATTGTGCTCCTCGTTCCATTCCTCGCAGCGCCTTGCTCGTAGCAAGAAAGAATGTCCTATCAGCCATATACAATTCTATCCTCCTCATTCCATTCCTCGCAGTGCCTTGCTCTTAGCAAGAAGGGATCTCCCATCAGCCAAACACAATATTGTCCTCCTCGTTCCGTTCCTCGCAGTGTATTGCTCTGAGCAAGAAGGGATGCCCCATTGTCCTCCTCGTTCCATTCCTCGCAGCGTCTTTATTCGTAGCAAGAAGTAATGTCCTATCAGCCAAAGACAATGTTGTCTTCCTCGTTCCAGTCCTCATTCTCTTTGATCACACTTTGCACTTCCTCCACAAAAAGCTTTGGTAAAGCAAGGACCTTCTTCTCTACCCTCTGGTTCTGTAGTATCGCATGACTGGCCTTCAGGTAAGCGCCGCGGAAGTCGTTCCATAAGTCCTCGTCCACATCTGGTCTGGGGTAGTAGGGGTCGTTCCCCAAGAACGCCGGCACAAGCTTGGTCTTGACATCTTGCTCGGTCAGTTTGATCCTGCTTGCTTTGTCGAAGTCCAGCATCCAAAGATGTATCGCCCGACGCTTGAAGTCCACAAACTTCACCTTGTGCGGCGGTTGGGACGAGTCGCTGTAGCCTCTTGGTCGGTCGGTATCCCATGTGGCGCTGCTGCCGAGGACGAACTCTGTATCCATACCATCGACTTTGGCTTGCCAGTGGATTGTCGCTAGACCTATTGCCATCTCGACTGCGAGCTCAGGGATGTCGACGTCGATGTCTTCGATCATGTTTAGCTTTAAAGGGAAGTTTCGTAGCGTATCGTAGTCATCTGTGGGTGTTTCGCGTTCTCCCAGATACACTCGTGCCAGGCAGTCCTCATTATCTGGGTCACTCGTGGCTTCGTGCTGAACTTCCTCGTCAAAAAAAGCATCGATCAAGGCTTCTCTAACGGGTTGGGGCAGCGGCAGGATTCGATCCACCGTGAAAAGCGGCTGTCTTGTGCGATGACTCTCTGGAAAGCGGTGCAAATAGCCAGACGAGTGTTCTTTACGGTCAGATGTGCCTACACTGTCAGGCGCGCCAAGCCAAAAGTCGTCTTCGTCGGCGAGGTGAAACTCGTAGCATAAAGGCGTCTTCGGTATTGTAGCTGCCGGGAAAAGCTGCTGCATTAATGTTCGCACGTCCCTATTCGCGTTGTGAACTTCATTTGTCAGGCAGAAATCCTGCCAGATTCCTGCAGCATTGGTTCCTTTCTTGAACGCAAGCTCCGTTCCAGGCACTTCAAAGACTGACCCGCAAGACCCGAGGCCAATGATTCGCAGGTCGCTTGAGCCTGGTTTCTGGGCCATTGCTGCCCGTTGCGTACGCGCGGCGAAGCTTGAAAGGGTCGAGATGTCAGATTTGGTGGACAATGCGCGCCTCAAAAGCTGAAGTGAGGTTCCTTTTGGGACATTTTTAAGTGGTTCATTCACTTTCAAGTACGGCACAGCATAAACAAAGCCTTCGGAGAGGGTGGTGGAGTATAAACCGGCGGAGACATTGCGACTCTCTGGTTGAGACATAATAGTGCAAGAGACTGGATAGCTAAAAGGCAGAGTTGAATGGGGCAGTTACACTGAGCTCTAGATGAAGAGAAGTCTGAAATGCAACACACAAAACCAAGTAGAGTCTGCTGATTCAAAGTGGGGAAAACTCGAAGCCTCAAAAGTTTAAGGGGAAGTTACGGTGCGGCCGTAATTCCGCACCAGCCCTACAAATGACGTAGCCTCCTTTTGTGATATCATCGTGCGAAGGGGACAAAAAGACCGAACATTGGGATTTTGATACCTAGTTCTTTATCTGTCACACTCGTCCAAGACCCTCAAGTATCGAATTTGAGGCATTCCGTCCAAAATGGGATCTTATCCTCCAGCAATTGTCACGACGGAGCAGACTGCAGAAGAAGAGGTAAAATTCTGGCGTGGCAAGATTGAGGGCGTGGCAATCAATGCCTTCAATTCACAAGTCAGAATGCTGACACAGTAGAGTCGTAGCGCAACATAGCCCTCTGTAAAGAGTACATGTCCATAGCCTATAATCCGAAAAGCGCAGGGGCCAAGGCAGTAGCTCACTTATGCCACCCCGATAGCACCTTCTGGAGTCCATCCACATTCCCTGGATGCGAGACACCGATGGACTATGCCGAATCACACTCTCACGTCATGAAAAGCGTTGCCGATTTGCACATCATACGCTTCGATCGGGTCTTTGCAAAGAATGGTCACGTTCTGCTGAGATATTCAGCCGAAGGTAGCTTTAGTGGCGAGCCTTACATGGGCATTCCCGCAAACGGAAACCATGCAAATTGGAGTGCTGCAGCGATCTTTGAAGTTGAGGATGGAAAGATCAAGCACTTTACAAAAGACTGGGATCAGAAAGTCATGCAAGTAAGTGGGCAAATGAGTATGATGAGAAAATTAGGTCAGGCATACTGATACAAATTCGAAGATTCAACTAGGGTGGGCGCCAGTCAAGGACAGTGAGAATCCTCGCTGGAACAAGGACGCATTAGCAAATCCAGAGACGTCAAGAAAGAAGGTATGAATTTATATGTTCCATCAAATTAACAAAACACCCAATATGTACACAAAGAAAACAAGAGAGAGAGAGAGAGAGAAAGAACCAAAACACGCCAGCCAGTCCCCCTAATGTCCTCCCAAGTAACCCCACGTATCAAACTTCTTCACAGCTGCCTTCGCATCCTGCCACCCCACCGCACTCCCCCACGGCCTATCACCCGCCACAAACTTATCAAACGCCTCCTGCCCCTCTCGATCCGGGCCCGGATCCTTTGTGCCCAGATTCCATCCCAAATCCTGCCCGCTCGCATTCTCACAAAGCCAGCCCTGGTTGCTATGTTTCGGCCCGCCATTCTTGCGCGGGTTGTAGTACACCACGGCGGGCTCCTTGCACTCTTCATCAAAAAACGTCTGCACCTTGATGAGCTCGTTCTTCCCTTTGCCGAAGAACACCCCGATGCGGGTGGCGTTGTCTCGGAGGAATTTCTGGCAGGCGCCACGTCCGTCTGTGGGGCGGTGGTGGTCCGGGTGTAATTTTGGGCGCTGGTGAGATTCGGGCCCCGCGCAGATCTGGTGCTCGCAGCCCATGTCGTTGGCCGGGTATTGCCCGATCCAGGCGTAGTCCCATAGGCCGCGGGATTCGATGGCGGCGGAGGGCAGGGCGGCGGAAAAGGGGCCGAAGGAGAGGCAGGCGAGGAGGGTGAAGAGCTGCATGGTGACGGGTGGCGGTGGGTGTGGTTAGCGGATGTGGTAGCTGGGTAGGGTGCGTGTGTTTAAAGTGGCTGTAAAGAGGTGGTAAGTAGTGATTTAGTGGCTTGTAAGGATCTGGTCTTTAATCTAAATGTCTAAATAATGGAGATCTAAGATGGGGAGAAGGCGGCTTATATACCCCAGCAGTCCGGTGCCAACCGCTATAGTTTCCACATTCTGGCAATGGAGTCAGCCTTTGAGAGAGTAATCAGAGTCACTGGCAGTTCTATAGTGGTGGCATTATGCCAAAAGCCAGCTTTTGGGAAGTTGGAGGCTACTTTGGGATGGTAAGGTCTTTCTAGCTTATGTGGCTGGCTTGTGAAAGTCATTCTTAACTCTTTTTTGCCTCCTGCTACACGAACAGAGGGTAATGGAAGGTCCGGAGAGACCATTTTTGAATATGTCAAGTCAGTTTGTGGAAGTCAAAAGCCCATTTAGGTTCATCGACGGCTTTTGACTGAAATGGCTGACTCATACAAGTCATTTTCATCTATTTCCCGCCAATCACGCAGAACAGGCTGTCCAATACTGGCATGAGACAAGTGGTGCAAGTGCCCTGAGGATCAAGGGTGACAAGTGCGAGAACAAAAGCGAAGCGAATAGGGCACACAATACTCCAAAAAAAAAAGCGAATAGACCTAGACGCAACAGTCTGTCAGATTAAGCGAGCCATTCCTCACAAAGAATTCGAGTTCTCAGGTACAATAAGGAGACACCACCTCCGGGTCTGGCTTCGCTACCGAGACACCAAACCATCCACGCCACACAATGTCGGCACTATGCCACAACGCCGGCGAATAACCTCACAAATGCAATCCCAACAACCACAACTCTACCAGCACCCTCCCAACCCAAGCATGACCAAAGTCCACAAATCCGGTCTCACCTCAAGCGCATGTCCATGCACCCCGCTGACTCCACACCCAAGTGTCTGAAACAAAAGCCACGTTTTGCGCGTGCAACACAAGCGCTAATGAAGCACAAGCCTTGTTCCAGCCAGCAGCTTATCTCGGCTATCGGCGAATAATGGTGGAAGGGCACGAAGGGGGACCGAGACCTTCCTGTCGCGGAGGGTTTCACGGGCAGACCGGGCGCGCTATTAAAATAACCTGGGGAAATGCTTTTCTCCCCACAAGTGGAGAATCTTTTCAGTATCCTGTTTTGTCTTGAGGTGGTCAGGCTGCTTGGTCTGCGATAAAGCAGCATGATTTCATTAGTGTTACTACTGGTAGGCATGTGGGCGATGCAAACGCAGCAGACACCGATCGCGAAACTCATCAATCTGCGCGACCTCCCCCTCCCCCCTCCCCCTCCCCCTTAGCCCCGAACCATCCAACCCAATCACCAACACCAACACCACCGCCGCCGCCGCCGCCGCCGCTCCACCTCCCAAACCCATCCCCCGCGTCATCGAACTAACCCCCCGCCGCCACGGCACCACCTTCTCCTCCGACGCCTTCAACGCCCTCACGCTCTGCGCCTACGCCGAAGTGAAATCCGCCATCCTGGACAACGGCGAGGACGCGCGAGCGCGGACTTGGAAAGTCGAGAAAGCGGGGCTGACACTGTTTGCGGAACGCGTGCGGATGAGTGATCGGCCGTATACGTATGGCTTGTTGAGGGATATGGTGGTGTTGTTGAGGGAGCAGTTTCCGTTGACGCCAGGCGCGGGGTGGAGGATCGCCGAGGTGGATTTTAGGGTGTTGGATTTGGTTGGTGGTGGGAGTGGGGGAGAGGGAGGGGGAGGGGAAGGGGGAGGAAGGTTTTGGCGGCGAGGGGGTATGTGTATAGGAGTTATGATGCGGTGGGGGGAGGGAATGAGACGGGGGGTGGGGTGGAGGCGATGTAGGGTCTAGTTCGTGTTGGGAATGATGAAGGCCGAAGAGCAGGGTTTGCTGTATCTGCCAGAACACAAAGCGGGAGATGCATATCATGTGCTTGTTATAGGTGCTTTGTGATTCTCCAAATGTCCCCCCTGGATCTTGACACCTAGCGTTTTGATGACTTAGCATAAAATGCTGTCTTGGATGGAGGCAGAAACTTGGAAAGTCACAGGCAAGGCAACATGGGATTAAAGGATTCGGGGTCGAGAAGGAGTAGTCTCCTTGTACATCTAGAGCAAGGCAATATTGTCGAAGATAGAGGGTTGACGCTTCGCAATGAGACGTCACAAAGCATTATAAAGAACTCTTGTATTATTAAATGAGTTGGGGGAACTTTGGTTTCTTGAACCTTACTCAAAGGGCGAATATGCTTGGTTATAAAAATCGTTGGTTATCTCTGTGCCGCTGCCCGGTGTTGCAAGACTGGAGGTGTCTATAGTAGTTGCTCGAACGATGCTCTGAAAGAGGATATTAGCGTTCCAGATACGAGCGATGTATTCGTGAAGTGTTATCATCTCGGCAGGAGATGCGATATTGGGTCTAGTCTTTATAGGGCGGCAAATTCAAACGACACTTGCTCTCGACCCCTCTTTCTCTTTCTTTCCATACGCTCCTTCATCCACCCCAAGTAACAACACATTGTTGTTTGCACCGTTCGGAGTTGCGCAGCCACATTGACGTATACCAATATGGCTTTGGGCCTGCTTGACCTACCGCCCGAAGTCCGGACGATTATGTATGGTTATGCGCTGACACAGCGTCATGTGATCTTGTTCCCTCAGAAAAGATCTGTATTAAGGTAAGAATATCCATGTTCAAAACAATTCGAAGGAATCCAATCGCTGAAAAGTTCGTTTTGAAGGCATTACTCTCATTTGGGGTTTCCTTCGGAACCTACTCCTTACCCTGCGCTTCTCAGGGTCTGTAGAACATTTTACATTGAGGCAACACGCATCCTATACGGCGAGAACGTTTTTGGCTTTCTAGGCATCCGTTCAGCCTTCCCAAGTCTCGATAGCGCTTTGACGACACAAAATCTTACAGCTACCAATTTCTTAAGGATTCGCAACCTCTACTTAGAGTTGGCTGCGGTCGATAAAGAATCGCTATTACGGTTTATAAACTATCTAGATGCTACAAAGATGCATTTGGATACTCTGATCCTTGGCCGTCTTCGGCCTGGGCGGCTTCTTGGAAATGATGAGATGTCGAACCTAGTAGCATCTTTATTACGGCAAGGAACAGTCCGTCGTCTTCAGATCAGGAACAACGCAAGGTATAGACCACAGCCGGAGGTGGAAAGAAATGGCCTATTTATTCTAACCCAAGACGCGGAATCCATGTGGGGCATGAGCTTTGGGACTGAACGCTTTAAGAAAACCTATCATTCGGTCGTACTAGCCGATTCGAAGCCCTAGAAGTTACAGCCAGGTCAACGTCATCGAGAGATGACTTGCCCATGGAAAACCACAAGAATTATTCGACATGCAGCATATTTTCAAATACGACGGATATCATTGGTGAACAGTCATTGCTTCATCATGGAGAACCCTCGTTACAAACTTGCTTCTTGGATTCGACTGAGAGTGCCACTTGAGAACACACCAATGAGCTTTTGTGCTTGCTACCAAGGAAAGCGATCAAGGACTCTTAGTGAGAGAAACGCTATTGCAGTCCGAAGGTATATCGTCATCTACCTAGACATGCAAATTGAAGGTCTGCGCATCAAGATTCCGAATCTTGAACACGTTCTTTAGTGCCTCTCATCAACTTTGCTGATTTACCTATCGTTGCCAATCCCAATCCTCCCAACGATCATCTTCCTCGGGTCGTGCGCCGTCAAATGCTTGGGTGAGCAAAATCCCGAGAGTTGACTATGGAACGATAAATGACATGCAACCCTGTGGTGGTAAGAGACAGGACTGTCATAGTCTTGCATGAGCCATTTCTACAATTCCCACCGCCGCCGGCCCCGGCCCCTCAAGATCGATTGACTTTTCCGGGGCTTCTCTTAGCCGCAGATAGTTTCCACTTCGCGGCATCGTACGCCTACCGATTGGGCACCGCACCTAGGTTCCGTTGGCGTATCATGCAGGCAAGGGTTCCTGGAGACACTTGGACCAGGCACACTTAGCAGCTCTAGGCAAGTCTTATGGTGATCCCCCTCCCTAGACCAGTGAACCACGTGCGAACCGTGACGATGGGCCAGGAACGACTTATAGCGGTGTAAATGGTCAGGATGAATGCACCTTGTGCAAGAATGCTGTTTGGAGGTCGCTATAGGACCCAGGAGAGCTTTACGACCTTATAGCCCTTGATTATACGTTGCAGGCTTCATCGATGTCCACAGACCAGCCCGGACGGTAGCCTGGGAAGTCGGCTAAAATTGCACGACGATCAAAGATCAACACGGCTATTCCAGATCTCCAAAATCCTAAAGCTTCGCATCCGACAAGACGACGGCTCCTTGGCTTCGACTTATATGGCTATGGAAAACTCACAGCTTCCCTCATCCTCTTCTTGCCTCATCACGTCTCTCGAGGTAGCTAAAAGCACACAAACATGCATATATTACGATCACTGCTGGGTTTGTTCTTTGTTTACATAGCATCCGTGGCCGGCGAGCTCAACCTCCTCACCTTCGCCGATGGAGGAAAAGGCCAGGTGTTAGGCAGCACTTTTGGCGCGCCAGGCACGAATGCGACCTTCGATTACGTGATTGTAGGTGGAGGAACCGCGGGCCTTACGATCGCGACCAGACTGGCAGAGAATCCTGCCGTCACCGTCGCTGTCATTGAGGCTGGAGGCTTCTATGAAGTCGATAATGGCAATCGAAGCGTGGTCCCTGGATATTCGAATTTCTACACTGGCGCTGATCCGAACAATTATCAGCCTTTGATAGATTGGGGCATGGTCACAGAGCCGCAGCAGGTGCGTATCTGCCATGGTGAACGATTTGGAGAAGCTGGAATGACCATGTCATTAGGGTGCTGCGCAACGCAGGGTTCATTACGCCAGAGGAAAGACACTTGGAGGCTCGTCTGCACGCAACTACATGATTTACCACAGACCAACCAAAGGCTCGCTGCAAAAGTGGGCAGACGAGGTAGGCGATGAGGACTACCTTTGGGATAACTTCCTGCCGTATTACAAGAAATCTTGTAATTACACCACCTTCAACAAAGCACTCTACAACGCAACCATAAGTCAAGACACGACTGCATTCGATCCTCAAGGCGGACCGCTCCAAGTCTCATTCAGCAACTACGCCGACGCTTTCGGCTCCTGGGCCCAGAAAGGTTTCACAGGCGTCGGCATGGCCCTCCAAGACGGCCTCCAAAGCGGCATTCTCAACGGCTCAGCCTTCTCCACTCTCACAATCGACCCGCGCAACGGCTACCGCTCCTCCTCCGAGTCCAGCTTCCTGCAAGCAGCGCTCCAGAACGGCACATCTCCCACAATCTACAAGAACTCGCTCGCCACACGCCTCCTCTTCTCCTCTAACCACACCGCCACCGGCGTCACCGTAACGACAGCCGGACCCTATGGCATCGCACCCGTCAACTTTACCCTCTCTGCCCGCAAAGAAGTCATACTCTCCTCCGGCGTCTTCCAATCCCCGCAACTCCTCATGGTCTCCGGCATTGGCCCCGCCTCCACCCTGCGCGCCCACTCCATCCCCGTCCTCAAAGACGTTCCCGGCGTCGGCCAAAACATGTGGGACCACGTCCTCTTCGGCATCTCGCATCGCGTGAACGTTCTCACCGGCTCCGCGGGCCTCAACTCCCCCACCGTCGCCGCAAAGTTAGCCGAGCAATTCAAGACCAACGGCTCTGGCCCCCTCTCAGCTTTCGGCGCAGGATTCTATGGCTGGGAAGCCTTGCCTGAACCGTACCGTTCTTCCCTCTCCAATCCCTCGCGAGGCAAACTCGATGTTTTCCCCGCGGACTGGCCAGAACTGGAATGGTTGCCCATCTCCGCTTTCCTGGGCTATCAGCGCAATAGACAAACCGAGGATCCGAGAGATGGGTATAATTACGCGACTGTGAACCCTGGGATCATCGCCCCCTGAGCCGTGGCAATGTCTCCATCACTTCGAGCTCGATGGCGGATCTTCCGGTCATCAACCCCAACTGGCTCTCCGACCCCGCGGATCAAGAATTGGCAGTCGCGTCTTTCAAGCGCGCGCGCCAGATCTGGCAGATTCTCTCCGGCTTGGGCCTTACGGTTGATAAGGAGGAGTATTTCCCTGGGCCGAACGTGACTTCTGACGCTGCGATCCTGGATTTTATACAGCGGTCCTTGATGACGATCTATCATGCAGCAGGGACGTGCAAGATGGGAAAAGTGGACGATCCCATGGCTGTGGTCGATAGCAAGGCACGCGTGATCGGCTTCCAAGGTTTGCGCGTTGTGGATGCGAGCTCTTTCCCCTTCCTGCCGCCGGGACATCCGCAGAGCACGGTGTACGCGCTTGCGGAGAAGATTGCTGTTGATGTGCTCGAGACGGCGGGGTTGAGCGTGCCGGGGGAAGGGTATGATTTGAGTGGATATGAGAAGGAGCAGGAGATGTTGGGGCAGCAGAGGCAGGGAGGTGGGAGTGGGACGGAGGCTTATAGTGCGCAGAATGCTGGAGGAAAGGTGGAGGGGTGGGGGAGTGTGGTTCTGGCGGCTGTGGCGATGGGATGCGTTATGTTGGGTATGGGCCTGTTATAGAGGTGAGTTATCATAGAGATGGTGTATCAGATTCAGTGTACCTAGGCTTGGTGGCCAGGAAGAAGATGTGCTCATCCGAGTCTGCCGCTTTCCCACATCTGCCATACTTTCACTGCTTAATCTCGCATTGTCTACCTCTTTCACATAGGAGTCTACAGGTCGGCAGACCAACGCTAAAGCTTGGCTGACCAACCCCGCCCTAAAATTTTTAGCGGATTTAGCTTATTTAGTAATATTTAACGGATAGTCAATTGGTCCGCCGAGGTTAAAATTATTAAAATTGATTAATAATCGATTAAAACTAAACTTTAAAATAATAAAATAAAATATTTTAAATATTTTAAAATTAATTATTAATCGATTTCTAATTGTTTCTCTAAGAATTTTCTTAGCAAATTCTTAAGAAATTCTTTAGAGAAACAATGCTTAATTAATTAAGAATTAATTAAGAATAAATAAATTATTTCTCTTAAGAATTTTATAGTAAATTCTTAATAAAATTTCTAGAGAAATAATTTATAATCGATTCTTAATCAATTTTTAATTAAATTCATTTCAATTTAAATAAAAAAAGATTTTAATCAATTTAAAATCGATTAAGAATTGTTTCTCTAAAGAATTTCTTAAGAATTTGCTAAGAAAATCCTTAGAGAAACAATTATTAATCGATTTCAAATCGATTTTAATACTTTAAAAAATATTTTAATTAATGAAATCAAATAAGCTCACCGGACCATAAACTTAATTAGTATGAGGGATTTATTTATACGCTAAATTTTTAGATTAGCGTTGGTCAGCCGAGCTTTAGCGTTGGTCTGCCGACATGTAGACTCTTCACATAGTCAGTCTCGACGCTAAGCTGTTCTTCATTTTGTTGCAATACAGGATGAGAGCAATCCCTTCACTGCATCACCTAAAGCGGTTAAGCCCCAGGGTTCGGCTCAACTCCGGCCTCAAGTGTTGTCAAAACCGCCGCTGGATTTCTTTCCCTTTTCTTCTTCACGGAGACATTTCTCTCTTGTCATAATATTTTCAAAAATCTGGCCTTGCTGCTTCCATTGAATGATTCAGTTCATTCCTGACAAATTGCTACAGCAGTCAAGCGCCCCCGGCTAAGTAGAGCGACACCAAAAGGGCCTGTCGCTCAGAACTCCCTTCCCCTTGGCATGGCAGTCTGCTGCCTCCATCCTTTTATGCTTTGTCATATTCAATGAACTCGACGCTCTGGATTGAGAAAATGATTTGGTTCACTTCTTTCGAGACGCTGAAAGTCGTCGAGCTCCCCTCAATCTCTGGTCGATACAGCGATACCGAAAGGCGGCGCCGCGAAGAGCTCTCGCTCTTGTTTGCTGATGATCTATCACCATGTCATAGCATCATCTCCAGCAACTCGGTGCTTTCGAAGCCGATTCAATTCACTTCTTTGGACTCGCTGAATGAGGCTAAGCGCCAATTTGGACGCTCGTGGAACAACACCTTCAGCCCCACTTCCTCCTTCTTGTTGACACCTCACTGCTTCCGATTATGATCATGACCATAGGCCACGAAATGAACTGACTGCGGAACTGAAGCTTCAAGATCGTAAGTCATCGTCCTGTTCCATGCCTGCACAACCCATTGTCTTCCATGTGTCCTCAGTTGTGAAATTTTTGATGCCCCACTATGAATTTGTTGCAAGCGAGTGAGGATGGTAAAGACTGACTATCACGCACTAGCTACTGGTATGCTTTCACCAAGTATAGAGATCTATTGTAAATAAATGCAGGTATGCCGTGCGCCTGTGTCACCAATCGTAATTCACGCAAAGCTAAAGTTGCGATATTAGGAGCAGCCATGGCGTCTTTGCTTGTTTATGCAACCCTGCTGACAGTTGCTGTCATCACCGGACGGTTCATTGACGGAATTCTAGCCACTCAAGTCGAAGAATCACGACAGGCCCAGGTGCCGTCAGATCTTGTGGAAGAAGACCAGATTCTGGAACTCGAAGCGAGGTCTGAAAGCGAGATACAGGCTTACTTTGATCTTACTGAAGAAGATCGCGCTTTGCAATCGGAACTAAGGCGTACGCCTGAAAGCGATGTTCTGGCACACCATTATCGGGTTGAAGAAGATCCTGTTCTGCAATTAGACCCGAACGGCAGACCTGAAAGCAAGGTTCTGGCATACAACGACCGCGTTCAAGAAGATCCCGTTTTGCAAGTGGACCCAAAGCACAGGCTTGAAAGCGATGTTACGGCACGAATTTTACGCCCTAACAAAGACCGCGTCTTACAATCAAAGCTGAGACGTAAAGCCAAGCAAGTAGGATATGAACCCCGTCGATATCGGAACAAGGACATGATACTCGACTTGTGTCTTCACGGGCGAGACAAACGTCCAGATCGTCACGAAAACACGGTGCGCATCTACAAAGACAATCCGCTTTCGCAAAAGACGGGAGGGTTAACGGATTCAATGCTGAATACTGCTTTGGAGGCGACAAAACTAATCATCTTCGTTGATCACAACAATGATTGGAACGCAATTCACGTATATTTGTCGCACTTTTTCAACGACTGCGCCATATGGAACGAAATGCTGAAGACCAAAGTCATGACCGAACATTCCCGCCTCAAAAAGGTCATGGAAAGTGTCTTGCATGAGCATCTTGTTGAGTACTCGCTCAGGGACGATTTTCTTGGCTTATGGGCACTCGTTCCCAAGAATAAGGCCAGGCGTCTCGCTTACTTCGAGTCAAAGTGTACCATGGACCTCCTGGCAGAAGCATATGAACATTTAAGGAGCGCCGTGGATCTACCACTAGTATTTGGAGATCCCAAGTACTCACAACATCTTTTGTTCATGAAACAAGTATACGTGCATTATCTGGAAGACATCTGGGTTTATAAGCAGCACGCATCTCACAGAACTGATTTCCAGGACTTGGAACTAAACTCGGCTTTCGCGAATTATACTGATAAGCACAGAGGTCTTCCAGTCGCAAGAGCAGGGAACATTTTAAGCTTGCTGGACGTTCCTGTGAACAAAGTCTTTCCCAAACGCAATTACCATGGTGGCAAAAGGGTAACAAATTTCGAACCTTTTCACGACCCTTTCAATGGCGTGACAGACATTCAAATTCCTGCTCCCCGAGAAAAATATACTTGAAGTTCTCCAGGTATCTTATATTCCATGCATAAATCTTCGCAATGATATTAATGTCAGTAGATCGAAGTGCTCTGAAACCATGGGTCTTCGACAGAGACATATGCATTCCTCACTGACGTGACGTTGACGGAACTATGAGAAGGCAGTCCTCCTCTCTTGGTACTGACTGAGTACCGCAACAATGGGAAGATGAGAATATGAGAACGAGAACTGCGTAAGGATGCAGAGGCGAAAGCATGGCGAAAGCATAATTTAGCTAAGTGTTGTCTCAATATATTTAGACAAAAGCTATTGTATTACCTCATTCTACTAACTTCCCGATTTCCCCCCATCCCCTTCTCCCAGTGCCTCGTCACACATCTGAATCCCAATGATTTTAATTTAACTCAAGCTGAGCGTCACATCAGCTGTCGACCCTGCCACCCAGTACCCATTGAAGTCCCGCTCTCTGCAGCCAGAGACGTCATCACTCAACAGCGATGAGTACATTGTGTGATTCAAGTTGCTAGTGGACTACCCGCAAGGTCCCACAAGTGAAATCTTGCCGTAGATCCAACCCAATCTAGTCCCTCGATAAACTCTCCAGCAGTCTTGAGAGCCACTCACTCATTCAAGGCAATTAGAATGGACCCGACTCGACAGCAGATCTAGCTATTCTCTATACAGGACATATGTCATGAAAACTTAATACTGACAATAGCAATTTGCCGGGTGTACTCCATGACCTCTGGCCGTCAAAGACAGGGGAGCCCGCTACTAACTACTATTATGATCTCCGCTCATCACAAAGCAGAAGATATATAGAGTCATACAACCAACAGCACCGCCATCCATAACGGCTCCACTGCCAAAGTCGTCTTACTCCCCTGATATCACAATCGGGAGCTCCTGCCCCCCCCTCCCTTCCCAATCCACACACTCTACTCAACTCAATTACCCGCGTCCGCTAGGTTAGTTCGACCACGACCATCTATAGCGGCGTGCCCCACGAAGCGTCATCTTCGCCTATCATCCAGAGAGAGTGAATAGTAATAAGGGCTGGGAAGGGCTGGTGAGGGCTGAGGAGGGGGGAGGGAAGGCAAGAAGCGCGAAATGTCCAACACAAGACTGGACTTTGCCGTAGCGCTTTTTGGGGTTTGCTACTCGTGTTGCGGGTAATGGTGCGGTGCGGTAGTGGGGTTTTGGTGCGTCTATAGGAAGAGGGGAGGAAATGGGGGTTGGGCTTGAACGCCGCATGGGTCAGTGGGGGAGGGAGGGGGGGTTGTTTCGGGGTGGTAGAAAAGGAGACAGAAAACTCTACGTGTAATGCTCCAGACTACCATGACGAGTGAGTGGGTTTCTTTGAGCGGTTTGACGGAACGGCAGGCTGCTACGCTGGTATGGTGGTAAACAACAGGGTAGGGGGAGGCGAGTGAGAGTACCATCAAAGGCTGAATGGCAGAGGGAAAAGGGGAGGGGAGGGAAAGGGAGGGACAGCAGGCCCGCTGGATGAGATATGACCACGTTGCACAGGAGCTGGTGGTTGTCACAACCCGTTCTGAAGGCGATCAGCTGGAAGTTGTTGATCGTAGCTGCGAGGCTTGTGAATTGCTGGTTGCTTGAGACGAGATTCTTGGATACTGGAAGGGCTGGGAGGTTCGGTATGTCATCAGGATGCCCTCAGGTGTCACAAAATCGTTATGTACGACCACATATTGCAGGTTTGATCCGCACCTTCACGCGTCAGCGATGGCAGATCGTGGGCGAGGAGAGATTCAGAGCCGACGTCTTGTCTGGGCATGGCAAAGCCGGCGTGTTTGAGGCGTTTTGGAGCTGGGAACAAGCACGCTCTTTCTGATTGCGCGACATCTGCTCTGGAGATATGGACAATGCGGCAGTAGGGGGTGTGAGAGTTGCGGCGGAAGAATCCTCTGGGTACTTCGCTGGGCTCTGAAGGTTCCTTGTTCTAGGCACTTCGGTGGGGTGGGCTGTGGGGCGGCGATAGTGGAAATGGTGGTGGTGGTGGTGCGTGGGGTAGACATATGCAAGAACTGGAGGGAGGGTGTAGTGGGAGGGTAATGGAATGGTTGGAGATAGCGTACGTGGGAAGCGCACGTCGGTAGATTGTGAAATTGAGCTCGAAGAAAGTGCAGTGGTCTAGAATGTTGATTACGTTTCTTGTTCGAGGGAGGCAAGGATAGTGGGCGGGAGATGTTGTGTGGTGCTGTGATGGCGACGGTTAGGGCAGGGAGGCGGGGAGGCGGGGAGGCAGGTCATTCGTGGATCAGGTTACGATAAGTCCATTGCGAGAGAAGTAGTCCTGGCAGAACATCGTAAGACAAAGTGGGTGATGTTGCTCGATGCTATTGCATCTCTGGACTCAAGTCAGTGGTGGGATTAGTCAATCAACATCACTACTTGGTTTGTGAGAAGTAAGTCTGTTGGTTATTTGTCAAGTCGTTTAATACATCATCATCGCATAGAATGTCTGAATGCGTTCCAGATGTGTTGGGTGGATAAATATATTCTATCGAGGCTGTGTGCTAGCAGGACTTGTGGGCCGTGGCTTGCTTGTGGCAGAGGCGATCCACCTGTCGGTCACTCAACAATTGGATTCGAAAGTGTCGTCACATATAATTACCTCAGTACGTCCATATCAACGTTTGTTAGAGAGGATCCTGGTCAAGGGCCAGCCTCCTGCAATATTCAGGAGGTCGATGTCGCGTCTGTGCATTGTACTACCTTCGAGCCTCAGCTCGCCACCGTCTTGTGCACTTCTGGACGACAACAAGGGACAATCACGTTTCGCAATCATGCAAGCTGAGTCGCAGACCCATTGCACTGATTTTGCCGATTTTGCCGCTCGATCGCATCGACCACTGCAATGGCGACATGCTTTCAGATCGAATCTCCAACATGCAGAGAATTCATGGCCTAGACTCTACCATGACACGTACTTCTTCCCCGTTCCCCCATATCCTGATCTCAAACATGTAGTATCATTGACTTTTCGTCACAACCACCACGCCCACTTTTCACTCCCTCATCACACGCCAAGACCTGCAACTCCCCCCGGGATAACCCCTTTCCGATCCCCATCGACGATATGGACACGACCAAGAGAGGCTCAATGGTACAGCCGCGTCGATAAGCAAATACCAAGATATCTGCAGCCTCAAAGTGGATCAAGAGAAGGCGAAGCACAGATGCCAAGATGAATGTGGATCTGCCCAGAGCCTTGGCCTGCCCGTTGACTGGCCGAACAAGGACAAGCTGCATCCGCATTTGAAATCCGGCGGCAAATGGTGTAGGGAGAGGCGGTCACCAGTGTACTGGGCCCGAGCCGTCGGTGATAAGCCCCCGTAGAAAGGAGCCGGAGCGATTGTTTAATTCGATGTGAAGGTGACGGGAGTGAAACCCCATGCCAAGCACGTGTCGTTCAAGCCCGACTGCCCAGTCGGCAGTGCTCCTTGCAGATATATGGCAACTAGATAGCCGCACCGTAGATTTCGACGGGCTCGTCGGGGCATGATCCGGAGGATGGGCAGGGTTTAGGACTGGCTATCGCGCGGCCACCCGGTCGATCGTTGATTTTATCTGTCCGACTTCATGCGGTGCTGGGATGGGCCAAGCGTTGCCTGAGGCACCTCTCATGCGAAATGCTGGTTCACTCGGTACCTTTGAGGACGACAGGTCCACCTTTCTCAGCCATGGCGGGATTGCGACCCACACCGAGCCCTTTACCTTCGCATCAGCACTGCGAGGAGAGGGCTTGGCGTGCTGTGACGTGCGTCGTTATCTGAGTTCTGGATCTTGTGCATGGGAGATAAAGATGCCGTTGCGTCCTACCCAACCTGCTTGTCAGACAAGATCCACAACTAGAAACCACAGCACAGGGAGAGTCGACGGTGACTATGGCATCACAAACACCAAATAACCTCTCGGAGACCAGCACTCGCTGCTCCTCTCAGGAAAACCTCGAGTCCCTCAAATCCCACAACAATGACATCGAAACCGGCGTCCGCACCTCCCCATCCTCGTCCTCCGACTCCTCCCTCACAATCTTCTCCTCCCTCTCCCGCCACTTCTCCGCCGAACTCTCCACCCGCGGCAGCGACATAATCCTCCTCCTCTGCTGGTTCACCACCGGCTTCCTGGACAGCACAATCTTCCAAGCCTACCGAACCTTCGTCTCCATGCAAACGGGCAACACAGTCTTCATCGGCCTCGGCGCGTCCGCCAACACAGTCAACACGCCCACTTTGACCCAAGTACGTCCCTACGGCTGGCTAAAGTCGCTGGTCTCCCTCATCGCCTTCGTCACCGGCTCCTTCATCTTCGCGCGCATCGGCAACGTGCTCGGTGGGCCGAATAGAAGGCTCACTTTCACGTTCTCTTTTGCCACGCAGACGCTGTGTATCTTTCTGAGTGCGGTGCTCGTGCAGACGGGCATCGTGGAGAGTAGACTTGAGTATATTGGTGAGGATATTGATTGGATGCATCTCATCCCCATCATTTTACTGAGTTTCCAGGCGCCCGCGCAGACGGCGTGCGGGAGGGCCATGGGGCTCTGGGAGGTCCCGACTGTGGTTGTCACGACGATGATCTATGATTTTGCGAGCGATAAGAAGGTTTTTGCCGGGCTAAGGGAGAATGCGAGCAGGAATCGCCGGTTTGCGGGCTATTGCTGCTTGGTGGTCGGTGCGATACTGGGAGGCTTTGTCACGGTGCATACGAGGCATATTGCTGTCTCGCTGTGGGTGAGCATGGGGATCAAGGCATGCGTGACGCTGGCGTGGATGGTGTGGCCTGCCAAAAAGGCGGGGAGAGGAGAGGGCGGAGGGTGTTGATTGGCTTGCGGTTTGCCGGTGGTGATGATTGATGACTTATGATGTTATGATATTCAATGAACAGTATGTCGGTCTCAACAACAGGTTACTGCGCTTCATGAGAACGCGATGTCTGGTTCGCCGTCTTCAATGTTCTCTTCCAAGCGGCTGTGGGGTAGGGAATGTTAACAATTCCATGCTTCCAGGTGTCTTGTCAGCGAGCCATTGCACTCTACTATGAGCGCTTTTGATTGACGAGAGCAATGCAGGGTCGACAGGCCTCAATCTTCGAGAACACAAAATCCCTGCGATGCCCATTTCGGGGATGACGACGTACTGAGGGCGACGACCCTTCCACGTATGCGTCCTCACCGCCCAGCAGGCGGTGTATCAATACACAGAATGTGGCGGTCAGGGGTAACAAGCTGTGGATCTGAATGCTGCTACAAAATGATTTGCGAGCTCGTGCTTCCAGCGTACTCGCGTTGTGCTGCCAAGAAATGGCTCCGCTCCGGTCAATGGTCAGACCTGCATATCTCGCACTCCGGTCTATCTCACCAACTCCGGCAGTGAACCCTATCCCCACTCTTTGTTTTTCGTTTGTATGGGTTCTTTTTGAGTATGGAAGCGCGTTTAGTTGGTTCTCCTAGCTACGCAATCCCCTGCGGCTCATCAACATTTGTCGATCAACCCCGGATCTGTGGAGTAAGGGTCTCTTCCCCAGTGGCAGTGCATCGTGTCTTAAATTGTCCCTGCGCTCCCCATGATGATTCGGAGAGGTTGATGCATGTCCGACATTAATAATGCTTTGCGGTGGCCCTGGACACGTCACGAACAAGGCGCAGACTGGCTTCACCTGGACTTGTAGCAAATTTTTATTCATGAAAATGGGGTCCGAATTAATGCATAGTACATCAAAGACTTCAATATTGATTCAAAATATCCTCGCTATGCGTAAAGACGCCAGGTGGGGCCGTATGTAAGTGCCCGGAGTCCGACGTACGTATATACAAGCCATGATCTGCATTGCGCTTAAACTATGTCCAATGTTCCTTTTGAGGTTGAAATGCAAAATTAACTCATTTCATTAGGTCGTGTTCTTCATAAATGTTGAATCATATGCGGTGAGACTCTTCCCCAGATCAAGACGATGACGTTTGCCTCAAGTGGTGAACTTCTTTGCGAAGCCCTCAATAGCGCTGGCGACCTCTCGCGATACGCTCAGAAAAGGGTTGGGGGAGGTGTTGAACGAGGTGGAAAGCTCGATGCCTGCATTCCTTGCCATATTTCTTTGCACCTCGATCGGTATGGCGCGATCTTGTTCGCAGAATATGTAGGCCCGTTTTCGATTGAAAGCTGGGGTATTCCAGCCAATGTAGCTAACAGGCCCAGTAATGGCACGGAAGGGTGTAGTGGCGGCTTGCTTCGTTCTCCGCTCTTCGTGGTCGGACGCGTCACGGTGGGTCTTTTCGCATGTGCCACTCCAGGTCAAGGCCATTTGCTCGACATCAGTCTTCAGAACAAGATTCTGTCGCTGCTTCCATGATGCGGAATGTCCGAGCCCTTTCTCTTGTTTGATTTCCGGTTGATGGCTGTCAATTCCGAAGACACCCAGCGAACTCATTCCCGGCGGTGCCACGAAAGCTGCAATGTAGACGAGGCCCAATACACCGCCTTTGAGCCCCCTTCTCTTTCTGTCCGACAATTTCATACTCTCCTGTATTGCGCTACTGCCATATATGCCTCCGTACGAATGCATGACCACCACGATTTCCTTTTCTTCCTTGATAAGGGGCTCAATCACAGAGCGGCGTAGATACTCTGCGTCCTTTTGCGCAGTGAATGAGGGCTGCTCCGCATCCTCGGTTGAGCTAGGCATGGTTTTAGCCACTGTGGGGAAAGCCAGTTTCGCAAGCTCCTTGCGCAAAGCGTCGAAGTTGGTGGCTGTTTGCCACGAACCATGGGCGAGGACGATGGTAGGCTGAGGGGGCATCATAATGTATGTAAATCGAGCGGATTTTTCTTTTTGAGTGATTGATATTTGCGAGTAATAGATAGCTGACTCTGAGGAGTCTTTGTGAAACTGAATGAGTGCAGACAAGTTCGCTTAAGTAGCTAGGCTCGCACCAATCTAAGAGCGAGGGCGGACTGCAAGCCGATACCGAGCTGCATGATTCTTGGCCAACATTTCGTCACTGATGTAGGGCAAATCCTCTTCGGAATATATTCGTCGCATAATGAGTTCTCTTGAAGGCAGTGAAGCAGGTTCGCCCCTCTTAAGTCCATGAGACTGTACCGACCGACGACAACGGCTCACAAATTCCGGCGAATTTCCATATGCAGCTAAACCCTGGCTCGCTGTGGTGTGCAAAATTGTAAGGGGCTCATGCAGACAGTCAGCACTAGAGCTGCGAAGCTTCTCCGCTGCAGCCATAGAGATTTGTGACGTGTGACGGAAGGTTGCTTCATGAGCGGGCCGTGCTCCTCTTGTCATGGGTCAGTGTTAACATGACCTGCCGTTCCTTCAACCAGGGTTTTGCATCAAGCTAGGCGATTATCTGAAGCGCCTCATGTACGCTTCGCTGCTCCGTTCAGTGATTCACTCGATAAAAAAGCTTATCGCCGGAAAAGTCGCCAGTGGTAGAGACATGGCTCAAAATAGGTCAGTCGATCTATAGCGCGTCTGGACACAGCTCCAAGCGTAAGCTCTACCGGCGATTCGTTGAAAACCCAATCAATGGCTGGTGAAGAGTCTTCAGCGGGCGTACGCCCATGTACTTGTTGTACTAGGGAGAAGAGGCCAAAGAGGCCTATGTTAGTCTCTGGCAAATCAACTGGCGAGGCAAACCAAAGGATCTGGCTAGAATCGAAGCTGCTGCCGTACGTCCTTCGAGCCACTTCCTAGAGCTCGGACCACTCGATTGCTAGATTGGAGAACTTTTAGTCGTCGAATCCTCTCGTCGCTACCTGTTGGTCGCATCAGTACACAACGTCCAAAGGCATTGCCGCGCACAATGTCTTTGGGATTTTCGAGCCACTTGAGCTGAACACTGTTTGCGGCGCTGGGCTTTGCTGCAGCTCTTGTCATCCTTGAGAGCTTCACGGCTCTTGCATCATTGTCCTCAGCTTCTCGAATAAATTTTAATAGGAATCCTTGCTTTCTGCCGTTGAGATAGCGGAGATAGATTTTTTCAGCAGCGTATCATCCTTTTATGAGGCGACGCTACAAACTTCAAGAAGTACGTACAGGAGGCTCGGATAGACCCTTCGCTGACGACTGGGTGACACATGCCAATGGACTTTCGTATTTGAAAGCACATTTGCCGGTGCAATTGCTGGATGCAGGCATTTCGTAGTGGTTCAACAACGCCATGAGAGCTTCTAGCAGAAAGCAGCTATCTGGAGTCGCATCTGGTGGTTGATGGTTGGACACCTCGGCATTAGGCTTTTAAGGCGCACTGTAGAGACCGATGGCAGTGCTCAGCATCGCTTTCAAGAGCTCTCCACCTTCTCCGCCAGTGAGAGTGTCCATCGTCTACCCTCCAACGGATACCGTGAGGCGTACTACGCAATGTTTGAATGAGCGCCATCGGATCAGAATCTGCATGAACTTGCCAAGACTAATTTCGGCGCGGAAAAACCATTGCTCCTTGCATACGTCATCGGTTGTCACCGAGAATTTCTATCCCTACACAACACAACTCTTCGTGACTTCGTCATATAATCTTGAATGAAGTAGCAACTGCAATAATAGGTATAATGTGTACAAGAAATATTGACGAAAGAGCTATCTTGAAAGCATATGACTTCATGTACATGTAATTATTTTGATGAATGGTCATGCAAATTGCTAAGGCCAACCTCCTGACTATACCTCAATATGAGTGAAATACGTCGGACAAGGTCTGTGCCGCGATCTTTGGTCTAGTATGGCGTCTTAACACTTCTACCTCGGATTCGAGAAACCAAGAATCGAAGTCTGCCTTTTCGTTCTGCCGAGACATCTTTGAAATCACTAAGCGTCAGGGTCTTAGTATCGTGTGCTTGAATTGAGTTTTGCAAGTCTTGGACAAAGACAGGGTGAATGACTTGGCATTCTCGAGAAAAGTGAACATTCTTCGCCACCACTGCCCGACTCGAGTGCGTGACTAGGTCGCGTTGCTTGACATTGACTACAGCCCGGCATTGCTGCTCCCCAACATTCACACTCTTTCCGAAAGTTGAGTTTGCGAGCGATTGTATGATTCATCAGTCGATGACACCATTGCTACTCAATGTGCAAGTCGAAATTGCGAGCAAGATCCATCACACGTATCGCCTCAAAAGTGTGAAGCTGCAGTGAAACATCGTCGAACGTGTCCACAATGGGTGTTGTTTCCTCTGATCTTGGTAACGAAAGACACACCACCGAGTGTGTACCAGTAACCAATGAGTATATATGTCGATTGACTGGATGTGCTTCTCAATGAGGGACACGAATGAATGAAACCTTACAAAAAACACTCTCAGGTACACATTCATTGACCAGTGTCTTCCATTCATGTCTCAACCCACGGGAATCACATGGTAATATACGTGATGTTACACTTGTATTCACACCTTCACAGATGTCTCAGGAGACATTGGCCCCAGACACACTGACGGGTGTGTAGTAGTCACACTTCTACTAGCGTGGCTCGTGGGTATTTAAAGAGTCTAATGCTCCCTAAGGTTCCTTCTTTTCTGTTTCCTCAGGATTGTAAATATATATATACATATACCTTTGCCTCATGGCTAAGCGGAAAAAATCTCTCTTTGGTGGTCAGTCTACTTGATGCACTGCCCAAGGACAGGACTCACTTTAGGAACATCAACCCCGACAATGCTGTGACCGAGAACATCCCTTCAAATCGCCATGTGTATTCCACCACTTGGCAAGGGGCAATCCTCAGATTCCCTTCGAAGACAAAGATTTACCAGGATGCAACCGGTTCATCCACAGCAGCCATTCCTGTCTGACGAAGGTGAGGGTGATGCGTCGGAAGGGAACTAGGTGGCAGGCCTCGCATCAACCCCATTAATTCTTGGCTTGCGAAATGGAAATGGCCGATCATCGTGAGGATTGTGGCGGCAATGCTGGTAGCCGTGGGGACAATGAGAAAGAATCGTGAGTATTGCATGCAGTGAAGATGGAATCTCTGCGGAGGAGACAGTAACTATCCTCATCAGACACTTAATTTCCTATCACGGATTGCCAGACGTAACAATTTCAGATCGTGGAGGACAATCTGTCTTAGATCTCTGGAAATCAATGTGTAAGAGATTAGGAATTGACAGTAGGCTTTCAACATCCTACCATCCTAAAACCGATGGACAGACTGAACGTATGAACCAGAAGATCAAGACTTACCTCCGGATGTTCGTCAATGCTCATTAAGACGATTGGGTTGATCTCCTGCCTATAGCGAGGTTCGCTTACGCCAACGTAGATTCCACGGCCACAGGCATCTCACCCTTCTTTGCTTCCAATGGCTTTCATCCAAGAATGAGCTTCTCTCCAGATGATACTGAATACATCAATCCTCGTCCTTTCTTGTACAGTCAAGGATCAAAGGATGCTGTCACCAGCGGTAGAGACTCCCGCGCACGCTGCAGATGTCTCCCTTGCGCCCCCCAACACGTTATCCGCCTTTGTAATGGCGTCTGGAGGCGAGTACGGCAAGGCGTTAGAGTTGAACCTAACCATCACAATGCCCACAATCCTGTACGATATTACACACTTGATCATGAAACTACGCCTCCCACGTATCCTACAGATGTACTTCGAAACCGTGGATTTTCTCGACATATCCATCGGCTGCATCACCACAAATGCGATAGGGTGCAATGGGAGTAGTGAGGCCGACGAGGTCCTGCAGATGGCGAGGGAGGGATTTAGGGCGGCCGTGCTTGAAGTCTTCGAAACCCTTGAGGCTTCCCTAGTGAAAAGGGGGCGGTGGATGTGCCGGAGTCCATCAGCGTGATAAGACTCGGCACAGAAGAGGCTGATGCAGCAAATTCGAGCGACATGGGGGAAACAACGTACTGGTCTGGCGTCAGGCATTTCGTTTCAGCCCTTGTCTAATGAAGCGTGTGCTGCATCCCCGACTCGTCCCCTTTGAAACTAAGGTCGGGTCAAACGAAGAATTATCTCTAGGCTTCCCTACAAGAACGATGTATTGAAAAGGCTCATCGAGAAGTCATCGCACATCGAGATTCCCAACGTCTGGGGAGGCGCGTCATCGGTCGGCTTGCAACGAAAATATGTATTCGCGATTCGAAAGATCGTGGACATCTAAATATATACATACTGCAGCATTATTCCCCGCTCACTGGATTGAAACGGTACGGCCTTCACTCACGAAGGGTGGAAAGAAATCATCGCGACCTTGCGAATCTAGCGAAGGGGTAGAATCTCAAGGCCGATCTTCATGAAGCGGAAAAGATACCCGAAATCACAAGCGCCCACTAAAGAGCAGTAAAAGCCTAATGCAGAGTCATCAAAGCTCAAGTCAGAGCTTTACGAGCCTGCTACCCGCTAGTGCTCAACGTCAATTGCGAATGCTAGCCACGATCTGAACCCCAAATGGTGTTTCAGGCTCTGCTTTCTCGTCTTAGCTCTACGACGTTATGGAAAGCCATGGGAGAAAGGTCTTTTTCAGTCAATCGGTCGGTAATCCGCGCAAGTATCACAACCGTGAGACATGCCTTCACACTGAATCCCTCAAGCATATATGCAAAACGTGCTTGACCAGGATTGTCACCTACCTGTCGCCAATCAGGCTTTGCAATTTAGGTGACGGCCGGAGATGTGGAGATAAGATGATTCCGTGGTCAGATGAACTGCTTGACAAAGTGGGTGGGAGACTGTACGAAATTCAGGTTGGAGTAACGACGAAAACAAGCATCCCATGGGTGCGTGACCTCTAAATATATATACAAGAAGCCGGAACGTGAATACGATATAAGCTCATCACGCGTCAGCTCGGGTGTTTTCAGAAACCATCACGATGGCCGCCACCACTGAAAAAACAGCCTTCGAACTCTTCGCAGCCGTCAAGAATCTAGCTAGCACCGTTTTCTCAAGTATTGAGATAGCATGACGGTGGGTATATCTGGATACTGGTAAGGAACGAGCCAGAAAAGTTCAGGGATGGGCCGTCGGAGCGTCCAAATCCGTAAAGACATGCATTCAGTTGCTAGCACTCATCGCTGACTCAGAAGCTGAGGGCAGCCTACCGGAATGGACCGAAGAACATCTTGGTCTGAGAATTGGAGTTAAAACGCCGTCTTCAATAAGGGTTTGACGTCAGAGCCAGCAGAACACTAGATGGGAGGAGAAGTAGGGAAGGGGCCTGAGGCTGGGCTCCCTTGTCGCTTTCATTCTACTCTTCCGCCAGTGATCATTGTAACTGTGAGCCGGCTTTCGAAGTCACCCCTATTGGAACAGGGAAAGATCATACCGTCCAATCACTTTTGCAAGCCCTAATTGACCAAGCGAACATAATATGGCCTCGTGAAGCTCTCTACAAGTATGAGAAGCCGTCAACCTCGACAACCCAACGGAAAGATAGCCTTCCATCCACGGCAATGACGCTGAGTACGGTGATGACCGCAAGGCTGATGACGAGTGCGACGACGAAACTTCGACTATGATGGCACTAGATGACCGAGAAAGACCGTGTCTTCGGAGAGATCGGCGGGGAATTTGTGTTATGCGGATTTCTGGCCAGCAGGAAGGATGTGGTATCATCGTAAAAGAGAGACACAACATCCAGTACCAGCACGCTGAACAGGCGAGTCGAATACGTCGGACGGAAGACAGCAAAGCTTCACAACTACCTTGACCATAGGCAGTGATGGTGCCTGCTAAGTCAAGTGTATCGCAAGGATCGACGATCCTAAAGCACCTATCATCGCCCCAGCTCCATTCTGCAGCTCAAGACAAGAGTCCGGAATATGACAATTCGATACTGTGGAACGTCGACTTTCAATAATTCTTATGTCCTTTGACCTGAATATCCTATGGTTAGGTGTATCGATATTACACCTACGTTCTGCGCAGATCCAGGAGACTCAGATTACCATATTTTTTGGTTCCAAGGGCAAAATCTGGACGAGCTTATTAGCCAATACCTAGCTGCTAATAGTGAAGATACAGTTGAAGATCTGAGCAAAGGACTAAGAATATCGTAGGGAACTATTGGACAAGGCTCCTACTACGTGAACAATCTGCCTGTTGGACGTTATAAAAAAGATGACGGAACGTGACTTGACCCAGGAGATCCAGTGTTCAACAGAGATCAAGTTTTGCGCTTTTGGGATTACGAAATTCCCAATTTTACGAAATTCGTCCACACAAGCATTGAATAGCAGGAGCTCAGACTAACGGAGGCAATGTGGCGTTTCGACGCTTCTCAGTCAGTACCGGACGTTTACGATCATTGTCAGCATTTATGGCTTTGCTTCACGTTCGTATTGACAATGTTGCGTCCAACAATAGAGGTCGGGGAGACTCTTCAGCCACCCATAATACAATTCCCAATCATACGCGGAACGGTTATATACGCTGTGTTATACTGTAGGATGCTCGAATTGGAGATACACTAGAGGTGGTGAGCTCTGGCACTGGCAAGGACCTTGCGAGAGTATACCGAGATCTGGTAGCTCCGTTTCGTACGCCTTCTGGTTTTCCAAATCATACGCCGATTCCCTTACGCTTTCTGTGTCTGTTGAGCTCGATAGCTACTCAGCTGTAGCTGATGCACTTTCGGGGAAGAGACACTGGGACTCTCCTACCGTCATTGCAGAGCTTGAAATGCAAATTTTTGAGTGGAACAAACCGTCGCAAGGAATTGATTCAAGAGACTAGGCACAACGTTCTGGTTGCAGCCAACGAGGCTTACGTTCTGCTAGAGCAGATCGAAGCAAAATCTGGCAGGTACCACAAATCGACAGATTACCATATAAATATATATACGCGCTGGGTGACCTGCGTTCACTTGATGGCTGGTCTGGAGGAAAACTTCTCCATGGTCATCCAAAGGATCGCATCTAGTGCTATCCAGCACCTTGCTGCATCGTTCTTACGCCAGTCGATAAGGCGATTTCGGTCTTGGATTCTGATCAGTACTTTCGCAGCTTTCTAAGCATTGAGTACTTTTAGTATATATGCTTGCTATATCGACGAATAGCAAAAGCGGCTGTACCGACTTAGTGTGCTGTCAAAATAGTACGCGCAGAGCCTCTTGATAACACAAGGTATCTGGGGTCAATGAGCAGGATAAGATCCCTTACTGACGGATTTCTAAAGGCGTCATGAGGTCGGATAGGCTCGTAAAGAACAAGGCCGAGCAAAAGGGCTTGCTATGCCTATAAAGTGTGGGACAGCCGGCTTGTGCAGTGTGCATTTGTTCGATAGAACACCTTCCGGCACCACTCTCTTCACACCATCTACAAGGTCAAATGATACCACCAACAGCCATACCCGCAAGAAACCCTACATCGATCTACGTCGTGAGCCTCGTCGTTCCATCCGACGTTCGGAAAATAACGCGAAATACAAACTCTCTTAGCTAAGCATCATTCGCCATAGCGTTCATTGTCCCTCGCATAGACTACATAATCCGAATACACCCTCAACTTATCCTCCCTCACTAGCCTGGATGAGATTCTTCTTATGAGATGATACAATTTGCCGTATAGGTGCTTCGGTATGCGATGGCGAAGTCACAACTCTTGCAATGAATGGGCTTCCTCACGAAGATTATCCTCCTTCCCGATCAACATGGATGTGAAATCAATATCGACATGTCTGCCAATCAAAATAATGCCATTGCTGCAATCTCAAACAGGTGACATGCAATCATCAATTTTTTCCTCAAGCCATACAGGTGGCAGGAGACGCCAATAAATATATAAGTACCACTCCTCGCACTTCTTCAGGGTTGGCCTTACCGGATTGACTGTACTGCCAACAAAGGCCTATGTACTTCACGACCTGTGAACGAACTACCGCCACTACCGCAACCCTTCTCATGGGCTTGCAGACCACCTACGCTGCTCGGTGCAGCAGATTGACCTTGCATAATGCGTGGCTCAGAAAGACGCCGGCTACCACGAACGCCCGCCTCCATGCCTTCCGGGATGTGTATACTACCTTGATAACGGATAGCCTTATAACAAAGGCCCCATCGACAGATGTGGAGCAAAAAATTAAGGCTATCGAAGGCATCTTCAACAGTCTTAGCTTATTTGCAGAGGACGCAACGCGCGTCGAACCCTAGAAAAGAATACGGTGAGCCCACGAGAAAAAGCGCAACTGGCCCATCAATGCCCATGCGTGGTCACACCGAGAACTGGAAAGCTTGAGCAGTCATTTAGTCGACTACCATTGTGGGCTTGGAAGTCTAATCTCATTGACTCCTAGCAAAGGCATAAAAAACCCGTCAGTGACCTTACAAGACAGCCCAAGTGGTGAGGAAGTGGACGGTTCAGATCGGACAGAATGCGCTGAGGATGCGCAACATATATACAGCAAGATGGTCGATAGGAATGAGGAAGCTGACTAAACACGTGAGCGGGGGTTTTGGCAGAGGGACTATCGAGGAGGAGCTGATTAAGGATGAGGACAACAGTGAGGGGGAGGAGGATGCAATGGAGAATATGGATCTGCAGAACAGTAGTAAGGAGGTCGTGGAACTGGGTTGGTCGAGTGGGTAGGGTGGAATTCACGGCGCTGATACGATTGAGGCAGTCGATTAGTAGACGAGTATTGTAAGTGATCGGAATATCTTGTCATCATCTTTCCTTCAGTCGAATTTGATATTGGTCAAGACAAGGCTTGAAGTTCTTCCCGCTTTTGAGTTGTGCATTGATTTTTGCAGACTGAGCTGCTGATAACTTTCTATCCAACTGGGTTACTTATAGGAGATGTACGTTCGTTCAGGACTCGTAGCGATGCATCTTGTTTCTCATTGGATGACTCGAGTCATCCAGCATTTGCAATTAGTTTCGCTCCAGCTGATCACTTTAGGTCATTTGAAACGATGTAGATAGTCACTCGCAGAATTCCTTTAAAGACATCCCTGGGATTCCTTGCGAGCGCATGAGACTTGAAAGAGCTCCATTTTCTCCTACTCCGCTTCTTTTATCTACCCATTGTGGAGTTGCCTGCCTTGTTTACCTGTCTCAACACAGCAGAGTGCCTTCATCAATGGATGATGGCGACTCCCCTACCTATAATACGACTCAACAAAGAAGCAAAAGTGATCCCCCAAGCCTTCGCCTACAACAACAAGTCACATACTAAATTCAAGAGCAATATTGATAACAAAGAATAAAGATATTTCGCCCAAATGGAGAACTGCACCCCAGGCTTCAAGTAGTTACCGTAAGACCATGAAAGATCACGCCCTCGCCCCTATGATCAAACGATCTGCACTCTCGTCTGTATCACACGTGTTCAAATGTCGACATATATCCTTTCTGATGGTGGGATAAGAATATAGCGTAAATTACGTGTCCCGATCTGACTGGTTGCTTTCCATGGCTGGGCGAGCGACCGTACCCAAGGGCGAGGGTACATCTTAATAAGAAGGCTGGATTTGCAAAGAAGAACGCGCCGGTAGAGCAATACATTCTTCATGTGCTATCGTAAACACCCCAATCTAGTGGAAAGCTGAAATACATCTACCATCAACTCGATCGTTGATAGCTTATCGATCTAGCCATCGTCGTCACTGGAGGTTTGAACCTAAATTCTCGGGCCTTCATTCTACTGAGCCTATGTTTTCGTGCTGCTCCTTTTATATCCATACATTTCTGATCGTTGTCACGGCGCTCAATGCGTCGCTGATTGTAAAATCATCGTGATTGCTAGTGTGTGATATACATCCTTGACCCCTTGGTAGAAGTCAACGCATGATATGATCCTGCTGAGTCCACTCGGAGCGTCTTGCTTCAGGGCAGTGGCGAGAGAAGCAGAGTAACGAACCAACTCGTCGATCTCAATGTCACTGTGACTTCCGCCGCTTTTGAAAAGCAAGCGGCTGAGGTCAGGGAACTCTTTGATATTCATTCACTTCAGGCGTCGGTCTGGCGTGATAGATAGGTTACTGCTCCTTCAACTGCCGTCAATTCATCCAATTTCGCTTGAGCTCGCTTAGTATCTGCATGCTCAGAGCCATAGAATTTAGTGGACACCACCACATGCTCGCTCAAGAGTTCTAAAGCCTTTCCTCTTTCACCTTCCTCAAGATAAATTTCCGCCAAATCCCAAATGCATCGCAACAAAAAGCGATGATGCATTGTCCCCACGCTCCGAGAACGTACCAGTGCTTGTGTAAGCAGACTTTTCGCCTCCCCGTATCGCTTTTGACTGCGGCATGTCATTCCTAAATTTGTCGTTATTACAACGATTAATTTCTCATTGGAGTTTTCACTTTCGCAAAGAACCCCGAGTGCTAGCACTTGAAGCTCTTCTGCCTCTTCAAACATACCCTTCTCATGCAACGTTGCTCCCAAATCCGTCATTAGCGTAGCAAGACTTTCACCTCCATAGCCTGAGGTTCCTGGGAAGAATTGGAGCATCTCCATCTGGAGTGCCATTGCTTCATCTAGTCGACCTTGGGCTCTGAGTATCTTGGCTGAAAGCAACATAGAACGCCTTCTTGCTTCAACAACATCTTCATTCTCGATTGTATTTGAAAATCTCAATACGGCGGAGAGAGTGTCCTGGGCTTCCTTAAACAGCCTCTGATGGTATTGGCTAAGAGCTAAGCCATGCAAAGAATTCAGCGTGTGTTTGTCCCCCATGCCAAGGGTTTGCTTGTAGTACTCAGCAACCGCAAGAAAAAGTCGATCTGCCTCCCTACCTCGGTCCGCCTGTATCATCAAAATCGCAAAATTTGAATACCACTGACAAGACCGTTGGGACATATTCAAGGAATCCGCCCGTAGACATGCAATAATATGAGGAAGTAAGCTTCGTTGAAAGTTGGCGGTCTTCTCATCGGACGTCATTGCGATCGATGCCGAGAGTATAGCCCTAGCTTTCGAGCAAGGTCTATTATTATGGGTCACCTTCAAACGGTCAGATGCCCATGCATGAACCAGTCGATGCATCGAGAAATAACGCGTAGGCCTATCGTAACTTATGAGGGAGAAGGACAGTAGACATCGTATGCCTTGATAGAATGATTGTTCGTTCCATTGTCCATCAGAACTTAGTTGAAATAATTCCAAAGGGAAATTGGCTTGCTCAAACTCCTCGCCCTGCTCAACGTCCTCGGCTTGCTCGAACGCTTCAAAGAGCTCACGACTTTCTGCAGCCTTCCTGAAGATCTCTTCCGCAATATTCTCAAAGTGAAAGCATGAGAAGATACCGAGTATCTGTAAGGCAGTCTTTGCCGCATGGCCTGCATGGCTAGCACTTTGTTGCGCACGTTTGTCGAGAGCGGCGTGAGAGACATCCCAAGTCGCATACACCGCTCGATCATAATCAGATGCGCCTCTGTAAGCGTCGTTCTCAAAGAGTTGCTGTCGGTGGACTTTCATGGTACTCAAAAAGCCATCTATGGAACATTCTCCGCTGGCTATGTAGGCCCCTGCTTGATCGATAGCGAGCGGTAGGAACCCCAGCTCCAGCGCGATCTCTGATGCTCTTGCCTCGTTCTCGTTTGACATGTCTAGGCGCGCGGCGATTAGTAGCAGCGATATTGCTTCCTCTTTACCCATTTCATCAACTTTGAGGGCCTGATCAGCGCGCAAACGCCGTAATCCTTCGTCTCTGCTGGTGTAGATGACGTCGCCCTGGGTGCCTGGTGGCCAAAGTCCATTGATCTGGGTTGGATCGTCGGCACCATCGAATATAAGGAGCCATTTGCTCTCGACTTGCTCTACAGCTTCCAAGGCAACCTGAAGAGAGCAACTGGGTCCAACGTCTGGACACATTTTCTGAGCGATACGCCGATAGCCATGCTCAACTGTGCCCTTATCCGTTCCATCAATCCAGAAGACCTGCTCGTAACTGATGAGTGAGTAGCTGAAATTGTTTCGCTTGGAAGGTTTCTTACTTACTCGTCATGCTGATCTTCAGCGAACTTCAAGGCAAGCTGGCTTTTGCCTGCTCCTCCCATGCCATGGAGAAGAAATTCTCGCCTGCGCCTCTCAGTGTGATTTCGAGGACCGAAATATTCCTTCATTCGCTTCAAGTGATCTGCTCGGCCTGTGAAGAGTGGACTGGAGAGGTAACAACGTTTCGCGGATGTCGTAACCATTTCCAGGGTGTTTAGGGGAACGGTAGAGCCTGCTACATCGTCAGAGGTAGATCGCGGCAGATCGCGACAGCCTCGAGGGGAAGCAATAGCGCCTTTAATCAATACTGACAGATTAAACGCAGTGTAATCCTTGAAGCGGCGGTGTCTCTATCTCCACGCAAGGTTCGTACGGCAGTATTCATGGAACGATTCACATTCACATCCTCTAAGTAGGCTTTCGTATGGGTTTGCATCTTGTTCATCTTCTCCCACTCTTCCAGAGATGTGCTCTCGGCGCCATGCTCCACGTTGAACCTGAAATAGAGGTCAGAGCACTCTTCGAATTGTTGTGCAAGCGCATGAGCAACGGCTTCGCAGTTGGTTGCTAGGCTCTTTAACACCCCAATCATTTCTAAAGGAATCATCTTTTGGAACGCGTCTGGTTTCTGCAAGCCTATGACGCCAGATCTTCCAGTCCCAATGCTGATCAATGAGCCAATTGTAGCCGTATCGCCATAGATTCTGCGCGCTTCGTCAAGAACCAGTCGAGCGGGATTGTTGTATAGTAGCCCACCATCCAGGAAATCCTCACTTGAAGCTCCATCCCCATCAAATATTCTGGCGGGCTTGAAGAAGGTAGGTGCAGCGGTAGTAGCCCTCGCTGCTTCCCAGATCTTACAGTTGGCACTTGTATTCTCTCGCACTTTGTAAGATCGAAACAGCCTTGGGTGCGACATATTGTCATTTGGCACCGCACAAACAAAGACCTTTCCCGTGGCTGCAAGGTCTGATCCTGCCTCGTTAAGCATGTATTCCCCAAGCTCCTGTCCGGCAACCACTTCTTTAATCTTTATCTCCAGGGTTGACGCTCGAAACGTCCCTTCTTTATAGATTGGCTTCTTGTTTCTCTTCGAAAAGACCGCCCCTGCAATGGTATTGTACGCCTTTAATGTCTCTTTTGTGGTCATCTTCAAGCGGCCGAGCATCAGTGCGATCAAGCCACCCGTACTTGTGCCGCCGATCAAATGAAAGTAGTCGCATGGGCGAGGTAGGCTCTCCAGTTTCTGGTCGTGTTGTAACCGCTGCATGATCTCATGAAGTATAAGGATGGACGAAATACCGCGGATACCGCCACCGTCTGCAGTCACATTAGCAATAGAAGTAAAGAATATGTCCACTACTCACCCAAGGAGAGCAGGTTGACAGGCCCGTCCATAGTCGGCCGACGCTGAACGACCGTTACTCATAGAATGAGGAGGCAACAGTCAGAGGTAGCGTTCGGGAAGGTGGTATGATAGATACCAGAAGGATACGACGAAGGCGTGCACCATCTGCAAGGCGCTATCACAGTTCACAGGACCTGGAATCGCCCATACCTTACGATTGAATGGCATGTTAGTTGAAGGTCAAGACAATCGTTGGCACCTAGGAGCTTAAGCGCCCTCAGCCTGACCCTCCACACCTTCGACTGGCAGCTCCTTCATCCATTGGTGGCCGCAAATCAGGGTCTAATGCAGCGGAGCCTCATTTCACCACGGGCTCTGGTCAATCGTTCCAGGCTGATGTAGTGACACATACGGCTGCTTAAAGTCTTGTAGACAGTCATGGTAGAGCAGCGTTCATGTTTATGTCGCTGCATTGTCAAGGCAATTGCACAATGGAGGAAGAATCAAAGGGTTTCAAGATATTGGAATGCCAAGCTTTGAGACTTCGTCCCGCGACAACATTCTCTTCAGTACGGACATGACAGAACGAATACGGAGAAGAAATTTCATTGCTCGTATATTACTTTTGGGACATCTTCCAAAAGTTTCGAGACCGGTCGATCAGTCAGTATGGAGGAAGAAATAAGGCCCCGTCAGAGCACATTGATCAATCACAACAAGACTGAGAGTCATGCCGATCCAATCTCCCTCAAAGCAATTCAGCGCCCATCACCAGCACATAACCTATATCGTACCCTCTCACCACCTACTACGTCCTCAAGAACTGGCAGCCAATAAAGCTAGCTGCCGCAAACATTGGTCCAGCTTCTTTGACAGCCTCGCTGATGACGTTACCCAATCCGGGCAATGAGCACCAATCGAAGTCTTCATTATCGAGTTCCATCGTTACCTAAGCCTTCATATAATTCACCCTCGAAGTGACAATGACCTGCTGCGTAAACTGGCAGAGCATGTCTTTGCCCCTGTTCGACAGGCTCGATTCTCTCCGGATTATTCGAGAACTCTCTTCACGTGTGATCCTCGCAGCTTTTCGCGGCGTCCATAGCATTAATAATAGCAGTGGCGAAGACGGAACCTTACCCATGTTCGAAGCAGGACTCGAAGAAGAGGTCAAGGTCGCCTCGTCGGGCCTCTCCCCAGGGCTGGTCCAGAGCGTGGTCGTCTGCGTGATTTCTTCAGACTGCGAGTCGTCGCAAAAGCCATCGTCGTCGCTACAGATGTCTTTGAGCTTTTGGAACATAGAGGCTGGTGCTACGCTGCTGTATGTGAATTTGCCGTTTAGATGATCACGTTGGACTTAGACGTCCGCCCCTCGAGAGGACATCTGGCATCAATATGGGTCCTTGAGTTAGTGGTGAGCGCTCGAATGATCCAAGACAGGCTGACTCTGGACTTGGGACTGGTGTGGGCTTTCAGTGGGACAATTCGGCTGCGAACAGCACGACTGCCGTGGCCAATAGGAAGAATTGCATAGCGAGGTCGTCACGATAGGTGAGGAGTGAAGGTGTGACTGAGTCAAAGCCTCTAGATGTCTGGATATGAGTCGCTCGTTAAGGATAAGGTACAGCATAACGAATGACGACTTCCATTTACTCATGCTCTAGCACAGTGGAATTACTACCTCGGTGGGTTTCTTCCCAACACAACCGCTTGAGTTTGCAAGCCGCGTTGCATCATAGAGGTCTGTCGATGCTCGAGTCAGCTTCCCGTCGAGTGCATAGATGCCTCCATCATTTCGAGGCAAAGTCATTGCAGGTCACCACAATGCACTTCTCCCTTGCCTATGACATATGGACCGTGGGTCCTAAGCGAGCGAAAGATGTCAATACACAAATCAGGAATACCAGTATGCGACGCACAGGTATGGCGAGGGCTTCGTTATGCATGCAAAGATATCTGCATTGTATCGTTCTGGATTCTCAATGCAATATCGCCTCGTACCTGCAGATATACTTGACTAAAGGCGTGATAGTGAGGTCTATATTGACTATCGCCACGTGCATGCATGATCAATAATGCCGCACACGAGGTGTAGCAAGGCCCTTTTCCGATAATGATGGTCCAACTACGATCTTGTAAGTTCATTCAGAGCATTGCCGGACCATTAATTCACTTCAATCCAAAGTTGGGTCAGTAAAGACGAGGCCAGCAGGGTCAAACAAGTCATTTATTCTCGCGGCGCAGGAGTCGATATATCTTCGTTCTGCAGATACATGGCACCATCCACTCGCTGTATATAAGCCAGTGAAAGGATTCGCCTTCTGGAGCACACCGATATGTCTTCCCTCCTCTCCAACCTCACCTCCATCGTCACCGCCTCTGCAAACGCCTTAACCCGCTCCTCCCCCTCCCCCTCCCTTTCACATTCGCCTGCTGGAGCACAGCAACAGAACTAAGCGCGAACTATTCGGCTTCACTCTTGAACCAGAATTTTGGATCGTTATGAAACTGCGGATGGAGGGAGGGGGGAACAGATTTCCAGAAGATGCCTTCCGCAGTAGTACACTTGACTTTCTTCGCCTTCCCACTTGTCTTCTTGTCAATCGTGGGGGTTTGCTTGATGTAGAGGCCAGCAATAGTGGCTGCAAACGGGCAGCCTACGAACACTTCCATGATAGATCTCTCAATCCCCTTTCTCGTATCCTTCTCATTTTTCAAGTTAATCTCACGGGTGAAGAAGCCGCCTAAGACAAATCGCGTCAGCATCGCCCGTCCCAAGAGACTATCACCATCCACATACCCCTCCCCACACGAAAGATCCTCCCCCCGGTCCTCTATGTCTCTGAACAGCTCATCTCGCATCCACTCCCCCCCCTCCCTTCCTCCTTCACACCAACAACAGCCAGAAAACTTCGACAACTCCGCGATCGCAACGCCTCTCTGGGAGCCCTTGCCGCAAAACTCGCCCACGATCACGACTCCCTTCTTCACCGCCTCTTCAGATTTGGCAGCAAAGAGTTCGCGATATCTGACTACGACCTTGTCACGCCAGGCGAAGATGGGGGCGCGACCGATATTGTTGATCTTGCACCAGGAACAATGTTAGCGCAACACTCACTCCACAAGACACATGTTCAGAATTCCACTCTGAAAGTGACATGCTCTTTGGAGGGAAGAGGGGAGAACGTATCTAAATGGTAAACGGAGCGTTATCCTCCCCCTTCACCTTCTACCTTGCTTTTGCCCACGCTCAATCCAACCCGGTTACGACTCTGTAGCACAAGCTCAGTTTCCCCTTCCCCTTCCCCTCTATCTGCTCCTTGCCAATTTCCTCGGGCGGGAATGGGGATTTAGAGGGGAAGGAGGGGAAGGGTGTGGGTGTGGTAGGGGATACACGTGCTCGAGTCAAAGTTATTGTTGGAGGTGTCGTGGGGGTGGGGATGAGATGGTTGATGGACAATGCGCTCAGTGACAGCATCAATATAACTATTAACCGGTGCAGACTTTTTGGGTCTAAGTTGTGGTAATAGATCCATCATGTCAAGAATCTGTGTATGAAATGTTGTGGAGAGTGACAGGCAAGTGATAGTGTTCAGGAGATACTCGTAGATGTCTTTTGAGATTGGTAGAGATGCTAGAGGGATATCATGTCTAATATAACATCCCGTACGGTGACTCACGAAGATTATAAGTTGGCATTGACCATGGATAACAACTTAGTGCTGCTGTATAACATCATTCACTCCATCTACTGCGCCCTAGATGCATGAAGCAAGAACGACTACGAGCGTCGTCTACCTCGTCTAACCACCGCCCCCACGCCATCGCACCGCGAGCATCGTCATCGGTATCATCCAAACTTCTATCCACGTCTTGACAATTCTCCCCCCTCCTCCCATCACGCCTCCAACACAAACCTCGACCTCTTCCTAATCGCAGCCCCATACCTCCAAAAAACAACGGGCCCACCTAAAAACCCCACCGCCAAAAACCCCAACAAACTCGTCGCCCATCTCGTCCCCATACCTCTATACATCACATCCGCAAAAAGCGGAAAGACCGCCCCAAACGTGCATCTCACGACCGTATTCGCCGCAATAGCACTATTAGCATTAACCTTATAAACATCCACAATGTAATTCAACCCATTGACCAGAATAAGCAGAATCCCCATGCCCATGGGCACACCAGCCAGAATCTGCGGCCACGGGCTGATCGTCGGGAAGGACGTCCACGCCCACCAGAACAGACCTGGCGGAAGCAAAAGCCCGCCTAGAATCATAGGTGGGAGGCGTGCTTCAGGCGACTTGGCCGTATCGCCATTTTGTGAGGCGGCGAGCGTGGCGCGATAGGATGTCACAGACCAGTAGGCATTTATGCATCCGCCGGCGATGACGCCGATGCTGATTGCCAAGAAGGGGAGGCCGGCATTCCCTTGCGACCAGCCGCGCTCGCGCTCGAAGGAGATGGGGTACGCGGTGAGGAAGAGGTAGAGAATACCGTATGTGAGGCCAATATAGGTGCAGAGCCAAGCGAGGATGGGTTCGAGATGGAGCATGCGGAAGGGGCGGGTCAGATATCTTTCCACGATAATGGTGGGGGTGATGACTTTCTCGTCCGCAGAGGAATGGAGAGCCCAATTCCCAGTCTCTGCGCGAAGGGCACGGGCTTTGACCTGCAAGATACGCGGGTGGGATGTTTCGGGGAGGAAGACGGCCGCGAGGGTGAAGGAGAGGAGGGCCATGATTACGCCTATCCATTCGGTCCAGCGCCAGCCGAGGTAGGATTGTGCGATGTAGCCACCCATGATAGGGGCGGCGACGGGGCCAACGAACGTGCACATCGAATAGATCCCAACCGCCACACCTCTCGCGACAGGACTCCAGAAGTCAGCAAGGCTTCCACCCACGATACACAATGGCGCCACGCCGAATACTCCTGCAAAGAAGCGGCATATGAGGATGGTTTGGATGTTGGCCCCGCTGGCCACGCCAACTTGGAAAATCGACATGACGAAGGTGCCGACGAGGAGGGGTGGGCGGCGGCCATAGAGTTCGCTTGCTGGTCCGAAGATTATGGGACCGAGAGTGAAGCCGAGGAGAAAGAGGGAAGTGCCGAGGGTGGTTACTTGCTCAGAGACGTGGTATTGAGAAGAAGTGGCGGAGATGCAAGTTGAGAAGATGGATGAGGTGAAAGTTGTAGTGAAGGTGAGCGAGGCAAGTATGCCTGTGACGCCGACTTTGTAGCGGAACAACCAGTTTTGGGGGTTGGCGGGATCATCAGGGCCAGAGAATTGAATAAGATTAGGGTCTGGTGGGGGTGGAGAGGGCGGTGGAGAGGATGGTCTTTTCTCCTCCTTCGTTGGAGAAGGCGGCGAGTCCTCGTCATCAAATTGTGTCTTCTCACTGTTTGTGGAGGCTATGCCTTGCTCCAGATCTATCGACTTGCGCGGACTCATTGAGACCTCAGTCTGAGCTTCTGAGTCGACAACATCCTCTGAGGTAGACATTTTAGCTTCCTGACCCTTGAACAGCTTGTCCTCCACTGGCTCAGTATTGCAATCGAAGAATAGCTGGGAGTGGCTTCTGTCAGCAGGAAGAGCGATCCCTCCCAGGCTTACGTGTTTTGCAGGACCCTCCATTGTACTCGATCAGACATTATCGCCTCGTCATACTGATCCAAACCCAATGCCTCCACACTCATGCTCAAGATGCGAATCAGTAGTGCAGCATCTCACATCCGAGCCTACAGAAACATCGCAGGACTGCCCGTCAGACAGGGCTTGGCAGAGCACAACGTCATTAGATGCACAATTGTGCAATGCTCGTTCCGCCGAGTCGAACGGTGGAGGCTGGCGGATGTCGGTGACCGCTCAGTCGCCGTTGCGGAAGATAAGGCAACCTTAGGAATAAGCATAGGTGAAGTTCGCCGATCTGACATAAAGTCAGACAAGTGCCGACATTGCCAATGTTGAGACGGCAGTGAGAGATATGCAGATTTATTTCTCGAATCAAGGAATCCGGGATGTTTACAGCGCGAACCACAGGGGGCAGTAGGGCGGTAGGGGTTTCTTCGGTTGGGTTCCGAGCTGGCTCCGTGGCTCTCGCTTCGTTGGAAGCCCGCAGCTGCCGTTGGGCGGTGTGCTGTCGGTCGTGCATAAGTGGAAAATCATAGGGGCCCCTCTAGCCATGTCCGTCTAGAGCACCCCATCTTGCCCCATCTTGCTGTCTTGGGATCGGAAAGTGGGATGTCTTCGGCCTTTTCTTGCTGGCGCACGTGCCACAGCTAAACATGGGCCATGTTGAAACCAATTGAAGTACATGTCTTGAGAGCCTCAGAAGTGTCTTAGGTGTTTCCATTTCTGGTCCCTAGCCGTGGTGCGCGATCCGTGTCAATGGTGGCTGAGATATAGCAAACCAATTAGCCTATGTCTTACGGTGCCTGAAAGCTGGGACATCTTTTCGCGGGCCAGCAAACCCCTCCACCGCCATTCTCGTGGAGACGTAATCAACGGCTTAGCATTCTGCACTCCAAATTCTGATGGGAGGATCCTATGTCAGAATCCAAAGCGGGCCTGTCTTTCTCGCATCGACTATGCAGGAACTCCAACCCTCGTACCTCCAGAAAGTCTGACGTTGGTCTTGGTCTTGGAGATGCTGGTGCCAAGGAGCTGCTGTTCTTCCGCAGTCCGATTGCGTGGTTTTAGTCATCATCAGGCAATCCTATTCCCACGAGACCACACCCTACAGCGCAGAATTCCATCGCGTATCGGGTGAAGCCGTTTAAATCGTGTGTCAATGCAGCCTGGTTCCCTACTTATTGGTTGGTATTAGCCGAAATGGCTCAGAGACAATCTCGTTGCATCCGCAGTGTCAATCTGTTGGGTCTGAAAAGGAAAAAAACCCGTTCAAACGGTCTGTCGAGACGAGCTCGCTGAATACTGGAAGTACGGAGAGATAAGAGCGGGGTCCTTGGGTCGCATGTGTAGTACATTCTGATAGTCAAGACCCAGCGGTAGGCTACCGGAAAATTTATCAACGTCCGTCAGCTTGCATGGCTGGTATACAGCGAAGTGGACGTGGCTTGCCAAGTACAAAGTAGTGAGGATCCACCGCAAGGTTGTAGGGATTAGAACGGGCTGAAGCTAGTCGGGCCCATCAGATGTTCCCAATTCAGCCCCAGCATTCGTCAACTTGCAGCAGGAGAAAAAACCCCGCAGGAGAATTCTGCCTGCAGTCAACACGCGAGGTTCCTTTACTGGTTTTGTTGTTCTCGTGATGAAGCTTCTGCGTTCCTGTTTCCATGCAATACCTCAGGGGAAGATGGTTCTAATAATGGCAAGTTAGGGATCGATGGTCAGCAGTGGTCAGCGCAGATCCCATCGATAGGGCCGACAAATAAGGCGCTGTTGGTGTGTCTCAATCGACTTATCTACGATCCCAACAATGCCATGACCCTGCGTCTAGTCTGCTAGTATGACGAGCATAGGTACGTACTATCTGGTGATAGTTTGGTGCCGAGCCTGGAAAGGGCTTGACTAAATCGCGATATTTGCTTGACCACGAATCGGGACCAAGAGTCTCTTAAATCAGGTGAGTAAGCCTGCCAATGGTCCTCGTAAGGCGTAAGCCCAGTGGATGCTAGGATTGCAAATCCGCAATCCGCTATCCTCATCTCAGCCCGGCGGCCTGACTCTGACTTCTGGCATTGTTCCACTTTGCACCCACAATGAAGGCAGGCCGAACAGCAACGGACACCGGCACCGCAATTGCACGTGGGAGGATGCAAGAGACGAGAAAGAGATGAATCGTATTGGCGAAGTCGACGGTGACGCCGTTTTCCAGCTCGACCCGGAGGCGGGAGGGCGGAACGGAAGAAATAAACAGCGGGTCGCTAGTCAGGGCCAGGGCATCTCGACCAGAACATCATCCTCATTATCATCAAGCCCAAGCTCAACACCCATCCCCACACATCCATCCAAGCTACGCGCGTCATGTGACTCCTGTTATCTGGCGAAGATCAAGTGTGGCAAAGAGAGACCCCGCTGTCGCCGCTGTCTCAATCATGGCTCCAAATGCATCTACAGCCCATCCAGGCGGACTGGGAAACCCAGACGACTCACAATGGCCACCAGAGAGTCATTCTCGGCGTCAGAGAGGCACTCACATATGCCCTCTCCCGCGACGACAACACGTGCATCTCCTCAACCCCATCAGCACCGTCGCCATGACTCTGGGTCTGCTACGGCCAGTGTTGACCACTTAGACAATCAATCCTTTCTTGACTGGCCCTTTGGACCCACATCAGAGAATGCGATGACTATAGACCCCAGCATAGCATTCTCTTGGCAGCAGCCGGTCCAGAGTGGTCAGCACAGCGCCTCGCTCATGGAGTCTGGGCTTCCGCCTTCTCCGTACCAGTCCCACACATCTGTACGTCTGTTTCCTCTGCTTACCCAACCACATGCCACCAGTGAGTAAAGAGAGACGTCATCTAACTTAGGCTTAACCACAGGGATCCATTTCTGACCAGCAACCCTCTCCGCAATGGGCCAACCCCACCCTCACCACCAACGACTTCAACCTCCTTCATGCCAGCTTCGCCTCCCCTCCTCCAATCGCGCCTATTGCGTCTCAAACTCCAAGAGCTTGTAACTGCACGTCCACAACCTTCTCCGCCCTGCAAATCCTGCACGAGCGCTCCTCCAGCTCCACACCCTTCGATCTCATTCTACACACCAACAAAGAAGTCCTCACCCGCATTTCTCAGCTCCTGGCCTGCACCGTCTGCGCTGCGGCCATGGACGCGGCCCTAGCTCTCACCCTAGCAGCAAGTCTCGCAAAATTGCTTGGATGGTACTCCGAGTCAATCGTTCGCAGGCCGCCTGCCTCTCTCACTCCGCAGACTTTACGAAAGCTCACAGATGCGCAGCCCTCGTCTCAGCAACAACAGAAGTCAGACACTCAAGGGACCAGGAGGGCGATGATGCAGAAAGAGTTATCACAATCCAGCACCTCCTCAGCTGAGGGTAGAGCCCCTCCCCTCGCGCACACGCCAATTGTCCTCGGCACGTACGAGCTCGACTCCTCGGATGACGACCTAGTCAAGATCCACGTAGTGCTCAGCGAGCTAAGAAAAGTCGACAGCGTGCTCTCTGCATTTGGGGACAGATTCCAGAAGCTGGTGACTGCAGCCGGAATGCCGAAAGAGCCGGGAGAGGAGGTTCAGCGTGTGGAACGAGAGGGCACGGCGGCCGCGGAAGGAACGTTCTATGGAGAGGTCATTGTGTTTCTGAGACGGAAGCTGAGGAGCGTGGTTGAGGGGCTGCAAAAAGAGATCAGGATGGAATTTGCGGATGTGTGAGGGCTTGTGGTTTGGAAGGCGGTCGAATCTGGGGCAGCCATTTCCGTTGCTGAAAGAGTTGGCATGGGAGGTGGTGGTTCAATTGATAGAGCCCTCAGACAGAAGTCTTCATCGGGCTGCGAGGAAAGAGCATGGTAATGGGACTTGCAAAAGCGATATCGAACGCGTGAACGCAAAAGAAGGGCTTTGTGAATGGAGGTCAAATTCTCGTTCAGGAGGACAAGAAAGAATTGAAAGACGATGTAATGACAACAACTGAATGAAAGTAGGGTAATAATGAATAATGCAGCAAAAATCATGACCGAGAGATTCGAAGCCCGTTCAATATACCCTGCCTTCGCAAACCTCACCCCAGGTCTAGAGCGATCAGTAACAAACAAACAGACGCTTGAACGCGTAAGGGAAATCCTCCCATGCCACGCGAAAAATCATTATTATATCATTCTTCCCTCACCTTTTACCGCCTCACCATTCCCCTAAATTACCATTTCCTCACAGCGCACCCTCTATATCCTTCAGCGTAGCATGGTTCGCAAAGAAATCACTCGGTAGATCCGCGCCCGTGTCTTCTTTTAGTTTGCCCAGGACGTTGAGACTCCTAACCCACATCACCGTTAGCATAGGGATCGCCCTTTTCCCACAACGCCGCCCTTGCCCACCAGCAAAGGAAAGTACAAGGAAGGTAACTCACATCAAACTATCCATTCCCATCGCACTCAAATCCGCCGTCGCATCCAATTCCCCTTCCTTCACGCCGAGCTCAGCTGATACCGTTGCGTGGATGCTGTTCAGTAACGCTTTCTCCTTCCCTCCCCTCACCTCGCCTCCATTCTTGACACCGCCCTCTTCGGCTGGTGGGGGTGGGGTCGTAGGCGGCACCTCATCGCTCGCCACACTCTCCCCCTCCCCCTCCCCCTTGCCGCTCTCCGATCGCTCGGGCGACGATTCTCCTGAGCTACTCCCTACACTCCTACCCCCACTGCCCCCAGCTCCAGCACCTTCACCGCCGCCATCATGTTCCGCCAAAAACCCCTTCAACCCCCCCACGGTCGCGAAATCCACAAATAAGGTGGAGGCAACATCCAAGCCTAACTCCTCCTTGAATTTCCCCGAGATGTTGAGGGAGAGGAGGGAGTCGACGCCTAGATCTGCCCAGGCACTGCCGTCGCTGAGGTCGGTGGCGGGGACGCCGAGTTCGTCTGCGATGATATCCATAGCCTTAGCGGTGAGGCCTGTGGAGGTAGGTTTGGTTGCCGCAGCCGGGGCTGGGGCGGGAGATTTCGGCTTTTCCGAAGCTGAGGCATGTGGTTTCTTCGCTGGAGGAGCAGGTTTGGGTTTGGGTTTGGCAGCAGCAGGTTTCCCCGACGCAGCCGCGAGGAGTGAGTCCATGAGTTGGCGGGGCATATTGTGGAACCGCAGCCCCTCCACCACAGCGACGATCTCTTCGCCGTCAAAGACGTAGAGATCGCCCACCACCGCTTTGGCACTCTCCTGGTGCATCTTGACATACGACCGATAAGTCTTGTCGACTGTAAGGGGGCGGAGGACTCGATAATTGTCCCATCCGTGCGAGACATAGACTTCTTTACTCGGCTGCGCGTTACGATTGCCTAGCATGATGAATCCCGAAAGATGCGCCGCGCTGTCCGTTCGGTACGGACTGCACAGAAACCCATCGTCCGTGCCCCCCGTCTGGAATTTGACGGAGGCAGTGGCTTCGAGGTTCTCGTTGTCCAAGACCACGGATTCCATGCCCCGGTATTTATGGCCGTAATGAATGAGCCCGCCGAAGAGCTTGTAGGCCATCCCGCGCTTTATCAGATCCACGTCCTCCCCGCTGTCGAGGGCTTTGAGAAGGTGGTCAATGCGGGTCTGGACCATGTATTTATTGCGTTCCCAGCCGGCGGACCAGTCAGCGCTGTTTTCGTAGGCGACGGCGCAGTTGGCGTGCAGCATCGTGCGTTTACCGGTGGAGGAGTTGAAGCTGTGGAAGCTGAAGTCGACGGTGTTGGTGGGTTTTTGGTACGTGCCGACGATGTGGAAGAGTTGCGGGCCGGAGTCGGAGACGATGAGGGGTTTTTGCACGATCATGGATTTGACGTTGAGGGAGGGTGGAGTGGTGTCGGGATGGAGTTGGGTGTAGAAGTGTTGGGCTACTACGAGGGCCATGTCGCAGTAGAGGGACTGAAGTGGGGTGTTAGATTCGCTCTGGAAAGTGGTTGAGGGGAAAGGGGAAAAGGGATCGCTTACTGGAGGACACAAGCCTAGGCCATTGACTTCATGGCCTTCGATACATTCTTTCAGTATTGACTTGGTGAGATCGACTTCGCCTACAATCGTTGGGCTTTCAGCTTTGAGGTCCAATTCCACGATGCGATCGACCGAAGCTGCCTCGAACTTGGGCTTCGGGATATTAGCCTCGATCTCTGCGTTGCCTTTTGACAACGTCCAGTCATTAGTGTACTCAATCCAGTAGTTCTTGTTGTCGAATTGGTAGGTTGGTAGCTTCAAAAGCTCATGGGCATCATCAAAGTCCTCGTGATAATGATTCCAATTGAGCTTGAGGCCAGCATCATTCAGCGTGCACATGGAGTTTGCAATGGTTTGCCAATCATCCTCATTCTTGCGAAGAGATGATGCAGCCTTGATCTGAGGCCCCAGAGTACCTTTAACCATGCCCGTGCAGATGGGATGAGCACCAATTTCAAGCCATAGGCTGCTATCTTCGATAAGGCCCTCGTGTTTCGCGGCTTCGATGCCACCAAGGAAATTGACAGTTTTGCGGCAATGATCGCGCATGTAGGAAGCGCTGAATGGAAGTTCGTCCTCACTAGTGACGACTTTGTTGAGAAGTGGAGAGATGACGGGGATTGATGGCTTATTGAAGGCGACGCCTTTGGACTTGGCTTCGAACTCATCCAGGATCGCCTCAACTTGCGCCGAATGGAATGCAAACGGGATGGAGAGCTTGGTTGCTTTGAAGCCGTTGTCTTTCAGATCTTTGACCAGATTGTCCATCGCCTCATTAGGTCCGCTCATGACGGTCTCTTCGGACGCATTTATACAAGCTATCTCACACCCTTCACGATTCACATAGTCGCTTAGCGCTGCGACAGATGCTTTGATGGCGAGCATAGAATGAGTACCAGGCTGACAATGCTCTTGCAATAATTTGGCTCTTGTTCCGCACAGGTAGATTGTGTCACTGGCGGAGAGAACGCTCGCCGCGTTCAAGGCAGCGTATTCGCCGAGACTGTGACCAACAACGACGGCAGGCTCAATACCCCACGAGTGGAAGAGCCTATACAAGGCCATCTGGACACATGTAGCACCAAGTTGTACGACCAGCGATGGTAAGGCGCTAATGTCGGTGACTGAACCATCAATCAATGGCAATATTGAAGGAAAGCCTTGCAATTTGACGCTTTTCTCGAACTTTGCGATGTCGGATTGAAATTGAGGAGAAGTCTCGAAGAGCTGCTTCGCCATACTAACATAGTGAGAGCCTTGCCCAGTAAACATGAGAGTGACTTTCGGAGCTACTTTGGGCACTTGTTGGATATCCTTGTCCAACGAGGATTTCAGTTTCTGCTTGATTGTGCCGAGGTCAGATGCTGCTACTGTGATGCGGAAGGTATGTTGAGTGCGACGAGCTGTGGTCGTGTAAGAAAGGCTCGGTAGCGTCACCTGAGCATTCTCTTCCAGATAGCTGAGAAGACTCTCGACGTTCCTCGTGAGAGACACCTTTGTCCTGGCAGTTACTGCAACGACATGAGTAGATCGCTTGTCTTCTACAGACGGCGCAGACTTGATATCGCCATCTTCCAACAGCAGAGCGGTGTTACCTCCAGCTGCACTGAAGTTGTTCAGGAAGAGTCTTCGTTTCTTGCCATTTGGTCTGTTCCATGGCGTGGGCTTGAGCGCAATATGTACATTGCGAGCCTCGAGATCCTTTGGAAATGTCCGATTGATCTTGTCTTTGATCCCGCAGTGAGGCGGTATCATATTTTTGTCCAACATGGTAAGTACTTTGATGAGCGCAGTGATACCTGAAGCGGCTTCTCCATGACCAGCGTTTGCCTTGACAGCTCCGAGATGGACGCTTTGATCTTTTCCTCGCTGTCGGTGCCTTGGAGCAAAGGTATTGCTGACGGAATCCATTTCGATGGCATCGCCTGAAAAGTCAGCGGCTTGCCTTGTTCATTGAGAAAACCCGACATACCTGCTTGAGTCCCGGTACCATGCATTTCTACATAAGAGACATCATGAGGGTCAACTCCCGCGTTATTCAAGATCTTTGAATAGAGAAATTTCTGAGCCCCAGCATGAGGATGTGTGATACTGACCGCTTCCGCAGAATGATTGGTATCAGCTCCAAGGATCACAGCCAGGATGGGATCTTTGTCTGCCTGTGCATCCTCGAGTCTTTTCAAGACTACACTGCCGACGCCATCGCCTCGACAGTAGCCGTCGGCCCCGTCGTCAAACGTGGCACATGGACCTTTCTTCGACAGAAATTGTCCACGACTAAGACCGCTGAAGATGTCGGGATTGGTGAGCACATTCATTCCGCCTGCCAGCGCTGTATCGCATTGGCCTGTTATAAGTGAAGTGCAAGCCAGCTGTATTGCAGCTAGGCTAGAGGAACAGGCAGTGTCAACCGAAAAGCTCGGCCCGCTGAAATTGAAGAAGTAGTTGATGCGCCCTGGTGCAAAAGCTCGGACGCCGCCAGGAATGAAGTAAGTATCGACCTTTTGCGCTGCTTGAATCTCTCTCCAGTCGTCACTGGTTTGGCCGTAAAATGTACCAACCCTGTCCAGTTTCGATGAAGCCGTCCGGTTCTCCACATACCCAGACATCTCAAGTGCCTCATACGCAGTCACCAAAGCCAGTCTGTGCATTGGATCCGTCTGTGCCGCCTCACGAGGAGACATATTGAAGAAGCGAGGGTCGAAGAGACCAGGCTCATCAATGAAGCAGCCAAAAGGGGTGTGAGATGTGTTTGGCCTCTTACCATCCGGGTCAACATGGGTCTTGGTATCAAAGCGGTCCTTTGGAATTTCTTTGTGTAGATCAAGCCCCTTTTCAAGTAGCTTCCAGAAAGCTTCGTGATCAGCAGCGTCTGGAAATCTCCCCGACAAGCCACAAATCGCGATCTTAGGTCGCGACTTGTTATTGTCGTCGCCTTCTTGACGGGTTGGTCCGTAAGCAAAGCGGTCATCTGAAGTGACCTCGCGTGATTTCCCTTTCAACGCAGAGATGAGACTTTGCGCAGCAGTCGATGGCCCTAGTCGTATGATATTGCAGTGGTAGTCGTCGCGTTCCTTGACTTCACTCGCGACATTGTCCAATACGAGATCCCAGCGAAGAGGGTTCACAAGGATGTCGCGAATGAGGTCGTAGAGAGTCTCTCTCAAGGTTTGGGTCGAGTACCAATTTGAGGCTGAAGTTGAGGATATGGGTATTCGTACTGCATGATTATCTAGGGTATTGGTAGCAATTGATTGAAAGATTTCAGTAACTTCATTGCCACTGAAGAGGTGAGGCGCATGATAGGGGCCTTGGATAGGCAGGCGCGTGGATCTAAAGTCTGTGAAATGAGAAGATCTGGCCAAATGGTCCAGTGCATGGTGTGGACCACTTAAGGTTACACCTCGATCACTCACAGCGCTCACCCATATCGAAGCACATGGTGGAATAGCCTTTGGCGTTTCAATGTGATCAGCACAAGAAGCAGCAGCTCGATGGAAGGCTTACCTCTGACTCGTGAAAGGCATCAAGAATCTGCTTTGCCCGCTCAGCCGTAAGACTGGGGACGACAGCAGACCAGCTTGGACTCTGAACGGAGTTGCGTTCAATTTCATCCGCGGTCTCCGATACCAATGCCCCAATTCTGAAGGCAATTGTGACCAGGTCGACCGCTACATCCAAGAGATCGATCGCACTACAGCACGAGCTCACTGCTGCGGCGGCTAGTAAGCCTGTGCAGGATCCTACAATCCTCGTATGTGCTGGTGATGGATAGCTGTCAGTTTGTCCGCTTTGATAGCTGCAGTTGTCAGCGGGGTTGCCTTAGCTTGCTCATCATGCTCACCTGAAAAAGCACGCAAGTTGTGATGCACATGTAAGTGCACTCTCAAGAGCATTTGACTTTGCTCTGCCTGGTTCCGCATACCTGCCAACCAAGTCGTTGATGCTCGAAAAGCTGGGTATGTTGTCTTGAATTGTGGACGGCTGGCGAGGGACCTCATGCCTCAGTGCTTTGTACGCCTTTCCAAGAAAAGCTGAAAGTAGAACATCATCCTTAGCTTGGAAAATGTTGCGGAAGACAGCATTATAGTCTCCTGTCTGGTCTCCAAATATCAGTATATCAATCGGAGGTTCCATTGTGTTCATAGCCTGGTGAGTAGGATCCAGTTTAGCGGAAACGAGCGTGGACTTGATCACAAGATGGGAGGCAGCGGCTTAAGAAGAGAGCTAAAGAGGGACGGCAAATTTTAGGACGCAGAGACAGTGAATCCAGCTCGTTATGGGGAAAGCTAGAGAATGGCATGGCAATCTCGATCACTTTCTCACCGCAGAAACCCCCAGTTTCCACGTAACATCGAGACATGGTCGCCGACCAGCAACGTCACTCGTCTCCATTTGAGGCCCAAAACAGTTTGGCGGTCAGCCGAGACACCAGAAACGTAGCCGGAATAGCTCACGGGGGAGCTTTTGTGGGATCGCGGCAGCTTCAGACAACCATATCAGGCCGTTCGTCTCTAGCGTCTTGGTTATCTTCATGCGCTGTGCGGTAAGCTCTAGTCTGTAGGAACACCGCATCATCGGAAGCGGCGACACAGCGGCGACACGAGGCTGAGAACAACACGAGCTAAGCAAGGGACGATAACAGCACCCTAAAGCTGACAGGCACATGCTGCGGAAAGATCAAGATTGAGCTTAGGTTATGATGGATTTTGGCATTGGCAACGGTGAAGCGGCGGCCGAAGGCGCGTGAAATCCGGCGATACGAGGATGACATCGCCGCAGCCATCGAGCGGAACAACGGGGCTTTCCAGACACACCGCGACTACCTTCCGCAGCGGGAGGGGAGTGACAGGTACCATTGTTGATGGGAATCGGGCGAGTGAGGTGGATGAGTTGGGACGCGTTCATGCGGAAGTCGGTCGAACGAATCCTCAGCCCTACGGACACAGGTGCCAAGCCTGCATTAAGTTATGCAATACGCTAGCTACGTGTATGCATACTATAATGCATGCATAATAAAATGCATGCACAATATAATGCATAAATGATCTTACGCGATCAGTCCATCGAAAATCTATCTTACAAGTCGCAATGAAGATCTGATGAACGTCCACGGGCTACGAAGAGCAAAAAACAATACCAAGGGGATGAGAAAGGCATGAAAGTATTCACGGCTTAAGAAACAGCATCACGATATAGCGTCTGCATGGGATCAATGCTCCAATCTCATATCCGAGTACTAAGCATTGATTCATCTGTCCATTCTTCATACTCATGTCATGCTCTGTCGGGCCACCTGGAATTTCCAAAGGGTCCTTTTTGACACTATGGTAGAAAGAATCAACGACCGCTCAATCTCAAGAAAGAACACAGAGCCTCTCGTAAGTCTCGTTGACAGCATCCCATCCATTTACGCCATAGAACAACGCTAAAAAAACGCCTTCATCCCTATCACACAACGCCCCAGATCCCAGCCCACAATATCCCCCAAACCCCATCAGCTCGTCGCCTCACTACCAACAGCCACCACATCCTCACCACTTCCCGGCGCCTCAACCAACGTAAAATTCCCAACCTCAAACCCTGCTCCCCCTTCCTCGTCCCCCCCATCCACCCCCACCCCTTCCTCCACCCCATCGCCAAACCTCCTATACCTAACCTCGACAAAAACATTCTCCCTCAAACTCGGATACGCCCTGCCTGTCCTCCCCCCACCTCCCCCTCCCCCTCCACCACCAAAACAATCCCTCAACACCCCCACCACAGCCAACGCGACCTGCTGCAGCCGAAACGAATCACTCTCCTCCTCCCTCCCGCGTGCATTATCTATCACAAACTCGCACGCGGGCGGATCCGGCCCGTGGCTCGTCGGCGTCAATTTCCACGTTACAGGGAGGTGCACGGTGCCTTCCGTGTCGGTGAGCGAGCGGCCGTATTCTCTGTTACGATTTTCGCGGGAACTGGAGCGCCAGCGGCGATCGAGGGCGTCGAGCGTGCGGAGGCAGTCTGCGTATGGAGGGAGGGGGGAGCGGGGGTGAAGCAGTCGACTTTTATGGCGAGCGTGGTGGGGAGGAGGGGGAGGAGGGGGAGGAGGGTTGTGAGGAGGGGGAGGGTGAGGAGTTTCATGGTTGGGTAGGGTGAGGAGGCTTGGAGGTTTGGGAGGGCAAGGTCTGGTGGTGGTGGAATGGATGTGGATGTGGAAGTAGGGTAGGGGGGAGGGTGGAGGGGGGACCTGCGTCTAGATGACGACATGTTCTTAAAGATTTTGGTTCTGGGGGATTGGGGTGCGTTCCTTGCGTCGCTGTCACGAAGGGCTATGAGAAGATTTCGTGGGATGCGTCTGTTTTGTCGCACATATTGCGCCTTCCACGCTACTGAAGCGGCGGATACTGCGTCTCGCGAAATCATCTGGCTCGCCTAGAAGTGGTGTGCGCATCGCGCTTGGGAGTTTGACTATAAATACCATCACGGTGTCAGATGAGTCGAAGAATCGGCATGCTTGGAAATGCCTGGGATCTGGGGTAGGCTGGGGTGAAAGTTGTTTCTCGCAGCATCCCGTCAGACTTGGGAGACCCTTCTCTTATGAGGCCGAACATTCCCGGATAAACAACTGGCGTGTGTTCACGCAAACAAGCTTTAGCCGAAATACAACTCGTGTGGGCAAATAGCTGGTGTCGAATGAGGCCTTGTTGAAGCAATGTCTTTGTTTCATTGGCTACAAACGCATTCACCTGGCTCGCTGCTTGTAACACAGTGGAGGATACAAACATTCAGGCTCCTGAGTCTGTGTCACAACATTAGACGAGACAGTCTCCTGCCCACCGGGCCCATCAAACGAATCTATCCAAAAATGTCAGCACACCACAAAACCCACAAACAGGTGCAACGCAAAGCACGTACAGCCAGACGGTATCACAGGGCAAGGAGAACTTTTGAAGTCAACATTCGGCGGCGTGAACACCACCGGTCGATACAGATCCGTGATCTTGCACACCGTCATGTTGACGAGACCAGGAGTCTCGTAGCCCGAGCCGAAGGGAGATAGAGGATCGTCTGTCGTGTTGCCTTCTGAGAACAGCGGTTTTGCCGTGTATGGTTGCTTGAAATTATTGGCTTTGAACCCATCCCAGGAACTGCGCGTAGGGTAGGTCAGATTGATCTGCCATTTGATTGTGAGGAGAGGGAGGGAGGGAAGGGCGGGCACTTACCTCCGCACCAGCGTGTCGTGGTGGAGCACCCCCCACGTCTTGCCATCCAGGGTTTCGATGCCAATCAAGGCCTTAGTTGTGTAGCGGAAGTCCCAAAGAACGACACCGCCTGCGGTCGTCTCTTTGATGTCGTAGTGTCCGTTGTAGTCAACGATGTAGAATGTTTTACCGTCGTAGCACGTTCTAGCGTCCATTATGTCTCCGTTGTACAAGGGGAGGATCTTGTCAAATGGATCGCATTCTTTGTCTTCGTAGAGGATGATAGGGTTTAGCTGGCGTAGTTGCCAGGCTGGGACTACGAGGACCATGTAGTATATGGTGGAGATGTTTGTTTGCAGATCTTGCTGTGCGAGTTCGGGGAAGAGGTTAGGATTCGCCCAGACGCCGGAGCCGATTTGAGTATTGAATTCGTCGATAGATTTGTCTGTGCCGTCGAAGATGGTTTGGACATAAGTTTTGATAGCGTCGCGGGTCGAGTTGAAGAAGCTGCCGAGGATAGCGCTGAGGTCGCCGGTGATGTCTGCTTGAGCTGCTGGTGAATTGAGATTGACCCCAATGTTCGCGCCGGACAAGGCAATGTTTGATGCTGTACAGAATCAGCTGCGCGACATTAGGTGAATGGGTCTTGAAAATACCAAATAATTTTGATTGAGTGATATATTCGCCATTCGCGGCTGCAGCAACGGCATTGAGTTTGAAGATAGATGACCGCACAATTGCGCCCAGTATTTGACCACCAAACAGACCTGCAACCTTCTGCATGTCAGCTCCTTGTCTCAGAGGGTCGTGGCTTTTGCTTACAGCGACGGCAATTTTCGCCCACAAATTATCCTCAATCGGAACCGTAGCAATCGCCTTGCTAAAGAGCGAAAGCTGCGTATCAGTCAGGAAAGCGGTCGAGAAAAGAAAGTCGTAGATCTGCGTATGATAGGCGGTGAATGCACTGATCTCCCTCTGCACCAGCCATGCGCCAGGGTTAGCAACATCCTCACAATTTTCGCCGGGACATTTAGTGGAATCGACGTCGCAATAAAAGTCAGCTGGCCCGTTCCAGCTGTTGGCCAGGCGAAGTACGAACACCCCACCGCCTGGTTTGCCCTGTTTCTCATAGTCGCGCCATTGTTGGACACCCTTGTCGCGCGCAGCAACACAGCCTGCGTACTCGCATTTCTCCATATAGGTCGGCACGTTGGGGTCGGTAAGAATCTTATCCGTGCAGTGTCGGGAGTCGGGGCTCACGCTCGATGTTGCTGAGATTGTACTGCTGCCGCTGGGTAATGTCACAGAAGAAGAACCTGACGTGATTGAGGATGTAGTCTGTGATGTAGTCTGTGATGTAGTCTGTGATGTAGTCTGTGATGTAGTCTGTGATGTAGTCTGTGATGTAGTCTGTGATGTAGTCTGTGATGTAGTCTGTGATGCAGTCTGTGACGAAGAACCGCTTGTGGTGGATGACACACTATTTTGCGACGATTGAGTCGTGCTGAGTGTCGTTGACGTCAAGCTAAGAGACGACAGCGACGTACTGCCTGTAGACGACGTTTGACTTGTACCGGTCGTGACTATTTCAACGCCAGGCAAACAGCTTGCTACGCTTTGTACAAAGTTTCTGACCAGCGCTGTGGGGACGAAGTTTTGTTGGCCCAGTAATGATTCATTTTCGACAAGTGTAGTCAAGACACAGTTGACGATAGTGCTAGAATCGTCCGTTGAAAGCGCTGGATTTCTGCGGATCGTGTAACCTCCACTGACGAGTCCAGTAGTTGTGGGTCCGACGGATGTGGAGCTTGGAAGGCCGACTAGTTCGAGTTGTGGGATACATTGACAGAGGTCGGTGTAGAAGCTCTGGAATAATGCAGCTGGCACGTTGTCTGGATAGCTGTAAAGGACACCATAGTCGGTGAGAGTAATCAGTATGCAGTTGACGGTTTTTTGGTCTGATGTGGTGAGCGTAGCAGCTTTCAACAGCTTTACCTTTCCTAGGGTTTGACCTAGAAGGCTCCGACTGGCTGATGAGCTGGAACTCGATAGTGAAGTGACACTGGAGCTACTACTTGTTATGGTGATGGGAGCTTGAGCTTGACGTCTGAAACGCTCTCTTTGTGCATTGGAATGAAGGAAAAGAGTACATAGAAGGAGAAGATGATACAGCATCTTTCAAATTTCAATTTGATTTCAAAGACGCAGAAGGGGTCCAAGGATGAATAGTCAAGGAAGAAAGCAGGAAGAGTCACAGCATGTGGCCTTCATGTAACGTGTGACATTCAGCAAGGCCCTTATCACAGCACAAAACTTCACCACATGAGTGGAGCACCAACATTTGGATACAAAACGCAGATAGGAAACAACATACATGGCTATTGTCATAAAGGCAGACATTACTGCTCACTGAAGCTGAGCGATGCTTTCCGGCTCATTTCGGATGTTGTAAATATGGATTGCACGTACGCAGACGCCAAGCCGATGGGTGATAGTGACTGTGCCTGGATTCTGAAACAGGACATGAAGCGTCATAGGAGTGCAATCACTCATACGTAGATTGATCGCTCAAAGAAGATTGCTGTTGTTGGTCGACTACGCCCTAACACAGATGTTCTGGTGGATAGGTGTCGGTTTCGGTCCATGAGACCTGCAATAACGGGTTCAAGTCCAAGCTTTGCCGTGCCTCAGCAATCTTCGTGAACAAAGATATGTCTTTTGGCCAGAACAGTCCTGATACAGCGACATATAACCAACATGCCCAAAGTGTTGGCACACGGCAAGATGTGGCCTTATCTTTGAATCGAAATAGTGTCTTGATAAGGCCGCCAAATGGACTTGGCTGGACTAGGGCTGCAACTGGTGATACAGTCAAGAAGACAGAATTCTGAGAACAGTCTGCATCGCGCATTCCAGATGAACATTCGTAAATAGGAAGACAAAACAATGTTCACCGTGATGAGGCTCTCTTAGAGCCGCAACCCCCACACGACATGGGAAACCAAAGAAGGTTCGCGGACTAGGCCTGAGCTGTGCCACAGGGAAGGATTGCGTGGATAGAGGCGCAGCCTCATCAGGGCCGACCTCATCTGCGCTATGCTGCTTTGGGAATCCAATCCAGAGGGACAGGTCCGCAAGCTTGTCATTGAAGGTAGAGAAGCAGCAAAGGAGATTAGAAATCTGCCAGTGCTGGCCAATATCAGGATGCTTGGCCGTAAGTAGGCGGGAGAACTGGAATCATAGATGTCAATAATGTTACTAGACTGTAGTTTTGCGGATGAAATGCGGCGGCTCAGAGGTATCACAGGGTCTGGTGCCCATGAAACCATGTCTGTGGCGGAGAAGGATGCTAATTCTGCCTAAAAGATACGAGCCGTGTGGCTGTAGACAGGTTCATAGGTGTCTGGTTCATGGGCAGTGGTCTCTCTCTCTCTCTCTTTTTTTTAGGAGAGTAAATGTCGGTATTATCGTTGGATGTATGGACGTGTAATTTGATGTAGTTGGAGAGGCGCATGTGCAGAAGATATCGGGTACGGTCGGCGATAGGCTTCTTTGCCCCAAACTTCGATCTTGGCGTTCGTGTGGCAGCACGCGAAAGGACTCGAGAAAACTTGATGGATTCTCGTGTGCATTAATGTCGCGTCAATTATTCTAGTACACTGTAGTCTATGAGTCGAGTGAAAGAGATCTTCACCGGTAAGTCAAAGCGCATTCCACAGCCAAGCCCATCCCACTGTATTGCAATTACGTCGCCCTTCCGCCTCAAATGTAGGTATTCCTTCCAGCAATGCTTCGCTCCGGATTCCACAGATCAATGATGGTTATATCCCATCGTGATATCAAGCCCACCACCCACCTTACTCTCCCCACCCCTCTTCGCACTCCCATGAACGCAATCATCAAGCGTCATCCACGTCCTCTTCGCAATCCACGCGAAGCTCGCCACGAAGCTCTTGTTAGGCGGCTGCAGCGTAATCGTCGCCCTGCACGATTCATGCACGACGTAGAATGGCGTGTACAGTGTATACTGCGGGTTCAAAGGCCCTCCCACATCGCGTGATTTCTTCTGTGTTGTGCCGGAGTCCGCTGTGATTGTGGGAGGCGCAGCATCTTCCGTGGACGAGGTGTTGGTGTTGATTGTAGTGCCAGTTAGGGAGTCGGTGAAGGTGACCATGCCGAGTTTATCATAGGAGAGGATCGTGTCGGCTACTTCCCAGCAATCGTGGTAAGTGGGCGCTGGGTCGTGCGTGGACTTGAAGCAATCAACTGTGATGGGCTGGTCGGGATCATCCTCGAGGGTAGAGAGCGAGGAGCCGTTGGGTGAGATCGGGCTGCCATAAGTGAGTGTGATGAGGTAAGGAACGAGCGTGAGGAGGGTTTTGGTAGTAGTCATGTCAGCGAGTGCAGGAAGTGGGAAAAGCTGTTTCCACATTACTGGACGCTTACATATACCGACTGAGGCGATCGTTATCGTCATTCTATCAAGACCATTGCAACCAACAAGTGGAGGAAGAAACGTTTGATTGGTTACGAGATGCTGGTTGTTTCGGGTACTGTAAACAGCCATGCGGCTCTACCTCCTACGTATTGGAGATTTCAGATGTTTATGGCCGACGGGACGCGCGGATGTACGATCGAAATGAAACAGTGGCGTGTTTCCGAGACCTCGTGGGGTTGCAAATGCATGGTGCCTGAAGCCGCGCGCAAGACCAAGGAGCGCGTGCGGGAGTCGGTGGGTTTCGGTGCCAGGAGAGTAAACGTCCAAACCCTTCACCCTTAATATTAACAGAGGACGAGACACTGACTTCAATGTTGTTTGACTCGTCATCTCACCGAATTTATGTCCAGGATCATTCATAGCCGCATCTTCCTGGATTTCAAGTCGTTGCGACTGGCCCTTTATACAGGTTTAACCCTTGTGCTATCTTATCTTTGGCATTCTTGATTTTTCACAAATGAATCGACTGGTGAAATATTATGGAAGAGCTTTAATATGGCAGTAGTGCCAGCAAATACTTCGATTGCTTACTGAATATGTGCTTGGTTGAATTTGGATCATGTACGACGGAACACTTGGCTCAAGTGGCGATCGTAGCTTGGAGACGGCGGCTGGGTCGGTCCACCAGGTTTCTATGGAGAAATTTGTGGTATCATGTTGCAGTCCTAGAATTGTAGGTGCTTTTTGATGCTTGTCTTGGAGCTGCTGGTGGGTCGGTATTGGAGTGGACGCGACACTTTCATGCTAAATAAACACTCGAATGAGTAGATGAGTTCTCAAGGACCTTTATTAATAGTGTTGTGCTTCTCAGAAGGTTGTACCTGTATACAGCAATGTTTGTTTCGAAAGCATTCGCGCTCTTCTGATCGAATGCGACATGCTTGGGCCTTTCCACGAGCAACTATGTTCGGCAAATTGGCGATTGAAGAATCGCTGCTGTCAAGCAAATTGACATCAGTCCCTGTCGTCCTCTTCGTCAAGACGTCAAATCTGGTCCGTTGAGCAGGCGTGATCCCATGTGGAGCGATGAAAAGATGTAGCTGATCGCCCATTGACGAGACTAAATAGACATTAGCATCTCTTCCAGTCGTGTCTCATTCCAAGGTGGCTAGCATTGTCTGAGTTGCCAGTTGTCTCACACTTACCTAGAGTCTTATGCCCAGCACCCTCTTTCCCATGTGCAGTATTCAAACAACCCAAAATCTCCCAAAATCCCATTATGATCTCCTCTCGTGCGACCAAAAAGCTCGACGGCTGACCTGCTGGTGGTCTATTACCCCATCCAGGCCTCCATCCGATATCACTAGCTTTGCCCATCTGAGATGTGGATACGGCGCTGAGCTGGGCCGTGGATATCATCAGGAGCAGGCACGTCTTTGGCTCTTTCTGGTTCATCAACGGCAACTGAAAGGCCGGTTCCTCAATACTGGCGGGTCTGTTCCCGCTTTCAGTCCACCACCAGCGCATCGGCGCTTTGCTCTTCAAATGATTTCCGAGGAGATAAATTGCATGCTCGCAGGCTTCCCAGGTGTAATCGACAGGCTCAGGTGTGAAGATAATGTCATTTGGGCTGTAGCACGTGACGACTCCGGGGCGAGTTTGGTAGGAATCTATGGCGGTGAGGTTGATAGAAAGAGGGCTGTCATCGACGTCCAGTTGACTGGAGACGAGGGTTTGAGGAGCTGCTACTACACAGATTGGAAGCACGAAGGCTACAAATAACCATGCAATCGCTTGTATAACCATATCTTCAACTTCACGGACAATCGACCAGACACGATCGAAAGCCAGTGGCGTCGTGCATTGTCGGGAATACACTAATACAAGTCATTGGATCACAAGTCCGAGGTATGCATGTTAGTGATCAGAACATGAATCCAGACCTTTCCGATCTGTTCCAGCGTTCGTCTTTATGCTCTGCGCGTACGCGAGTACCTAGATCTATTTTTGGGGCAGGCGCACAGGATGAGCCGTGTGCGTCGCATGTCAGGGTGGTCGGATCCGCATTTGGGTAGTATTAAAGGTGGCGCATTCTATGATTAGGTCATGACAGACAATATATCAGGGGAGCGAAGGCATCTGACCGGGTTTTCAGCAGTCAATCCTGAAGCGTTGATCTGGACAGCGATCTTGGTGATGCAATGCTGGTATTGGCGACAACAGCCTTATCAGTCTTCAGGACATCTCCGTGTCCGATCACAGATTTTCTTAACACCCGAATCACGATCTGTAACGCAGGAGAAACTTCCCGTGGTCGCTCAGGCCTCGAAGAGTTTTCTAACCGCCAGGTCAGAACATTACCCGGGGTAAGAAATGACTTGCATCCCAAGTACCGGCCAAAGACAAAGAGTACAGCCATGTTAAGGATCGCGCATGTGGATACCTAAATGCAGTATTCTCACAAAGTTGGATCATCGGTGAATCGAATGAGTCTCTCTTTTCGGAATTGAAATGACAGTACAAACAGTCCAGGACAGTGCTCGACAGTATGTCCGTTGAGGAAGGTGAAAGCGCACTCAATCTCTCATTGACAAGGAGATCATCGGATGAGCTCGTCCTTGAAGTGACTATCTGAACGGTCCTTCTGATCTAAACACCGAATGACACCAAGACGATCACAGCTGAACTTGAGGGATAGAATGAAGCGTACCTGCTGAAAAAGACGAATTCTTCAAGATGTGCAGCTGTGTAGAAGCAGGGTCGCGCATGCGAATCCTGGGATGAGGTGCTGGACAGCCCAGGGCCAAAAGATTAACCGACAGAGTTGGTCCAAGTGCCAGAAGAGTCATGCCGAGACAATTGTCATCAACTCTAATAACCAGCCAGCAGGAGCTGGACTTCCGTATACTCAAGAGATGGAAATGATGCGCATTGACAAAACAATTGACCGACAGCACTAACCTTTCAGAGTGTCGCACTCGATCTTCTAGAAGCCCAATGCGACGCACCCACAAAGCGCACGCCAACCAATCCATTACACACAGTTGAATGGACCAATCACATTCAAAACATTGGACAGATCGCTGCCTGAACCCGATAAAGATGTCTGCTTCGGGATGGAAACAGCGCAGGAGCAGAACGAAGGTACGGAAATCGCAAACTCTGCCTACCAACGGCGAATGACGCAGAGAGAGACATAAGCATGTCCCAAAAGGATGAGGGAGCACGCCATGATAGATGGGAAGGCGGCAATTGATGGATAAATACTCATCGAATAGATGGAGCGTGGACGGGATGGATGAAGAAGGAGCGAGCAGGAAACAAAAATGGAAATTTACCAAGGCCAGAACGCCAAAAGCCGCGCTAGGCTCTCTTAAGAACAGTGCGGTCGTCCGGAAATCTCTCCGCTGTTTACCATCCAACGTGTCGTGCGAATCAACATCCAAGCCGAACTCGAGACCAGACACTCCGTGCAATTGAGTAGCGGAACTAGGACGTTGCTACGAACGTGGAGCTCTGCTATTCAACGCGAGAAAATTCAGATATGGCGGGATGCCTCGTACGGGAGGGACTGCTGCCTTTGCAGTGTGTGGATGGAATGACTGTGTATGTATGTGAATCTCATTACAAGGCTCAATAATTTGTATCTGGAGAATGACGTTTTCTTTCTTTTTCTTAACAGCTGCTATATCTGCTTTGCTTCACTACTACGGCGTTGGTTTCTTCTGCCTTTTTGCCTTGTTTGCTCCCTTCGTCTCCTTGCTTCCTTCGTCTTCTGCCCCATCCTCATCTTTCCTGCCTTCCATCCTGCCTTCCTTGGTCGGCGGCTGACTTTGGAGAGCAGCCTGCCTTGGTATCATCGGCACCTCGGTAATTTCATTGTTGGTGGCAGCCACCGTCACGTCCGCTTGGCTTCGTATTGTCGGCGTCGTTGATTGATTCGCTATGGGCAACAGGCCTCTGGAGCCGGCCCGCTTTGTGGTTATCGGTGGTGCGGTTGGCTTGACCGGCTTTGACCGGTCGGTTCGACAGCTGAATATTTTCCATCTGGCTGTCGGATGCACTTTGTCACGTTTGGCTGGTTGGTGTGGCCGGCGATTGCCGTGGCATCTGTTTTTAGTATTGGGATTGCCACTCATCGACTGGCTTTCGGACGCCGATTGTCACGTATCATCCGGCTTGCGAACGACGCTTGTCTGCCGCTAGTGCCTGGCAGAACAGATATTGTCGTATCGTCTGGCTGTCGTACGATGATTGTCACATCTTGCTGGCTGGTTTAGCCGTGCTTGTCTGTTTGTCTGGTTGTAGTATGATGTCTGTCGACTGCCGCTAGCTGGTGTAGTGGCGCTTGTCGTGTCGTCTGGCTGCGTACGACGATTGTCGGCTGCTGCTGGCTGGGTATGCAGCTCTTGCCGTATCGCCTGGCTGTCGTGCGATGCTTGACTGGGGTTTGATGCCTGGTGCAGCATCTCTTGTCGGTCTGTCTGGCTGTCGTACAGATGTTGTCGTGCTGTGCTGCCTGGTTTTGCAGCTGCTTGACACCCCATCTGGCTGGCGAATGGGTCTTGTCGACGCTGGGCTGGTTCGTTCCATAGCGCTTGTCGTACTACCCGGCTCCGTAGTGCTTGTCATTTGTTGCTATCCGGCGCCATAGCGATTGTCGGGGGGGGAGAAGCCCGACCTCTGGCTGTGACATGCCAGAGGCCGTCTCTTGACTGAGGGCGCTCTGAGGGGTGCTGCCTGGCACTGCAGCGCTGGTCGTTGCTATCTGGCACTGCAGCTCTGGTCGTGGTTGCCATCCGGCGCCATGGCGATTGTCGGGAGAGAAGCCCGACCCCTGGCTGTGACCTGCCAGAGGCCGTCTCTTGACTGAGGGCGCACTGAGGAGGTTGCTGTCCGGCACCACAGCCTTGTCGATGCTGTCCCACCACAGCATTGTTGTTGCTTTCCGGCACCAAAGCGATTGTCGGGGAGAGAAGCCCGACCCCTGGCTGTGACCTGCCAGAGGCCGTCTCTTGACTGAGGGCGCACTGAGGATGTTGCTGTCCGGCACCACAGCGGTTGTCAATGCCACTCGGCGGCGTGGCGATTGCCTGAAAAGGCAGATAAAAATAGTGCCGTAAAAATACGGGGCGCGTAGGCCCAAATAGTGATGCTGCCGTAACCGATACTGGTGTAAATGATGCTGACAAAAGGCTGCTAAAGCGTAACTGCTGCTGATTCGTGCCTTGAATAACAAAAGAAATGACGCTCAAAGGCGCCCTCATTTCCTCCACTCGGGAGGAATTGGTGCCGTGGGCCCTCGCCAGGGGTGGGCCTGGCTCGGATCCCACTTCTTGTACCGCGCGGGAACCGTCCCGCCGCCGCTGCTGGTGGTATCGAAGGCGAATTTGAGCTGTGCCTTCCTCGGGCGCGCCGGCTTTCTGGGAGGAGGGAGAGGAGGTGGTGTTGGCGGAGCGGGTGGTGGTGGTGTCGGGAGGGCGGGTGGTGGTGACGGCGGGCACCATGCCCGCCGTCCCACGGTGCTTGGTGGGGTTGCTTGGGAGTAGAGGGAGGAGGCAGGTCGGACCACGACAGGCAGCGAGGGTTGGGGATCACCCCCTCGCTGCCTGAAGCAGCAAAGAATCCACGAAAACATGGCGGGTTGGTGGGAGAGGAAGAAGGTGCCAGGCAGAGCTTAACAAGATGCTCTGGCGAGAGCTTTGGTCGGAGTGAATTGGTGGTGTGCTTTGGTGATTCAAAGTGAATTGTTTGTTTAAATTTGGTTTGATTGCTATGTAGTCTGTAATCGCTTGCCAACAGGTCCCCAAAGTCTTCCGATCTAAGGGGACAGAACAAAGAGGGGAGAGGGGGGAAGGAGGAATATATACCCTACGCCAAGCCGCGTTTCTGGCGAAAATCTCTGAAGCGCGCTGCAATTCTGCCCCGTTCTAGAGAATTCCAATGAAATGGTGGCTTATTTACGGATCCACTGGTGGCACAGGGCAAATTCGGCGTAGAAACGATTCCAACCAACCATTTCTAAGAGACCCCAGCTCCGCCAAAGCCATTTTCTGGAAAGGGTACTCTTGCAATAGCCAACTTGAAGAGATCGCGCTACTCAAATAGCCCTAAAGTTCGATGGAGAATCTTAAATCGTCCTCTTTTTCTAAGATCGCTACGCCCAAATTGGCTCTCGCGGTTAGGTTCTAGCTTATCTTAGTCCCTGCGAGAATATGTTCCTTCTTAAAGCAGGCGCTTTGCGTCTTAAAAGGGTTGTTGCAGCGTCAGTAATTGACTTTCAATCTGTCTCCTCATCCCGGATAGCTGCATGCCGCGTACGCAAAGTGGCGTATCTGATAGAGAGGTAATTTACACGTACCGTAAAGAAAAGAAATCGGAGCCCCAAGGTGGCACCCCTAGAGGTGCCTAAGGCCACCGCCTGGAGCGGGAGGCACTGCGCTAGGCCGGGTATGGTAAAGATCGGCCTGAAATAAACAATTAGTGCCAAATTGAGGCGAGGTGCCCCTGAATTTGTGCCACACCCAAGCTTTTTAGAGACTCTCCCCACCAGAGGCGCACATTCAGAATCTTGGTATCGCCAGTCCCCCCGGTGTGCCATTCACTTCGTAGCTGCACCCCGTCCGGTATTCGCTGTGAGAGATGGCGCTTTAGGGTTACGTGGCGTTGACGTTACCGAACGGGCGCGTGGGTCTCAGGGCACGACAGCTGCGAAACTTTCGAATTCCCATCAAGCCAGAAAGCCAATGATCGTCTCGAACATTCTTTCCCTCTCTTTGGATGGGGACTTTATTCCTTCCATTCTATCGCTTTCTCATCTTCTTTTTCACACAACAGTTACCAGCAACTCAACCTCAGACATGAGCATTCCCAGCAACTCATCCATAGTGGACTTCAAGTTACATTCATAATCCTCTCATAGAACCATAGCCTACTCCTTCACACCATCAGACATGCTGCCAATCGACTAGTATGCAACAATTCTTCACCACCCACCCCGTCAAGCATTCGTAGCCGCCATATGTGATGCTCAAACCACCGACCCACAGCCATGGGTCTCGATCAAAAGATCAACTTCAGTCACCCTTAGAGTCGCAGAGCCAATCTCAACATCGCCTCGAAAGTCACACTGATTTTGTTCACGACAACTCACATCGTACATCAAGGCCCTCGCAGCATCCTGTATCCGCTGACTAGACTACAGCAGTTCCCACGTCCGGACATCAACGCAAAAGCATCCAAAATCTATCATTTCAGCAACAACCCATAGCCACAAAGCCGATCGACAATGCATCAGTTCCTCAACCACCAACACCACCCACTCCGCCCTCCCCCACTCCAGCGCCACGACCACCTAGGTACTCATCGTCAAACACGCCGCACAATTTCAGCGGCATATCCACCCCCAACACACATCCATACCCGGCCCCATCTTCGGGGCCATCTCCATTCCCACTCCGGCATCAACGTGGGTGAGCAGACCGAGCTCTTCAAGCGGTAGCTCCACCCGCACCCCCCTCCCCACCCCCCAAACACCACCATCAAACTTCTCTACCCGGCCTCCATCATGGGGCCATCTCCAATCCAACTCCGGCATCAACGTAGGTGAGCAGGCCGCGTTCTTCGAGCGGTAGCTCCACCACCAACAAATTCCTCTACCCGGGCCCCATCATCGGGGCCCCTCCAGTCCAGCGCAGGTATCGACGTGGGCGGGCAGACCGCGTTCTTCAAGCGGTAGCTCCTGCCAAGTGCAGATGGCGAAGAAAATAGCTATCTACGTCTTTAGCCAAAGCTGAGGGAGGCATTGGTGTGTTAGATGAGCAGGCCGCGTTCTTCGAGCCGTAGCTTATCGTTAATGTGGCTGGTGGGGGTGGTGAAGAAATGGTTATCGTCGCTGAGGCAAGACAAGCAGGCCACATTCTTCGAGTGGTAGCTTTGTCGGGCGGGAGGAGGGGGGTGGAAGGGAGGCAGGCTGCATTCTTCGAGCAGTGGCTTTCCACCGGGAATGAGCAGGCCACACTCTTCGAGTGGTAGCTTAGCCTGGGGTATGAACAGGCCGCTTTTTTCGAGCGGCAGTTCACCCCCAATTTTCAGGTCGAGGTTGTTGGAGATGGGTATTGGGAGTGACAGTTAAAATGCAGTGTTGGGATACTCATGTTCACTGGCTGGTATGGAACGGAAACGGGGAGCATAGGATATGGAAAATGAAGTTGACTGGCGGTGCGCATCATCAATTCCGCCCATTACTACCCATGCGTCTTCATTTATCTTTTTCTATTCAAGCAAACTCGAGGCCCCCCCAAAAAAATGCGGTGCTCCCCTGCCATCATCCCACTTTCCCGTACGTGGATTATGCATGGCTCCTTCAAAAGCACGTATAGCATCCAGCCCAGACATTAGGACAAAGCATCAAGACATGTCGAGAATATGCTCGCCCTCATGTTGGGCTGATGACAGCATATCCGTAGCATTGCCATCCAACGACTCTTCCTCCATGAAGTCGCCTCTTGTAGCAGGATATCTTTGGTGTAAATTGCTTTCTTAGCAATCATTGGAACCGCGAACACAGTATTGGTATATCATATCTCATCCACTCGGGGCTTCAATGGGCAAGCAAATTGCGATTGCGATATGACCCCCGAAACTCTCGAGTACAGCAACCAATAATATCCACAGGGCCGCATCAGCTTACAGTGTCAGCGAGCAACCTCCCCCCTTGACTACAGTGATCCCCTCCTAACAAAACGTCCCTCACGACACAGCATTCCTAGCTGCGCACGAATATCCAGCAAAAATCTGCCTCGCGAGTAAAACTCCTCCTTCTTAGTCAGGGTCCAGCCTTGCAGCCTTGCAGGGTGCCCGGCCCAAGGGCGGTCAAGGTTGGCGGTGCAAGCCCCAGAGAGGGATTTACTCTAGGGGACTTTTAGGGGTGGTGAGATAGTATGCAGGGTCTAGCCCATCATCCAGAACCCATGAAAGATCTGCGCGGGAAGAGAGTGAGTCTCGTTGATGGTGTTATGTACTCTTATGAGTTTGTTTGGCCAGCTTCTGCTACTTCTTACCCATGGCGTTTTCTCATATGGAACAGAGAATGCTGCTCAACTCAAGACTATCAAACATTACCATCGAGCCAATCCATGCATCTTTTAACAGGAGGTACTGAGCATTCAGACATCAACTCCTGCTCAAGCCGGGGTGTCATGGCTTTGAAGAGCCATGGATCCCCACCGTGACGCCTTGCTGTACATCCCAATACCGTAAGACTCAACCATCACCATCTCAATCACGCCACCCCCGCTAGAACGCCCCTCCAAACGGATTCCCATACACCGACGATAAATGCCGCGGTGGTTTGACCTTCTTCGCCTTCCCACCATCTGAAGAATCCGTCGCTTTCGGCTCCGGGCGGGGTGATTTCGCCGCCGCCGCCGCCGCCGTCGAGAAGATAGAAGAAGACTTGCGCCGCTCACTCGAGGGTGTTTTCGCCGCCTTCGAAAAAGCCGAGGAGAAAGGGTTCAGGTAGATCGACGAGCTGCGAGATGTGCGACTCGACGTTTTCGAGAACGAAGAGCGCGGCGTGCCTAGATCGGGAGTCGTGCCCGGCGTGGACGATAGACTTGGTGTAGGTTGTTCGCTGAGCGATGGCGGTGGGGTCATCATCGCGTCAGTAGTAGTACCGGCGACGAGGTTCGTGCCGAAGATGCCTAAGCCATTGAAGTGCCCGTAGACGTCGGCCATGTCGACGTCGTGGTCCACGAGGGTTTCGCTGTCGAAGCCGGGGAAAGAAAGACTGTGCTGCGGTGGTGGTGGTGGGGGAGGAAGTTGGTGAAGTGCGACCGCCGCCTCGAGGGATGCGTCGTTCGTGAGGAGGGACTTGACGTATTGGAAGATTTCGCTGCGATGCGCGTCGATCTGCAACATCGAGATGTCTTCGGCGATTAAGGCTTCTTTCAACCCCAGCCAGGCATCATCGCCTTGTCTTTCGACGTCGAAGAGGATCAGGCTTGAGCGAGTTGATGCGATGGATGCAAGAGAATGCTGCATATCGCGCGCACCGGCTGCCGCGTCGGTGATCAGCTGCGCATAGATCTTGTCAAGTTTCCTTTCCATGGATTTCATCCGAAAGGCTTGTAAGCTGGTCAAGAATGCGTTGATGGTCAGGAGATGGAAGTTCAGCTTGTCGCGAATCGATTCGAGGTCTGCCAGGCCAAATTTGAATTTGTGCCACACCCTCATCATTTGCCCATTGCCCGAATCGACAATGCTGCTGTGATTGCTGACTAGTGTCTGCAACTGTCGTACTGGGTTCTGACAGTTTTCTACAATGTTTGCGAGGTCCTCTATGCGAGAGGCACCTTTGCGATTGACTATGGACGAAGGGTCCTCCGCATGCTCCTTCAAAGAGCCGATCGCAATCGCGACGGACTTGAGCTCGCTTTGACATTCTCGATATTCCGCTGGTGCGTCTTTCAAGGTGGTATACACGTATTTGCAGAGGTTCAGTGCGAGGATGATGTCATTGGTGCCATAGTTGAAAGACATATTCCCGGCCAAGAGAAGGTGGATTGATGTGAAAGAATCTAGAGGACGAGCTGGAGAGCCTGGTGTGAGGTCCTTCCCAGCCTTATGCAATCTGCCCCGCCCTAGCATGTATTGAGCTTGCCTAAAGACGCTCCCAGCTGACGCCCACCCGTTCTAGAACGGCCTCTCCGATAGAGGCCGGAAGACGATGCCGCGTTGGTGGTCGGCTTCAATGTACGACCGATAAAAAATTCCCTGTTTGTGGCGATGACTCCATATATCCGTTTTCATCTTCATTTTACACCATCCCACCTATTAAGCAACTCAACGACCTGACTATGACCTTGCCCCTCCGCAACATCCAGAGCAGACCTATCTCCATCATCCTTAATATCCTCCTCCGCTCCCTGCTCCAGTAGCAGCCTCACCATCTCCAAATCCCCTCTCCTTGCGGCAGCATGAATTGCTCTCGTCCCACCTCGATCACGACTCTGTAGATCCGCACCCCTCTTGATCAATGCTTCGACGGCTGCAAAGTGCCCCTGCTTTGCCGCCAGGAGAATCGCCGAGTCGCCCGATAGGAACACGCGGTCGTTGATCTTGGCCCCATTGTCCAAGAGTTGGTAGATCTTGCCTACCGCATTCCGTCTCGCTGCTTCGTAGAGATCGGGGCATTTTTCAGAGGCTTCGACAATCTTCTCTTCGATGGCGGCTTCGCTTTCTTCGGCGCCAAGACGAGTCAAGACGAGTCTTATTGTGTCCATGTCGCCGCCGTAGTATGCGGCTTCCAGTACTGAACCACACATGCCAGCTTCTTCCGATATTTTGGCGCCGCGAGTCAGCAGAAGGTCGACGGCTTGAGATTTTCCATTGATTGCTGCTGCATGAAGCGGAGTTCCAATTTTGCCGTAGGGGTGGTTGATGAGGGCTCTCTTGTTCAACAAGGCCTCCACTACTTTGAGGTGACCCCAGTAGGCTGCGCATTGCAATGCAGTCCCAAAGTCGAGGCTGCTTATACGATCATGCTTGAATACAATGTTCGGGTTGGCTCCTTTTTCAAGTAGCGTCTGAGTGATTCGTGGCCTTCCTTCATGTGCTGCCTGCTGCAGAGGCGTCCCAATCCACGGATCGAGGGCATTCATATTAGCTCCATGACTGATAAGTCGGGCGACTACTTCGCCATTGTCGTGCGGGACCTGCGATGCGTAGTGCAAAGCCGTCTTGTAAGGCCAAGCCGTTCCATTGACGTCTGCGCCACGTTCGACCAGCATGTCTATGCATTCAAGGCTTCCGAATTCGACTGTAGAATGTATTGCTCGAAAGCCGCCATCGAAGATTTTCTGGTCTTTATTTGCGCCTGCATCGATGAGCATGCCGGCGACTCTCCAAAGATTCCAGGCTACGGCGTGCTGTAAAGGCGAGTAAGTAGGTTTGCCGTTGCCATCCCAGTAATCTCGGGTGGTGAATGGGTTGCAGACGCGATACCAATTCTTAAATGCGGGCTGATTCTCATCGAGCAACTTGACTATCAAGGTATCCAGAGTTCCTCTTTCGGAAGCTTGGTTTGCTGCTGTTGCGTGGATAGATAAATTATTCCCAGCATATGGAAGGAATGGAGTCTCCTGGAGAACTTGTCGAGCAATCATGTCTTTCCCAAAGTTCAGAAGACACGCGACACAGAGCTTGGCCATATAAAGATGACCAAGCGGTGGATCAATTGCGAAATCTGCCATTTTGCCCGTTCGTGTTGTGGGAGACAACAGGTAATCTTTCACAGAGCTGTGGGCAAGTCTCAATTCACCATCAGGATCATTACCGTGGGCGTTGCTCCCACCCTCCTCAACGTCGAGTTTGGGAGTGAATAAGACCAGGCCTGGTAGCATATTCGCGACCACGCCTGGATTGGGTTTCAAGCTCGGTGCAATGCGAACATCTGCATCCGGCTCGATCTGTAGCGAGTTTTCTATTGCGGACTTTCGAAGAGAGCTATTAGCCATGGCGAGGCATGTCAAAATGTGGATTGCTTTTCCTTTCTGCTTATCATTTAATTTTGTGAGTATTCGTTGGTATGTTTCCGGGAGGCCACTGGGGAGTGATTCAAGCTGCGACTCAACCTCGCGATCGTTTTCACATCGTTCTAGCTCGTCAAGCTGAAGTTGAACCCAACGAAACCTTGGTGACCCAAGCAGTCAGTAGTGTGGATGTGATGACATAGATAGTACTTACATTCCACCTGAAGCCTTGCAGAGTCGTTCAGCAATGTCGTGCAGTTGTTCAGACGATCGAAATGACATTGCGACAGAGTCTTGTATTCGCTGGCGGACATATATCTCAATGTCGCGGCTTACTTCCATTCCTTTGATTGCCATGGTTTGCTGCGATATTCTTTTCATGAAGTTCTGGATTGCCTGAATCGGTTGGCTCAAAGCGATCAGGTGCACGTTATCACTCTTTGCCATCAAATCTTCCAATGCCACTCCAAGCTCGCTATACTCTAATGCGTTGCATTCGTCTAGCCCGTCAACTATGATGAAGACTTGCTCGAATGAGCCCATGGCATCAGAGCAGGCGTTGTGCATCTGTTCTCTGCTTGGTTGCGCTCGGCCTTTTGCGCAATTGTCATACAGCTGCCGTACGCTCCACACGGCGTCTTCGCTTTCAGCGGCCAATTGTTCCAACAGTGATCGGAGAAGCCGATCGGGAGATTGCTTCCGACTATCCTGAAAATCAAAGAAGAAATACACAACAGCAATATCAGGGTGATTGTTGTATTCCGTCTTCAAATGCTCAATGATGGTAGACGAGAGTATGGTTTTACCACACCCCGAGATTCCATAAAGCCACATCAGTTGAGGTGTGGACTTCCACTCGTGGAAAACCTTCATCTCCAAGAACCAGTCGCCAGTGCCTGGTTGGTATCTTTGGCGTGCTCGTCCGTAGTTGGTGGTTGAGCCCGCTGCATCGAGCCATTTGAAAACATCGCGGGTATCCGACCGAATGGACAGTGCATTGACAGCGTCGGCTACTTCGTCAATTCGAGAGGTCGCTTTCAATATGGATGATCTGTGTGTGTCAGCGAGTGGCAAGGGGTTCTGCAAACGGCAGGTGGCTCACAGCATGTCATTCTGAAAAAGCTGATGTAGAGTGTCTATATCGATCTTGATGCTCTGCAGTCGTTTTTGGACTTTCTCAGCCTTGAAGATCCACACAAGCCTCTTTTGCTGAACCATCTCCTCCAAAGTAGACCGTAGACCAAGCACCTCATCTTTGCAGTGTGCAAGGGTACCATTCTCAGCTCCGATCTCCGCGAGAATTCTCTCGGTATTTATATCTTCATAGGCCGGCGGGTCGTCCCCAACGTTCACGCTCGTCGACTGTCGAAATGCCGCGATTTGACCCAGAAGACTGGAGAGATCAAACAGTCGCCGCGCAGCCATTGCCTGTTCCTTGCGAGCATTCTTGTGGGTGGCTGTTAGCTTGCGTATGAGAGCAATGGTGTGTCCGGTGACTTCGATAAGCGTTACGATACTGGCAGCGGCACTGACTGGGTCCATACTGCAACAATTATGCTTCTAGCAAATCCGCGCCTCCAATGAGTGAAGAAAAAAGGGCAGAAGACGCTTAGACAACATCATAAGAGTCCTTCATGCGTGGGTAAAGAAGAGTCATCTTGATGATAGGATTCAGCTGAGATGCTGCGCCTTGTTCCAGGCTGCTCCGCTAGCTTGAAATCCTGATCACGTGAGATCATCTTGAGGGCCAAAGTACGACCTTTCCGACGGGCCTGGTCACTAAACAAGGTCCGTCAAACTTGTGATAGAAGCACAGCGGCACAGACCGCCGACCAGACGTTGTCTGACGAGTTCGATCTCCCTCAAGCAAGCTTCATAACCCGATTTTGCATAATTAATGCGCCGTTGTGCGATGATGTTGTCTTGAGATGGCTTCGAGTACGATTCGACGTGCTCAGAGCTACTGACGGGTGTGACATTGACTTGATTGACCGCCAGAGATGGAGAATAATCTTGCTCACGATGGACTTACTCATGACGTCATCGCAACGCTTGGCTTGGCAGACACGGGTGTAGCGCGCCTCGACGCGTCGCTCTTTTCACCCGTAATATGATGGGAGGCAACGGGATTAACGACCCCATAGTAAGACCGTTAACAATATCATTGTGAGCGCAATTGAATCCACATTCACGGCTTGCTCTGTGCCAAGTCACAGCAAGCTCTCTTTGAGTAAATTACATTCTATGTCGACACCACACCTAGATCTCGATGACCTAAATATGGACGTCTCGGATACTGCACTGAAGAACATCACCTTACTCCCCTATCCGAGCGCCGGCACAAGCGCGCAAGACACCGGCTACCAAAGCAAGCATGCGCCATGTCTCAGACCTAGACAAGGTATATGCGGGGAAAGCTCGTCTTTCCGGTAAACAAGCACGCGGATACCAAAATGTCATTGTTTGTAAAGAGTGGGTTCGGCGTCAGCCAAAAGCCGTCCTGGTCCCACAATAGTATCCCCACCCTGTATGTGCAGCTGCACACACACACGATGAGAATCCACCTCCTCGCCATCCTTGGCAGCGCCATCTTCTCCACCCTACTCGCATTCCCCACCGATCCACCGGTCACCTGTCCGCTAGACCTACCCACATATGACAGCCCAACCACCGAATCCCTCCTCTTAACTAATAACAACAACACAGCCGACAACAACATGCTCGTCCGCGTCGCAGTCGAAGGCACCGCAGTCGTCGACATGGTATGGCTGCAACCCACGCACCCGCTCTCCCTCCCCTCCCTCTCCTCCCTCCTCCACGCCACCCAACTCGACGTCTGCCAGCACATCTGGCGCGAAGGCCCCGTGACCGCCATCAAAGTCGGCTACATCCACGAAGGCGACGACGGCCTGGTTTTCTACGCGTTCAGTAAGAAGGATCAGATTATGAATTGGATCACGATGTCGAATGCGATTGTGGGGTTCGTCAAGCTGATGGTGAAGGCGCAGAAGAATATGGAAGCGAGCTTTGACGTGATGAGTCAGGAGGTGGTGGTGGGGGCGGGGTGTATTGGAAGGAGTTGTCGGGGGCCGAGGGTGGTGGAGGTGGATGGGGCGACGGAGTGATAGATGTCTCTTGAATTTTAATTCTCGAAAGTGTGGATTTGCAGCCCTCTGGCATTCTGTATCGGACCATGTACGAGTGATCGCGTTCTGCCCTGCCAGCATACTCCCAGTGCCTTGGTCTCCACCAAAATGACCACATCCAGCTTTTAGGAGAACTCAATCTCCCCATCCACAATCGCTCCCTCTCCTCCCCTCCCCCGCCAAAAACCCCACCACATTCGCCACATCCTCCCCTCTCCCTCAACCCTCCCCAACCCTCCCAGCAGTCGTACCCCGCGTCTTCTGCGCGATGAGCTGTTCAGCGCCGACTTGATAGCAGTTGAAAACACCACTGACATTAAATTCAAAGGACCGCTCGAGATCGGCTTCTGTGACGTCGAGGGTTAGTTTCACGAATGGATATGATGGGATGGGATGGCCGCGTTGGCGAGCATGATGGGAAGATGGGGCGGGGTAATTGGGGCGGGGTGATTGGGGCCGAGTTATTCGACGGAGGAGAGGAGGGGTGGAAGGGTGGACGAGGCGTTCGACGTGGAGGCGGAAGTGGAGGCGGAGATGCCTCGCGTGCTTTTTGGCTGGTGGATTGGATTTGGGAGACACTTGCTTCGAGGTTTTGTTAGTTGTTGGTCGGTTGGTTCGTGGGGATGTCGTTGGCGCAGATGGAGAAGCCGGAGGAGGCGAGGTGAAGATGTGAAGAGATATGACTTTGCCTATGTCTTGCGCTGCGACGTTTACGATTGCCGTTTTGAGGGGTGAGGTTGTGTTGAGGACATATAGGTTCGATTGTTGGGGTGCTGGAGGAGAGTGGAGGTGTGAGTGCTACCTCGGGTTACACAATTTGATGCACACCAGTGACTCAGAAGTTTAGCTTTACTGGCTATAGTTCAGTGATATTATTGTAGGGAAGGGATTTTGTAGACTGGAGGTTCGTTTTCTTAGTTTCGGAGCAATTCAGCACTTTGGATCCCATAGTGCTGCCCGCTGGGTAACGTACGAGGCTTCTGTATTGTGTGAACGACGCTCTGACCCATTCAGGTCGTATGGCAGCAGTCTGTCGCGCATCGCGTACCATCTTTTGCTCGAGCGCAACCGAAGTAAAGGAAGAAACCAGTGAGCACGACATAATCAAATTTGTGGCAGTCTTTGCGGTGTCCGCTCACAGGCAAGTCAGACGTCCCCTTTACTCCATAGATGCACAGTATGTCCAGACTGTTGACCAAGGAGGTCTGCTTCTCTCGCCGCTTGACTTGTGTTTGATGATGTCCCACCAGTGCGCAATCGACTCCTCGAAAAGAAATTGTGTTGAATGTCGCACCTTTGTTTTTTGCATCAGAGACAGTACGGCATGCTAGAGCCGTGATACGGAACATTGGTCTCAGAATTTGAGTATGTTTGATTACATTATTTTGTTCTGAGGTCAGTTCCTTAACGCCACACGCTTATGATAAATTCCTAGCCAGTCTGCAATATGCATGACTTGACTTCAGGGTGCCTAGAACACGACTGGGTCAAGCTCCAGAGGCTAGTACACCCAGTCTATATACATATATATATATATGAGTGTACGTATCCATACTCATTCAAGAGCGACTTCCAAAAGACCGCAGTAGAACGGTAAGTAATTCATTCCGGGGTGGTTGGGTTGGTTACGCTAAAAATAGACCTCCTGCGAGAAGCTCCAGGCGAGATGGCGCCGTTGGACATGGCCGAATTCACTCTCTTGACCCAGGAGATTGACTCGACAGGTGAAGGTGGCAGCGCAAACGCCGGCCCTTGCGGCAAAGCTACAGATGTAGCAATAGAGGTAGAATTGGGCACGGTCCTTGAGGATCTGTGCTTGTCGTATTCGCGTCGACATAGCTCGCACGAGAAGGCTTTGTCGGCCTTCATGACAGCTTTGACTACTTGTCTGATCTGGAAGCGGTCTTCTGGCTTTCGTCTAATCATGCCTGCAGCGATGTTGAAGAGCGGGCAGAGATCCTTCGCCTTCTCGAGATTCTTTTGGGATGATGCCCAGGTGCAGAGGTTATCGATGTTGTCGGCAAATTGTGCTGTAACATCCAACGGAAGATCACTCTTGATGAGGCGACTGAGTAGCTCGAGGAAGACGCAGCCAAGAGCGAAGATGTCAGCAGCGCGACCGTGAGCTTCGATTTCGTCATCAGAGGTCAGGCTACGATCGAATTTAGCCTTCATTTTAACTTGGCCTTCGTCGATGACTTCTTCAACGGAGGGTAGAACGCTAGATTTGCGCTCCTTGTTGCTTTTAGCTCGCCGCCAATTTGAGACGACTTCTGGTGGAGCGTAGCGTGGCGAATATAAATTTGTGCTAATGGTCTTGCTGTCGCCTGTTTCACTGAAATCGTAAGCTAAGCCGAAGTCGGCCCAAAGAAAGCGGGCAGGGATTTGGGTGGCATTCTGGAAGAGAATGTTGGCTGGCTTTCTGTATTCATGCCACAATTAGCTCGGACGCTCTACAACTTGTCCGGAAAGGGAGGTGAAATGGATTGGACGGAAAAGTGGTTGGAATTTGAGGTCAAGAGCGTGAAGAGCAATGACACGGCGCACTCGGAGGGACGTACATATCCTTATGCCGTATCTTGCAATCATGGATATACTCCAAGCCGTATGCGAGGCAGCCGAAGGCCTGAAGAAAATAAGGGCGAAGCCATACTGAGTCACGAGATCCCGCCTGGGAATAGAATTTGTCCGCTTGAAACCGATCCAGAAAGATTCTGAGGTCCCCACTTGCCGCCGGTTTCATGATCAGGCCAAACGCTCGACCACGACGATATGACTTGACGAGTTGAACGACATGTCGGTGTTTAAGTCTCCTGAGTCGTTCAGATTCTCGCTCCAGGTGTTCCCAGGCCTCGTTGACTTGTTGCTCCCCCGGTGGTATCACTTGCTGCTTCCTAACGTAGGTTTCCCCCGACACTAGGTCTTTCACCTTCACCACTGTTCCGTACGCGCCTCTCATTATGGGTCCCTGCAGAAAAATATATGGCAAGGGTTCTGCCGCTTCAAATTCAGCATGTCCACCATCAGGCCAGTCTTTTGGCGATACCCGTATCTGTTCAGTGTAGAATGTATCGGCGTAGTCTGCATTCTTGCCTTGTAAAATTGTTTCCAACTGCTCTTTCTTGAACGGGAGGTTTTGGTCTGTCTTCCCACTACTGATGAAGTCACCGAGGAGAAATTCCTGCTGCATGCCAGCAAGGGTCAAGCAAATGCGAGCGACCTCCTTAATGCCTTCAGACGGAGGGTAGGCCTCAAGAGCATCGGTGCCACACCATGCATCGTGAAAGTCGACCAGGATCGAGCGCGCTGTGGCGATGTGGGTCTGGTCATAGTAGAGACCGTCACCCTGATCATTTGGATTGCCAGCTTTGTCTTCTAGGTCTTCCAAGCGTGGTATATGCTTCCACAGCATTTGCAGTGCTCTTGCCTGTACATCTTCCGTCTCTATCGGATCGATCTCTTGAAACCCTTGCGCAAAGACGTTGTTGGTTTTGGAAGTCTGCTGGAAAACACGAGACTTTCTAGCGTCTCGATCCGTCTGCTTGTTGGAAGCCTCCCTGACTAAAGGCAAAACGCTTTGTAGGTCTCCAATGATGTTGCTCACATTCTTGAGGCTTTTGCTGAGGTTGTCCTCGAGGTCGTACCTGTCAGCCTGTCAGCTAAGGGCGCCACACGTCATTGAGAACCTTCGTTACCTTTTGTGTAGTACGAAGCCTTTGATTTTCATGCGACGATGACTCAAACGAGCTTCGAGATTTGTGATTGCGTGGTCAATGGCCGTAGAGAGACTCTCAAAGAGTGTCGTTGCATTCGTGAGGAGGTTGGCATCCTGGGTTTGGTCCGCCTTGGTGAACTCTGTGATCCAGGCCTGCAGTCGCCTGAGACTATCTTTCACGTCATTGATAACACCGTCGAGGAGGTTCCGTTTCGATTTCGACACCGCCAAGTCAGACGAAAGGCTTCTCTCGGCACGTTGTCTCAGATTCGTCAGGCGCTTGACGCATTCCTCGGCGCTACTCTTGAGGAAGGAGTCTGAGTCTACCCGTCGCCCGACCATGTCTCGGGCTGTTCATGGTCAACAGTCCTGTCGCATCGGTAATGCGACAGCAAAGAGGCCAATGATGAAGGATGCGAGCAGGATTGTGGGCCAGCAAAAGACGGGGAGGTGGGACGAAAGGCTGGAATGGCGAGATTGGGGAGCTGGAATGCCAAGACGCCAAGACTGATAGGGCTGAATGTCATCCGGGGCGGGGGTGTGGCGCACGTGGACACAGCCCCATGTGGTCGGTGTGGCAGGAACGGGTAAGCGCCTGATTTAACAGGCGACAGGCGTTCCCCGACTCCGACTGACTGACTGTCCTTTAATCACCTCACCTTTGAAACCCGTACGCCGGCTGACAGACCAGACCACGTTGCCTTATACAGTGTCTTCTTTATCTTCAATGTAACCGTCGTTCTCTGTCTCGCAGCTTGCCTCTTGTGTTGCCCCAAATGGCCGATCCTATCGGTTTGGCCTCCTCCATAATAGCCCTTGTTGCGGAGGTTATCGTCCAGTCCAAGGAGGCTCAAAGGAGCCTCTTCACTGTCAATGACAACAGCGAAGAATTGCGGAAGTTTGAATATGAGTTCCGAGTCAGTAATGATAAGTTCCGGCTCTGGACGAAGAAATGGTCTGGCGAAGACCAGAGGCCCAGAAGCTCTGAAGAGCTCTGGGGTGTGCAAGGCTGGGAAAATGTTCGCAGTATGTTATCCGATATCGAAAAGTTCAGTGTGCAGATCGAGAAGATACTCAAAAAGCACTTGCCTGACTCGGACTCACATGCTAAATCGCGATGGATCTCTGCAATATTCAAAGTCAAGAAACGTGATAGTAACGATATCGCGAAGTTGCAACTGCTATCATCGGCTCTCAAGCTCCGTGTAGATGCAATTTGGATCTACGCAGAGACAATCTTCGATTCCAAACACGGTGTCCTTGGGCAAGACAAACCGATGCCATCCCGAGACACGCTCATCACCCACGCCATACAGTCAAGAACTGGATCAATCAAGCTATACGATCTTTGTCAAAAGTCTCCTACCAACTTCAGCCTCGCCATGGACCTTCTAGCAGCCGAGGGACAAAAGAAAATGACAGCACCGCTTCACGAACGAGACGGCCCTTTACTACATTTACAGTACCAGTTATTTGCGACTGAACATAGTGGCGCTTCCAGAAATGTTCTCAAAATGATGGTTGAGAGTATCCAGAGAGACACAAACGAGCCGGTGGGACGTGGGGTGGACATTTCCAATCTTCAGCTGTTTAAACTCGACACCTCTAAGAGTATTACGATCCCGGTTGCCGCACAAGGTTCTGCACCCCCCTCTATACTACAGATAGATGATACAACGCCCGAAGAAGTGTTACTCAAGTCGCAACCAGAAAGTCTCACGAAGATTCTTCAGAGATTAAATGACATTGGCAACATCTCGAATGACGAGCATCTTTCCATCGGAGCCAAAGTAGAGCTCGCCTACAAAGTCGTTGAGTCTGGATTTTTTTTGTTGGGTACACCATGGTTCTCATCATTGTCAAGTCGGAATATACTACGACTAAAAGCAGCAGATCGAACGCAGCGACATGGTTTTGTACTCGAAATTCAGACCATCGACATGAATGCCCTGCTCTTTGATGACTCCGAAGCACTCGCAGAGACATCGCAGCTATTTCACATTGGAGTTCTACTCATGGAGATTGCTCTTGAGAATCCCGAATCAGCCAGTCGCAAGCAGGATTACAGCCGAGACGAAAACGTTATGACTCGCCTTCCGCTTGTAGAGCAGAATATGGGCGCACAATACTGCAAAGCGACCGCCTTTTGTTTACAACATCGGCGATCCCGGTTTCAGGGCCCAGAAAAGTACAGTGGTCCTAAGTATGTGGACTGGGAGAAATATTTAGCGCAATTCTTAGAGGATTTCTACTCGCATGTCTATCTGAGGCTCGAAGAGTTGCGCGATGTGGACACCAAGGCTGAATTTCGATCGCGCAAGTCGTGGATGACTGGGTGAACACCTTTGATGTATGATAACGGACGCAGCTTTCGACAATCGATGGGCATATGATTCCACAGGCCCAGCTTAGGAGAAGTAGAAGGCAAATGGCGGGAACAAAGTCTTCATCGTGAACTGCGACAACTTGAACTGGTTCCCCAAATCGTCAATACGATGCATGCCTAAATGAAATGAGTAGAATGACGACTACGATGTCGGGCTTGTCGTTTTACACCATACAGTCCACGCGAAATGACTCCCAATTGGCTTCTCGTGTCCTCTCGCTCCCGGCGTCGGAAGTGCCACAACAGGCCAGGTGTCTGTCACCTTGCCACAGCAAGGGTACCCAAAGGATGGCTTGTTAGGTATTGACAGGTGGAGGACCACGAAAAGCAGGCTGTCCGTTTATCGTAAGGTGTACACTACTTGTGCAGAAGCTCCGGCCTAACTATGTGTCCACTAATTAGCTAAGCCCCTGCAAGGCAGCGGTGGGGGTACTTCTCCACCAATCCTCACCAGGTTCCAGGCGCCCTTATCCCAGAATAGGCAACTCACTTGCCTAGTGCTTTCACCGGCGCCGGTTTGCATCCACTCTCGGACAACCTGGCCCCCATGACCGCCGGTAGTGCATGTCGCGGAGCCTCAATAAGTGCGCAAATTGGGGACCCCCCGCCCTCGGGACCTTCTAACCCATCGTTTTCACTCTTTCACATATCGATACCTTATTTTGCCTCACGAGGTGCGATAGGCATAGATGGTACAAGGACCCCTCCAAAGCGCAACCTGGCCTCTATTCCGTCCAAGTCAGGCTTTGGCGCATACCTCCGCAACCAGGAAGGTGGTCCAATAACATGACTAAGGCGCGTCCTTTGGCAGCACAGCGCCAAATTACGGGACATTGACATAATGGACTCGGGCCAAGACCCGCCGCAACGTGGTGGTCTTGGATCAACAAATGACCATCTCTCGCCTTTGACTCGTTCATACAGCCAAGCTGCGGCAGACGAACTTGCATATGGCGACCCCGGCATATCACCTGAAGACGTTCCCACCACCGTGCGACCGCCTATAGCGGCACTGAGTGAACTCTCAGCGAATGCATCTGGCATCAGTGAGGATGAAGAAATTGGTCTTGAGGGCATTAAACCCAGTCTTTACCAGATCGACGCTCGGAGAAGGCGAGCGAAGTTACCTGACGAGGAAACTCCGCTAAGACAGGTCAACAACACCAATGGTACAGCTGGAGGTTCTGCCCAGAATGACAGTAAAACGTCACGATGGAGATGGAGAAGAAGACATAGTAGGCCTCCAAATGCATCCACGTTGAACGAGAAATCAAAGTTAAGGCATGTGATGCTTCAATGGGGGAAGGCCGAAATGGGGCCCGAGAAGCTGGTCCTCAATGCAAAAGTCGTAGATCAGCGAAGACTTGCTGGTTCCGAGTCTCAGAAATATGTCTCTTGGCATCACTTAGAGTCCAACACCCTGCTTTTCGGTCGGCTCAATGATCTCGTTGTAGAGGCGAAGGAACAAGGCCTACAAGAGAGCGAGGCTAGGCTGACACACCGTTTGATAGGAGGAGTGAAGCGGAAGGCAGAGAAGCCTTTCGTGGGCGGAAGTTTCCTGAACCCATTATCTCTTCGATATGACAGCATGGACGATTCCAAGTACAACGTGGGGAAATGTTCAACATTTATTGCGTTTCCATATTTCCTGGTGGCAAAAGAAGGAATAAGTCCTTTGTACGAGAAAGCCAAGCCAGACCATCCTATCAGAACGCTACTTCAGTCTTGTTACCGACTGAATGACACCTCAGAGCGCGACGAAACCCAGTGTATAAGGATGCTATCACGAAAAGCTTTAAGATCATGTATCAAGCTTGAAGATGACAAGCTTCCCGACGTATCTCGAAAAGTGCAGGAAGAGTTGATTTACGTCCCTCAATTGTGGGCCTTGACCCTGGGCCTAGACAAGTTGGTCACGATGGGACCTGCAAGCGATCCCAGCCTTCAGGGCATGTCTTTTTTCGTTAAAGACGACGAAACTGCATGTGCAACAAAACGATGCTTTCTAGTCCGACTACAATTCAAGAATCAAGGTAGACTTGAGCATGTGACATACCCAATCGGGCAGTGTGCTTCTTGGTTTGGTCTTCTGAACAAGCATCAGCAGATACGTGGCATTCTCCAGAAAGGAAGGGAGAGCGCTGATCCCAAGGACTATGCGATTACCGTCAATGACCAGAAAATCGAAGCTAAAACGTGGGCTTCTGTGCAGAGGTCTTGTTCCGATGATGTTTTGAAGATATGGATAAAAACCCCAAAGATGAAGATCCGAAAATCATCAAATCCAAACATTAAGGTGTCCCTGCCAGGCATGGAGTCCAGTCAATCAACCGATCACTCCGAGGTAGAGCAGGACCCAGCGGAAAGAGAGCAGGACTCGGAACCCGAAGCAACAGATTCGAGAAGGCAATCGGCAACGCCGACAGTTTACGACAGTATGACCACGGTCCCAGTCGTGAAACCATTTCTTCACTGGCGCATTGTGGACGAGTCCGGTGAGTCGAAGGAGCTCACATGTGAACAGACTGTAAATAGGTTTCTGAACGCGATCTTTCGCTCCGTTCCCGCTCATTTAAAGGGTCACACGTATACGCCATCGTCCGGAGCAGCACCGTCTACGGCGACCAGAGACTTGATCGCCCAGAGGCCTACGGTACAGATCACAGGAAAGAATCTCCATGACGTCGTCAATACTGTAAATCTCATCATCCTCAACAGACCTGAAGAGCATAATCAAACGGCTAGCGCGCTCGTTGACGAAATTAAAAGGCTCTTGGGCTACTTCTTTCTCCTCAACCATGACCCTCAGCATCCTCCTGTTCGACTCCTTTGGGGTGCGATCAATGAAGTTCTATCAAGGGTGAGGCCTCTTTCGTACTTCCCCCCTCATCAATTGAATTATCTCGAGAGTTTCTTTGCTACCTTCTAAAGCAAGCGTCCCGCATGCAGCAGTCTTACATTCAGTTTTCCGTATTCCTCAAGCACATCCTTCGAGTGACAGACTCCATTGTTCTGCGCTCAAGTGAGGCGTGGTTTCAATCAACTTGACGGCAGAATTCTCCGAAGATGCTCGCTCCAGCAACAAATGGCAGCTGATGTCGTGCGCAGGCTAACCCGTCATATCTTCTGGATATCCTAAAAAAGTCGCATGACCTCAACTTCTGGGCTGAACGTATCCATCTCGGAGTCCATTACCAGCAGCTCTCACCACAAGACCCTGCTCCTGAACCCAGCACCAGACAGCCGGATCATTACGTAGACGCGATATCGCCGGATGCAATCCTCATGTCCTCACTAGTCGACGCTCTTGGCGCCATTTTCAACATGTTCGTAGAAGCTGCGCGTGACGTGAAACGGCCGGCCCCCCATCTGAGAGCAGCAAGAAGGTCTTCAGCGCCTACAAAGACGCCCGAGCTAAACTCGTGAAGGCGCGAGACGAACTGATCACCGAAGCAAGCGGGATGGCAAGCGGAGAACATATCGGCCCGGTGCTGACTCCAGAAGCCCTACTCATCATGACGATGGAGCGTCTAGTCAAGGGCGTCTTCGAAAACGGCAACGTAAACATCATCGAGATCCTAGAAGAATGCGTTGAACATCTGGTGAGTATCCCCAAAATAACACCGCGCATCCACCACACTAATGCAAACCCACCCACCAGGCCCTCAAAGTCCGAGATCGCTACTCCCGCCGCCTCCTCCAAATGCTGAACGCCTTCGAAGAAGAGCTAAACGGCGTCCACGACGTCCTGAAGCAACAAATCCAAGTCCTCAGCGAATTCCGCTGGTATCTAGACCCCGAATCTTTCATTGCGCCTTCCACGGCGCGAAAACTCCGATTCGATTTCGAAAAGAAAGGCATCGATCGCATCCTCGGCACCGTGCGCGAGCAAGTCAAGAATTGTAAGGAGCTCCAAAAGCGCGCAAAGACGCTGAGTATTCAGAACGTGCAGCTCGTGGAGACACTGCAGGATGATAATGGGAGGGCGATTTTTATCTTCACGTTTATTACGGTGCTGTTTCTGCCCCTGAGTTTCGTAGCGGGTTTTTTTGGAATGAACTTGAAGGGCGTGGGAGATACGAGTAATAGGGTCGGTTTGTTTTGGAAGATCGCGATGCCATTGACAGGGGGGATTATTCTGATCTGTGCTGCTGTCGTTAAGTGGGGCGAGAGAATCTGGTTTGGATTTACGACGGCGCCGAGGCGTTTTGGGGATCTGTATAAAAGAGGGATGTTGTGATGATATGAGGCAATTGTATAACGTTATGAGGAAAGCAATGCGATGTACGGATATACAGCTAATGTTTCTAGCCCAATTTATCTAGAGGTATTGCCAACATGAAATGCCTCGTCCCAGCCTGTAAGCTCAAGATTCGTGGCCAGGTCCTACAGTCCAATAACTTCAACTAAGACATGAAATCTCAGGCTTCTCCATTGAAATGAGGTTTCTTCAAGTGATCAACTCCGGAAACAAATTCTCCATACTCCAACCTGCATTGAGGAATCTTCGGCGTTTCTTCCCCAAAGTGGTACAAAGTGGCACGATCTCAAACAATGATCCCTTCCACGCTACTACTTATACACTTCAGCGCCACATCTGCTGCCAGAGCACTGAACTCAAACAACGAGACTGAAGAAGTCACATTACCCTCCCGAACAGAGAGAGCGCGAGCAATCGCTCACATCGAGTACCAACACTCCGAATTACTCCTTCACCATTATTTTTCAACAGCCTCCAAGCTTAATGAACCCAGCCACCAAAACGCCAGCCGCAAAACAATATGCACAAACGACGTCAAGTTCGCCATCCCACCCACGGAGCTAGAGTTCAAAGGCTGGAAACACTCACCAAGACGAAACATATTAGTAATGATACTGCTCATGAGAGAGGCAACCCACGAGACCATAGACTACGCAAGTGCTGAGAAAAAGCGAATGCTAGACCGCTTATCTTACATCTGGAGTTTATATAGGATAGTCAAAAATACTCACACTCTGTACTGGCTTAGCTATCTGCTAGACATGGAAATCCGCAAGAAACTTGGAACTTTGTCGTGGGGCATTTTAAGTAATTTGTTTACTGGTTGTAACCGGTTCATTCAGGCATACCCGGGCGCGGGGTTTTGTGCCAACCTCTGGATCGAACGGGGACGATATTCGACACTATTGGTGGTGCAGAAGGGCGGATTTGGCGAGACAAGTCCTAAGCAACGACTTCCCTGTCCCGGACACAGTGCAGGCGAGATTTAACGTAAGCAACGGTACTTCTAATCTGGCTTTGTATTGCCCACACACACAGAAGGCATCCCATCGCCTATCAGAATCGCCATTTACTCCTTCTCCCCCATTCACTGAAACACAGCAACGACCTTCACAGCCACACACCCCGCCTTCCCCGGCCCCCCAAATAAACCGCCGTACTATCCGGACACGTGAAAAACCCCGTCTCCACCACTCCACCCGCCGTGGTCGCCGTACAACTCAGCTCCTCCCCACCATTCCCCCCCTCCCCCTCCCCCTCCCCATCCCCTCCATCCCCACTCACCATACAGATCAAATCCCCCGGCACACCCATCGCATTACTCCCCAAAACAAACCCGACCTCATGCGGCTCCGGCACCGCCGCGTCATCATACACGGCCACCCCCGACAAGCCCCCCCAACCCCGACGGTATGAACGAGCTGCCCATCCCCCCTGAGGATGAAATCCGCTGCGTCCGCCGCGTTGGCTTCGCGAGTGAGGATGTCGCTTGAGGTTCCGAGGGAGAGACCTACGTACTGTAGCGCGGGCTCGAAGGGGGTGGGGTAGCAGTCGAAGATGGTGCGTTTGTGCATGGAAGGAATGGGGTTGTTAGGGGAATGGGGACGGTTGGAGGTGCGTTTCGCGCGAGGTGGCGGGGTGACGGTGCCGCAGGCGTCGTGGATTTCGAGGATCACGGCGCGGTCGGGAGGTGTGGGTGGGCGGTCTGTGCAGCACTGTGTGTGATGGGGTTAGTGAGATTGTTGGGAGAGAGGGGAGGGGAGAGGAGAAGAAGGAGGGAAAGGGGAGGGGTAAAGGGCGAACGTACTTCGGTAGGGAAAAGGTCGTTCATTGGACAGGCGTCATTGGGCGTGCTGACGCGTTGGTTGAGCTCGCAGAATCGTTCTGTCAGGCAGGATCCTGAACGGCCGTCTGTGTTGCATGCTACAGCGGGTGAGGCACAGCACTGATGTTTGCAGTCAGCAAGCAGTACGTGGTGTTTGACGGTGAGTTGGGGTTGGGGTTGGTAACGCACCTGTAGGCCATTTACGGAGAACCCGCATTGATCAGATTGGCCAACAAAGCCAGTCGTACACTGAAGATCGTTCATGCAAGTCCCAGTGAGGCCGAGATATTCGCATGGTGTTGGTGGAGGAGGGGGTAGGCAGCACTTCCCCAAGTCAGCAAAATCCACGCATTTCGCATCCTGGGATCTTTGTGTATGAAGACTTACGATTTCCTCAAAGTCCTCGCAGGTGCCTTGGAGGTCAAACTTGTCACTATAGACGATGCACGCCCCGAACTCTTTGCACACCGCACCACTCCCGTCCGAGCCACACGTATGTTTCGGCGGAGGCGTACAGCACGTCGCCCCATCCACCGCGCAGTATCCGTCCGCAAGCATGCCCGTCGTTGCAAGACATCCCGCTTCCCCGCCCTGGACACAAGTATTGCCACTCCCATCGGCACCGCAAGCCGTGACCTTACAGCAAGAATCCGTCGCAGACTGGCAAGTACCGCTGCTGGGCGTCCCCGTCGCAGCAATACAGTCAGCAGAGGTACCACTAATACACATCGCTCCATCTCCAGTATCACCACAGGCAGGCGGTGCGGTGATAAGGCAGCAGTAATCACCCGCATCGTCGCAAGTCCCCGCAGCAGGCGTGCCGATGTTCCCATTGAAACCCCCGCTGCCGTCGTAGCCTGTACACCCGTATATGCCCCCCGGAACGCACATTGCCCCATCGCCACTAGCACCACAAGCAGGCGGGTCTTCGTTCTTGATACAGCACTGCGAGCCATCATCGCCGCAAGATCCCACAGCAGGCGTGCCACTGCTACCGTCATCGCCAAGACATCCAGGTACCCCACCCGAAACACAAACAGCACCATTCCCGCTCGCCCCACACGCCGCGATGTCGGGGGAGCAGCATTGCTGCCCTGCTGCACGACAGGTTCCGAGGACGGGGGTGCCTTGCGCAGCGCAGCCGGCAGCGCCGCCGTCGACGCAGATGTCTGTGCTGCCGTCTGCGCCGCAGGCTGGGGTGGGGGAGGGGGCGGGTTGGATACAGCACTATTTTTGTGGGTAGGTGAGTAAGTATGGAGGTAGGTGTGTGTGCTTCATGAGGGCGGGGCAACGGGGGGAGGGGGGGGGGGGGTGTAAGGCGTCGAGAAAGGAGGGGATGGGATGGGAAGGGGGAAGGAGGGGAGGGAAGGGGGGTGGAGGGGAGGATTTACCTTCAACGGCCCGCCATCTACGATACAGTCGCCATATGATGTGCCGAATGTCAATTGGCAGGTCGCTTCGGTCAAACACGTTCCATCGCCTTGGCCGAAGACGCTGCAGGTGGCTGGGGGGTCTCGGTGACGCAACACTGGGTTCGAGGTGTGGGTCAGCGAGGAGGGGAGGGAAAGGGAGGAGATATGAGATGTGCGACTTACGTTTTCTCCAGGGTTTGTGCATTCGTCAGGGTCCGGAGATGCTGCTCCTTGCGCTGCCGCGCATGTTGTCGCGTCGGCGCACGCGTAAGTGTTCCCTTTGAAAGAGCATGTCTGGGGGGTTGGTGGAAGTGGGTTTGTGCTGGGGGATATGGCTGGTGAGGAGGAGGTGGACGAAGAAGAGGAGGGTAAGTTGGTGCCCATTGATGGAGATCTGCTTGGCTTGGAAGCGCTCGGGAATGGAGGTGTTGCGCTCGAGCTTGCGTTGCCGTGTGTTGGTAAACCAGATGAATGACTGGTTGCTGAAGAAGGACCGCTTGTACCCGCCGATGGTCTGGGAATTGTGCCAGAAGGCGACGGGCGACGTGACGACAAAGAGCTTAGAGAAGGGTATCGAGTTCCAGTGCCACCGGAGGCCGATGGTCGAGGAGACATTGATGCCATTGAAGGATATCTAGAAATTGGGCGCGGGGTAGATGTTCCAGCGGAATATCTGCTGGCTGTTGCCGACGAAGGGAGGCTATTTGTTCCAGAAGAAGGCGAAGGATAACGTCTTGTTTCCGACCCTGGAGAGTGAGTTGGGATACCCGAGGGTTTATTGCTGCCGGAGGAGTGATGGATCGGATGTGAACTACTGGATACTGGCAGAGGCTTGCCTGTTGGGCTGCCGTGTGAAGATCCGGCTGAACCTGACCCTGAAGAATGAGTTGAGATACCCAAGGGTATACTGCTGCCCGAGGAGTGATAGGTTGGATGTGAATTACTGGATACTGGCAAAGGCTTGCCTGTTGGGCTGCTATGTGAAGATCCGGCTGAACCTGGTGGTGATGAGAATAGCGGCGACGGGGTTGCAGAGGAGGACCTAGTGGACCCTGTGTCACCTTGACTAGTAGTATATGTCCGCAATAATGTATGATTTGAGAAAGATGGAAAGAGACGGGTCGACTCTTCGTACGAGGGCGACTTTGAATAGTGTGGAGATGAAATTGATGAGTGAGGCCCGGCACCTTGGATATTTGAGCTACTCTTGCCATTGCCAGAGGACCCACTACCATGATGGGCGCTGCTGCTACCAGAACCCTTTTCGTGTTGCCCGTTGCTGTTGCCAGAAGACCCGCTACCATGAGATCCAGCACCAGATCCTCCTTCTTGTAAGCCGCTGCCGTTACTTTCACCACGATGAGAACCACTATTATGGGAGCCGCTGTTGTCGGAGGAACCGTGACTACCAATGCCAGAGGACTCTTCACCGCTGGAGTGCGAACTACCTGGCGTACTGCCGCCACTCGTGTCTCCTCCTATTTCATTCCCACTACTATGGGGACCAGCTCCATTCACAGCAGATCCAGATGTTTTCCCTCCTCTATGTTCCGCTGCTCCCCCTTCGTCGCTTTGTGAACCACGTGAGCTTTCATTGCCCGAGACATCGCCTAATTGTTCGGCAGAAGTAGCAAAGGTCGACTCTGGCCCGGCGGTGACTGTGACGAAAACTGTCGTATACAGCTCACAGCTGGTTGGCAGCTGTTCATGTCGCGCTTTGAGGTCGGCATGGGCGCTTGTCAACGCTGTGAAGGCGCCCACGCAAAGGATCGGTAGTAGGTCGTTGATTAGCATTATGAATTAGTGTTTATAGATGATTATTAATGGAGTGAGTAATGGTCAATGGCACATAGCGAACGTGGTATTAAGTCAAAGACAGTCGTCGCGATCAAACATACATTAAGGAACGTGGATACAGTCAAAGACTAACTGATAGATGCCAAAAGGCGCTCGAAGAATCGACAAGAAGGAATAATGAGAGTCTGAGGAAGGGAAAGGACATGGAGATGGAAGGCATTGCATGCCAAGCACGGCCGGCCACGAGGTCAAAATTCAACAAGGAGGTCGCCGTCGATACTCTTTTGTAAGCGACATCTGCCAGCCAACCACGACATCGATATCAGCTTTGCCAAGGGCTACCGTTTCTCTTGGCCGGGCCCAAAGAGGAAGTGTGGAAATGACAGGTGCTGGATCTGGTCTAGCAGGCACGGGAAGAAAGAAGCTTAGAAAAGTGTCTTTTAGGTGGATCTGGGGATCTGCACTTGCTCCTGCGCCCAACGATGCGTGACTGTGGAAAATCAACATGCCATCATTGACCAAGCTCGATTGTGTCTGCAAAAGACTCTATGAGAGTCGCTCTGGTGGGGTGAGCCGTGGGGTAGAGCGACATGAGTGAAATCTATGATGTTCATATTTTCGCGTCGCCTGGCGGTCGCGGACAGGCCCCCTGGCAGCAAATTAGCAACCCCAAAGCCTAGACCGCCCCTTATGATGCTGGGTTTCAGCCATTATTTGCGTAATAGTGGCTTGAATGTTGATCAACCGAGGGTGATCATCAATAAGAGTGTAAGGTTTAACACAAGGCAAAATCATTGCTAGGCATGAGCTTCGTGTAACACTCAAAGATGAGATTCGTTCATCCTAACACAGCCACCGTTCTAATAATGTATTCTTCACAGCAATCATGTAATGTCCCTAGCTGAGGCCGCAGTTGTAACATCATTCGTCACTGCGCTTCCTCACAAAGCGGTGAGGGAGAGCGTGATTCCTTCCTCGGTCTCCCCCGAGGACGAGCCTTCGCAAGAGGAGATTGACTAGCTGGCGGTGTCAACGGCATGTTCCCTCCCCACGCAGAAGTCGGAGACAGCAAGTGTTCTCCGGGTTTTGCTGGTGTTATCGGTGTCTCTTGGTTGGCAGACGAGCCTCGAATAGAGAGACTTTCCTGACTCCCGGAAGGAGGAACGCCGGGGCTTGGGGTCGGTGAATGTGCCGAGCTGCGGCGTCGAGCTCCACGAGTTCCGGAAGAGACTTGGGTGTCGTGCTCACTGAACAGAGTCCCCAAACATTCGGTAGATCGCCTTGCTCCAGTCTTGTTTCTCGGGCTATAGTTTCCAGACATATCATTGTCAAGCTCGTTTTCAGGGTATGCCTCAGTCTCCCTTCCATCGTCGATGTTCTGCTCGAGCTTTTTGGAGTTATTTGCACGTCCTGTATCTAAGGCATGTTGAAATCTAGCAAGCCTTGGCGTGGCAGGTCTTGACGTCGAACGCTCACTGGATTTTGTAAGTACAGGCCACGCGTTGATTTGGTGCTGATAGGCAGATTCTATGGCTCGCTCTTGGCTACCATCAAGACGCCAGGCTTTCTTGAGATCGTCCCGACTGCGATATGATCTCCAATGGCCCAAACAAGTTAGAACCCAGGGCCGGTACACGTAGACAAACCACTGCGCAGCGCGATCCACAATCTGGTAGATCTCGACAGCATCTTCGTTTTTCCTGATGTCACCATCCCATATGCATTGCATATACTATTAGCTGTCAGATCGTTGTTCAAACAATCACATGTGAGTTCGTCACTCACGTATTGGTGCATCAATTTCTCGTCCTGCTTTGCGCATCCATAGTCTGAGACATACGCGAGCCAGACCTTGGCTCTATAGCCAATGAAAGTAAAGCAGATGACCGGTAGGATATCGTGATGCAGTCGGTGCCAATACTCGGCGTTTGGATTGTGCCGGCTGAGGTCACACAACATCGCAAGTGCGCATGAGGCGGCATTTGCTGCTTGACAAAAACATTCCGTGACTTTGGCATCCGAGACCCCATCGGCCTTAACTTCGGCTATGGCGAACGGAAAGCAAACGTTGTGTTGAGACCCCTCATGCATCGCATTTCGAGGGGCAATGGAAGGGCAATATCGCAGCCCTTTGCAAGCTTTCAGAGATTCAAAACTCAGTTCCTGAAACGCTTTGTTGAAGAAACCCATGGGCTCCCGAAGCTTTTCGTAAATTTGAATGGAGAAGTAGAAGTCGGGCTTTGGGTGTGTTGGGTAAGGTGCAAATGGCAGTATGCGACATTTGTCGGCTTCGTTCCACATCAATTGAGTCCCGCCACTAATGTTGCGTGAGACTCTCTGCCACTAGAAGAAAAGCTCTACTCACCTGGAAATGGCCCCTTGTAAGCTGTCATAGCGTGTAAAACGCACGGGTTCCTTGCTGCTGACCCAGTCCGCGAAGACCGATCTTTTCAGTAGATCCATCCACGCGCCCTCATCTTTTTTTCTCATGTTTTCGGCGTCCTCACACATGGAGGCGGACGAGTCACGACGGACCCTTCTGTACTTAAATCCACTATTGAATGGGTCAAGCTCGGTTTTGCTAGGGGGCTTGCAAGGCTTAGCCACGGACCAAGAATAAGAACAGCACATTTACTCTGGCTTGATCTTCTTCCGGGTAGGAGAGCTCGGATACTGGATTGCCACGAGAAAGGAGTTCATCTTTGAGGGAGGCGACATGCGCACCAAACGATCGTTGACAGAGCTTGTCCTCGCCATATTCGATCCCATTCTTACCCAGGGTCTGCTGATTGAGGTCTCGCTCAACCTTCGGGGGTTTTGGGGCAGGTTTTGGGGAAGTGGAAGTTGAGGGAGCTGGAGTTGTGGGAGTGGGAGTTGCCACGAATCTTTCGAACAGGTTTGTCAAATAATCGAAAATAGTATCCATAATGCAACAAAGTGGCGGGGAGTAGAGCCTTTTTCCGGATTTGCGTGGCTTGCAGAGGTAAATGGTGAGAAGGACCTCCATATTTATGCTGAGGCGGGCAACCGACAAGCCGTCAGATGAACATGCCAAAGCCAATGAACAAATTGAATGCTTGATGAAGCCCGTGCATCGAGGTCTCTAGATTGGCATTCATTCTCAATGTTCGTTGAAACGGTAGAGCTCCTGAAGCTACCGACAGATTGTCGAGCATGTGTCGGGGCGGTGACAAGTTTTCGCGGGCATTCACTGCATGGAGGGTCTATAGATAATGGCAGGTAGGTTGTGCAGTCTTTACTGATTGGCCTCAGTGGAGCAAAAGCATTCAACAGCAGGTTTGGGAACGTTTGGGATGACTGGTGAAACGAGCCAGATGAATATTTAGATCTTATGGCTTGCGATAGCATTAAGCCGCGGGGCTTCCGCACCTTGAGAGCAACAGCCATATCTGGCCTAGGAAGATTTAACGCCCCATTCGTTTGCTGTTTCAGGGCTTTCATCGTAGTAAAGCGATGCGACTTGAGCGTCATTAGTTGGGGGCCGGCGCCTAGGTGAGGACAGCGTTGGTCAAGCTCGAGAAGCGGAGGCCAAAACATCTCCAACCATGCTTGCGCAGAAACAAGGCTGCCCGGCTTGATTTCCCGAGTTCCCTTCTTTTGACTAGCAGTGTATCCGATCTTGGTCGCTATTTGGCGAAAATGGAGTCCGCGCGTTGTGGCTTGAAAGCCTTTGACTGTCATTGATGGCGATCGCAAGTATTGAGACGCCCACTCAGACTGTTGCGCACATGTTGCAATGCCCCAATGGATCGCGCGGTCAGAGATCACCACTCATTCTCAGGTACCTCTCTTCCCACTTGGTCAAATCGTGTAGTCATGAGGTTTCATTGTTTGAGATAGCCGATCAGGATGACTTTTTTATAAAGCACGTTCAAGGTGTGAGAGCTACCTCCGTCCCTCTTAGCAGTTTCACAGGCCCAATATAAATGCAAGGCCAATGAAATGTGGCCCGGCTCTTTCATTTCCAGCAAAATCCAAATTCATGCGTAGCTGCCTGCTTGATCCATTCGACGATAGACTCTTGCGTTTGCTTTATTTACAAGCAGCTACCGGAGGCTGATCACGTTTCATGTGGGTCGTAAGACTTTGCGCCATTCTACCCTCAACCTCAAACAAAGCAGATTTGGCGTTCCATCGCAGTCTCAGCCTCGTTGTCATGGCCAAAGGATGGTAGACTTCAACCCCACTGTGATCAAGCCATTCCAGTGGTCTACGCACCAATGAATTCATATTCACTTCTATATGCCTTATTCAATATTGAATGTTTCATAAAATGCCCCCGTCACATGTGATGTGACACAGTCTTCGGCCTCTCAACCCTTTCCGTATTGGTAGGAGGATCTGTGTTTCTGGCGCCGGGTCTGATGCAATGAGTGGCGCTATTATCTTTCTCGTGATGGCAGATCCAGTCAACGGCCACAGCTGTCAGTGAATGGGGCAGAGTGCCGTGCAGGGAGTCGTTAGGTATGAAAGTGGGATTGGGGGATCCAGGAAGGGGGCAGCAGACCAAGAGACTTGTGAGGACAAATTAGCGCTTGATTTGATCGATTGGTATCACTCAACGTACTTCCATTGTAGAGTATCCACCGCGATCGGATGGGAGCGAATGAGGTGGCAAAACTCTAGAGATAGTGCTAGGATCTCGTGTCGGTCCACTTATGTAAATTCGAAGCATCAATCGTAGGCTCCTTGGTAGAATTCCATTTTCAAGGCTTCAAGACCACCCGTCTTCCCTTCAAGCAGTATATCATTTTGAAGTGTATTGTGGAGAGAGACAAGCTTTGCCTTTGGGACCGGGTGCACGGCTGTCGTGACCTCTTGACAATTCCGTTTCCATTCTCTTTCACGTCACGTCTCGATCTTGCTCGTCGGTTTGCCAGACTCGACGAGGACATCGGGCTTTGTACCAAGCTACTTTTCCCATCATCGACGACGGTAGCGATGCTTTTTGCGCCGACCAATTGCCGTTTCGAGGCCTCATGACTTGCCGCTCTTGTATGGACAGTCCTTAGGTGCGCACGGCTCTTGCGTGGATTTGCGATGTGTGATATGTTTGGCAAGCCAGGCGGGGTAACTTCAGGTGTAGGAGCATGGTCATGCTGTCAAAGGTCTCTTTCAAGTCTAGCCGATGGCGTCACAACGTCTTGTATTCCTCGTCATAGCGAGGCAAAGACTTGTAGTAAGGGCTCGGGCATTCATCCATCGCATCCAACCTGGTTCTGGTTGTCAAGTCGCGGTTTGCTATCCAGCGCGTCGATTTTCTTGAATTCGTCTGCTTGCCATTCTTCTATGTCCCACTCTTCACTAGCTACAGCGCGCGTAGGGTCTATGCGGGATCTGGTGCTGATGTACGGAGGGCCGTCGTAATGTCCCGCGACTGGAAGCAATGCGGTTGATTGATCCGGGTCTTCTGTGAAGCTCAGCATAGTGACAGCTCCAATGTTTGTCCCTTGATATGTCAGAGCTCAAGAAGTGATGGACTTGGTGAAAGGGGATGGTTAATAAAGGGAGCATGGGCCGGAATCATTTTGTGTTCCTGTAGGGAGCCAAGCGCCAAGCCACTAACGACTTGGCGTGACTGCCAGATGACTCTTCCAATCCATTCGAAAGAATGTCAACAATAATGTGATCCTGTATTGAGACTCGCGCTTTTACTATCGCCGACAACGAGGATGGCCAGCTCTAGTGATTATGTACACTCTGTTAAGACATATATGCACATTCGGTTTACATCGCTTTGTCACTTGTCATCCTTAACAGAATTAAAGGAGCCTGCAAGGCGGGGAAGCGCCAGCGATGGAGGATGCAAGAGTTGCTACCGATGACGAGAGTGACATCTCTACACAGGAACTCTCTGACGATGGGGCTATCAACGTATGGCTATTCTCCGAGCCTTAGAGGAGGTGGGGCGGCGTAACACAGTCAGTGGAGAGTTTCTAAGAATTTACAATGGAAGCTCCGAGGCTCAGAAAGCCTTTCCAATTCTGATAGACCTCAAGAAGCAAGAGCATCTCCAGAAGTGTCAAGCGCAACACCTTGTCTACACTGAGAACAGAATGTTGCCAAGGAAGCGAAGTGAAGCTCTTGGTGACCAGGCTGCTACTGACGAATCCGAGCCCCTTGAAATGCATATCTCCGAAGGGTGCAATATGATCAGCTGGCATATGCCTTTGGCTTTGGTACAAAATTCAGGGTAAGACGACCAGTCGACGGCAATGACAATTTTGGGTTTGACATTCTGCTCGCCCCTGCTACGAACGATTTCAGCGATGCTGTACAACCTCCTCATTTTGTCCTTCATATGCACCTGAAGTCTGGGGCTTGGATGATACGGGCAAACTAGAGACCAAATTGGCAAGCTTACATTAAGACCTGGGAGAACTACCTCTTTCTACCGTCCAACGACTCAATTGCCCGTCAACGGCATGACTCTTACCTTTCAATTCACCGTCTCAACTACCGAGGAAGAGAAATATTACCTCAAACATCGAGAAGCTTCACTTCGTCCACATAGCTTGAGATTGGGGTGGGATCTGGTCCCCAAGAGTAGCGTGTCCGGTATCCCATTCGAGTGCGACACCGTCTTTGATGAGACAGTGTTTAGTTTGCAAGAAATTGGCATGGGAACCTTTGGTACAGTATATGAGGGCTTTCACCCTCGGACCGGGCAGCCATGAATTACTAAACGGCTTGAGATGAAAAGCGAAAATGCGCAGAATGAAGTCAGTTCAGAAATAGAGGCATTGACCGTGTTGCAGAGTGCTAGTATAGGCGTCACTCGGCTGTATGCGGTGAGAAACGGGCGTGGTGGAGAAGACATACCCTCCGAGGGAGATGTATTTGATTATGGAGAAAAGCATCCCTTTTCTGAAGCTCATGGAGCCAGAGGATGCGAAAAGCTGGCAGGACAAAAAATGCGTCGTTTTCAATCTCCTGGTCGGCCTAAATACGGTACACAAAAAATGGTTCATACATCTGGACATCACTCAACAAAACCTTCTCTATTTTCAAGAGGTTTCCCCGCGTGCGACGCTAAATGATTTTGGCAAGGTCTCCTTCGAGCCACAGGCTAAGGAGACTGCTTTAGCAGCGTGGCAATTCCTCCCACCTGAGATTCAGGAAGACAAGTGGTAACGAATACGGCCAACGTCTTGACATCTGGATGCTTGGTCTGGCACTAGCACGTCAGTACTATGGTTTTGGCAACCACAAAAAGAACAATGCGCGTAATAAGCAGGGCCACGATATTCTGGTGAGGGGTCTAAGAGAAGACCGAAGATCGATTATCTCACCCATGCTTGCTGACATGCTTGCCTGGGACGCTTTACACCGGCCGTCAGCGCGACAGCTTCTGGCTCATCCAGAGTTCGGTCTCTGCAAAGCACCAGCATTTAAGGCAGGCTCAAAACGCGAATTATCAGGCCCTGCAAAGGCCGAGGTACTTGAGAAACAATCAAAACGCGGCGGCGGATGAGAGATTCTTATGATTTTCGAGAAGCCAGATGGTTCAAGCCACGAAGCCGGAAGGAGGCGAAATCGAACTGCTGGCTGGCAAAATTGGGTAGATATTTACCTGCTCAGGATTCAAGCACTAAAGCTGGTGAGAAAGTACGGCCTCAACTGCAATTATCAAGGTCTAAATCAGACATCGGCATTTTGCACTATGCTAGAAGCAGGCAACATAGGGCTGCTGGCTCGATGAAGTGCGCAAATATTCAACAACTCAGGATGCAAATCTGGCTTTATGGATCGATGCTGGCGAGTAGGTAGGGCGCCAATCGCAAGTCGTAACCTCCAAATAGGACCTTGACATCCCCAAGTCATCAAGTGCTAGGCACGGCTGCATTATGCCTGCTAAGTTACTCTCAACCGGCTCCTACCTACTAACACTTGAATGATCTCATATTGCCAGCTTCTCCCGCCAAGCTTGTTGTAATCCAATGCTGAAACTGAAGAAGCGCGGCGACACGGGCGACGTGGCTGCGCGTAATTGCAACAATTACCGCTCTATCAGTCTAGACGGAATTTCGAGCTTGCAGCACTTGAGGCATATAATGCGGATAATTATTGAGATTACCTGGAGTCATACCGAAGTGCGTAATACCTGTATACCACATACGGTAAGGGTCCCCAGCAACTTAGCTGTGTGATATGCGGCCAGTGAAGGTTGGAAATGTTACTCGCGCGTGTTGGTTTTTGGCATCCGGAAGTGCTCTACTTAAGTATCGGATGGCTGCATTCGCAGCTTGACGCTTTTGAACCTATAATAACATGCGTCCTGCTTCTACTGAGCCCAGAATGGGGAATCCGAATTCTCATCGGCTAATCCTCGTAACCTTTGATTGCTTACCACCCCTAGTCTTCTAAACAATGACATTCCCCTTGCAGACGACGGCTGTCTTTTTCAGCCTCTCAACGTTATTACTAAATCTTGTGACTGCAGCCACACCTGGATGTAGTCCTCTGTACGGAGTCACCAGTCGTGCTGACTGCCAGTGGCTAGTCGACAAACTTGAAAATCAATGGCCGACCTTAGAGCGGTATGATGTGGCTTTTCATTTCTTTGCCTTGCGAGGAACGCCAAAGCCTGATGCAGTATCGAACTTGGCTTTTCGGCAATGGTTTGAGGTGCCAAGAGTAGCCGAGCATGGTATGTGCAAGCATTGAACATCCATATAGGAAGACAAGCCTCATCAACTGTTTTGTAGGCAACTGTAGGATGGCCTTGAGTCCTCTGCAAACAATGGGGGGAATACAGTGGGATACTGGACGCCTTCAAAGAATGCAGCAGCCTGGGACAGACGTTATCAATGAATGCATGCCAGAAGGCGATGCCTCTGGGATTGGTGGCCATATTGCAGTGGGTAAGTGATACTCGATCTCACGGTAGACACTCTGATGGTGCAGCACCCGTGGCCCTGTATATCGGAATCTCTGAGGGTCTTCCTGATAGATCATTTCAGCTAACAGTCTGGCCGCATGCAAGGAGACAGGGAACACCTGATCCTGACCCTGTACGGGCCAAACTCACACATGGAGAAAGTCTGCAAGTCGATCATCGTCCACAACGCCAACATGTGCGCTCGACAAGTAGCTGGAGATTCCAGCGACGGTTCGAGTCCAAACGTAGGTGGATATCAAGACTGCGCGCAACCACTGGACGATAACGACTTCTACGATTTCCTCGAGCAAGCCTTCCCAGAACCCGAGACACCGGCTCCCCCTGCTGCCCCAGCTCCCAGATGCGGAGATCCCTGCTTTGGCCAAATCAATCTCTGTAGCTCGACAGATTGGTGCAGATGCATAGCAGACCCATGGCAAGGCGTGGGGAGCGCGAGATTTCAGGGAACGTGCAAGCAGTCGTACTTTTCATACGCTTCGCATGGTCGAGGCTTGCGTGAAGGAGCAGCTACCAATGTCTCTACCTCAGACATAATCTTAGTGCAAGGTCCCGCTCCAGAAATCTCAGATTTGAATGTCACGAACCCTCTAAGTTCCCTGGAGGGTGCTGCAGCTTCGGATATCATATCGGCCGTACAAGCGACAGCTTCTCTTGCGCCAGCTGCATGTCCATGCAATTGTACTTATGTTTCGACCGGATGCTGTCTTGCTGGAGCAAAGGGTTTAATTCAAGAGTCCGCGGATAGGAAGCTAGGTGTTTTGGAGCCGCCTGAGGGACAATGCTGCGACGATGTGACTGGTCAGTTTCGAGGTGGTTCCCCGAGTATAAATGATACGATCTGTGATGGGCCAGAAGGTCAGAGTGCAACCACGTGGGGTGGGGAGACGGCTTGAGGGCTGCACGACTCTTGAAGTGGAGTAGGCGCAGGGGTAGGAGGTGGGAGCATAGAGTGCTCATACTCTTTGCAAGCAGCCATATATGATCTCAACCCCCCCGCACCAGCTATCGGCTTTCTGCGCTCAATTCCCAGTTCCCTTCAAGACTATGCATGTTGTACAATCATGTTTGTCTTTGCAATTACAAAATTAATCTCTTCGCAGACCGCGCGATGATCACTCAGGCTCATTCAAGACAGGAGTGCTAGGAGACAGCCACTAGTGGGGAAGTAGGATTGGATGCAACGCTGATGGAATGATAGCTTTATTGAAGAACTGAGCAACGAGCGAGCTGTGCTGTGAGTTAGATTGGGCGTGATGCGAACAATTGGCAGTGAATCATTTGGGCAAAGGGTATTGCGGAGAAGTGAGGAGAAGGTTGCAGGGAGAAAACAGTCCTCTAGCATGTGGGATGTGGGATGCCGCAGAATCCTGCTCGACGAAGAGGCAAGTGGGCCACGGGATGGCACACCTTCTTCCAGCAAATTATGTAAGCTTTTGCTTAGCTGCAGTCGACGCGATGGGGTAATGACGCTTCTTTTGCCCTCTATTCGGCTAACTCCTTGCAGATCTCAGCCAGGACAGGAAGGGATGTGACTTAACGTTAGTCCGCCACTGCTAAATCTCGACTTAAAAGGCCCCCACCGTCTGCTACCGTTCCCGCTACAAGACGTCCGTTTCCCCGTCTGTTGGTTTCACGCGGTTCTAGGCCACGGTCCATGGCAGTCCCCTCGCAAAACTTTGTATTCAAGCCAACCACCTCCCAGAATGGACGCTCAATCCTCCGGAGATACATTTTATAAGCTTATGCGGGGTCCATTCCCCCTGCATATCTCGATACGCCGCATCAAGCTCATCTGAATTCCACCTCGCAAGTACATCTCTTTTGGCAAGGCCCCACTTCTTGCTGTTCGTTGGGCCAATGAGGCATCAGTCATCAGATACTACCTGCTCAATGAGGACGTGGGCATCTATATAATGCGGGGAAAGGGGGCGGGGGACCCCGAAGATATGTGCCTGAACCGCAAAAACGGCCCGGGCCAGATCTGTCCAATTGAAACGGAACAGGGATCCCCAGAGTTCCCTAGATCGACTCGATGGACATCCCGTGACGGGCGGATCCAACTTCCTTGTCGAATCTACGATATTCGCGAACGGGGAATCATTGACCGGTGGGTATCGAGTCTTCAAGCACGCCATGTTGCGTGATCATTCCCATTATTAGAGCATTTCCATGTTATAAGAGACGAAGCCTTTGCTTTCTCCTGATTGTATGTCGGCTGAACTTCTGTGGGTCTGCAAGGGCAGGTGACGAGGTATCACCGCTACGCCATCTTTCGGTTTACGCCAAGGCGCGAGACTATGGCATGGAATGGGCGAACGGGACATACCTGCCCGTTACGTACACCGCAAGACCTACTTCGCAAGACCTAACCGCATGTTGCTGTGAAACATCGGCTAATGAACAATGCTCTGGAGAACTTGGTGCATTGCAAGCGTCTACCCGCCCTTTGAGGACTCACGGTCTTGACTAAGAAGAACTTTTGATTCTTCCTCGGAGCCCTCGAAACGACCGGAAGAGAAGCTGTAAAGCTTTGGATGCACCTTGTGGACGCGGACAATGCACATGGCAAGCTTCGTGGCCGCTCATCTGCCGATCCAGGCAGCTTCCTCATCTCGCAAGATCTTGGCGTCGTCGTTTTGGGCCCGACGAGCACGATCCATCTGAACATAAAAGAGCAGGTCATCTGCTCTCTGCTCTTTGCTCTATCGTTCTCATTCCATCGTCTCAAAAAACAAACCCCAAAGATATATTTCCAGCAACCAAAGTCATCCTTCCTCAAAGCCCGTAACTCACAACCCTTCAGCAAATATGAAGTTTACCACCGTCTTTCTTTCCCTCTTCCTCGCTAGCACCACTCTAGCTTGTGCTCCAGGGACATATCAACAAGGTTCCTCATGCGGAGACACCTGTGTGGGTGTGACGCGATGCTCCGAGAACCACAACAACGTCGTAAGTATCATTCCTCCTTGCTCTTGATCTTGCGTCCGTGTTGGGTCTCCGATCGACTCTCATCACTGCTCAACCCAAGAATCCCCCCACCTATCATCGAGTATCTTCAAACCCAAGCTCTGTTTATCTATGAAAGAGTGACATCCAATACTATGTCACGCACCCAAGCAGCTCAATCTTGATCAGAAAGGAAGAGCTCGGGCGTTCACTAAACCTTCGATAGATCAAATGCACAGGCGGCACGTGGCAGAAAGTCAGAGAATGCCCCAACGGATGCGCAAATGGCGCGTGTAGGGCTTGAAAATATCCCGCGGTGAGTAAGCATCAAAGTCCTCTCTTCCGTTCGGAAGGCCTCAAACGCCTGTGCAGCATTTACATGGATACTTACGATCAATGCTTCATGTAGCGATCCGGCCCTCCCTCCACCGTGCAATTCCCCTATCAAGACAGCCGAACGTATATTGCCGGGCTAGACAAGCTTAGTGGGTAGGGAGGTATCAGCTGGAGCGTGATCTGAACAACATGGAAAAGGTTTTCGTGGGGATGGTGGTAGGGAGATATGGGATATAGGGAGGGGGGGGAGATGTACGGTTGTGGCTCACACTCCTTTAGTTGAATAGGTGATGAAAATGACACGGTTGTGTTACATGGGGCATTGGATTTTTGTCTTATCGGCCTGCGCACGCTTGAAGTAATCCTGCAAATGAACTATTTGGGGCAGTCGTCCTTGCTCGCTTGTGCGAAGATCTTCGATGAGGTAGAAAGAGGGTTTCTGGTAGTAGGTATTGTGAACGCTACAACGACGACGGAAAAGTGATGGAGAATGATGAGATTCCTGTGTGAACCCACTTCGTCCCTTCTATTCTAGGCTTGTACTTGGTCCTCTTTCAGCTCCGCTCCTACCATCACCTGCACGCAACACCCAGGACTTGTACTGGGCTTTTCTTCTTCGACGACTGACGTGAAATGTTCGTGGATCTTGTTTAGCTTCTCTCCACCTATGACTGGGTTGAGAATCTCATGGGTGTCTGTCAGCTTCGCTTCCTCCACGACAGGGTTGAGAATCTCATGGCTGTCCGTCAACTCTGCTTCCCCCATAACGTGCGTGAAGATTTCACTCTTCGGTTCGTTTCGACTAACCACCTCCAGTACCAGCGGCTTGGCCCACTCACTGGAGTCGGGTCGCCCAGACCGAATAATATCGTACCACCGACGAAAGCTTCCCTCTTCGGGCGTGTGTCCACACTCCTCATAAACCTCAGATAGTCGATACCGTTCTTGGCAGAAATGAAATGTCACATAGCCTTGCATCCATGAGTCCACGACTGCTTTGACAGCTGGCGCCGTTTCTTTGTTGAAGACAGCCCTGAGCTGCTCAAGCGAGTGGATGGCGTCGTCGGCGACCCGGTTCAACGCCTCTTGCATCGTCACACCATGGACGCGACAGTACGCTCGCACGAAGTTGACCTGATCATCGTCGCCGACTTCCTTATAAAATGAGAGTAGGTCGTTTACGGAGTTCACGTAAGGTGTCAACTGCGCACTCAAAATCGCCATATCCTGCAAATGCTCTTCTTCATTGAACATGTCCTTGGGGAAAAGTCCACCAGCGCAAGCCTCAGGCAAGGCTGTCAGGTTTCGCAGAAATGTCGGATAGAGATCAGCCCCACGATCTCCCAGGATGCCGTGCGACTCGATCCAGCAGCCTTGCACATAAGCCAAGCTACTGCGAAAGATCGTCAGCTCGCAGAAAGGGCCATAGTGCGACATGAGGGCTGGGAAGTGCTCCTTCATCAAGCGCCAAACTTGATGCTGCTGCCCAGTGCCGTTGATGAGATCCATCACAAAAGACCCCGTGTTCAAATTCGCGCCGTCTTTCGCAGAGTCGTCGTCCAGGAGCACGGTGTAGATCCAGAAGATGCTCATATCGACCAGGAGCGAGAGGGAGGCGTGCGCCCACGTGCAGACGGTGAAGCAGATGCCCGTGCGCATGGCGTGCCACACGTGCTTGGGGCTCGCACGTAGTGTGCCGTTGCGAAGGCGTTGCTCGAAGTGCGACGCGACGAGAGTCCAGCAGTCTTGGAGATCTTTGAACCGGGCGTCGAAGTTGACGAGATTGGTGTCCTGATAGTCGAGCTTGTCGAGAAATCGCACTAGAGCGCTGACGATGTCCAGAGGGCGGACTTCGTCGGTGGTGAAGGAAGGCATGCTTCAATGCCTAAAGCCCTTGCCAAGTTTCTTCGGCGTGAGGCTTTCTCGGAGTTGATTTGAACGAGGATAGAGACAGGCGATGAATTTGCTGTGTTGGAGGTTGATGAAGTCTTTGTGGGTTCTAAGCATCTCAGAACAGCCAGCGTTGGTAAGCTGCACAAGCAAGGCTGCCACACCATTTTCATTTTGTCTTTTTTGTTCAGGTCCGCAATGTCGTCTCCGAGCGATTTGCATGTCTCCTACCAGATCTGCATCTGAGATATGCATCTGTATCTATCCCAATTCCGCAGCATGATGCATGCATAAACCGAGGGATTGTGGAAGCAGCATCAACGCTGTTCAACGAATACTCGACGCATGACACCCTTTTCCACAGAGCTCCTCAGTATAGCACACTCCATCATCCCATCAAAACTGGGGTAGGATGGGATCGAGGGCACCGGTATTGGAGGGTGAGATAGCGATAACGTCGAGTGGAGAATGCTGCGTCGGGAACTGGTGTAGAGAGTCTTCGATCATGGAGGAAGGTCGAATACATAAGTCATCGCTGTGCATATGCTGTTGCTCAGTTCTTCTGCCAAGGCGATAATGCATCCAACCAATGTATAGCCGAGCACATCCGTGAAGAGAAATGGCACGATGCATATGTACCTGTATTATGTGGCGTCTATCGTGCATTTGAAAGAGGGGTAGATGCTGCACGACGATCTTGAAATGATGGAATAGATCTGTAATTACTCCTAGATGGCTTTGTGCATCGGCAAGGTGCCCGCTCACTATTAGGTTGTAAGGCAGATATCCATTGATCCTGTAACCTTCGTTGCAACCTCTATGCGTCCTCAGGGCGCAAATGTTCGCAATCTGTGTAATCCCAGAATTTCGCATCCATGACCCCTGCATCCTTCCAAAATTTAGCAAAGTCTTTCACGTACTCAACAGACTAACGATACTCACCTGGTATCCCAACCTTCATGAGTATTTTGTGCAACACATGAACTACATCTAAATCTTCTAGCATTAGGACGAATTAATTGTGGTTGATGAAGTCGCTGGTAGCGCTTCACAATCGCCCTGCCCGAGAAGTAGCAGCAGTGTCAACTGTCATCTGAGACGGCGTGATGAAATTCCATGCAACCGAATTCGGAGAGGTTTCAAAGACGTTTGCTCTGCATCAGGCAGCAAATAGAATAAGGACATCATTCACATTAGGACATTCGTTAACGATTTTGAAACTACGTACAGAGACTCAACTTCAGGAAAGCATCACGTGTAGGCTATCGACGGAATTGCTGCTCAACAACATGTCTCTGATGATTGTTGCCTTGTCTGTGTTGTGTTACAGACTGAGGCCTATTTGCGCCACGAATAAGAATTGAGGTATACCTTTTCTTCTTGCCTGAATTGCAAGCTCTTGTCCATCTTCCTGTCGACGGGCTTTGTTTTGACCTCGACATTTTCAACGACGTCCTTGTTCGTTGAAAGCTTCAGAGCTTGCCAACCGGTTGGCAAGAACTTTCGTGTCTCATTCGAAGTGCGGGCGAGCTCCTGGATCATATGCTCTGTAAGATCCCAGCCGGGGCACATGTCTTTGTAAGCTTTCCATGCCGCGGGTCCGTCCTCGGCAATACCAGTCCAGGCCACTGTGAACATAATCTGGCAAAAAGGACCTGCCACGGGAATGAAACCGATGGCCAAGTTGAGAGTGTTCTTGACAAAGTTCTCGGCCCATAAGGTTTTCTCTGCGGGCAGCCAGGTGAGGTCAAGCCCAAAATTTCCTTTAGCCACGTCAACCCAACTTTTGTCATGTTCATCGGAGATGTTGAATTTGAGGTCCACGTGGCTAATTGAACCGCTGTTGACGAGCTTGATGAGTTTCAAGGCATAGCAATGATTCTTTCGGAGCTGACGAGGTAGGCAGAGAAGTTCAATAAGACTGCTGACATCCACACCCAAGGTACGGTCTGCCCAGATACCTAGCCCAAATGTTGAGGTGGTAGGGAATTCGTAAAAACATTCAGCGTCCTCTATCCACATGTCGATTTTTCTGTCGAGCGCAAAATTTACCTGGACGAACGAGCAAAGATCCTCGTGATCTTTGTTGACCGAGTGGGCCACTGGAAGGTATATTGCTCGTACGTAGCCCAGCAGCTGTACCAACATCTTTCAGCGAAGCCTGGTCATACGGCTTAAAGAAAGTTATAGTAACTCACGTCAATCCAGATGCAGCGTTCATCCGTAGTGGGCATTGGCATGAACATAAACCATGACCGCAGGGGTGTCAGATACCTTCTATCATCATTTGGCCTATTCCGCTTCTTTTAGACTTACCTGATCACCTCCGCCGTTGTCACGATCCCTGAACACGTTCCCATTCGTGCAAAGCTTATGTGATCCTCTCCTCTTGATATCATCCGGGCGCGGTCCGTAACTGATTGGCAGCTCTGACCACGCACCAAATCGGGTGTTCCACCCTACACCTGTCACGTTTTTGTATTCCGCTCGGGGGTGGTTGCGTCTCCCAACAGACACACTATCTGCCCAATGGTTCCATACATACTCTATCATCATATGGCTGTAGAAGTTCTTAGGATCGCTTGCCTTGTACCCATCTGCGGCGCTACTGTCCAACGCCTTTCTGGTAAAGAAACACTCGCCCTCTGGGTATGCGAGAGCCATGATCGATGCTGAATATAAAAATGTCACTTGAGAAAGAGTGTTGCTTGGTCCACAGGGGATCTTTATATGTTCTTTCGGGTCACTTCGAGACGTGGAATACGCGCCCCGCTCTTCTCCGTCTCCCCTCCTTACAGCATAGTGACGCGTTGAGACTCATCCCATATTCCCTGAACATGCATTTCTACATCACCAAGGACAGCAAGCCATTCGCAGGGCAAATTCGTACGATCTCGTCCGACATGCAAGATTTCTCGTGATGCATGATCGACCCCGCAACCGAGTGAAGCCGCAAGCCTAAACCTACTGCCTATCAAAGCGTATCCCGTCAAGCGAGTGGCTCACTGAACCAATTGGTAGCATTATTGCCACCGACCCGGTACCCCTAGTGGCATGATGGATTTGATTGGGCGACATGCTACTGGAGGAAGATTGCAAATGACCCTAATGCTCTAGAAATAAGGAAGCATGAAGGGTTCGCTGTTTCGAAGTCAACAGATCGTAGCGATGGGCGTTAAAGTAGAGAGATAGAGATTGACCATATCTCGGTGACGTAGCAAGACTATGCAGCTAGAGAACACCCTAAGACGCGAATTAAGTGACCTAGATAACTTGATATGTCGCATTGTCTCTGCGATCCTTTCACCGGCACTTTGAGGGGTTTTTGGGCTCTTTCCCACCAATCATTCAGTGTGTATGAAGAAGCCACCATCTTGCTAGACACATAAGTGAGAACCTAAGTATCAACCCCAAACATTTAAGCCTGACAAAGATGCCGCTATTTACAAAACACGTCGAGCAAATTGTACGTTCTAAGGTTCTGGGCTGGGGCCTTTCTTTGTCCAGCAGAAGGAAACATAAAATGTGTCAATTTAGAGGTCCTTCGGACGAAAGAATGAGAGGCCATGTTTCGCCTACTTCTTTTCTAACAGGCGAGGAGAGACAACAATCCCTTTGTCGAAAATACAATGAGGTGTCATCACCGCAATATCTGGCAAGTCTCGGTACAGTTGAACGCAACTGGAGGTGGCTCCAGCTCCACAATGGTCGTATTTGATAGCGCTTGGTACTCTTCAGGAGCCTCTTCGTCGATTGACGTGTAAAGAGTCGTGACATATACATGTTTCGTCAGCCCAAGGAACGTCTTCCCTGTCTTCTGTGGATAGCACTTCGCCAAGACGTCATCTCCAGCTTGCATCACGGCTGGAAAAGTGAAATCCTCCGTATCGTCCCAATGACCAAACACATTGTCTACATGTATGGCGCAGTGCTTGGGGTTTAACCATTCCCACCTTCTTTTCATCTTGTAGTCTCTTGGAAGTCGGACATGAGTCTCGTTTGTTTTCTCAACAACGCGACCCCATGTTTTCGCATTCGATTTTGACCCCTGCCGTATCCACGCGAAATGCATAGATTCAAGTACACTTTGACAATCGGATAGAGGAGCCAGCAAGCCAGTAGGAGGGACACAATCGCACTGAAGAGCCTCAGAGAGGACAGCGAATACCAGGTTCATCGTAGTAAGGAGAAAGATATTGAAGTGCATGCTGGTCTGAATTCGAAGTATTGCTCGGAGGATAAAGGATTTCTACCGAAATCAATTTTTAAGCGACAGGTCTCCAAAATCAACGTCAAGTCTATTTTGGGGAACATTCATATCATGTCCGATGATAAGAAAGGCGAGAAAAGGCAGCGATTGGCAGTAGGTCTTCGCGTAGGAAGCGCGATGCGCGATATTTAGAGCAGCCTGGGATGCGCCCCGTAGCATTTGTGAGACATCAATAGGGATCTTGTACCTTTTGATAACTATCATTGGGCAACTACAACCGGAAATGGGGTGCTGAAAAAAAGTGGGACTCAACAAATATGACGTTTGAACGCATTATTGGCCATTCAAATGATAGGAGTTTGAATCACTTCAGAGACCGGTGGAGAGTACTTCGACGGACAAATAACGACATCAAATTCCAATTACCGATGTTTCATTAAAGTTCGTGTTACTTTGGCGATTATAAAAGGCTCTTCCCTCCCCCACGGCTTTTCAATCTCCATCGGAGAAAAAACATCGACCTCTCTTACTCAATACATCTCTAATAATGTCTTCTCACAATCCATCTCTTTGGCATTCTTTTTTCGCTGGACACTCCTCCATCTTCCGCAATCCCTTTTCGTTTTGCTTGAGCGTGGACATCCTAAATCTCCACACAGCCTGTGAGATCCGCATGAAGGTCCCTAGGTTCTGCTGTGGATAAACCTCCACTCTTGAGATGAATATCAGTGTCCTTGAGCCATACCTCTGCCAATTTTCTTGTATTGTCTTCGGAAAGCATTACTCGCTGCTCACTTTGCCATTACGGTGATAATGCATTGCTTGCATTGGTCGACAGGTCTTTTCGAAAGGCGGATCTCGGCATGTTGTCTGCCTTAGGGTTTGAGGCCGCGGCTTTCTCACATCCATGAACCTCGTCTTTCGCAATATCTTGTAATCCTGCTGAAGCCCCTAAGCAACTATCGAGCCGTGCGCTCTCGCAAGTCGAGTATACTGAGCGGGTAGAGATCAGGCCATACATTACATCCAATGTCAATGCAGTGGATAAGATTCGAGAGGCAAAGCCATAGAAGGTCTTTATGATAATGTACTGACGATCAATGTTGAAGCTATGAACCTCAAAAAGCGTGCAAACTACGTCCAGCAGAAGTGGCATCCATCCTTCTCTTTTCACGAAGGATGCTAAAACTGCTGAATAGATCATGACGGTCCTGAAGACAGCGTGTTGTGCACGCTCTTGAGCATTTTAACCGTCGAGATTATGCTAAAGCTCAAGTGATGGCTATGCAAGATCTTACAAGCCATACGAAAGATGACAGGCAGCCACTGACTCATTTGGATTTGCACGTCCAAGGGTTGCGCAAGGAAAGCATTTTTTGATGCGCTCCACTTAACTTGACTTTTTCTGTTGAAAATGAGAGACACCTTATCGCAACCTGCTAGGCCTTCGCCGGACGCTATCTGAAGTAACGATTGTCAAGTCGTCCCATTCAGATGATAACAAACCTGCGAAAAGCTCGCCCTGGTCGTCTTCAAGTTCGATACGCCCGCCATATGAGAGCGGCTCATCTCTCTCCACACAAGTCCTACGTACCCGATACAACATCCAAGTGAATTGATCCGGCGACACCCGTCTCCAAACTGGTCCGCCCCAAGAATAAAGAGTAACATCACACGACCCTCAGTGTTTCCTGTACGGGTCTTTCACCTTCAGACGTGCTGCCACACCAGGAGTTGGTATCTGGGTATAAAATAAGAATCGCTCATTGTCCGGAAAGTCTTGGCTAACAGCACTGATTGCCTCTTGACAGTCATGATTGGTGACCGGCGCATTCAAACCCGGTGGGCGGCTCTGAGTTCGAAGAAAACAATCTGGTCTCCCAGGCAATGTCAGGTTGCCATGCTGCTCTAGGCCTGTGTTATTGAGAATCGTGATGGCATGAGCTAATGTGCTAAAAAGAAGATAAAAAACCTGCATGATTAAAATATTCGAAGTTTTATACGGTATCTCATCCAGACAGCAACAATCAAGACTAATTATTCTCCGCGAGTTTCAAGTACTTTCCGTGATTTAGAACGTCTTAATTACGCTTTTTTGCCGTCGTTCAAACCGCTTGAAACCGCATGAGGTAGCGAACACCATACCATCGCACTCGCAACCTCTCCTCACCAGTATGATTTCGGTCTCTGCAGTGTCCACTTCACTGATAACTCTCCCACAGCTCAAATTCGATTGCTTGACGCAAATCATCTCCCAAGGCCTATGTGAAAGCACTAGTGCCGATTTCTTTGCCTTCATACTCCACTGCTTCCATCATGTTCTTAACCAAGCCAGATAGTATATTCGGCACAGAAAACGGCATTATTTATACCCGCCAGTCTTCTTACAGGGACAGGGCTGCAATTTGGGACGCTAAGAGCCCGAAAGATGGTGTCGAGTTTGATTAGTCAAAGCGCACTCAGGGAATTCATAGCCTGCAGCAACTGACCCTAAATCACGTAAGATGCTTTAAGCCGAGGAAATAGAGGAATTGAGACCCTCTCGAGCGCACTTTTACAACCTCGGCCATACTTCTATGTCGGAGATCGGTTCTTCTCTCACAAGTCTCTGCTCCGAAGGTTGAGCAGCGGCAAAAGTCAACTAATCCCACTTATTACTGTTCGCTTCAGGCGGAAAGAAGCCGTGCAAAACAGAGGATTCACTTGTACATGCACAAATGATAGTCCCTTAGCAGAAATGAAGCTGAATGCGACCGCTTTTGACCTATAGACCTCCATTTACTCAGCACATCCACCCTTCTCCCCTCCCCTCTTCTTCCCTACTTCAAGTACTCAGATCCTTATCCAAGACCGTATGCCCGCCCCCCGAACATCGAAAACCCCCTTGTATCCTCTCCCACGGGAAACCCCCACCACACTTGCCAATCTTCTCCAAGGCCTTGATAGTCTCCGGATCACTCACCTTCGACCCGGCAGGTTTCGCCACATTCTTCTTAATGTCCTCCTTCCGCTTCTTATCTTCCTCCTCCTCATTCTTCCTCTTGACGTCCTCGGCAGCTTTTTTCGCTGCTTCGTCCCTGGCTTTTCTCGCTGCTTCGTCTCTCGCCTTTTTCTCCTCTGCGGCCTTCTTGGCGGCTTCTTCTTCCGCTTTCTTTTTCGCTGCTTCCGCTGCTTTCTGCGCTTCCAAAGCCGCTTGCTTGGCTGCTTCGTCTGCTTTGCGGTTGGCTTCTGCCGCTGCTGCTTTCTGTTTGGCGATCTCGTCGGCGTGCTTCTTGGCTTCGGCGTCGGCTTTGCGTTTTGCTTCTGCAGCTGCGTGCGCTATATTTTCAAGCTCCTAGTGCATATCGTGTCAGTTTAGATGCTTCCTTCAAGACCGTCGGGAAGTTCAACGCTGGGTAGTACTTGCCTCGACGGCGCTTTTCGCACTCTCTTTATTGAGCTTGGCTTTGACATCTGTCAAGAATTTCAGGACTGTGCTGTGGGCTAAATCCACGGCAAGTTCGCGGATAATAACGTGGATCTTCTCCTTGTGGACTGTCGCAAGTTCGGCTTCGATAGTCTGCCGATGTACAGCATGGTGAGGCGCGCTGAGAGCTGTCGCAAAGGAAAGCGCGTACTCGTCGAGGATGGTACTGGTAGTTACCAGAGGCGTCGTGACGGAGAGCGAAACCGGCACACGTAGCGCAAAAGAGATATGGCTACTGAGGTGGTCCGGGAGAGCGAGGTCTGTTACAAGTGCCATGCTCACTGTTGAAAGCGATTTGAGCTAGGGGAAAGGACCTTGTAGTACTGTGAAACTGGCTTGAATGGATGAATGGATGAATGGATTAATGACGGGCTGAGATATGAAGAGGGCCTTTGGGGCTTTTTATGCAATGAAAGGGCGCCTCCACTCACCACAACTCCCAACTGCATATTTCGATTTGGGCGAGCCTTGTGTTGCAGCTGCATCGTTGACGCAGCTGATGAGTAGTGAGAATCGCTACGAGAGGCATCGCTACTACATGCAGTCTTGTAGCTGCTGGAACAAAGCTACTAGGCCTGTGCACATGCCCATGCCTTCCAATTCTGGCGGCAACGCTCACCTACTCGCGATTCTTTGGTGTATCCAAGACCCTCATGACAAATCCATCTTCAGCCTTTTCACCATCGCGTCATATGACTGGATCGCACTTCGCTTAAACTCAAGTCGCTCACTGCATAATACATAACCTTTCGTCGAGATGATCGAGCTGATAAGACGTTGGGAACAGGTGCATGTGGTCGTCGGGGTGTTCGGTGGAGATCATTTGCTCTCCACCTCCTCCAGTCAGCCTGCAGGTGTCCTTATCTCGTTAGTCAAGTATGGTGCAATGCATGCCGTCAGCCAACAACCATCGTCATGTGGAGCGATGCCAAAAGCCGTTCGATGTGTTGGCCAGAGGACTAATCCAGCGCCGGCGCTAGGTGCAAGCATCCTAGAGCCAATTAAGGCCCATGCCCCCTATGTCTGACTCTGGAGGGGCCCCAATTGGGAAGTCTTGGCTGATCGGTGGCTGCTAATTAGGTACTAGCGAATGCACCCAGCTGGTACGTGGCTGCGGGTCATCCGCTGTCATATTGAAAATCTTCCGGCCTGGATCGTCGATCATCTGCAAGGTGCCGCCCACGGAGTTGCTGAAGGACAGGGTAGAGAAAAATTGATGGTTGATCCTCTCAAACATCAAGAAAATGATAAAATCTAGTTCCACACCACAGGTGATGGTGTGCGAAGAATAGGCCACTGCTTGCATACTGCGCGAAGACAAGGAGATTCCATGCATCCAATACCGCCGCGAGCCCGTAATTTTCTCGTGCAACTTTTGGATTTACACCCGGATATTCGTAGCCTTCTCGCTCAATCACATATTACAAATGCTACAATACGATGTATCCCATCGTCTGGTAAAGCCCTTAAATCCGAGCCTAATTTGGACGCGTTTTCTAGCCACCTTTTTTTTTTTTTTTTCACTATTACAACTACTATAAGCTGTAATCGAATATCTAACAACGTAGACTATATACTATTAGACTTAAAGCTCTTATTACTACTCTTTTCGAAGGAATAATCCCTATTTTAATAGCTATTACCCCGCTTTAACGTAATAAAAATTAGAAAACTATATACCTATAAAAAAAACATATTTTAAAGCTTATAAAAGCTAAATAACCTTAGGATATCTTTGACTTATTCTTTATTAATAAAATACTTAAAATCTTCGTCGATAGTATAAATACCTATATAGTAAGCGAGATCTCTTTAATTAAAGCTATAAAATCTACTTTATATATAAGAGCTTAGAATACTACTACTATTAATAAGCTATATATATTCCTAAAAATTATTATATAAATAAAGCTTTATATAAAGATTAAGTTGCTAGACTTTTAAAACTAAAATATAGAATATAAGCTAATTTATTAAAATATAATATATTATATAAGTTTAATCTAGTTTAAATAATTAAATAAGTTTCTATATATATTTAAATTATTAAAAAATATTTTAGATTTAGTTTTTAATAAGCTAAAGCTTTTAAATAAATATTTAAAAAAATTATTTAAGTATTATTAGCTAAAGAGAATATATTTAAGTATTAATAAATCTATTACTATATTTATAGGTTAATTTAATAATATTATTAATATTCTAAGTAAATTAATATTAGAAGGATATAAAATATAAATACTAGCTAACAACTACTTTGTTTTAAATTAGCTATAATACTCTAAGAAAAATATCTTATAAGGATTACACCCTATTTAAATTAAAGAATAAAGTTATTCTAATATATAAGCTATTTTTTTATAGCTTATATTACAATCTTATTTCTAAAAAATATTAAATAAATATATTATCTAGTTAAATAATTTATTTATATTATTATAGCTCTTTAAATAGCTTAAATATAATAGTTTTAAAGTAGTAGAAACTATTAAAACTTTAAAAACTATATAAGAGGCTTAAGAGCAAGTTTTAAAAATAATTTAGTAAAAAAAGCATTTATAAAAAAAGAAGAATTATAGTCTATAGCTATGTATTTTAAAGTTAAAAATTAAATATAGTAAGTAATTTATATAGGGATTATTATATAGAGTAATTAGCAAAGAAGAGAAGGTATTTTAATTTATATAAATAGATTAAGCTATTATACTTTTTATAATTATTATTTATAATAGTTGTAAGACTATATTATAAGAGCGACGACAGCCTATAAAGATATTTTTAAATATTAAAGTTTTTTGCTTTATATTTAGCGGTAAAACTATTAAAAACCTATTAATATTAATGCCTATTAATAATTATAATTATAATATAAATAGAGTTAATAAAACTAATTAACTTTAATTTTATTATATTATATAACGGATATAATAATATAATTAGATACTAGGTTTCTATTTCCTCTTTAATACTATAATAATTAATATATATAAGATTAGTATATTTATATTAAAAGAGCTATTAAAAAGGCTAGCTTAAGTAATAATTACAAATAGTTCTAAATTAAGCTTATAAATATATTAATTAATTAATTAAAAAGATATAATATTAACTAACTTTTATCTAGTAATTAGATTTATCTTATGATATTATATAAATATAAAATAATTAAGCTTAGACGCTTAATAATATATTTTATATATAGAATTAACTATAGAAGTTATATATATTTAAAATAAGTAAGTTAGAAGCTATTAAATAAGTTAAAACTAAATAAAGTAATCTAGCGATAACGAAGTTAATTATTTAGAACTACTAAGGGCTATAGTATATATAGAATATATATTTATAATTATATAGCTTGCTAGCGGGACTATTTAGACCGTGTAAGACGAAAATACTATAGAAATTAAGATTACCCCTGAAATAAGGGCTTTACCAGACGATGGGATAATCTAGGTGACTATCCGCATAACTATTCTTCAAGATTGCGGGTGACCGATAAAAAGTTAGTATGTACCTACAAATGATAATTATAACCACTGCAATGCGCAACTATTCCTTTCCAAAAGGCTAATCATAGATCATCTCAATGGAAATGTCCCCCGTACATCACAATTGTTGAAGAAACCGGTGAAGGCACAGGGACAGTCGTCGCAAATTCAACAGTGGTAAAGGCAAGTATCGCCAAAACATCTTGCAATAATTGCTCACATTGCTCTCTTGAAAAGCAGCCTCGTCAAATACCAGGTCCTTCAAGGTAAGAGCCCTAAATACGACCCTTCTCCTCATCATACATGAGGTCTAGCTCTAGCTCCCTATACTCGACGCAAGAGAACTGGGTTGTCCGGAGAAACACAAGAGAAGTTGCATGAAGAGTAGACAGAATTTCGACCTGGACATTTGACTTCTATGATGTTCCAGCGGAGTCGTGCTAGAAAGTCACTCTAGAGTTGCCTGCAAGAAGATTTGTAAAAGCCACGTCCCGAGCACGTTTAAAGGGAGCCTAAGAAAAAGACAGCCGGAATCAAACTAGCCCACCTCACAGAACATTGAAAAGCGATCCCTCTATACAGGCTTATCACCTCATACTGTTCGAAGCCTTCCTCGTCCCTCACGAGATTGACAGAGGAAGGCCATTCGAACCTGATCTACGCGATTGGGGCCAGGCACCAAGCGGGAGCGATATTCTCAAGTAAGGAAAATCAGCTCGTTGATGCCAGAAAATCAGCCAATTTTCCGGTTGCCAAACAGAGCCAATTAGATATCGTGGTCTGTGCTCTGATGACGGGAACGTGTGTGAAGCTTGTCTCATCCGTCATTTCGTTTAGGTCGCACGCGGCAGCACTAGACTCTGCCATCATTCGCCACTAAATCATTGATCGTGCCTCTAGATCTGACGGTAGGCTTCTAGCGCTTCCTCCCCTTTGTTCTCTACACTACTGACATCATAGTAATTAGACTTCCTGAATAGACTTTGCGCTGTCTGGTCATCGTCGTTGTCGGTCAGTTACGCTTTGGGATTAGAGACTTGGGGTGGTGCTCCATCTACGCAAAAACGTCCCGCCTCCGCGAAATTAGTATTACAATTCAAACTCATGGCCTTCCCAGACAGTGTCCCCTTTTCTCTCTCCTTCGTGCGTATGGTGTGGTATCGTCGAAAACCACATGCGACGACGATACCACCGTCCCTGCACGCATGTAGGGGCTTGATTCCTGCCACATAGATCGACGCATCTCGCCTTGATTCTACATCGACCATGGCGACACCACAACTCACCCAGGCGGAGAGAGACTACCAGCTCGCCCGCCCCAATGAGAACTGGGCGCATGGCTTGTCCACCTATCGGATAATTATCACGGTCATCGTCGAGCTCGCCATCGTCCTCCGTATGTGGGGACGGAGGCTACAAAAGATCGCGCTTAGAGCCGACGACTACGTTCTCATTCTCGCTGGGGTAGGTTTTTGATGGGCTCCTCGAACCCTTAGGGTTGTTTACCGCGATGGTACCATGGGGCGACTAGATATTGGTTATAGGGCATTGTACCTGTGGCGTGCTTTCCGTAAAGTACGGGTATGGGCATCACACCCTCGACATCCCTAAAGCAACCTTCACATCCCGTAACAAGGTCGGCCAGTCCCCGCGTCGCTTCATGGCAGGCAGGCAGGCTATTGCGCACAGCCACCTGGGCTGACTTCATCGCAAACCTAGGCTGGGTATGCAGCAAATATCATCTATGCCCTCGCATTCTCAGTATCCCGAATATCGCTCATCCTGCTATACAAGCGGGTGTTTGTGAAGCGATGGTTTGCGTACGTGTGCTGGTTCATGATCTTCGCGTACAGCAGTTTCGCCACCGCAGTGCTGATCCGCGAGATCTTCAATACGCTACCAATAGCCGCACAGTTGGATAAGAAGGTCAAAGTCGAGCATTCGATTAATGTCAGCAAGTATCTTTTTGCCATCCACGGCTTCAATCTGGGGTCTGATCTGATTCTCCTCATTCTGCCGCTTTTCATCATCTGGAGTTTGCAGGCGAGGAAGTTGACGAGGCTGGGGATCAGTTTCATCCTCTGTTTGGGAACTCTGACTTTGATATCTGCTACGATGCGGCTGTATTATGCTATCAAATACAAAGACTCGAAAGATCCTGGCTGTGAGTCATTATGCCCTACCCGGCAATGGCTTGAAGTATTACCAGAGAAGCAGTCCACTGCTCGTAGTCCTTTGCCCACTCCCTACTCTGCTGACATAGTTCTTCCTCTCCAGGGACCGGCAAAAACGGCAGCTACTGGACCGTAACAGAACTCTCCCTCGGCCTCCTATGCCCCTGTCTCGTCACCTTCCAACCAATCATCATACACTTGTAAGTCCCCCGCCCCACCACATCTCCACAATCCCCTCAAACACACGCATTCACGACTACAATCCTATCCCCATCGATATTAATCGCCAACACACCCAGCTACCGCGCATGCCTATTGCGCCTCTCCCCGCACCAGCGCAATCGCATCTCTCGCATCACCTGCGTGGAATACGAAGACCCGTCCGACTCCACGCTCGGGGACCGAGGGAACCGCCTGGGTTCTGATGAAGAGGGACATCGCAAGGGGAAGGTTGATGGTGTTCCCTCTTCTCACTCTATCCCCTCAGATGCGATGGCTAGGGAGCGTGGTGTTTATGAGGATAAATCGCATTCGCGGGCGAAGAGGAGGGGCGGTGGCGATGAAAATGGCAGGGCTATCAATCAGGATACAGCGCTGCACCTTCAAGAGGAGATGGGGTCGAGTGATCTGCCGGGTTGAGGGTCGAAGGCAGGCAGCAATGATTATCATCGTGAAACCAAGCAGAATATGATGTAGGGATATCACTCGAAGATACTACCGAAGACAATGATTCATTCAGCACCCAGTAACAAATGTTGACCACCTTCCACGTGCAGCGCCGCCATGATATGTGTGAATCTCAGACTCACGTTCCGATCTCGTTCTAGCATCCGGTTTCACTGGAGGATCCGGATGCGGCGTCGCTTGGGAAAATTGTGTGATTGGCTGTGGATGTCGTGGAACAATCCTCTGACCTTACGACCATAGATATGATGGCTCTCGGTTCTCTCATGTCACGACTCCTTCCTACCGCAAAGCTTCCTCGTCGCAATGCCCGTCCAACCCACTTTATGACCCACCGCTCTTGAATGTAGGTAGCTTCAGCTCTTGCTAGGCAGTGAATGAGGACTGACAGGTCGTTCTTGTGTTTGCAGTGCGATTGCGCCAGTGGGGCAATTCAGGAGGGGAATAATCCGGTCAGAATACCAGTGTCCCATCTGCTTTGGCAATTGCAACATCCTTCTTCTTTTGAGTTCGCTTTGGCAGCTTCGAGATGGCGTAGGGTGACGTATTCTGTGTAGTGGCTATCCACATGTAGAGTACTTGATCTCATGACGCCGAAACGAAGGAACTAGCTAGAAAGACTAAATATTACAGGCAGTGCCTGTATTCTGCAGATCTATTACTCTTTGTAGAAATCCGAGAGCAATAGGACTTGTTTCAACTTGTGCGGTTTCAGCCTGACATCAAAACTAAGCAATTTCCGTCGACAGGGTTACTCCAATCGCAAAGCTCGAGCTAATTGACAATCAGAAAATTTCTGACATGAGCAATAGCGGGGAATTTGGCTACCAAATTTCCTGATGTCAGAGGTCCGTGCCGCAGGATATCGGAATTTATATGCGCGAATCGCCAAACAACCCGTCCGCATGAAACAACCTCTTGCCGTCGATATGATAAGAATGCTAAGCACTACAGACAAGCATTCTGAGCACGAAACGCCGAGTCTGTTAGTGCCCTAAGATTTGAAACGATATCTTTCCGTCCACCATCCATGCTGTCTATACTAAATAGTCCTTTGGAGATTTACAAGAGAGGTCAAAGATAGAACTGTGGCCTCTTTCAACTCTTCTACCGACGTTTCCCCGGACATTTCCACGGAATTCAGGTTAAATCCTCCTTGGAATGAAAAGAAGTTATAGGGACATGGAAAGTCGCTTTCTACGTACCTGCTTACCCCGCACGGGCAATTAGCTCCCTTTCTTGCCATTAGTGGTTTCAGATTACTATGTACCTACTTCACTGCGAGACTGTAGGGGCCAGTCCGGGTAATTTGGAATGAATGGCTTAATAGCACGAAAGGATGTAGATTTTCAATACTTACTTCCTCGGGGAAGAGTTCCTTGAAAGAACTAGGCATGCCACTAGTGCATTGTGGATGTCGTCTGCCATGTTTGCGCACTTGTAAAGTACGCAAGCAGAAGCCGTACCCTGGGGTGAAACGTCTGTCGTGATAGATCTCATTGGTCTGAATGGGTGGCCCTTGGTGCGCCGGTGTTCCATCATGCCGTGTCAACCTCCGAACATCTATACTAATCGATTCTCAGGACGTGTTTCTTCGGGTTCTGGCAGTCTATGCACGCTTAAGAGCTTTAATCGCGCACCCTCCACGACCGAAAATAGAAAGCCGTGTCTCAGATGAAAACACACTCATCCTGGTGAATGACGTCTTTACTACGATCCATACACGATTGCAAAGTAGTCATCGTGAAAAACTCTGCGTGGATGGCTCACACCTTTGAGTATAAAAAAGCAGACTTGTCCTCCTCCAAATATCACCTCGACATCCATCGCGAATACCAGTCGTTCACCAGCAACACGATTCTATACTCTCAATCTCTGTACAATCGCCTCAAAGAAGTTTCGACTTGAAAGCTCCAGCCACCGCCCAAGTCCACCATGAAGTCTACCACATTCTTCTATATTGCCACATCCCTCTTCGCCGTCACTGCCCTAGCAGCCCCACACCCTAACCCTGGAGCCGTCCGTAAGTACCTCAAACAATCCACACAACTATCTCCTTCCACGCAACTAAAAAGAGACTAGAACCCAACCCAAATCCAGCGGTAGAAAACGCGGACCAAACCAAAAAAGCAGCCATCGAAGCAGCAGCCCGACCCGCCGCAGCAGCAGCAGCAGCCAGCTCCTCCGCCGCAGCCGCCCAGGGCGGCGGCGTGCCTCCCGGCAACGCAAACTCCGGCGCCACCCCCGCCGACGCCGCCAACAAAGCCCAAGAACAACAAGCCCTGATTGCCGTAGCGAACGGCCTGCAAGCGCAAGCCGACAAGCTCAAGGACGGGTCGAAATACGAGGTCAAGCCGGACACGAAGGGGGAATGGGCGATCGTGGCGTCTGCCCCAGAGGAGAGTGATACGATTCACGCGTCGCTGGCCAAGAAGGTGTCGGATGCGGAGAAGAAGGCTGGTGTGTCGGCGAATGGGAGGAAGGTTGGAACTGGAGGTGGGGCGGGCATGAGTCATGATGGGGAAACGTCGGAGAATGCGGTGACGAATGCGGCGGTCGAGGGGGAGGCGGGGGATACGGAGTCGACGGATCATTGAGGGAAGGGGAGAGGATGGGGGTGTTGGGGGAGGGTTTTGTGGGAGGTGGAGGAGTCCTGGTTTCTGCTGGGACGCAATTCATGAGTAGAGGGTTTGAAGACGAATTTCCTTTGAAGATAAGAAACAACGTTAGGGTTATCGGTTTTGTTTATGTAAATATATTGAAGAAAGTGACATTCATAGACTTGACTTATATTCTTCTCTTGCTGCTGACTTCACGGCGACTGCAATTCGGAGCCCCTGAGCAGGATTTTGTGGCTTAAACCGACAATGTCTCTAGCTCCTTTCTACCTTTTTTCGATTCCTGACCAGTCGTCTAATTGCAAGGTTGAATAGATGTTAAATCAACTAGTTCAATCGATGAAACAAGCTATTTATCTCTTAATTTATAAATTAGGTTGCCGCAATTCCTGAAATATATTTGCAAAGATTGAGCCTCTCTAGTTCAGCGCTTGATCATGGACTTTGGGGTCAATCTCTTGTCTACAACAAAAGATCTGAAGCCGATCGCCTCAAAGATTGCTGGAACAACTGCGATCGGATATTTAATCGATCTCAACGTAGATACACATATGTTTTGAGTGATAAACGTGTCGCATTAGTCTTAACACTCTTCCGAGAATAACGGCAAATCAAACCTTAGTACGTCAAGTGCCGATGTCATATCACTAGCTCTCCCGTAATGTTCTCTTTGGTAGTATTGATGGTTGGCTGATTGGGATTGGACGTATTGCAAGTAAGTAGTGTAGATAGTGATGATGGAGATGATGATTGTTCAAGAATGGACTAAAGAGGATGATGATTGTTCAGGAATGAAGAGGATAATAATTGTTAAGGAAGAAGGAAGAGTAGGGTCAAGAACACCGCTATATAATTTCGATACGATGTTAGTGGAGCATCATATGGCCTAGCTTTTCGCTGCACTACATGCAGTGCGGTGGTGAAACATGTTTTGAACGACTAGCAACAGTCTGGTCTTAGCAGACTGTATAGGGTTATCAAGGATGACGACCTGCGAGACCAGATTAGCTTGGCCATGTCTGAATCACATGTCCACGAATCTCAACCAAAACCAGCACGAACGAAGAGTCACCCATAGAAGCATGCAACATCATACCGAATGGATCCAATCGGAAAGGCTATGCTGCTTGAGGTTGAGACTCTATACTCGACCAAAGCACAAACCTGACGAATCGTAAGCGATACGTGTGGTTACTATACCTGAAACCAACCCAAATTGAATGCTAATAGTCATGGCTGTCTTCAATGAAAGCAATTAATGAAATGGTTGTTCTTGCACCACTAGGGCCTCTTTTTCACTGCTTGGCAACCTGGACGGCGACGTTTCAATATGGAAAATCACCAGAGGAAAATAAGTCTTTGATTGGCTACACTGCTACCGTCTGTAATCCTGCTCTTTTGTTTCACATCTCGGCTCTTGTGATGAAAGTCGTCCATTCACGAATGACCTTGCATATACTATCTGCCAGTGATGAATCTAAGCATATATGCTTTTATGCCCGGGATAAACAAAGGATATACCAACAGCAAGCCTAAATCTAAGGTTGCAGTTGTGAACATGCGGCAACGATTCTTATATAGACTAATTATTCACCACCGTAGAACAAGGAATGTATTATTTTTTGCCGAGCCTGAAGATTTTAGATTATTAGTGCTAAGCTACATAAAGAATGTTTGATAGGTCTACCCCCATTGCCATTAATCTCTCCAATGCCTGCTCTCATCCGTACCATGCCCTAGTCCCTTATGAAAGGAAAGTCGAGAAACCAGAGCCATAGTAGTGACTTTCGTTTCCTGAATCTGCCATCTATGTGATTTGCCATACTCCCCCCTGCCATTACCTCCAATCGTAGTCTTGCAGTTTCCGTGATGCTCCTTCCCCTGCCATTACCTGCATCCGTACTCTCACAGATTCCCCGTTGGTCGTCATCGTCTTATCAAGGCACTTCAGCGGTCTCCCAAGGCTTGAAGTCTTCGTCCGATTCCACGATCATAGGATAATCTCTTTTGTTCATTATCATTAGACTGGGGGCTTTCTCTGGCGCCCCACTATGTCGGTTGTAACGGTCGTCATAGAACTTGAGTAGCTCATTCCTCAATTTCTTCAACTTTTCTATGCGTTTCGTGTTACCATGAGCACGTAGTCCGTCGATTGCCAATCCGTAGTCTCTATTCATAATTTTGATGCCCTTTAGAGACCTCTCCGCACATTTTATGGTTACGGTTACGTCGCGGTGGCGGGAATTAGGACAGTTGCAGAAGACGCGTATATCGGGGCGTACCGCGCGCACCTCCTCGGGCACGAGGTGATCGGGCGGATAGACTTCTTCATCGGTTGGTGGCCACCAAGGCGGGGTTGATGGGTCAGTGGATTCCTGAGGGTTTGTTGACATGGTGGATAGGATTAATAGGTGGGTGGATGTTCTTAGATTGCTGTAAGTCTGCTGAGTAAGTAGAGATGATGCTTGTTGAGAGGAGAAGAGGATAGTGATTGTTAAAGAATAAAGAAGGAGAAGGATCAGGACAGCCTATATAGACTTTGGAAACAGTAGTGGTAGAGCATCCGGAGCTTATTATCTCCGTACGAAGGTACAGTGTAGGCAGTGCAGTGATGAAACATGTACCGCACGAAAAGCGTTATTATGGTATCTGTAGAGTGTATGGACTCGCGAGGAATGATCATCTGCACCAGCAGGTCAGCTGGTGCATGCTAGTGTAAAGCTTTAGGCGGCGGGAGTAGAATATTGGATGGTATGAAAGGAGAGTATAATCGCCACTCTTCCTTGTTTTGGGTTGCTTCGCAGCACTTCCAAATATCAAGCTTACTGGATGACGCGGAGAGGCTTCGTTGATGCCAGCATTGGCGGACAATGAGCCTTGGCTGTTGAGCTAAAGCAATTGTCAACAAACCACAATTTCAACCAGCATAGACACATCTGCACAAAGATAATTCACCCTCAGCCCCATACCACATTTTTAACGATAGAAGGAAGTGTGCTTCAAGCAGCTCAAAGTATGATTTGTCCCAGCGGATGCAAGGGAGAAACGCTAATAGTATCAAGACAAGTGCGCCGCACAGATTTGTTAAATCGTAAGCTTCAGGCGTCGTCACCGGCTCGAAACTAAACAAGATTGATTTGTGATAAATACCAAATTATTAGGCTGAGTATGCGCGACAACATAAACCCTCGATAGCTGTCCCCAATGAGATTTGGTAGCCATAAAACTGCTCTTGCACCACTAGTACCTCGTTTTTCAATGCTTGGCTGCACGGACGGAGACGTTTCAATATGGTTACCCTCTCGATCATGGCGGAGATTCGATTGGATACTCCGTCTTTTTAACCGGTTATATACGTCATTATTCTACTTATAACCACCTATGAGCCCAACGACCATATGGTAAAACCCGATCCACAGTTTCATAGGAATTTCTGCTTTGCTGGCCGTCTGCCGCTCATTCACGATGACCATCCGCCGCAACCCTCCCCCTTCCTCGATATCCTTGAAAAGCGCCGAGTTGGCATTCCCAACCTTCTCAAAGTACCCGTCAATAGCGATCCCAGTACCACTACCAACAACGCGCAGCTTCACCAGAGCCCGCAGCGTACGCGCCCGATAATCCTTGTCCAACAGCTTTCCCACGACAAACATTGTCATAAGTATCCCAAGAACACCGACCACAGACATGAAAAGCTGATGCATGTGTACCATCATAAAGAACGCTTTGTGGCGCGAGTTCATCTGATTTGTCGAAAGTCTTAGGGTTAAAGGCTCGCCCGTGAGGGCAGCCGAGACGATGCTGAAGTGGAATTTTGCGTTCATGATGGTGAGGGAGCAGTGGATGGCGTAGAGGGCGAAGGTAGCCAGCATGGCTAGGATTTGAATGTTGGCGGCTAGCATTATGTATGGCTTTTCGTCCTTGAAATTTGGATAGATGAGGCGTCAAGATGTTGAGTTTTGGATAGATTGGGCTTCGATGGTGAGATTATAAGGGTTAGTATCGAGAGTCCGGTGGAGTGTTGAGCTAAAGATGATGGAGGACCGCTGCACTGTCTATCTACTTCCAACGAACAAAGAGATTAGGCAGCTAGGCTATTTCCTTACCCGCTAACACATTACATAGGAGTCTTGTACTTATTATTTACACTCGCAAAACAACACTATATAATATGTAGGCTTCTCCAAGTTCATAGAGTAAATATATGGGCGCTAGGTTTAATATAATAAATAATTAAATTAAACTCCTATTAGGTAAGTTATTTTAGTAAAATAATATTATTAATAATAAAGTAATAATAAAATCTTATCTAAAGTATAGTAATAATATTTTATATCTTCTATATAATAGCTTTATCTTTATCTTTATTTATAAAGATTACTAAAATCTATAAATATTAAATAAAGGCTAAAATAGTAACCTTAACCCTTCTTTACTATTATTTAAAAGACTTTCTTTAAAGCCTTTTAATAATCTTTAATTTTATATTTATATTTATATAATCTTTTCTAGAACTTATTTATATTTTATAATCTATTAATATATAATATTTTTATATTAAGTTTAGTTAAATATAATTTTTAATTATTTTTATAATTTTAATATTATTAATTTACTTAAGTATTATTTATTAAATTGATAATAAAGTATTTTAGAAATAAACTTAGCTAAGATATTCTATCTTAAGTCTAATTTTATTAAATTTTTTAAAGTTAAAGAAAAGCTATTTACTTATTACTTAATAATTTTTATTATTAAAAGATAAAATTTCCTTTAAAAGGAAAAATTTATAAGAGATTTCTTATTTTAAAAACCTTAGAATAGAATTAAATATTTAATAGAATTAAATATTTTATTAAATATTAATTATAATAAAAACTTTTCTTTTATTTAAAAAAAATTTAAAAGAAGTTTTATTTTATTTATAATATTTAATAGCTTTAAAAACTTTTCTTTTATATAAAATTATTTTTTATTTTAATATTTAAGAGTTTTAAAAAGGCTTTAAAAGGCTTAAGCCTTTTAGTAATAGCTATTAAATAATTTAAGTAGGCTAAGCTAGCTATTAACTAAAAGTAAAATAATTATATAATTACTTCTATAAGTAAGATAATAATATAATTACCTTTATAAGTAAAGTTATTTATTAAGTTATATAAGCCTTTAGCCCTCTTAATAATACTATAACCCTCTTTATAATTATAATTATTTATTATTATTATTATATATTAACCCTAAAAATACTTTAGTTTATTTATCTAGTATATCTTAACCTTTAAAGCTTATTTAAACCCTTTTATAAGCTCTACTAATAGCTATATTATTTAAGCTATTACTTAAGCTATTACCTAAGCCATTATTTAAGCTATTATCCCCTTAAATAGCGTTATATTTATATTTATAAATAATATTATTAAAATATTTAATAGCCTTCTTTAGCTTATACTTCTATATAATTAGAATATAGTTATAGAGCTAAACTTTAATAGTAGCTTTTCTCCTTTTAAAAGCTTTTATATTAATAGCTTTTTCTTACTTTTAACTATTTATAATATACTACCTTTTAACCCCCTTAGAAAGCTTTTAAACTATATTACCTAGAGGGGCTTAGAGTCGCTTAGCTTATATTTTACTTTAGTAGCTATTATTTAAAATATACTCTTAATTAGTGGCTAAAGTAGTAAGCTTTTTATATTCTTAAGTAACTTTTTTTTAATATATTTAGTTATATTTTATAACTTTTATTATCTTTTTATTTATAAATACTTTTAACTTCTTTTTAAAAAGTAATATATTATTAGAAACTAATACTTTTTAAAGTTTTTTAAATAAAAGTTTTAACCTAAAGTTTAAGCTAAAATATAGGTTCTTATTAAAAAAGAATTAAAATAAAATCTTTTTATTTTAATAACTTTTAAAGCTTCTAAAGAAAAGTAGCTAATATTCAATATATTAAAAATAACTTTTAAAGTACTTATTCTCCTTTTATAAAATAATTATTCTTTAAAAAGTAGCTTTAAATTTAGCTTTAATAAAATAATAAAAAAGAGGCTATAAGCTAGCTATAAAGGCTTAAGTAATAATAATTTCTTTACTATTAAAAAAAATAATTCTATTAAAAAAATAACATTATTATAGAAAATTATAACTTTATTATTAAAAACAATAATTCCTATATATATAAAAGATGTTTTAGTACTTATTATCTTAAATTTTATTAGTAAAAATGTTTTTCTATTTTTAAAAAAAGATGAAAAAAGAGTAGATATATAAAGTAGAATTATAAAAAATTTTATTTTTTTTAAAAAAAGTATTTATCTTAGTAGAAAACTTTACTTAGTAAAAGTACTTTTTTATACTTGCTTTATAAAGGTACTCTTTTATACTCGCTATATAAAGGTACTCTTCTATATTTGCTATATAAAAGTACTTTTTTATATTTACTTTATAAAGGTATTCTTTTATACTCGCTTTATAAAGGTATTCTTCTATATTCGCTCTATAAAAATACTTTTTTATATTTGCTTTATAAAAGTACTTTTCTATACTTACTTTATAAAAGTACTTTTCCATATTTGCTTTATAAAGGTACTTTTCTATACTCGTTTTATAAAAGTATTCTTTTATACTTACTTTATAAAGGTACTTTTCTATACTTATTCTATAAAAATACTCTTCTATATTTATTATAAAAATAATAAATTTAATATTATATTAGTTATACTTTATCTAATCTTTTATCTCTTTTTAACATTATTACTACTTTTTTATAAAATAATTATAATCTTTTTTTAATCTTTTTTATAGCTTTTCTTCCTATTCTCTTCTTATTTTTACTCTCTTTATCCTTACTTTAGAATATTAGCTTTAAAATATTAAAGTAATATTATATATCTACTAGGAGATTATCTTTTACTTTCTTTATTTTAGCTCTTTTATATATTAGCTTTAAAATATTATAGTATTATATACTTATTAGGAGGATACCCTCCTATTATCCTTCCTATTTTATAATTCTCCTACCTTTTATATAGTATATTACTTTATTATATTTAACCTATTTTAAATATTTAGTAAATATATATTTATTAATCCTTCTATTTAGTTTCCTAAATATTAACTATTATTTTTCTTTTTTATCTTATAATATAGTTAATTTTATCTTGATAGAAATATAGTATTTAATAAATATTTAAGAGTATAAGGCTAATATTTAGGCTATTTTTTATTATTTTAATATATTTATTTCTAAAATACTAAAGCTAGAGAAATTATTTTACTATATTTTAAAAATTAATAACCTTATTAACTACTTATTTAAAATAGGTACTTAACTTAACCCTAACTTAGAGAAAATCTAAAGTAAGTTTTTTAAATTCTTATTACCTAATAT